GCCGTTACCAAGTCTATTGTGTTTCAAATTACAATTGTAACTGTACTGTCAATACAATGGAACTTTCACTGCGACCGTACCGTGTAATCCCGTTGTATTAATTTGCAATTTGATTTGATTTCTATATCCTGTTCAGTTTATAAAACTCTAAATTGTACGATAGGCTTTTCCTTTCTTGGTTTCCCACTGTATGTATGCGTGTGTGTGTGCGTGCGTACGTACGTATGAATGAATGAATGTATGTTCTCGACACATGCACCCCGTTTTTCTTTAGGATGGGTACAGTGAGGTGGGATACATCCATTCATGCATCAATTCAGAATATGCTAAATATCACTCTCGACTTTTATGCTCACAACTTCATTTGTTTGTTGTAGGGTGCCGGTCTGTTATAAATGGGTCTAGACCAAACAATCTGATGATTGACATCATGAGGATTGAACTACGTAATGGGATGCGATGACCTACATCAACCAAGTCGTAGAGCCTGACCATTCAATCCCTTCAGTCGCCACTGACGAAAACATGGGTTACGAGATCTCATAATTCAATCCCGGTTTTGAATACATATAATAGGTTCGCAAAAGGAAAGTTTACGAGTTCGACTATAATTTCAATTAATCGACTGCAAACATATTATGGTAAAATACCAGTGTTAAATGAACGTGCACTCAGACTGTCCCCGAGGCCCGTATTAAGGTCAGGACCCCGTTCCTCAAAGCGATCGAAGGTCTACGACAGTCGTAAGTCTGTGTTAAAGTATGGGAGTTACGATCACCTTAGCGCTACGTGGCTTTCAGGAACAGGGCCCTGGTGGAGAAGTAATTACTACTTTACTATATTTAGATTAAAAGAAATAAATGATGTAAAGAGGATTCCGGTGATCCTGACACAGTAAGGCTTGCCTTGCCTTCAGCTCAGGGCCCTTGTCCTTTATAACACATCCAGGCCGGTAAGGCTTGCCTTCAGCTCAGGGCCCTTGTCCTTTATAACACAGTCAGGCTGGTAAGGCTTGCCTTCAGCTCAGGGCCCTTGTCCTTTATAACACATTCAGGCTGGTAAGGCTTGCCTTCAGCTCAGGGCCCTTGTCCTTTATAACACAGTTAGGCTGGTAAGGTTTGCCTTCAGCTCAGGGCCCTTGTCCTTTATAACACAGTCAGGCTGGTAAGGCTTGCCTTCAGCTCAGGGCCCTTGTCCTTTATAACACATTCAGGCTCGTAAGGCTTGCCTTCAGCTCAGGGCCCTTGTCCTTTATAACACAGTCAGGCTGGTAAGGCTTGCCTTCAGCTCAGGGCCCTTGTCCTTTATAACACAGTCAGGCTGGTAGGGCTTGCCTTCAGCTCAGGGCCCTTGTCCTCTATAACACAGTCAGGCTGCTAAGGCTTGCCTTTAGCTCAGGGCCCTTGTACTTTATAACACATTCAGGCCGGTAAGGCTTGCCTTCAGCTCAGGGCCCTTTTCCTTTATAACACAGTCAGGCTGGTAAGGCTTGCCTTCAGCTCAGGGCCCTTGTCCTTTATAACACATTCAGGCTGGTAAGGCTTGCCTTCAGCTCAGGGCCCTTGTCCTTTATAACACATTCAGGCTGGTAAGGCTTGCCTTCAGCTCAGGGCCCTTTGTCCTTTATATACACACAGTCAGGCTGGTAAGGCTTGCCTTCAGCTCAGGGCCCTTGTCCTTTATAACACAGTCAGGCTGGTAAGGCTTGCCTTCCTTTATAACTCAGGCTGGTAAGGCTTGCCTTCAGCTCAGGGCCCTTGTCCGTTATAACACATTCAGGCTGGTAAGGCTTGCCTTCAGCTCAGGGCCCTTGTACTTTATAACACAGTCAGGCTGGTAAGGCTTGCCTTCAGCTCAGGGCCCTTGTCCTTTATAACACATTCAGGCCGGTAAGGCTTGCCTTCAGCTCAGCTCCTTTATATTACAGTCAGGATGGTAAGGCTTGCCTTCAGCTCAGCTCCTTTATAATACAGTCAGGCTGGTGGGCTAAGCTCAGCTTGCCTAATACAGTCAGGCTGGTAAGGCTTGCCTTCAGCTCAGCTCCTTTATAATACAGTCAGGCTGGTAAGGCTTGCCTTCAGCTCAGGGCTTGCCTTTCAGCTCAGCTCCTAATACACAGTCAGGCTGGTAAGGCTTGCCTTCAGCTCAGCTCCTTTATAATACAGTCAGGCTGGTAAGGCTTGCCTTCAGCTCAGTCTCCTTTATAATACACATTCAGGCTGGGCTTGCCTTCAGCTAAGGCTTGCCTTGCCTTCAGCTCAGCTCCTTTATAATACAGTCAGGCTGGTAAGGCCTTCAGCCTTCAGCTCAGGCTCCTTTATAATACAGTCAGGCTGGTGGTAAGGCTTGCTTGCCTTCAGCTCAGCTCCTTTATAATACAGTCAGGCTGGTAAGGCTTGCCTTCAGCTTGCCTTCAGCTCAGCTCCTTTATAGCTCCTTTATAATACAGTCAGGCTGGTAAGGCTTGCCTTCAGCTCAGCTCCTTTATAACACAGTCAGGCTGGTAAGGCTTGCCTTCAGCTCAGGTCCTTTATAATACAGTCAGGCTTGCCTTCAGGCTTGCCTTCAGCAGGCAGGCTTGCCTTCAGCTCAGTCCTTTATAACACAGTCAGGCTGGTAAGGCTTGCCTTCAGCTCAGCTCCTTTATAACACAGTCAGGCTGGTAAGGCTTGCCTTCAGCTCAGCTCCTTTATAATCACAGTCAGGCTGGTAAGGCTTGCCTTCAGCTCAGCTCCTTTATAACACAGTCAGGCTGGTAAGGCTTGCCTTCAGCTCAGCTCCTTTATAACACAGTCAGGCTGGTAAGGCTTGCCTTCAGCTCAGCTCCTTTATAACACAGTCACTCAGCTCCTTTATAACACAGTCAGGCTGGTAAGGCTTGCCTTCAGCTCAGCTCCTTTATAACACAGTCAGGCTGGTAAGGCTTGCCTTCAGCTCAGCTCCTTTATAACACAGTCAGGCTGGTAAGGCTTGCCTTCAGCTCAGGGCCCTTGTCCTTTATAACACAGTCAGGCTGGTAAGGCTTGCCTTCAGCTCAGGGCCCTTGTCCTTTATAACACAGTCAGGCTGGTAAGGCTTGCCTTCAGCTCAGCTCCTTTATAACACAGTCAGGCTGGTAGGGCTTGCCTTCAGCTCAGGGCCCTTGTACTTTATAACACAGCCCACACATCGAATGGGACGTCTCCCAGGAAACGCTACCAAGTCGAACCCACCAAGAGTCAGAAGAGCAGTGCTCCTCGAAGCTATCCCGAACACTCGAGACTCTCACAATGACAGTCAAGTTATTGGAAGGTAGCAGAGGTACCAAAGTGCCCAGAACAATGGGGAGTCGGACAACTTGGTACTTTGGATGCTTGCAAGCGCGACATTTCGTAAGCGTGGTCCGCATATTTGCCATGTTTTTTCCGAATCTTTTCAATCACATTTGTGTCAAAAGGGGCAGAAAATCCAAAGACTTTTAACGAATTTATTGCGTTTCAAAGACGACAAGGTCAGGTTTGTTGGCATGTACGTGGGCCTATTTCAAAGAATGGTATAACTGTCATATTTTATGACGCTCTCTACATATTCAGTTTCGAACCTGTAATGGACCTCTGAGTCAAAACCACAAGCAGAGTGAAATGGTAATAAACGGACCAAGCAACCCAATAATGTCGGTTTAGATGCCTGGCATTCACTGAGAAAGTGTTAGACAGACTCGCATTACACATTTACAGTTTGATGGAAGGTGCCTTGTTCTAACCAGCAAACAGAAGTCTTCTGTTTCACTTTCCTGTCTAGCCGACTTCATGCAAGCCTTCCTTTGAACAACAGTACTGAATCTGTGCCTATTTCACATGGCCCTTCGTTTGGTTTGGTTTGGCACTCACTTCTGTACCGTTTAGTAATGCAGAACCATCGACAAAATGAACATTGACACTGAGGAATGCTTTGTTTTCATCCTGAGTTTTGACATGCTTACACAAAAGAGTCACCACATCAAATAAGTGGTGTAAAATTGCGTGATGTTAACAATTGAGGGAACAGCTTGGGCGGTGACATGATTCTCCGTGGGCGAGGGTCAATGCACTGAATTTCTTGTTTGGTCCAATCAACAAAACAAAAAGAATAAGAATGGACGGTGACAGCATAAACAGTTGTGACTCTTTATTATGAGCGTTCAGCTCTGATCTCCAGATTTCTTAAGTCCACTTACCCTTTCGTTTTTACTCGCTGGTACCATCAGCTCTGGTCCTCCGCCCTATGACAGGACAGATGCAGTTTGAATACAGATCTAGAACCGATGGCAACCTTGCCCCAAACATGCCCAGTTGAAAATGAACGGTTCCTTGAAAAGGGATTTGCTCTCCACTTTGTTGCTCGTCGTTTTAGTCACTCTTGACAGTCCTGGGTCGATGCCAACAGACCGCCAACACCACTGACCGGCAACGTTCTGAACGTCGCGTAGTAAGGCCACGTCGGTATGATGATCATATGATATCACACACACACGCGGCGCGCGAGATGGTTCCATCCAGTGTGCATTGCTGACTACTCAACAGGTGTGCGGTACCGTGACGATGTTATCCTTCTCCTCGCCCTTCCGTTCCTTCTGAAAAATGCGTTTGACTTTAGCAGGACAATGCACACCCTCTCGTAGTCTGTCTCACAGTCCCTGAACCACATTATTTCCCCTACTGCCAAGCCCTCTCTGCAGTGCTAAAGCCCTAATAAAGCAAGTCTAGATTTCCTCAGGTTCAGGTTCTGAATCTCTGGTCTCCTTAGGGCTCCTTTTCAATATAAATGGGCTTGTTTGTTACTATCAAAGTTATGTATATATTCAGAGACTAAGCCTTAGTCTAACCCTCTCGTTGCATGTGTGGTCACAGACTTCAGTGGACGACAGAAGCCGGTACCCGTTGTTTAGGTCACGAGCGACATGCTAAGTTACAAAATGCAGTCACATGTATGCACGGTGTCTAAAAAAACGGGGGCCTCAACAAATATAGTGAAATATGCAAATGTCAAAAGAAGAGGAGGTGTTCAGGGAATTTATTTCAGAAAAACTAAGCATGGAAAGTGGAAATCTTAAATTCAAGAGGGTCCACAGAATAGGCAAGGCTCGGCAAAGTAACCCCGAACACTCAAGTAGTCCTAGACCACTCATTGCCAAAGTCGTTTACACCCAACAAAGAGATACCGTGAAAGGATCAGGCAAATTCCTTAAGACTACACCTTATAGGATTATGAAGTAGTTTCCTGAGGAAATCTCTCAGTATAGGAGAGATATCCTGATGCCACTACAGAGACAAGCCAGAAACCAGGGTAAACAAGCCTATATTATAGTGGATAGACTGTATATCAACAGAGTGCAACAGTCTGTATCTCTCCCTGTATCATGTTGATGATAATAAAGATGATGTCGTCAAGGAGGGTGATAGGGATGTTGATGATAATAAAGATGATGTTGTCAAGGAGGGTGATAAGGATGTTGATGATAATAAAGATGATGTATGGAATGTCGTCAAGGAGGGTGATAAGGATGTTGATGATAATAAAGATGATGTCGTCAAAGGAGGAGAGGGTGATAAGGATGTTGATGATAATAAAGATGATGTCGTCAAGGAGGGTGATAAGGATGTTGATGATAATAAAGATGATGTCGTCAAGGAGGGTGATAGGGATGTTGATGATAATAAAGATGATGTTGTCAAAGGAGGAGGGTGATAATAGAAGGATGTTGATGATAATAAAGATGATGTCGTCAAGGAGGGTGATAAGGATGTTGATGATAATAAAGATGATGTCGTCAAGGAGGTGATAAGGATGTTGATGATAATAAAGATGATGTCGTCAAGGAGGGTGATAAAGGATGTTGATGATAATAAAGATGATGTGTGTCAAGGAGGGTGATAGGGATGTTGATGATAATAAAGATGATGTCGTCATAGGAGGGTGATAAGGATGTTGATGATAATAAAGATGATGTCGTCAAGGAGGGTGATAGGGATGTTGATGATAATAAAGATGATGTCGTCAAGGAGGGTGATAAGGATGTTGATGATAATAAAGATGATGTCGTCAAGGAGGGTGATAGGGATGTTGATGATAATAAAGATGATGTCGTCAAGGAGGGTGATAAGGATGTTGATGATAATAAAGATGATGTCGTCAAGGAGGTGATAGGGATGTTGGAGGATAATAAAGATGATGTCGTCAAGGAGGGTGATAAGGATGTTGATGATAATAAAGATGATGTCGTCAAGGAGGGTGATAGGGATGTTGATGATAATAAAGATGATGTCGTCAAAGGAGGGTGATAAGGATGTTGATGATAATAAAGATGATGTCGTCAAGGAGGGTGATAAGGATGTTGATGATAATAAAGATGATGTCGTCAAGGAGGGTGATAAGGATGTTGATGATAATAAAGATGATGTCGTCAAGGAGGGTGATAAGGATGTTGATGATAATAAAGATGATGTCGTCAAGAAGAGGGTGATAAGGATGTTGATGATAATAAAGATGATGTTGTGAAGGAGGGTGATAAGGATGTTGATGATAATAAAGATGATGTCGTCAAGGAGGGTGATAAGGATGTTGATGATAATAAAAGATGATGTTGTGAAGGAGGGTGATAAGGATGTTGATGATAATAAAGATGATGTCGTCAAGGAGGGTGATAAGGATGTTGATGATAATAAAGATGATGTTGTCAAGGAGGGTGATAAGGATGTTGATGATAATAAAGATGATGTCGTCAAGGAGGGTGATAAGGATGTTGATGATAATAAAGATGATGTCGTCAAGGAGGGTGGATAAGGATGTTGATGATAATAAAGATGATGTCGTCAAGGAGAACGATGATAAGGATGTTGATGATAATAAAGATGATGTTGTCAAGGAGGGTGATAAGGATGTTGATGATAATAAAGATGATGTCGTCAAGGAGGGTGATAAGGATGTTGATGATAATAAAGATGATGTTGTCAATAATGATAATGTTCATCATGTTCATCCAGAGAATTATGTTGTCAGTGAAGTTGATAATCATGATGATGGTAATGAAGTTGATACTGCCGTTGATCATGATGTTGATAATGATGCTGTTAACTATGTTGATAATGATAACGATATTGTTGATAATGATGATGTTCAAATTGATGTGGTTAATGAAGGTGATGATGATGATGATGATGATGATGATGATGATGATGATGTTGATGATGACAAAAAGTGACAGCTTAGATGATTTACATATTGAAGGATTCACACTGAATTTGCAGCATAGAGAGAAGGCAGTAAGGAAATCAGGGGGCCTAGGCGTTGCAATTAGAGATAGATATACATGTACTAAGTTTATGGTACCTGTTGGGGATAAAAACGACCTGGAGTAAGATTTCTAAAACACTTCTTGATATAATGCTGTTCTCTTTGTTTGTAAATGACCTTGATGAGTTTCTAAAAGATAATGGCTCTAAGGGTCTCAGTATTGAAACTATTACCACATATAATATCTCCCTTTTCATCACTTTCATTTCATGTATGCTGATGATACTGTCCTCTTAAATGATAACCCAGATGATGTACAAAAGTCTCTCACCAGTTTCTACGATTATTGTAAGAAATGGAAACTAAATGTCAATATTTCGAAAACAAAAATTGTGATATTTGGAGGTGGTCCCACAAAACATACAAAACCGTCATTTAAATTCGGAGATAAATGTCTTAGTACAGTGGACGATTACACATATCTTGGTATAAAGTTTCATAGAAACAGGCGACTTATAAAAGCTATCAAGAATTTGTCAGAGAGTGCGACGAAAGCAATGTTCTCCCTATTACAGAAGGCTAGGAATGTTAATTTACCAATTGATTGTCTGTTATCTGATTTCGACGTTATGGTTGTCCCGATACTGTTGTATGGTTGTGAGGTATGGGGTCATGAAAATCTTGTTACTGTTGAAAGAGTTCACCTTAAGTTTTTAAATTTGGCGGCTGGTCTCAAAACCTCTACTCCTTCCTTCATGCTTTACGGTGAATTTGGAAGATGTCCATGGCTATTTATAAAAGATTCTTTCCATCTGGCATAAACTTGAAAGCAGTATGCAATCGCGTAAACTTTCCCAGGTTCTTTATTCTTTTATGTCCATAAATATTCAAGATACTGTAAAAAATAATACATGGTTTTCTTTTATCAAGTCAATTCTCGATAAATGTGGCCTCTCATATATTTTTGAAAACCCATCAATCTGCTCAACATCATGGCTTGCTTCAATGGTTAATACAACACTAACAGATCAATTTCACCAATCTTGGCTCAGAAATTAATGCAAGTTCAAAAGGCGTATACTACAGACTTTTAAAGAAAAGCCAAATTTTGAAAACTACCTCTACCTTCCTAAATCAATTTATATACCAATTCTACGCTTCAGACTTAATAATCATAAGATGCCGATTGAAACAGGCCGATATCTAGCAATTCCAAGGGAAGAACGTGTTTGTCAGTTGTGTAACTCACCTGCTGTTGGTGACGAGTTTCACTACTTACTGAAGTGCGAGGCTCTTCATCAACAGCGGGTGCAGCTGATTAATAGTTATTATTATGTCTGGCCAAATTTGATAAAATTTAAAAGACTAATGTTAACCAAAAAACCTTAGAGAACTGAAAAACCTATTCAAATTTATAAACGTTATCTTAAAAAGTTGCTAATTATGTCCATCAAGACTTTTCGTTTAATATATTATAATCATGTATGTATGTACAGTTTTTATATACTCTATATCAATAAGGGACTAATATTTTGTACACAAATATCAATGCATATAGCCATCTTGTGTCTTTTTATCATATGTTAATATATATATGTATGCTCATGTACCAACGTTGGTGTCGTTAATGAGTGAATAAAATGATGATGATGATGATGATGATGATGATGATGATGATGATGATGATGATGATGATGATGATGATGATGATGATGATGATGATGATGATGATGATGATGATGATGATGATGATGATGATGACTGTAACATATACATTACAATAAAGTTGTCCCACCTAATGTCCTGCATACTCCGAAATCCTATGGATGACTTCTCCCTCCTGAAATGATTCTATATTTTTTATAAATTGGAATATGATAAAACTGAAAATATTGTTTGTGTCTAAAAGTTTATTATACGAAATTATATTTACATTTCGCATTTTGTGAATAAACGTGTTTTGGCGTCTCGTTGATGCATTCGTTAATATTCATGTTCCAGTCTCTGACAAAATGACTTTAAAATTTATAGCGGTGTGCAAGATGCTTGCGAAGAACAGTAACTCTTGCGTCATATTGTGACGTCGTTAACTGGTACCCTGTCTATAAACAAATTAGAACGTCATAACTAAAGAGAATCGGCACCAGTTTATATGAGGTCACAACAGTAACCAAGTTTGAGAGAGGGAAAGTTACCAGACGAGGTTCATTCAAATTTTGCATATCAGAAAACCGAGTTGTGTACAGTATAGTTGAACATTGGAAGGCAGGAGAGAGTAAAGATGTTTTTGTTTATCATGAGGCTTCAATATTATTTCGAATTATTTTATCTGTTTGTCAGCTGTGTATTTTCATTCACGATGTAAGATTGCATTATCATTATGATTCAGGGCTAATGAGGAATTCGGACACATGATCTAAGTATTGTTATTATAACAGTTCGGGGCCTAAGCATCATAAAATACAGGATCTGTATAATCATTTAATGAATTTATGGGACATGTTGATGACGTCATTTGTCTAGTTTTGGATGTGCATTTTTGACACTCGTTTGGTTTCAAAAGTTGTAACTCCATCCAGTATTCGTGTTATAAATGCAACAAATGTTTTTGAATAGTCATCATGCATGCGATAACTACTAACTCAGCCTTTTTACCTATGTGGTTAATAGTATGGAATCATCAGCAATCATTTTGTACATGTAATTATTGTGTATGTTTTTGTGAATTTTGTAAATATTCATTTTGAGGCCCTTTTTGATACAAATAGAATTTTCCGGGATAATAAAGTTGTATCTTATCTTATCTTATCTTAACTCACGTGCAACCATTAAGTAACTCAGTGGACAGGATCGTAGACCCTACAATTGAAAACTAATCGTGTTTTCCAACAGAAAATGGCATTACCCAACCTTTTTCACCTAACAAGTAAATGACACAGATTGCAAAATAACATAATTTATAATCACGAACAACTACTTTTCAACCCCAGATGTAGCATTTAGGTTGCTCTTGATCATATTTCTGATATTATTTTGTGTGTCCTTAAAAGCCAGCATCTTTTGTAGGACTCTATTACTGTTTCAGACATGTCAATCTACTCCACAAGCACAAGGGGGCAGTGCACACCCTACATCAATGATCTGGTCAAATTTGTCAAACTCAACATTCGAGAACCAGAAGGTACTACTTACTGCATGGCATCTGAATAAATTTCAAAATTATAACAACAATTGTTGAGTAGGGAGTAAAATTCCCTCCACTTATTGTGTAAAAACACCAATTACTTGTCAGATTCTGACTTTTTTAACTGTTTCTGTTGTGCATCATGTGTAATGAGTGTACATATAATATATAAATATAGATATTGAGATAAAGGACAGAAACCTGCAAGTCTGATTCTGTTGCAGCAGTAATAATAGTCTTGGTCCTCTAATGTGATGCCAGTGATAATTTGAATAGGACATATTCTAACCAGTCTGCTCTGGTTTCAGTCCAACCATTTATGTGCAAGAAGGTATGGATGCGGAACAGCAATCATCTGGTGGAAGAGAGGAAGAACCACTTGTGGAAGAAACACTACTATCGCAGACAAAACAATCTGTCCCGAGGATACCACTCTGTGCCATGGGAGCCTTTCCAAACTATGGGAGGTGAACTTGTGATCGATACAGGCCAGCTCCTCATGCAAACACTCTCACATGTACTAGGGAATAAGGTCAGTGAAAGAATCTATCACAGTTTAAATCGAGAATTTTATGTAGTGCTTCTAAATTTTGTATGAATTTTACTTGCCCTGATTTAAGACTTGCTGTCTTTATAAATAGGCATAGCTTCCCACCTTGACCATGTTTAGTACAGAGAAGACTTCCATTGAATATTACAGTATAGACATCAATCATTCTAAAACAGACATGCAAATATGAATTTCATTTAATAAAATGAAAATAGAATAAATGTGTATATTTATCTATCTTACCTCAAAAAATTGTTTGCAGGAACTCAGGAAACACTCACACCTATATATGGACAACCAGGACATCCTCCCACCAGTAGAAAACCCACCACATGAGGTGAGTTCTTGGTTTGAATTAGGCACATCTTAAGCATATCTGAACACATAATGGCCATACTAATTCCTACGTAAACATCATTGACTTTTGAGATTTTAGAATATCGGGATTTATCTGGATCTGCTCAGTGGCAGATATTGGGTCCCCAGTCTGCAATTAATGATGGTAAATGTTCCTAATTTTGACATGAAAAAGATCCAATACCTCAAAATTTACAGAAATGTTTAAAGAAGAAAAAACATAAAATTTTGAACATTATCACAATTCTTTTCTCAGTTTGCTTGCCAAATGCACATAATTTGGAATCCTAGATAAATTCATGAATATGTTCCCAGTGTCTCATCCTAGATGGTAATCAGGTTGTTACAGTGTATATATAATATCTGTACCACAACAAAATTGTCCTATATCATCAGATTTGTGTGGCTCTGATGCTGTAATCATGGTTATGTTGCTTACTGCAGTGTATCAAGACATCCATTCACTCATTCGCTACAAATATTTGGCTATTCTTTTTTAAACTGTCCATTATCAATATGGTGTTGTTGTTCCAGAGCATGTCATCAGAGAGTGTTGAAGCCAGCAAGTTTTCTCGTGCAGGTTTCGAAGATATCATGGAGGCTCTCCAGATAACCCGGGCGCGTATTGCAGCAGTTAGAGCTGGTTTTCCTTATGAGGAACATGTTCGTCTCATTGAGGTGTGTAATACCAAATAAAGAGAAATTATTAAAAATAGCCAGTTTGGAACATTGGTGCCAATGAAATCTGAAGCTGGAAGGACTGCTTTCTCCAAGTGCTGGTTTTCACTTTCCCATGTGTACCATATATACAATAATAATATTATTATTATATATTATGATGGGGAATGCTCAAAGTGCTAACATGATAAAAGAGGTATGTGTATAGGTATGTGCAAAAGAATATGAAAAAGTGTAACAAAGAAATAGATAGGTCTTTAGTCTTGATTTAAAGGCTGGCAAGGAAAGGGCTAGTTTGAGGTCTGGAGGGAGCGAGATCCATGAGGGTGCTGCTAAATAGAATGTTCTAGGACCAAATGATTTAAAGTTGTACATAGTGACACATGAAGGGGATGTTCATTGGAGTTGAGGTTTCTGCTGGAACTATACGGATGGGAGGAGTTTTATGCAGAGCCTGATAAACCAGTGGTAAGGTCTTGAAGTCAAATCTTTCTTGTACTTTTAAGCCTATGGAGTGATTTCAGCACTGGTTTAATGTGAGAACACTGTTTTATATACTGTTTGGTACCTTTGTACTGATCATCCTGTCAGCGAAATCCATTGAAACTTTGGTGGTTGTGTTTGAAATCTGTTGAAATTTGGATGCCTTTAATCTATTCTAATTTCCTCACATATCTTTTCACCTGATGAAGAAGCAAGCATACACTCTGAAACGTCATGTTATTCACAATAAAGAAGTTGACATCCATAAATCTTGTTTTTCTTATGTATTCCACTTCTAAATGCCCTTCAAAGATTCCTCACAGCTAATTTCACCATTTACACCATAAGGAATCTATTTTGAGGATAGTCAAGATGGGGTATTCCATTGCACTTATGTTGTATGTTGTATTGAAGTGGGTCAATGTTTCTGTGATATTTGTCATAAGTTCAGTGGCATTTTTTAAAAGAAATGTTAGGTCTGATACATGAATACTGACCCCCAATTACTTGTAAAATGGATTATTCCCAAACTGTTCTTTTATAACATATAAGTATGGGAATCTCTGCACTTCTACACTGGTTGTAATTCAAAATGATCTAACTGGAATGTATGGTCCATCTCTCACTTGATTGTCTGGTTGGTTAACAGACCACTGTCTCATAGAAAGAGTACTGCCCTGCATAGCCAGGTTTTAAATGCTTACTTTTTCAGCAAATTGTATGAAAGTGAGTGCTAACTATAGGGCAGTACATGATTACCCTTTTCATGAACACAGTGATTTCTCTAAAATAAATCTTTCCACCAAAAGGAATCTGTTTCTGAAAATAGTCAAGACTGGGTATTCTGTTGTGCTACGATGTTTTTTTTTATTGAAATCTTTTTAAATTGAGGTGGTTCTACTTGAAACAAAGCATGAAGTTTTAAATGTAAACATTTTGGTGGTTGTCCTTGAATTATGAGATGTTTGAAGTCTGTAGAAAATTTGTTTGTATTTGAACAATATTGACATTTTTGTGGTTGTGCTTTGAGTGTTATGACACTCAACCTTATAAGAAGAGGAAGTTCTGGCCTCCCAGTATGTCTACAAACTGTTGCTTGTTTTCAGAACATGTGTGGGAGTGGTGATGATCAGCAAGACAATGACATGGAACTGCTGTCCCTCACAGACCTGGGTCTGCTGGCCATGCAGTCTCGCCACACAGGGGAGTCGGACAACGACATGGACCAGGAGTCAGGTGACCGGTCTTCTCCAGGCAAGCCATTCCTCACCTCCAGCCCACATGAAACTGTGAGTTGGGACAGGTTCAGTTCAACTTAACATTACTGTGCTGATCCACCTTTCACAGTATAGTTTCAACCTCAACACAACTGCTTGCATTAGACTGTAATATGCTTAACTCCCAGCTACATGTACTTTGTTATTGTTGATAATTATGCACCAGTTATTCTACCAAATCATAACATAAACATTGAAGGCAATTATTACAGTGTCAACAATAAACTACACTATAACTGAATTCATATTTTGACTTTGAAACACTTACTTGATTTTGTGACTTTTCAGGATCACAAGAGCCCAACTGTTGTCCAGTCAGGAGATGGAGAAGACATTGTTCCCACCTCTTCTATCTGCTCCTCTGAGCTGGAGTCTGGTAGCCATGACAACAAGATGATTCATGTTGGCAGTCTTCTGAGGTAAGTTTAACCATACACATGCTCACTCTTCAAGTGGCGCACACTACAGAATACATGATCTGCACTTACCGTCACCCTTCCAAACACAGCAACAGATTTTACACCTCTGTTTTTGCACTCATGTTGGTGAGAAACCCATTTGTGATAACTGAAATCAAATGTGTGAGATCGAAATTCCAGGTCTGTGACTGGTTACTCCATAGAGATGAACTCGGGCCAAATGATGACAAACTATTTCCTTATTGTAATTCATTGCTAAGTTCCTTTTGCTGATTAGTTACCTTTGAAACACCTCATATATGGTCTATGTCTGCTGAGGATCTTACCGTAGTCTATTTCATCTGTAGATTGTCTGTCAGCACCTAAGAACCACTTTCTGTGTGTGCTGTCTGCTAACCTGAAGGTTCTTGTCAGCTGATGGTCTGATGCAATGAAGCATGGTCCAACTGTCTATTCAACAGCTCATTCCTGTGTATCTGAAGCTAGCAACTATGGAAGTCATGTTGCAAATATCACATTTTGGGTTACTTGTAATGACTTTGTCTTATCTTCTGATTGACGATGCTGTAATATTTGACCATTGCTTCTTTATGAAATTTTAGACCCGTGTAGGACTGGGTTGGAATGTTGGCCTTGGTCAGGCTCGCTGACTTGGTTGACACATGTCATCGGTTCCCAATTGTGCAGATCGATGCTCATGTTGTTGATCACTGGATTGTCTGGTCCAGACTCGATTATTTACAGACCACCGCCATATAGCTGGAATATTGCTGACTGATGCGTAAAACTAAACTCACTCACTCATTATGAAATTTTAGCTTAGTTTAGAGCCATTTGGACATCTCTGAAGTGAGGTAATTTTAGTGAGGAAGCTTAGTAAACAGTTTGTGTATTTGAATCCAGACTTGGTGCCTGTTGCTCACAGCATTCTGATACAGTTTTTATGATGGCATTATGACATCTTCATCGAATATATACGTGCCCCTTAGGGATCCTTGCATAGATTTGGTCCCCAGCAACCTACCTCCTAGACTGGTTGTAAGAAGTGACAACACTGGTTCGTCAGGCTCAAGGATTCAGGAACTGTACCCTTAGGGCACGATTTGTTGCTCATTATGAATCACTTGATCACCTGGTCTAGGTTTAATAATATACAGGCTGGCATCATGCGAAGTGAAATATTGCTGAATATTGTGTTGTCAAGGAACGAGGTAGACAATGCATGCATAGTTGCATACACACACATACACACACATACACACAATTATGTGGACCCCTCTTCTTTTCACATATATCATAGCCCTTATGTGATTTAATGATCTACATTTTGTGACTTTATATCTTCACTGAATTCATAATGAGAGATATTCATGTGAGCCACATAGCCTCTTGCTGTAGCAATATCTCCTGAAGTTGCTGTCATGTCTCTTTGTCTCTTTCACATCATCTTATTCCTCCTGGTCCATGACCTCTGCTGTAACAGAGAGATGCAAGAACGAAGATGCAGAGACCATATAGAGTATCTGAATGCCATCTACAGTGTCATCTTGTCACTCCGGCGGATGCAAACACGTGACCTCCGCAGCAAGGTATCCAGACTATCAACACGGTTTAATGGGGTCTCCAAAACATGTTAATCTCTCAGTCATGGCTACCAAATAAACCTTATGGAAAATCATATTTTGCCATATTCATTTTTAGTTCACCTAACTTTGGGTGATTGATCCAACACTGTTGTGACCATGTTGAAAATGTTAACTTTATGGGGAACAAGGCTTTGGAAGAAGAAACAATATGTAGTAGGTTTTTGGCATTTTAATGTGCTCACAGAATTGTGATCCGATTTTAAAAATGGCAACAATTAATTCTTCAAAAGTCAGGAGAGCTTCAGTCATTTTGCTGCTATGCTGTTGCTTTTGATCAGTTAATAATCAGTTAATATATTGTCAAAATAAGTTACTCATATGGGTGAGGGTATTTCAACATATATTTGATGTTATGGGCCTCTTTACAAACAATTTCACCTATAATATGTCATTGTTGGTAATATGCTCCTATGTAAGGATGGAAATATGATTCTTCCACAGACTCCTCTGTCACGTGAGAATCTCCGAGAGCTGATGAAAGCCTCAAGTGGGACTGAGAGGGATAGTCGACTTGGTCAAGTGTACGTACACCTCAGTCTCACTTTCAGCTGATAACCTGGAGACACAGCAATGCACTGTCCTGTAGAATCATTGGATCCTTATGCTCCTCGACAAGAGTACTTAAGTAAAAGCAACCTTAAATATGCATGAGGACCTAGTACATTTAATTACTATTGCAGAATACAGATTTTCCAGAAACTTTTAAGATCTATATGACCAAAAGACAGAAACTGCTGATGGCAATGCCATTATTTGTTTTAGACGGTTCTCTCGCAACTATAACCGCCATATGTCCATGGACACGAGTCTGTCAGGAGACACCTCTTCCATGAGTCAGGATGGAGGACGATTATCCATTCTCGGGCCAGGAGTTATGACACAGCGTCGCAGTCGTGTGGGGTCGGTGATGGGGCAACTAGCAGGAGCTAATTCAAGGTATATCTACCTATTGGGTAGCTGGATGTGATGTGTGAGGAATGACTGCAGGGTCATGTGATGACTGGAGGATGACTGCAGGGTCATGTGATGTGTGAGGAATGACTGCAGGGTCATGTGATGTGTGAGGAATGACAGCAGGGTCATGTGATGTGTGAGGAAGACTGCAGGGTCATGTGATGTGTGAGGAATGACTGCAGGGTCATGTGATGACTGAAGGAAGACAGGGTCATGTGATGTGTGAGGAATGACTGCAGGGTCATGTGATGACTGAAGGAAGACTGCAGGGTCATGTGATGTGTGAGGAATGACTGCAGGGTCATGTGATGACTGAAGGAAGACTGCAGGGTCATGTGATGTGTGAGGAATGACTGCAGGGTCATGTGATGTGTGAGGAATGACTACAGGGTCATGTGATGTGTGAGGAATGACAGCAGGGTCATGTGATGTGTGAGGAAGACTGCAGGGTCATGTGATGTGTGAGGAATGACTGCAGGGTCATGTGATGACTGAAGGAAGACAGGGTCATGTGATGTGTGAGGAATGACTGCAGGGTCATGTGATGACTGAAGGAAGACTGCAGGGTCATGTGATGTGTGAGGAATGACTGCAGGGTCATGTGATGACTGAAGGAAGACTGCAGGGTCATGTGATGTGTGAGGAATGACTGCAGGGTCATGTGATGTGTGAGGAATGACTACAGGGTCATGTGATGACTGAAGGAAGACTGCAGGGTCATGTGATGTTTGAGGAATGACTGCAGGGTCATGTGATGTATGAGGAATGACTGCAGGGTCATGTGATGACTGAAGGAAGACTGCAGGGCCATGTGATGTGTGAGGAATGACTGCAGGGACATGTGATGTGTGAGGAATGACTGCAGGGTCATGTGATGTGTGAGGAATGACTGCAGGGTCATGTGATGACTGAAGGAAGACTGCAGGGTCATGTGATGTGTGAGGAATGACAGCAGGGTCATGTGATGTGTGAGGAATGACAGCAGGGTCATGTGATGTGCGAGGAAGACTGCAGGGTCATGTGATGTGTGAGGAATGACTGCAGGGTCATGTGATGACTGAAGGAAGACAGGGTCATGTGATGTGTGAGGAATGACTGCAGGGTCATGTGATGACTGAAGGAAGACTGCAGGGTCATGTGATGTGTGAGGAATGACTGCAGGGTCATGTGATGACTGAAGGAAGACTGCAGGGTCATGTGATGTGTGAGGAATGACTGCAGGGTCATGTGATGTGTGAGGAATGACTGCAGGGTCATGTGATGTGTGAGGAATGACAGCAGGGTCATGTGATGTGTGAGGAATGACTGCAGGGTCATGTGATGTGTGAGGAATGACTGCAGGGTCGTGTGATGTGTGCACATAGCCTTTTAGAGTGTAATCCCAAATATAACATGTTGCATTTGACCACTTTCTTAAGGCATTGTGTATTCAAGAACAAGATTCTAATGTTTTCAAAGATCACCCACTGCATGCCAGATGTAACTTCAGGTCCAATTACACCAAGAGGTTTGTCCAATGATAAATATCCTTTAAGTCAGTTGGAATTTGACCTTTGTGTTGTCCAGACGCAAGTCTCGGATGTGGGAGCGTGACTACCTCCGTGTTGACACCTGGGATGAACTGATGAGCTTAGATGAAAAGACTGCCAGTGGTGGATCCCCTGCAGCCATGACACAGAATATAATCCTCAGAACACTCAAATGGTCACGGTACGAAAAAGCATCTTCACTAATTATCACATACTATACATAGAGTCATCGATGCTTACATATAGACTGATGTACTATATCATGATGTTATCATCAGTAACTGTTGCCTAATAATGATACAGAATATATTCTGAATTAACTGGGAAAAGGGCACGAGTGTGTAAAGACCAGGACTGAACTGAATTCACTATGAGGTAAATATAATGCATATCATAAATATTGGGTAACGAATACAATAACATGTCAGAGGATGAAGTAATAGTCGATATATTCAGTGAAACAGTAATAAAATTAATTCTGTTCTGACCATGCTGACAGTGTTAATTTATGTTAATAATGACCAGTGACCACATTACTGTCGAATATATGTGTTGACTATTATCCTGCCTGGCTTTGATATACATGTATTCCATTTTGCATGTCTCACTTTGATAAATAACATACAAATTCAACTAAATACAATTCTTTTTTTAAAAACTCATGGATTTTAGATTCTAATATCCATGAACAATGAATTGAATTCATGAAAACAGCCTTTGTAAATACTGTCTTGGAGTTGTCACTACTCAATTTGACAGGCATATGCACACGGGAGGAGGCTGTGTTCTTAGTACAAATCTTTATGAAGAGGATGCACGTATAACAGGGCCTGGATTAATCCCATAGATGACATCATTACCCTGTCCATGTTTAACCTCTTTAGTGATGTAGACTAGGCATCGGACCTCGGATCAGAAGGTACATGGTTTGAATCTGATCTGGATAATGACTGCTAGAGTTCTTAGGAACCCATTTAACTAGAAAACCATTACACCCTTACTCTCAGTCTATTGTGTGTAGGAATTTGCAGGAGCTTGGTACATTGTGGATACTTACAGAAGTTTTCTGCAGGAAAATGACCCCTGTGCAAGCTGACAGCGTTGAGGAACGAGAGGCGAAGCGACAACCCCTCTGGCAGCAGGTGGCAATGGAGAAAAACACTGATATCTTTCCAAAGAGCAAGTAAGTCCAAGAGATGTAAGAACACCATTGTCTTTATTAGAAGGCCCTGAAATTGGAGACAACCATTCTTCATGATCATGAGCAAGGAAGCCCCTGAAATGTAAGACAAAAGCAACTGAGTCCTGGAAGACATCTAAAGATTGATTATAGATTTTTGTTTGTGAAAATAACTGGTTGTTTGAGCAACAGTAACCACACCATTACCTGAATATATTGACACATTGTGACATAGATGATGTGTTCATATCGTGATGGCTAAGATTGATTATATATTTATGTTGTGGTGTCCAGCCGGAAGCAGAGCAAGGTGGAGGATAATGCCATGATGGTTCAGAGGGTGAAGCACAACTTGGGCAAGCTGAAGCACAACCTGCAGATGGAGTCGGGTGCTGAACTGCAAAGACTGGAGAGGTACTCACTGGAACAGTGGGTTTAGTGGGGAGGGACATAGTGTCATGCTGAGGCAGTAGTGAGACTTGGTAGCGGGACATGACAGGGGGCTGTTGGATCTTGTATTTTGATGTGGTTTGGACATTATGTAAGAGCAAAGTGGTGTTGGGACTAGAGTATAAGATGGACTGGTTGGTCTTTGTCATGACATGTAACTTTGGATTTGATAGTTAGACATGTGTTGGGACATGAAAGCACCAAAATTTGAAATGATGTTATTTTGTTTAATGAGACAATATATCATTATTCCCCCATAGAACAAAGATGGTGTCATTCAAGTTCAAGATGCAGTGTTTTGATGACATGCAGCCGAGGTCCCTTTTCGAGAATCACTGTGAGCGCATGCAAAATTCTGTACAACTTATCTGTGCCAACCCTGATGTGGAAATACAGCCATCTAGGTGGTAAGTGTATATCTATAATACCAGCCCTAATGTGGAAGTCTAGGTCTCAAAAGTCTTACAGAGTACTGAATAACGATACAACCTGAGCTTGGTTACAACACACAAAGTAGCCAATAGCTTTGCCCTGTCAGAACAAGCAGATCTACAAATGTGTGGACTATTGAAATAAGATTTGCATTAGTCCTTTTGACAAGACTTTGTGAAAAAAATTAATAATTTCTAATATCTTTGTTGTCCAGGTACGATGAGCTGAGAGAGAGAACCCAAATGAAGATAGCAGAGAATGATCCAGATATCAATGAAGCCTTGTCAAAGATCGGCCGATTCTCTCAGTTTGGAGCAAAGACTGTTCTTTATGCAAAAGTAATTGCAATATTGGTATTCCACAAGATAGCCACAGTACTACATATGTGTATATTGGAGTATGAATGTATCTTTATGAGAGGGTTTATTACGAGTCTGTAATCATCATCTGTCTAAACTTTCCACTTAAATCACTTGCTGTCATCATCATTTTCATATTCAAAAAACTTCTCATTTACCAGGAAGAGGTTTTCATTGCATCAAAAGAGTTGTTTTCAGTAGCATCAGAGACCATATTATATGGTCTCTGGTAGCATTCATGAACCAAAACTTGAGAAGATCAGCAAAGACTGGTTTTGATATGTCCCGGTGCCAAACCATTTAGAATTCACATTTCTGATAGATGTTAGTAATAATCATCTATATATTGGGGAATGTTTAAGGTGCCGTTTGCTGTGGAGAGTTATGTACCTTGGGCATAGTTTCGTGATAGGTTTGTCAGCACCCATGCATGTAGGTTTCTTAGTAAAATGGTGAACATCTAATGCCTGCTTTAATTAATGCTTTACATTTGAAGCTATTGTTATACCAAGAATAAGATATACTAATATATAATAATATACAATTATAATAATGATATATTATTATATATAATAGTATAATATGTTATTTTAGTTGCATCTTTCCATGTAAATATCTAAAATATATATATTTAGTTGTTCAAACATCCGCTGCATATTGTTACTCAATACACAAAAGCCGTCTAATGGTGGTGATCAAGCCACTGACGACATTTAGTCCTATTATGCCATAGTTTCTATCTGGCACTTGTACCCCGGTAAGTTGAGGCATACATTTCAGGCCAAGCTTTGTCTCCTTGTAATGTCGCTGCCTGCGTTTGAAGTCTGCAAAATTTCCATGCAAGCTGCATTGAAGGTGAGTGCTGTCAGGATGCTGTTTTTCATTGGTAGATATGGAAGCAAGTAGGCATCAGACAGGATCACACTGCAGCAAGTAGGCATCAGACAGGATCACACTGCAGAAGGTGGACACCAGACAGGATCACACTGCAGCAAGTAGGCATCAGACAGGATCACACTGCAGCAAGTAGGCATCAGACAGGATCACACTGCAGCAAGTAGGCATCAGACAGGATCACACTGCAGGAAGTAGACATCAGAGAGGATCGCACTGCAAGTAGGCATTAGACAGGATCACACTGCAGTGAGTAGACATCAGACAGGATCACACTGCAGCAAGTAGGCATCAGTAGCAAGTAGGCATCAGACAGGATCACACTGCAGCAAGTAGGCATCAGACAGGATCACACTGCAGTGAGTAGGCATCAGATAGGATCACACAGACAGGATCACACTGCAGCAAGTAGGCACACTGCAGTGAGTCATCAGACAGGATCACACTGCAGCAAGTAGGCATCAGACAGGATCACAGACAGCAGCCAGCAAGTAGGCATCAGACAGGATCAGACACACTCAGACAGGATCAGACAGGATCATCAGGATGCAGCAAGTAGGCATCAGACAGGATCACACTAGGCAGTGACAGGATCACACTGCAGCAAGTAGGCATCAGACAGGATCACACTGCAGCAGTAGGCATCAGACAGGATCACACTGCAGCAAGTAGGCATCAGACAGGATCACACTGCAGCAAGTAGGCATCAGACAGGATCACACTGCAGCAAGTAGGCATCAGACAGGATCACACTGCAGCAAGTAGGCATCAGACAGGATCACACTGCAGGGCATTGACAGGATCACACTGCAGTAGTGCATCAGACAGGATCACACTGCAGACAGGATCACACTGCAGCAGGTAGGCATCAGACAGGACAGGATCACTCTGCAGCAATGAGGCATCAGACAGGATCACACTGCAGCAAGTAGGCATCAGATGGGATCACACTGCAGCAAGTAGGCATCAGACAGGATCACACTGCAGTGAGTAGGACATCACACTGCAGAAGGATCACACTCACACTGCAGCAAGTAGGCATCAGACAGGATCACACTGCAGCAAGACAGGATCACACTGCAGAAGTAGGCATCAGACAGGATCACACTGCAGTGAAGTATCACACATCAGTAGACAGGATCACACTGCAGCAAGTAGGCATCAGACACAGGATCACACTGCAGCAAGTAGGCATCAGGCAGGATCAGACAGGATCACACTGCAGCAAGTAGGCATCAGACAGGATCACACTGCAGTGAGTAGACACACTGCAGACAGGATCACACAGCAGCACTCGCAGTGGACACCAGACAGGATCACACTGCAGCAAGTAGGCATCAGACAGGATCACACTGCAGCAAGTAGGCATCAGACAGGATCACACTGCAGTGCAAGTAGACATCAGACAGGATCACACTGCAGCAGGACATCAGACATCCCACTGCAGTGCAGTAGGACATCAGACAGGATCACACTGCAGCAAGTAGGCATCAGACAGGATCACACTGCAGCAAGTAGGCATCAGACAGGATCACACTGCAGCAAGTAGACATCAGACAGGATCACACTGCAGCAAGTAGGCATCAGACAGGATCACACTGCAGCAGGTAGGCATCAGACAGGATCACACTGCAGGAGGTAGACATCAGACAGGATCACACTGCAGGAGGTGGACACACCGCACAGGATCACACTGACAGGATCACACAAGCAGGCATCAGACAGGATCACACTGCAGCAAGTAGACACCAGACAGGATCACACTGCAGCAAGTAGACATCAGACAGGATCACACTGCAGCAAGAGTAGGCAGTAGGCATCAGACGGGATCACACTGCAGTGAGTAGACATCAGACAGGATCACACTGCAGAAGGTGGACACCGGACAGGATCACTCTGCAGCAATGAGGCATCAGACAGGATCACACTGCAGTGAGTAGACATCAGACAGGATCACACTGCAGGAGGTGGACACCGGACAGGATCACTCTGCAGCAAGTAGGCATCAGACAGGATCACACTGCAGTGAGTAGACATCAGACAGGATCACACTGCAGCAAGTAGACATCAGACAGGATCACACTGCAGCAAGTAGACATCAGACAGGATCACACTGCAACAAATAGGCATCAGACAGAATCAAACTGAAGGTGGACAACAAACAGGATCACACTGAAGGTGGACATCTGACAGCTGACAGCAGGACATTTCTAGATTTTGTACATCAGTGACAACGATGGTGTCCAATGCTATTCCCTGTGTTGCCTTGTACATCCGAACTGTACAATCAACTTATCCTTTAGCAGAGATTTCTTATAAATATGAACAGTGGTTCATTGCTTTTATTTATTATTGTCGAAGATGGGATTGTAGTGGTATTGGTTAGTGTTGCAGGTGTTGAGGTCTGTGACTGGGTGACGATGTTTAAGTTGTTGATGGTGTTGCAGAGAACCCAATTCTGATGTTGCTAATGTTTGGAGGATAATGCTGTATTTGTAGATACAATAGTTACTGATGTTGCAGTTGAAGTGCTGATGTCATCTCGATGCTAAAGCTATTGCTGATGTTGCAGTTTGTCATGGAGAAGATCCTGGTGGGCCAGGAAGAGGTCCTCCATCACTGGCTGAATCAACGCCGACTACCCTGGGTGCTGGTACGGTAGTCACTGTAGTCACCTTAGTAAAGAGAGCAATTATATCCCTATTGTTGTTGTCTGTCATTCTAATTGTTATTGTGTGGTTTTGTTGGATTCATCACACAGGAACACTGGATTCATTCCTTCTAACTGTGACTAAATGTAGCATGCATTCCTCACCACCAGCTGTATTAAAGATACACCACATGACTGAGTTTATGATAGGTGCCCCTTACAATTGTTGAGGTCTCTATTAGCACCCAAATGTGTTGCATCTTTCCACTGCTCCTGGGTTTCCGTCTGGGTTGGGGTGGTTGAGTAGCCTTGTGCTTAAACCATTCACTTGTGACCTCAACGGTTGGTGTTTAATGCATTGGAATTTCTGGTATTTCCATCACAGCCCCAGTGATTTGGTTGACACATGTCATCACATCACAGTTCCAGGGACTTGGGTGACACATGTCATCACATCACGGTTCCAGGGACTTGGGTGACCCATGTCATCACATCACCGTTCCATAGAACACTGCCCATGATGTCAATCACTGGATCGTCTGTTTCAGACTTGATTATTTACAGCCATCATATGGATGGAATATTGCTGATTGCAATGTTCAACAACAAACAAACTAAAAGCAGCCTCAAATCCCACTCCACACTTACTCAAGTTTTCATGATCTTTGTACATAGTGTGAACCTTCCTGAAGAGACCTTCACACGGAGGTAGAACCCAGTCCACAGTAACAACACAACAGGTATATTCTGTAGGTCTTTATCTTCACTTTTATATCAGATCTTTGGATAAATGTATCTAGTAAATATACTGGAAGTAAAGGTATAAAACTCTAAACATTATTATGACGGCTAGCATCTAGAGATGCTTGTGTAAACAGCAGTATGTACAAACGCTACAAGAAACAGGACACAACATCACTTGACAACTGGGCACATGAGTGCTTGGTGTAATGATACAAGGCACTGTGTGCGATACCAACCAACAACCATGGAGTGGTATGAGACATTTGATAATATACATGATTTGTCATATGACATCACAAGGCATATTTTAAATCTACATGTGATTCAATATCACAAGGCACAATCAATGATATAAATGATGCGATATGACATCAAAAGTCACATTTAAAGATACATATTTGACATGATATGAAATCACAAGGCAGATATGAAGATGTGCTTGATGTGTGATATGAAATTGCAAGACACATTTGATGATATAGATGACATGAAATGACAAGGCAATTTGATGATATATATGACAGGATCGGAAATCACAAGGAACATCTGATGATATAGAGGATGTGATGTAACAAGGGATTGTTAATGACACAGGATTTTCTATCGTCTACTGCTCTGCCTTCTGTGGTGTGACAAAATGGGGTACCAGCCACTTTCCAGGCTGTTTGTGTCGTATCATCTCACTCAAAGGTTCTGTTCAAATGGATATCAAATTGTGGCTTCTGCCTATTTTGTATCATCCTCAAAAGAATCCATGGTGGATAAGTCCTGGGTGCATATCACAACAGAATGGAGATATGGTCCTCGAGGATGCCGTCCGGCTGATGTCCGTACATACAAATCATGTACATATCCCAATTACTGGTATCAAGGTATATCTGAAATAATCTGATTTATGGTAACTCAGCTGCAATCAATGTCTAATGCATGATAAGAAACAATGGCCTGTGATATGACATCACAAACAAAATACAACATCACAAGACAGAAGAAATGACATCACAATATCTGCTTTATGATAATACCTTACCATTATTAATATTATGCAGTGTGAACAACCTTTGTTTCTGTAAGATGGTTCTGTCACATTCAACAATGAAAACTGATTGTGATCAAAAGTCGAGTTAAATATTCAATAAAATTTTTTTGAATAATTGTCCACAGTAATTGAATCTATATGAGGATGGTGCCTTCGGTAAAATACATGAGTTCCAGAAAGCTGAAAAAGGGAACATTCCTGAAACCAACTATTCCAGTGGGTAAAACAATCTGATCTTCATGATAAATTTGTGTATGTGGTATGCCATACATGAGGAATACGGAACATGTCCCCAGTGCCTCATGCTTGTCCTACATAGCAACTAAACTGTGGAGAGGCCACAACCTTGGCTAGTGGGACATCCTACACTACAGAATACCATGTGTGTTAGTAGAGGAGGCAGCACTATACACATTCAGGGCTTGAACAGAGCATAAACAGCGTAAGTCTATGGATAAATTACAACCCGCTCATATCAAATAACTGAAATAACAGTGACCAAGGATTCTGAGAAGGGGTGCACACTACCTGAGAAGTGAACAAAAACATTACAGACAGGCACAGGTTGACACCTCACCCTCTGCCCCACCAGTGAATAGCTGACTATGCAGCCCATTCCACAAAGCAGTGCTTTCACTACAGTTGCTATAACGAACAGGCTGGTCAAGAAAACAACACTTTCCTCAACACAATCTCTTCATACGTACAAAAATAATATTTTTCTACATTAGTTTGAAGTTTTTTGGACAACAGAGAAGATATGAATTTACATTCACATGTAAAACAGTGGGTGAGTTATGGAAAAATAATTAGTTATATTTTTTGCCCTAAGGTAGACTTTGTCAGTGCTGACACTACCAGACTGATTTACTCAGTATAGATATGCCACTTGTATTATGAAGGCAAACAAGAGACAGTATTCCGTTGGATTTCTCTGAAAAAATATTGTTTTATGTGTAATGCTGTATGGCAACCTGGAGTAGCCCAACACAAATATGTACAACAGGTATGGGCATATTTCTTTGGTGCTCTGAAACTGTAGAAGTGATGTGACTGCTGGATATTACTGAAGGTAAATGGAATCAGGTGAAACATGATGTGACTGCTATAACAGAAAATTACAAAGGACACTTGTGTTTAACAATGTTTACATGATAAAAAATGAGACGTTAAAATTTCCAAAATGAATACAAGGGCGTTTGCTCTACTGATGAAGACTATCTTAGTTGCCATTCATCCAGATGTATACTCATGTTAATTGATGGCCACTCTCTTTTTAGCCAGTGGAAAGATAGAGCAACTGTAGCCAAAAGGGAGAAAACATATTTATAACTTCTAGTTAATCCTATTTGCTCCTCAATGCTCCCTTCCTGGATTAGAAAAAAGAGTGCAACAACACCCAAAATAAGTAAATTTTTCTGTCCCTTGCCCAACAACAGCATTTTAAGGGGAAAAGTTTAAACTCTTCTTTTCAGAAATGAACACCTTTACTTATAAACAGTAATTCTACTTTCCTTCAAACACACGTTTTGCACCGACCATAAAGGTTTTCAAATTTAAAATATAATATGAAAACAAAAATAGATTTTACTTCAAATTTTACAAAAAAAGTGTGGCATCAACTGGCAATCCGTGAAAGCGTATGTACACATCCATATAAACACTGAATGAATATGTGACTTACCTTGGCGATGTGTTTCACAAAGTGATCATCTTAATGATTGTAAAAATCATACTTTAACACTGACTTACAACAGTCTTAGCACTAAGCACTAACTCTGGTACTACAAACATAGACTTAAGGCAATCTTAGTGCTGAGAAGAACGTAACTCTTGTACTTTTATCATAGATTTACAACAGTAGTAGTACAATGGCACCAAGGTTTATGTTAAAACTAACAGCACCATCTTCACATCCAGAACACCTCACTCCCAGCAGGGAACACAAAGCACAGTACATGTGTCCATGGAATGAAGCCAACCCATCCATGTTGGGATATAAAGTTGTAAATCCACGTAAAATAATCTGGTACTATAAACATCTGGTAGCACTGTGGATGCATCTTCTCTGCTGACTCCTGTTCTACCCTGTTAGTCTGTCACTCATGACAAGTTTTGAATGTAAGCCTAAACCATCTATGCAGATATTACAGCATGTAGATAGTTATATCATTCACAAAATACCTCAAAGTTGTTTAATTTGTTATATGCTTATCACATGGGACTGTAGAAACTAACATCTAATAGTACTGGCATGGTCTTCTTTCACAGTTTCATGGGACTGAGTGGAAGCACAGTATCAATTCATACTCTTCTCACAGCTGTTTGTCATCGAGTCTTAAGACATGCACATTGTACAGTATATCCCCCTCCTTTGTGACATAGACTAGTAGACTGCTTGCATCCATACCACAAAGCAATGTTAGTGCTAATGTGATCGTAACTCCCATACTTTCTCATAGACTACAATAGTCTTAGCACTTAAATCACTTTGTGGAAAGGGCCCTGGAGTAATGATGTATCAGACTCTCAGAATTCAGTGGGACTTTCTGACTAAGCTGACTGAGACCCATCCTCGGACTCCAGTGTTATAATTGTTTCTATGGGTTTTGACTGTCCAGGTCGGGGCCGACTAGCTTGGAAGTTTGACTCAGACATTTCCACAGTGACTTCGGATCGGCGACTTCTTCTTGACCTCTTGACTGCAGCAAACTCCTGCACACTTGGTCTGCCTCTGGGTTGTAACAAGCCACTGGCTGTGAACAGAGAGAAGTTTGTATGTGGCTTTGCCGGCTGTGACCCTGCCCTGGTGGATGGTATCTGACTCAGATCAACAGTGTCAATATCACCATGATGAGACATAGGCACTGATGCTATAGAAATGGCCTCCATGCTGTTCCTCTCAATGGACACACGCACACTATGAGCAGAGGCTCTGCTGATCACGGATGTGTCACTGCCTCGACGGAGCCCTCGCCGACCACCCACGGCATGGAGGGCATTTAAAACAGGGGCTATGATTGGCTGAATCTTGTGTGCTCTTCGCCTTTTCTTTTTCTTCTTCTTCCTCTTTTTCTTTTCGGCCTTGGTATCAGGATCTATGGGCAGCTGGGGTTGTCCAATAGCTTGTCCAAGCTGGGAATCCTGGGACATTCTTCTTGAGGTCACGGAGCCAATATCTGGTGAGACAAAAGTAACACTGAAACGTTGTGAGAGAAATTAAAAAGAAGTTTAATCCATAAAATATCTTGGACATCACTGTACTACTTCTAAATGCCACTGAAAGACATCAAAAGTAGCACTGTTAGACAATACATTCTTGTACTGATGATCTTCACAAAAAGTGACCAAACATCCACCCTCCACCAATCTGAGTAAGAGTGTCGGGCCTGACAACCAGCTTCCACCCGCATGAGTCTACCCCACATCACTTTGTCACCCACCTAAGTTGCAGTATCTGCCCTCACACCCCACCTTCACCCATCAGGATCTGAATCCCAATCCACAAAACATTCACAACATTACGACCAATCGTATATAGTAACTGTATGCTTTATCATAGACTTTCGAGTGGAAAAGCTATGAAGATTTTGTGGATCGAGTCCCTGGGTTCTGATTGATCTTCAGCAAGTCATGATTATGGTAAGAGGCGACTAATGGGATCAAGTGGTCGGATGCTATGATTTGACTGATTGTATATGTCATTGTATATGTCATTGTATATGTCATTGTATAGATCATTGTATAGACCATTGTATAGATCATTGTATAGATCATTGTATAGATCATTGTATATGTCATTGTATAGATCATTGTATAGATCATTGTATATATCATTGTATAGATCATTGTATAGATCATTGTATATGTCATTGTATAGATCATTGTATAGATCATTGTATGTCATTGTATAGATCATTGTATAGATCATTGTATATGTCATTGTATAGATCATTGTATAGATCATTGTATATGTCATTGTATAGATCATTGTATAGATCATTGTATAGATCATTGTATATGTCATTGTATAGATCATTGTATAGATCATTGTATATGTCATTGTATAGATCATTGTATAGATCATTGTCTGGTCCAGACTCTCATGTACAGACCAATGTCACCCAGTAGGAGTATTGCTGCATGCGGCATTAAACAGGCATCAACTCTGTACCGACCTGAGTCAGAGTATCTGCGAAGAGTCCCAGCTACAGGCTGAATGAGACCACCTCGTCGTCGTACCAGCTTGGGCATGGCAGCAGCAAAGTTGGATGACATGTCATGGGAACTCACACTGTTGAGATCAAACTTCATCCCTGAAAACAAAGGACAACAGAACATGCATGTGTGCAATTTAGATGGTTAATAACAAGCTGCGCCTGAACAAAAAATTATTCTGATAGCTCCCAAGTGTTTCTAAGAGTTCAACATCATGGTACAACATCATAAATAACAGATATTCCTGTTGGTACAGCATATATATTCCGGCAACGTACCTAGCGGGTCGTCATGTGTACTATGGAAGCTGATTGACATGCGTCCATTGTTGATGTTCTTTCTCTTCTCAAAGGCCTGGGCAATCATCTTGTGCTTCTTCAGTTTCACTGGCTTGTTGGATGGCTTGCGGAACACCCTGGAAATGTATAGGTCATTCTAGTAATCTACCTTTTGTTTTAATATAGATACTCATATACACTCCTAAACATAGGCCAGGTGCTTGGAAATAGCTTACCTGGTAAACTGTAAAATGTGAATGAAGTGTGGATCAGAGAAACGTTTGTTTTTTATACACACCTACACAAGAGAGAGCGAATTTTGTACCACATCAACAATTTATACATCTACTTGTTCCAGACAATGACATGAACAGCTGTAGAGGGGCATACAAGGAACATACTACCGGTAAAAGGAATGTCATAATCAAATTGTCAAATGCACTCAAAACCTCTTAATGTACTTGTGGCATATGTTATATCAGTATCACTCAGGCTACATGTGGTTTTATGCGTTCCATATTTGGTTTTATAGCAGAAGCGGCAAGTGGTCACAAACAAAATACAAAAATACCCCCAAGTGCTGCTGCTACAATGTATTTGTCTTGCCCACATCTATAAATCTGTCATTGTAAAATAATGGAAACAAATAGAATATTGATTGACAACAACTATTTGAGCTGACATTGACTTGTGCTGTGTCACATGACTTTCACTGACTCATTAACATCACATCATTTTGTTTTTATTGGGGAGCATGAGATTTGTTGTCTGACTCAGAACTCACATGCTGCTTGCTTTCTTTGTGGTGTGGTATGAGGGATGTATTGTCACACTCAGAAATTTATTTCCCACAAAGATGGAATGTATAGCAGTAAGTGAGTTTAGTTTTACGCCGCACTCAGCAATATTCCAGCTATATGGCGGCGGTCTTAAATAATCGAGTTTGGACCAGACAATCCAGTTATCAACAGCATGAGCATCGATCAGCGCAATTGGGAACCGATGACATGTGTCAACCAAGCCAGCAAGTCTGACCACCCGATCCCGTTAGTCACCTCTTACGACAAGCCTGGGTTACTAAAGATCAATATTCTAACCTGGACCTTCACGGGTAGGAATGTATAGTATCTTATGAAGGTGAAGTAAACCAGTTAGATCTCAACATTCTGACTCTGAGGTAAGATAAAGAATGTTAAAGAGAAATTGTCTATACTCACTTCCTGAGGAACCTCTCCCAGGCGTTGAAGGAGGCCTTGTTCCAGGACCAAGAGCTCATGGCGATGCCTGCCCCGAAGAAGGCGAAGATGTGGATTTCTAATGCCACCACACTTGGTTTGTAAGCTACCTCACACATCCTGCCGGTGGTGTTCGTCACTGTACGGGTTATTGTCACGTTGGCCTCACAGCTGAAACACACATCTCAATCTCAGAACACAAGGTGTATGTCATAGGTTCTAGCCTATAGAGACATGCCATGAATATCAGTACACAGGGTATTGGGTAAATTCTGGTCCACAGACATACAGAGGTGCACTCCTTTAGAAGAATACTTCCACATACTTGTTTATAAATAGATTTTGCAGCCAGTTGGTTATACTGTGTACAGGGCTCCAGATAATTTTTGAACACCAGGAGTCACTGTGAGTATAATGGAAGGAGTATCAGTAATCTTTAAACACTTGTTCTTGAAACAGGTCAATAAACAATAAAACAATACTTTTCAGATAAATATCTGTAAATGATTCTAAGACCGTAACCATCCGACAAAAATATGTGAACACTACCAAACATAAAGTGCTTCACTGATTACCTGCATGTATCGGACACAGGTTTTCTTGTGACTACAAAATGCACCGCTCCATTTCCTGTGTCCATGATTGACTTGACCTAACATTCTAGCAATATTTAAAACTATTCTTGTCCCAATACTCGAACACAGATTCACAACACTAGTTTTAACATCCTGTTATGTATATGACTTAGACATCAGATTCCGCATGCTACACTTCACAACCTCCGAGTATTATTATACAGATATATCTTCCCTCTTCTGTTCTAATCACGCCATAGAATCAGCGGCAAAAGATACAACTTTCTGCATTGTGAAAGAATAGCATTCACATCCACATCTTATGTTTGTACTGGATACAGCTTCTAGGAGAGATGAGTACATACACAGTAACAGAAGACATGGAAAACAATTACCCATAAATTTGTCCATTAATCATTAAGAAAATGTTGCGGTCTCATTATATGAATTAGTTGCAGGCTGTTTACAAGTCAACTAGACTAGAACACTTCAAACATGGCTACCAGCTCCCTCTTTTGAAGTGACATTTACTGAACATTTGAAACGCACCACACTAAAATGCACCGAAGATGCTCAGATATCATGGGTACATTTCAGTCTGACGGGCATATTTCCAATTATATGTGGTGCGTTTCTAATGTTTGTTCAGTATACTTTCAATCTACATGTGATCCTTTAAACATGTCCACAGCTACATGAGCCAGATGAGAGTAAACAGGGAGCCACTTACTACATGTAGTCCCTGAAGCTATCTCTCCACTTGTTTTCATTGGCAAATGTGTAGACATGGACGGAGAATGTGATCAACACAAACACAAACGCAAGTGTTGCAAATATACCTGAAAACGAAACGCAATACATGATTTGAAACAACTTTATAACAATTTAATATTATGTCGCTTTTAGCAATATTCCAGCAATATCATGCACATTTCTAGTGTCCCCCACCATGATATTGCTGGAATATTGCTAAAAGCAGTGTAAAAACCAAACCACACACTCACTCACTTCAGTGTAAAGTGTTTCATCTCAGCATCTCCACACCCTAGCACCATCAATACATAGTGTCCTGATATTCAAATCATCTTAAGAAATATCACGTTTATATTGTTATGTGACATCATTTTCTCAACACTTCTAAGAGATTATATCTTGACCACAGACAAAAGTAAATGTCCTCCTCTCATTGCTTCAGTAACTGTGAGTGGCAGTAGTGGCAGTGTATCAAAATTCAGCTGAGATTTATTTAACTTAGGATAAGGCAAGCATATAACAAAAGGCATGTAACATGTAACTTGTATCTGTATGCTCCAATACTCTCAACATGCTAGATTTTGTTTCTGCAATAGTGGTGAACATCATGCACAGTTATTACCTAAACGGAGAATTGTCTCCCTGATTTTGGACGTAGCTTTTTCACTGATGAAAGTTGGCGCATTCTTCCTGATCTTGATCAGCGCATATGTCAAGGGAGACCACTCTGAAATAAGACCTGAAAATACCAAACAGCTGATTAAACTGGTTATCTCCAGTCGACACATATGTCAAGGGAGACCACTCTGTTGATCAGCGTAATAAGACCTGAAAATACCAAACAGTAGCTGATTAAACTGGTTATCTCCAGTCGACACAAATGTCAAGGGAGACCACTCTGTTGAGGACTGGCTTCAAAACAATTTGAAGTAAAATAGATCATTGATAGTCTGTAAGTGACAGTGTTGCAAGGTCTCTGTACAGATGATAGCATCTATGTTATCATTTTCTGGACAAGAAAAACAGCATCTGTACCAAAACATCACATTAAACTGACAGAGTAACCAAAGGTGAATTCATTCTCACTACAGCTTCTAAAATGACACACAAGGATATTGTCTGTGTATGGTCCATGGTACTTTTAGGATTTGATTGCCTCAGTGAAAAGTTAACAGGAAGTTAAACAAAGTACTACTAATCTTTTGGTACATGTTACTTTCATGGCTTGGTGAGCAGTTCTAAGATGGACACTGGTCAAGTGCACAGGCCCCCACTGCGGGTCAGAAAATCGATAAACTAGGCACCGGTTTAGTATCAACACCCCTTACTATATAATATATAAAGGTTCATCACAGAAATACGGTGACATGATCGAAAACCGGACAATTACGCACACGTCAATGACTATATATCGTATTTTAAAGGTCTCACAAGTATCAAAAGCTTTTGTCCATATCTCCGATGTATGTAGGAGGCATATACATCGCTTTCCGTGGGGATGCATTTGATGGGTTTTATTAAATGCGCCAAAGACCCGAGTTGCTGTGCCGAAGTGTACAAAACTAGGTGCGTCAAGCGCCAATCAAATTGGTAAATAAAATGACAACAAATGCACGTCGCGAAAATGAGAGAGGAAACTCAAAGCGTCTATCATCCAAGATGTCACTATCTGATGTTTTATCTTGGTAAGAATAATTTTAAAAGCGAGTACAAATATTTTTTAAAGAAACACATTCATTCAGTGTAATGTGTTAGCCAATCAGATCGCCGGAGGTAGTGAAGTCAAGCTGGCTGAGAAGCTAGTTTTGTATACTTCGGCACAGCAACTTCGGTCTTTGGCGATTTAATAAAACCCATCAAATGAATCCCCACGGAAAGCGCATGTATATGCCTCCTACATACAACGGAGATATGGACAAAAGCTTTTGATACTTGTGAGACCTTTAAAATACGATATATTCATTGACATGTACGTAATTGTCCGGTTTTCGATCATGTCGCCGTATTTCTGTGATGAACCTTTATATATTATATAGTAGGGGGTGTTGATACTAAACTGGGGCCTAGTTTATCGATTTTCTGACCCGCAGTGGGGGCCTGTGGTCAAGTGTTATGTCTGGAGACAGGATGGCTTTACTTACCTCTGACCAGGAAGACGAGTCCACATACAAGGACCACTGCTATAGGACCTAGGACAAATCCAGCTCGGATGCCATGCTTCATGTACCCAACAAAACAGATTCCACTTAGTGAATCTCCGTCAATCTGAAAACAGTATAGTAATATTAAGTCAGGACTCTTGTACTAAGCGAGAATATTTCAGCCATATTGTGATTTGAAAATCATAATAACATTTTCAAATAAAAATCTGTTTTGAAAGGACATTAGCAATACCTCACATACCCATTTATATCATTAAATGGAATCAACACTTCAGCTTTGAAAGTCTGAGAACATTTAAAAGGTTTTGATGCTGTTACTGAGCAATACAATTTTATAACTGGCTATTGAACAACAACAGTTAGGTGACCAGAATTTACACCATCCTTTTAACTGCTAGGGATCCGTGACATTTTCAGCTGGTATAATTAACAAAACTCTCACAATGGCTCACTACACAACTATTTACAACTATGGTTTGATGCTGCCATCTACACAACTAGTTACAACAATGATTTAATAATGCTAGCTACACAACTATTTAAAATTATGGTTTGAGACTGCCATCTACACAACTAGTTACAACAATGATTTAATAATGCTAGCTACACAACTATTTAAAATTATGGTTTGAGACTGCCATTTACACAACTAGTTAAAACAACAACGATTTAATACTGCTGTCAATACAACTATAGTCACAGGAATGGTATGATACCTCTGAGATTGCCAGACAGACTATTGACAAAACGAGTGGCAGGAACCAGCTGACGAGATGGAAGTAAGCGGTCTTGCTACTCAGATTGTCTCTGGGTGTACCCAGAGCCTTGAAGGTGATGTGCCAGGCATAGGCCAGCATGACAAACCAGGTGACACCAGCCATCATGGAGTAGTAGACCAACAGGAACACCACAGTGCAGGACGCCGACTCACCAGACCTGGAACAAGGGAAACACTGGGGATCAAATTGATTTCAGCAGTATTTTATATATGATAGGACACTTGATGAGGGCCTCACGTCATAAAGAGAGCTTAGCACTGTTGTAAGCTTAATGAGTTACAGTGATCTTCATAAGCACTATGATTGCTTTGTGGAACTGGCTCCTGTGTATTGAGTTATAGTTAGACGCTGTTAGTCAAGGAAACTCACCTTCTGTGAATTTGTCGATGGAAATTGCTATAGGTCCATACACCAGGATATTGTTAATTTAAAACTTGGCACTTCTGCTGGGAATGGTACATTTCAAATTAACATGGTCTTACTGTGTTTAGCAGTCAACAGTAAGTGGCTATCTTCATGTTGACTGTAGAGATTGAAATTGTGCAGAGTTGTTTCCCTTAGCTTGCTGGATTTATAGGATCTTGGTTTGAATCCCACATTCTACCTGATTAGATCCTTCATATGTCAGCATCAATACTGAACAGTAGTTAAAGCTGTGTTTAACCTGGAGTTGCTGACTGCAAAGTAAACTTACCCAAGCTGTGGCTCTCCCATACGGGCTGTGCAGTCAGAGCGACACACAATGTCCTCACTAACTCTGAAGTAAACCTACCCAAGCTGTGGCTCTCCCATACGGGCTGTGCAGTCAGAGCGACACACAATGTCCTCACTAACTCTAAAGAAAACCTACCAAAGCTGTGGTTCTCCCATACGGGCTGTGCGGTCAGAGCGACACACGATGTCCTCACTAACTCTAAAGTAAACCTACCCAAGCTGTGGCTCTCCCATACAGGCTGCTGTGCGGTCAGGCGACACACGATCAGAGCAACACCATGTCCTCACCATAACTGTAAAGTGAACCTACCAAAGCTGTGGCTCTCCCATACAGGCTGTGCAGTCAGAGCGACACACAATGTCCTCACTAACACTAAAGTAAACCTACCAAAGCTGTGGCTCTCCCATACGATGGCTGTGTGTTCAGAGCAAACCTACACCAAGCTGTGGCTGTCCTCACTAACTGTAAAGTGAACCTACCAAAGCTGTGGCTCTCCCATACAGGCTGTGCAGTCAGAGCGGTCAGGCGACACCATGTCCTCACTAACTGTAAAGAACCTACAACCTACACCAAGCTGTGGCAGTCTCCCATACAGGCTGTGCAGTCAGGCTCTCCCAGGGCTGACACACGATGTCCTCACTAACTGTAAAGTGAACCTACACCAAGCTGTGGCTCTCCCATACAGGCTGTGCAGTCAGAGCGACACACGATGTCCTCACTAACACTAAAGTAAACCTACCCAAGCTGTGGCTCTCCCATACAGGCTGTGCAGTCAGAGCGACACACGATGACCTCACTAACACTAAAGTAAACCTACCCAAGCTGTGGCTCTCCCATACGGGCTGTGCGGTCAGAGCGACACACAATGTCCTCGCGAGCATTTCCAGCAAACTGGGCCAGCCATCCAATGCTCCCCACAAAGAAGCAGGCATTGATGTAGAACAGAATGAGGGCAGGGTATTTGTTGGCGTTCTTCCAGTCTATCACAAACGTCAGCTACAAATGTAAATAATCAGCATCACTTTCATAACATCAACCAGAATCTGTGGTTCACTTGGTTAACTTTAAAAACCCTATTTATTACCATATAATTCTGAGGAGTCGTCAGATTTAAAACTTGATATTTCTGCCAGGACATGCTGTTGTATCACCAGTATTATATATATTGGGAATAAAATAGTAATATTTCTTTGGGTGGCATTTAGAAGTTGTTGTAATGAACAACGGGGAAAGTTCTATGGATATACAACTTTTTATGATGTAAACGACGTTTCGGTGTAGCTTCTAACACCATTATCTTGATAACACTTGCTTGATAATTGTATTAACAGCTACACCGAAACATTGCTTACATGATAATAAAGAAGTTGTATATCCATAGAACTTTCCCCGTTGTTCAAAATTGAATTATGCAAGCTCATGACAACTGATGTGTACATCTGGGTGTGGTCGGCTGTCATCATTACTCACCACAGTGAAGAGTGTACAGATGAGGCATAGCGCCCCCCAGACTGCGACAAAGGCGTGGACCTCCTGATGCTCCTCCAGGGTGAAGAGGGGATTCTGACACTGGATGCCACACCCCTCAACTTCCTCGTACCAGCTCTCCCTCATTGACGTCTTGATCAGTGGGGGCTCACACCGACCTGTCGTGTTGAACGACGCTTTCTCATATGTCTCTGGCTGGTAACAAAATGGGGAAGGATACACATAACACAGTGACATTGTGAACAAGTTGAACAAAAGTGACATAGATGTACTCAAACTTACATCACAGAAAACACTACTGAAGTTCATGATACCAGCAAATTGAGTGTCCCATTTTGTCTACTGACAAGAAGGTGTATTTCCTAAGTTTCACAGGGCTTTGAGTTAAGCTCTACTCATGTTGAAACATCTGTAAAATATTGAACTTCTGAACATCTCCTAACCTGAGAGCATCTTTGCATTTTTCGAACAGTTCCATTCCGCAGAACACTTTAGTCAACCTAGTTGCATTGGGTTTTCACTCAGCAAACATCTGTATTTTTAATATCAAACATCTTATATAATTTAAATTTGCATCGTTATTGTGTCTCTTAATTACAAAAGAAACTGTAAAGTTTACAAAACTTAATCAAAATACAAAACATTATATTTGATTGAAAATACTCCCTTTCATTTGGTTTTATTTCCACTTATAAATCAACATTTTTGTAAAGAAACTTTACATTAAGCACCTTAATTTACAAGCTTTTCAAATTTAATATTTCACTTGTAAAACTGCTTCAGTGAGTTTGTTGTTTACCCAGCCAGGCCCGTAGTAAGCCAAGTTTTTCATGTAAGCCTGATAGGTTCGAAAGCTTTATATTTAGATAATATTGAGGGCTTGCCCAACCTTTTTAGCAACAATTATGTGTAAGCCCTGGCTTTTTTTAATAATGGTAGCTACGCCCCCGCCAGCACTGGGCAACATGAAAGTAGTCAGCCCTGCCGCACCATGCCTCGCTGCTTCGGTTTAGTCATCCTTTGCTTCAAGCAACTGGTACTGTTCTGACCCCACAGGGGCATCATTAAAGGGAATGTGTGGGAAAACAATCTTACTGTATGGGACTGGGGGAATAGACTACTGAACAACGGTTCAATAACACCAGGTTTTTCATCTCACTGGAGTTAAAATCACATGACATAACAGATGAACATTGGGCAAGAAAAATTAGAGTGGTCTTTAGTTTTCTTCAGCATAGTATGTACGTGTGTGCACAAAATGAGACAAAACAGTTCGCTCCTAAATAAAGGTGAGCTGGTAGTTTAATTGATATCAATGAATATCTGCCATTTTGGGGTTTGTAACAGTTATCACAGTTTTAAGCATTTAGGAAATAAACATACTGTGTTGGAAAATCAGAGGTATATAACGAAATTATAATAGCTCTAAATTTGATTTAAAACCGAACACATAGAGTGAGATTTAAAATATAAATTTAGAGCTGTTATAATTTTTTAATATGCCTCTAATTTTCCAACAAAGTATGTTTATCTCCTTTCTACCATAACCGAATTATTAAGATTTAGAAAAGATACATATTGTGTTGGAAAATCAGATTATATACCTCTGAATGACTATAATTAACCAATCACAATGCAGTATTTATTGAAGTCATGGTAGAATAAGCATTATTACATTTAGATCAATGTGTTTTTAACATTCAAAGTTAGAAAATAGTACAAGCCTACAATAAAACTTCTAAAAAACATTCCAATCAAATTCAGCATTTTCAATTTTCAAGTGTATTGCTTTTGAAAAATTTAATGTAGGCTTGTCCGCAGAACAAGAATTTTAAATTGTTCAGGGGTAACCAGAATACTCCAGAAATGTTTGCCATAGAAAACGTTATCAATACCTGAAAAAAATGTTATCTTTATTATGTGTGGTTAACTTGTCTGTCTCAGCTCAAGTCACAGCTGTCGATTATTCAACATTATCATATTTCAACTAATCACATTCCCTCAGCTGATAAAGACATTCAGTGATGCCAGCCTCAGGTGTTTGTGAAAACATCCTTGATGCTAGATAACCGTATCACGGAGATCCCATTACCTGTTGGACAGCACCTTCACCAAGGCATCAAGGAAGGTTTATTTGAAAAACACTTGTATGTCATTTAAAAAACGTGCAGCCTTTACTCATGTGGGAACCCCAAAGAATTTTATCAAGGCTGATTGTCAGGATTGGTTACATATAAATAATGCAGCTTATGAGAGGAATATAATTCAGAAAATAAATGTGACACATTATTTGTTATATTGAATGTGGCCATGAGAATATTCCTATGCATACATCATTTACTGCCAGAGATTTGACATGCCCCTCTATGGAAACAGAACAATAGACAGGATATGCATTTCTAGACTTTCGGGTGATTTCTGCCCCTCACACCTGACTACACAAGCTCGTTAGTTCAGGTAGATTCCCCAGGTAATGCAATACTGAACCGATGTCAACTGGGAATTTACCCTTATTGCTGAATAGCCTGAAGTTGGCCTACTGTGCAGCGTCATGTATGCACGAGTCTGACAATGTCATGTACACACACGAGTCGGACAATGTAATGTACACACATGAGTCGGACAATGTCATGTACACACACGAGTCGGACAATGTCATGTACACACACAAGTCGGACAATGTAATGTACACACACGAGTCGGACAATGTAATGTACACACACGAGTCGGACAATGTCATGTACACACACGAGTCGGACAATGTCATGTACACACACGAGTCGGACAATGTCATGTACACACACGAAGTCGGACAATGTCATGTACACACACGAGTCGGACAATGTACATGTACACACACGAGTCGGACAATGTCATGTACACACACACGAGTCGGACAATGTCATGTACACACACGAAGTCGGACAATGTCATGTACACACACAGAAGTCGGACAATGTAATGTACACACACGAGTCGGACAATGTAATGTACACACACGAAGTCGGACAATGTAATGTACACACACGAAATCGACAATGTCATGTACACACAATGTAATGTACACACGAGTCGGACAATGTCATGTACACACACGAAGTCTGACAATGTCATGGACAATGTCATGTACACACACAGGTCAGACAATGTCATGTACACACACAAGTCGGACAATGTCATGTACACACATGAGTCGGACAATGTCATGTACACACACAAGTCTGACAATGTCATGTACACACACGAGTCGGACAATGTCATGTACACACACGAGTCGGACAATGTCATGTACACACGAGTTGGACAATGTCATGTATGCACACGAGTCGGACAATGTCATGTACACTCCCAAATTTGACAATTTCATAGTATTTTCAAATGTGACACTTTTGTCGTTTCTTTCAGGTTTGACAACTCTTAGTTTTGATAAGCATTTTAACAAGCAAAAAGTCTCAGTATGTACATTTGAAGAAAATATTTTGCATTCTGCCAGCAAATAGGATAAAACATCAGGAATGGTTACCATGGAAACTTGGACAAAATTACATCACAACATATCTATTCCTAAGATATGTATTTTAAGGGATAAATACTTCTGAAAAGTGGAGGAAATGAAAGAAATGGATGAATACTAAGAATTACTGTAAATACCATAATTTCAATCATATACTTACCACCTATCTTTGTTAACTGAGTAAAGTGTTAAAACAACACAAAAAACATTTAATTTCATGATTTTGATTTTTTTATCAATTAGATTTTCATTTACATTTTCTTTCCTGCTTGCAACATTTGGAATAGTAACGAAGAAATACTGAAGCATGGATAAGTCTGTTGAGCCTTTGAATCATTTTCTTTTCAACTACTTGACCAGTGAGCACATGAACAAGCTAGGTGTGAAATCCTGCTAAGTCCATGCAATATGAAGACACAATAATGTATAGAGACCAGTCTACACTGAGATCAAGGCATTCAGTCACGTTCCCAGTGCTGTTTGATTAAGTTCTCCGGACAATAACCTACAACCTATACAGAATATCCACAATCCCCACACACCCAAACACACAGACGTGTGTAACGTTCATTCATCCCTCGCACCCCACCAATCAGAGACACACAGTAACATCTTGTTAGCAGTGACTCCTGACAGTCTGGAGAAAGCACACGGCTAATGATGGAACTTTACACTGGCTTACAGGCCACCGTTTTGTTGTAGTCATGCTTGGATGACTGACAACATTGTGGAGTTATTGCATTACCCTGGATGTAGGTCACACCATGACAATGTGGCACATGACAATGGATGTCAGTCCATTCAGGTTTATAAGCTGTAAGACATTCATGCAATAACCTGAATAACCAAAGCCTCTGTGCCTGTACCTAGGTGTAATGAAATGTTATAATGGATAGTAGTGACACTGTTGTAATGGATGGTAGTGACAGTGGTATAATGGATGGTGTAGTGACAGTGTTGTGATGGATGGTAGTGACAGTGTTATGATGGATGGTATAGTGACAGTGTTGTAATGGATGGTAGTGACAGTGTTATAATGGATGGTAGTGACAGTGTTGTAATGGATGGTAGTGACAGTGTTGTAATGGATGGTAGTGACAGTGTTGTAATGGATGTAACAGTGTTGTAATGGATGGTAGTGACAGTGTTGTAATGGATGGTAGTGACAGTGTTATAATGGATAGTAGTGACACTGTTGTTGTGGATGGATGACAGTGTAGGATGACAGTGTGTAGTGACAATGTTGTAATGGATAAATGGATGGTAGTGACAGTAGTGACAGGATGGTAGTTGTTGTGATGGATGGTAGTGACAGTGTTGTAATGGATGGTAGTGACACTGGTAGTGACAGTGTTGTAATGGATGGTAGTGACAGTGTTGGAATGGATGGTAGTGAAAGTGTTGTAATGGATGGTAGTGACAGTGTTGTAATGGATGGTAGTGACAGTGTTATAATGGATGGTAGTGACAGTGTTGTAATGGATGGTAGTGACAGTGTTGTAATGGATGGTAGTGACAGTGTTGTAATGGATGGTAGTGACAGTGTTGTAATGGATGGTAGTAGTGACAGTGTTGGAATGGATGGTGGCAGTGACAGTGTTGAAATGGATGGTAGTGACAGTGTTGTAAATGGATGGTAGTGACAGTGTTGGAATGGATGGTAATGGCAGTGTTGGAATGGTAGTGACAGTGTTGGGAATGGATGGTAGTGGCAGTGGCAGTGTTGTAATGGATGGTAGTGACAGTGTTGTAATGGATGGTAGTGACAGTGTTGTAATGGATGGTAGTGACAGTGTTGTGAATGGATGGTAGTGACAGTGTTGGAATGGATGGTAGTGACAGTGTTGGACAGTGTTGGAATGGATGGTAGTGACAGTGTTGTAATGGATGGTTGAAAGTGTTGTAATGGATGGTAGTGACAGTGTTGTAATGGATGGTAGTGACAGTGACAGTGTTGTAATGGATGGTAGTGACAGTGTTGTAATGGATGGTAGTGACAGTGTTGTAATGGATGGTAGTGACAGTGTTGTAATGGATGGTAGTGACAGTGTTGTAATGGATGGTAGTGACAGTGTTGTAATGGATGGTAGTGGCAGTGTTGTAATGGATGGTAGTGACAGTGTTGTAATGGATGGTAGTGACAGTGTTGTAATGGATGGTAGTGGCAGTGTTGTAATGGATGGTAGTGACAGTGTTGTAATGGATGGTAGTGACAGTGTTGTAATGGATGGTAGTGACAGTGTTGTAATGGATGGTGACAGTGTTGTGGATAGTGGTGTTGTAATGGATGGTAGTGACAGTGTTGTAATGGATGGTAGTGGCAGTGTTGTAATGGATGGTAGTGACAGTGTTGTAATGGATGGTAGTGGCAGTGTTATAATGGATGGTAGTGACAGTGTTGTAATGGATGGTAGTGACAGTGTTGTAATGGATGGTAGTGACAGTGTTGTAATAGATGGTAGTGATTGTGGAGGAATAGATGGTAGTAACAATCTTTGAATGGATGGTAGTGACTTTAATTATTGTGGATAATCTGGATAAGTGGAGATATTTGGGTAAGATATAACAACTTGCTATATGTCAGTGACCAAATCTTCTTTCAAAACATATTACCCTTTAATTTAAGTAGAACTGATATCTACCAGTAGATTGCAGAAGTTCGTTTTAAGACATATCGATGTCAACCAACCAATCACACGTTTCCATTTACTTAAAGATGGTCAACCCCCAGCCTATACACCAAGACACTTCCACAAACAATTCATTTCCAACAATATATCACGCACGTAAATCACTTAAACACCAGCATCGTCTAACAATAAAATATACCCCATGCTGGGACGTTCGTCGCATACCAACCTTGCAGTTCTCCCGGAAGTGGGGTTGGTGACACTGGAGAAATGACGGCCAGCTGTGGAAGGACTCCACTATTTTACAGGGCTCTCTAATCTTCTCACATAGCTCCTTGCTGGGTAGTTCCAGCTGTCCGGTGTTGTTGTCACACTTTGGGAAGTACACAGAACACAGGAAGGGCTGGACAACTGACCAACACTGGGGGACATTCTGTAGCCCGCTCCACAGAGACAGCTTCTCATCCACCTGGGCCAACGTGGAAGAATCGTTGGCAAATTCCAGCGACGTGTACTGAAAGTCCAGCGTTGTTCCTAAACATTTTTTACCTTTTATTCCAAAAGGTATGCAGTTCGTTGTGTTTATGTGACAGTCCGCGCTTTGTGACGATTTAAGCAAGTCTAAAAATATTAACATTGCTACAATGTTAAATAAAGTTGAACGTTTTGTCAAGTGTAATTGAGTATGCGCCCCGTCCATTGTGTCTGAGAGTAGTGCCATTGTTGGTGGAACTCCGTTACTAACTTCAACAATGGAAGGAGGCGTGTACCACGAGGGTGGGGGTGTGATTCACGGATTGTATTGGTGCTAACCCAATCCAGACCTCCGACATATACATCTAAACTGGCTCTTCTCACGAAATGTATTCAGAAAACCTAAAGACCCCACTTGAAAACGTAAAGATGTGTTGGAGCGGAGCAGTTTAATGGATGTTCGTCATATGATATGTAGAATGTACTTTGGGTGACGAAGGATCGCCGTAAACAAATACACGGGAGCGTTTAACATTCAGAGCCGGTCTCTAATCCATTGGGTCAATATTGGGCTGAATTAAGAAAACTCAGCAGGAAAATCAGAGTATTAACGTAAATCGTTCCACTTCTTGCTAGGTCCGTATGAATTATCCATCCACAGTTCCATAGACCATATCCTAAAGGTGTGTCAGTCCATACACTTGGATGTGTTTGTAACACTAATCCAATTTGAAGAAAACTGCAGCTCCAGCCCGACCATCTGCACGACAGGCATTGTACACCTGCATGAACTACTTGTTGAATGTAACCATGGAAATTAATACAGCCATCGGTCGTAAGTTTCAAACACTGAAGCCCCCATCCGCAAGCAGGTTACATTCACACCGAGGTGTTAACAGGCACCAGTCCAGGAATTCACCCACATCAATCCAGGTGTAATGCTCTTCACGCGCTGCGTCTCTCCATCACAGTTACCGTGCATTATCTAGCAGTACTTCTTCCTAACAGTACCTTCTGATAAACTGCAGCGACTTTAACCCGTCGATCTGCAGTCCTCTCTTCCCATGTCCACAACGTTGAAACATCAACAACAAACTTTCTCAGCCCCGCGTTCGAACATCCTCCATTTTGTATTCAGGGGAGCAGACGGATCATATTTCGCCAGTTCTTCCCCCGATGTAGGTCACCCATCCTAAATCCGTCCCTCTCTCTCAACAATGAACCAGCCCGGAGCGGAGAGAGGTGAGCGGTTGTATGGTGAGACGCTAAGGTGAATCTGTCACACCTCAACAACTTGGAGAAACACTCTATTGTCAGTCAGTCAGCGGGCTCTACTCGCCCCCGGTCCATTCAACTTGGAGTATTTGGACTATAATTGAATAACAGCATCTACACTCATATCTTTCAGCAATTTCGCAGCAACTTCGCTTGAACGTGTACTTTTCCATGGATTATGCGTCAGACATGCGGCGAGTGAAATGTCTTTTATGCTAGACCCGAACACTACGAAATGCGTGAATGTAGAATACAAATTACATTAAGTACAGGTTAGCTGCCTACCTGTGTTTGAGGTGATTGTCTACCCGCCAATATTATTTCGGAAGCTACACAAAGTTTTTTGGTTTAATGTTTTTATTCATGAAGGTGGTGATTTGAGTTAAAGTCAGTATGTGAAAATGTCTGTTTTAGCTATCCCAACTGCTTAGATCTCTGTGATGTTGATAAATTAGTTTTACTTTTTAAACACCATGTATATTTCAGTGCCAAAACCTGCTTTTATATCTTACAAAGAAGAAAACATATTTTATACGGATAGATTTTATACTGTATATAACTATATCATTATTTATTTTTAGTGTTTATAATGTATTAATACATTAGTCTCTCATAACCCTTAAAGGGGGGCTCACTTATATGTTATATTTTATAAGTATGTTTATATATGAAACCTTTGTGAGACGAGACTGAAATAAAATATCTGTCTGTCTGTCTATCTCATATCTTTCAGCAACTTCGCTTGAACGTGTACATTTTCATGGATTATGCGTCAGACATGCGGCGAGTGAAATATCTTTTATGTTAGACCCGAACACTACGAAATGCGTGAATGTAGAATACAAAATTACATTAAGTACGGTTAGCTGCCTACCTGTGTTTGAGGTGGTTGTCTACCCGCCAAAAATATTTCGGAAGCTACACAAAGTTTCTTGGTTTAATGGGTTTTTTATGAAGGTGGATCGTAAAGCCATATATACATTTCACGTGCTTGCCACAAATTGACTTGTTTTAATGTATCGATAATTTATTAGGTAGATTTCTGACTGCTTCGTTGAATGTTTTATTGAGAAAATATTTGTTTATTTGTTATATAAGCTTAGGTGACTTTGTTATGTATAAAAGATAAATGATACAAGACTTGGATCCTACAAGTACAAGTACAAGTACAAGTATACCAGTACAAGTATTACACGTATTATTCAGGGGCAGGAGAGATCCCAAGTAACTCATGATTGTGGGAAGAGCTAAATACTGAGTACCGAATAGATCACATTCTGGTGCCCTCGAACGTGGTCCAGATTAGACTCATGTCATCATTCATAATGGAGTTGTATTATTGCTGGCTGTAGCTCACTTATATGAAATCCCCGTTTTGGGGAACACTTGAATTGCCTGTGCGTGTCTTTGTGATAAGTGCCACCAGCGGGACAAGATACTCTCATCTCATTGCGAACACCTCCTTTCAGAAACAAGCACATGCTCTGTCGTCGTATCGCATGATGACAATCACTGGAATGTCTGGTCAAGACTCAATTGTTTACAAACAATATTCTACAACTGTAATACTGCTGAAACAAATATATACCCATGATACTGTCACAATTGTACACTCGACTCAGCTTCTAGCAGAGATTTCTTATGGATGTGGAAAGGGTCTTGTCGTTTCTGTTATGGTAAACTCAGAATCGTACAACAGGGTCTAGTTTTAGTAATGATTTAAAATTATTATGGAAATGGTTTATACGTTTTTAATTCATATGATATTCCAAGATGTATATCCTACACACTCGCACGTGCCCTCCATATTATATGCACCTATGAGCGAAATATTCTCCAGCGCGACGTTAAACCCAGTTTCACCTCACCTCACCATTTTACTTGCACCAGGTGCAACCTGAGATAAAAACCTAGTTGCACCAGCCAAATTCCAGTTGCACTGCTTTTGTTGCAATATGTAATGAAAGAAATATGCTATTGAATTATTTAGATGTTTTATTCAGAAGTTTACCCACTCAAAATGTACCTGCACCTGGTGCAAGTTAGAATAATAACTATGTTGCACTTTGTAATATTGGCTTGTACCAGTGTAAGTAACAAAGCACTAAAACGAGCCCTGATTATACATTATGCAAATTATATGGTTTCACAGTTTTTGTCTCCTCAATGGTGATGTGCGTCGTCTAACAGTGAGTTTAGTTTTACGCCGCTTTCAGCAATATTCCAGAAATCTCACGGCGGGGGACACCAGAAATGGACATCACACATTATACCAATGTGGGGAATCGAACCCGGGTCTTCGGCGAGACGAGCGAACGCTTTAATCACTAGGGTACCCCCGCCCGCCTCGTCTACGAAACCTGAAGAAGGTTTACCATAGAAAGATAAGTTCCAGTTCCACTATAGTGAGTGAGTGAGTAAGTTTAGTTTTACGCCTTACTCAGCAATATTCCAGCTATATGGCGGTGGTCTGTAAATAATCGAGTCTGGACCAGACAATCCAGTGATCAACAGCATGAGCATCGATCTGCGCAACTGGGAACCGATGACATGTGTCAGCGAAGTAGTTCCACTATATGATATCCCCAAAAGTTTGACATAATCCGTGCACGAAGTGCAGTAGATGATAAATTCAAAAGTACATTAAATATTGATCGAGTAACTTCGCAATTACACTCCATGATCGGTGCCTACAGCCGGGTTTCCATGTGCGCGTAGTGGCGATGCTTTGTGCAAACAACAATTTATACTAAAATAGTAATAGCCGTTTCCACGTGCTACGTGCTGCGTAGTGCGTGATTTTGCTTACGCTCAAAAAATGCCCGAATTATGAATCACACAGCTATACGGAAGTAGGAAGTAGGGATTCCAAAAGGGGTTTCACCAATGCAACGTGGATTTTATTGCACACACAAGTTGCAAAATGACAAGGAAATCGGTACCCGAGATACTTCTTGAACAATTAATTGAACTCGTTAGATGCAATCCAGCCATCTACGATGCATCCAGGAAGGACCACAAGGATGTTACGAAGGTAAGCAATATTTGGAACGCAATTACAAGGAAACTTCAGGAAAACGATGACTAAGAAAGGACTGGTATTTTGAATACATATATCTTCATATCACGTTAGTTGCAAAGTTCTGTTAGTTCCCTTGCGTTCTTTGAGAAACAAGGTGGCATTGTACACACCAATTGTGATCAGTACGATCTCCAGGAAAAGAAAGACTTGATATAACGTATCACACAGCCTTTATACACGTACACATGGAATTGAACATTATGCACATATATATAATACGCACTACGCATCACGCAATTACGCAGACAATACATACACATGGAAACCCAGCCTAACATTGTCTTATGATGTACTCCATGGACAGTTTGTAACCTGCGTTCCGGCTATTCACAGCTTAGTATTAATGCATTTTAGGACATAACAGAGAACAAAATGCCAATGCCTATTTGCATCGAAATGAAACCTATATAAAGAATGGCAAGGTGTATAGCTGAAGAAAGCAAAACAACTGTTGTTAAAACAGAAAACTGACTACATGTGTATCAAACTTGGAGATGCTTCTGTCCAAGAAATAACATGATCGGTCATCTAGCGTGTTATATATTCATTCTGTTACGATAAATGCCGAGCCCACTTTGGAGTATACTCTCCACAAAACGAAACGCATGGGTGATGTTGATATATGAAATTTCAAATATTATTTTTAAATTAGTGTTTTACTGTTACAATTTCGTCATTATAATGTTGGTTTGTGTACATTGTACGAATGCACAGGGCACGTTTACGTTCGAAAATGTCAACTTGCATGAAAATGTCATGGAGAAAAAGTGGTTCGCAACATGCACGTGGAGTTGTGGAGAATCATGAGCTGGGACATTGCCTATATACTTTTTTTGCTTTAAGACAGTCATTGGCATTTTTTTTTTTAGCTAAACAAAAGAATATCGTTATGCCGCGACTCACTGCTGTAAATCGAAACACTGGACGTCTGGAGGCTGGGGAGTCTCAATCAGCCATTGCACCTCACCTCAATTTCACCAGAGTACCATCAGTCGTTTATGGGACCGATATCAACACACCAATTCTACACAAGATCGGTCTCGAAGTGATAGATGTCGGATCACCACTGCAGCGCAGGATAGGTACATCCGGGTACTTATTTTGCGGAACCGAACTGTCACAGAAACAGGAACTGCACGTGCAGTGCCTAGGTTTGAGGAGATTGTCGGCGCAAACCATTCGTAAATGTTAACGATTCTAGCCAGAAGACGTATATTTTGACCATGTGCTACATCGACGTCGATTTAAGTGCTAATCGATACATTGACGGAATCTAAGGCTTCACATGATTCCGATCATTGACTACCATAGGCTAAATATTGATCGAGTAACTTCGCAATTACACTCCATGATCGGTGCCTACAGCCGGGTTTCCATGTGCGCGTAGTGGCGATGCTTTGTGCAAACAACAATTTATACTAAAATAGTAATAGCCGTTTCCACGTGCTACGTGCTGCGTAGTGCGTGATTTTGCTTACGCTCAAAAAAATGCCCGAATTATGAATCACACAGCTATACGGAAGTAGGAAGTAGGGATTCCAAAAGGGGTTTCACCAATGCAACGTGGATTTTATTGCACACACAAGTTGCAAAATGACAAGGAAATCGGTACCCGAGATACTTCTTGAACAATTAATTGAACTCGTTAGATGCAATCCAGCCATCTACGATGCATCCAGGAAGGACCACAAGGATGTTACGAAGGTAAGCAATATTTGGAACGCAATTACAAGGAAACTTCAGGAAAACGATGACTAAGAAAGGACTGGTATTTTGAATACATATATCTTCATATCACGTTAGTTGCAAAGTTCTGTAAGTTCCCTTGCGTTCTTTGAGAAACAAGGTGGCATTGTACACACCAATTGTGATCAGTACGATCTCCAGGAAAAGAAAGACTTGATATAACGTATCACACAGCCTTTATACACGTACACATGGAATTGAACATTATGCACATATATATAATACGCACTACGCATCACGCAATTACGCAGACAATACATACACATGGAAACCCAGCCTAACATTGTCTTATGATGTACTCCATGGACAGTTTGTAACCTGCGTTCCGGCTATTCACAGCTTAGTATTAATGCATTTTAGGACATAACAGAGAACAAAATGCCAATGCCTATTTGCATCGAAATGAAACCTATATAAAGAATGGCAAGGTGTATAGCTGAAGAAAGCAAAACAACTGTTGTTAAAACAGAAAACTGACTACATGTGTATCAAACTTGGAGATGCTTCTGTCCAAGAAATAACATGATCGGTCATCTAGCGTGTTATATATTCATTCTGTTACGATAAATGCCGAGCCCACTTTGGAGTATACTCTCCACAAAACGAAACGCATGGGTGATGTTGATATATGAAATTTCAAATATTATTTTTAAATTAGTGTTTTACTGTTACAATTTCGTCATTATAATGTTGGTTTGTGTACATTGTACGAATGCACAGGGCACGTTTACGTTCGAAAATGTCAACTTGCATGAAAATGTCATGGAGAAAAAGTGGTTCGCAACATGCACGTGGAGTTGTGGAGAATCATGAGCTGGGACATTGCCTATATACTTTTTTTGCTTTAAGACAGTCATTGGCATTTTTTTTAGCTAAACAAAAGAATATCGTTATGCCGCGACTCACTGCTGTAAATCGAAACACTGGACGTCTGGAGGCTGGGGAGTCTCAATCAGCCATTGCACCTCACCTCAATTTCACCAGAGTACCATCAGTCGTTTATGGGACCGATATCAACACACCAATTCTACACAAGATCGGTCTCGAAGTGATAGATGTCGGATCACCACTGCAGCGCAGGATAGGTACATCCGGGTACTTATTTTGCGGAACCGAACTGTCACAGAAACAGGAACTGCACGTGCAGTGCCTAGGTTTGAGGAGATTGTCGGCGCAAACCATTCGTAAATGTTAACGATTCTAGCCAGAAGACGTATATTTTGACCATGTGCTACATCGACGTCGATTTAAGTGCTAATCGATACATTGACGGAATCTAAGGCTTCACATGATTCCGATCATTGACTGCCAGAGGGAGTTGTTCCAGTAAGATAAGGCCAGGCCTCACACCGCACATGTCACTATTCAGTATCTTCAGAATGAGAACATTACAGTGCTTCCATGGCCTTCCAAATCGCCCGACCTCAACCCCATCGAGCATTTGCAGGGTGATCTCGGCCGACGCCTACGTGAACGTCAACCGGCACCACAGACGTTAGATCAACTGTCGCAGGCATTGCAAGAGGAATGGGCCAGAATTCCACAAAGTCGAATTCAAAGATTTATTCAGTCCATGCCGAGACAGCGCAGAGCAGTTTTGGGGCTCATGGTGGCCACAACAGATACTGAAGACAACTGGGAACGGGCGCCTTCACTTATTGAACTTTTTATAAGCTATACATGTTAACGGAAATGTAATATTTATACAGTGAAATGTGGCTGCATCTGATCCAGAATTGCACGTGTTATCTCACTTTACAGTTAGCAGGTTAAATTCAAAACAATACACCTATGCGTTTCTTTTTTGGGAGAATATACTTTGATTGGTTGTCCATGAATAATCTTGACAGCTGCTTCTCCAGCTGGGGTCAAAGGAAACTAGACTCATGTTTAATCCTAGAAATATTTATCTTATTTAAATATATATTTATATATATATATAAATATATATATATATATATATATATATATATATATATATATATATATATATATATATATATATAAACATTTATCTAAATGCAATTCCAAATGAAATCCTTAATTTCTGTCTGAACGATGGAGTTCTAGAACTAAGAAGTAATAGCACCTTTGTCACTTAGGCAAAACTATGTTTGTCCACTTTACCACATGCATGCAATTCAATCAAGTGAAATAACTTTAAAGTTATAAATATCTCGTTTTGTATGATAATCTGCCTCGATTTTCTAGTGCAAAACTCACCTTTTCAATAATAGAGGCCTTAGGATAGCCTGTTAAAGCGTCCGCTTTCCACGCCGAATACCTGGGTTCAATTCCCCACATGTGCACAATGTGTGAAGCCTTTTTCTGGTGCAGTATTGTTGTAATATTGAAGGAGCGAAAGCGACGTCCTCTCTCGACCACCATAGGCTAAAAGTTACATGTTCAACCAAACCCGTGTTTTTCCTTTACTAATATGCCGTTGAAAAGACGTTTATTATTAAATGTTTCATATGTGTAAAAGTATACTACGACGGACCCTAATAAACATTCGTACATTCTAAAGTAACCACATCAGTTCTATGGTTTAATCTTCCGTGTGCCTTACGAGGAGGTTGTGGGAACGATTCCCGCGATCTTTCCAAAAAGTCAAACTTCGTCCCAGCAAAGAATTCTATGTTCGAGATTTGCACCTGGTAGTACAGTTTGTTAAAGAATAGTATATTTAGGTGGTACGTGTAGAGACTCAAACGTAATATAATATATTTTCTTTCAGTGTTTAAAGGAGTGAGTGAGTGAGTATAGTTTTACGCCGCTTTTAGCAATATTACAGCGATATCACGGCGGGGGACACCAGAAATGGGCTTTACACATTGTACCCATGTGGGGAATTGAACCCGGGTCTTCAGCGTGACGAGCAAACACTTTAACAGCAAGGCTACCCCACCGCCCCTGTTTAAAGGAAAACATTATAAACGAGCAGAGAGGTTATTTTACTGACGGGGTGCTCTAAACATGACGACATATGTACAATGACAAACTGTGTTAGTTCGACATTGAGACTGGGGCGGTGGGGTAGATGTGGTTAAGGCATTCGCTGGTACGCCGAAGACCGGGTTCGATTCCCCACATGGGCACTATGAGTGAATCCCATTGCTGGTGTCCCCCGCCGTGATATTGCTAGAATAAAAGCGGCGTAAAACTAAACTTTAGAACTCACTCACTCAACACTGAGGCATTGTACGGCCGCTTATTTCAATGTTGCAAACGATTTAGGAGCGATAACTCTGCATGGGAGCGATCATTTACTGCTTTATTATAACTGAATTTGTCCTATCTAAGCTGAAATAACACCTAGAATGTAGTATGTTATATGTTTTATATAATGTAATCTACTATTCAATATCATGTTATTACCAGGACTATTGATTAAGATTATAAATAAAACCGGTAGTTCAAATCCCCGCAAGGAATTCTCCCTTTCAAGATGGCAGCCTCCTTGCACCACATTTGATCATACAATTTGTGATTAGTTGATGTCCCACGTATGCGGTTGTAGAATTGTGTCACTGTACATAATACAGGCCATATGCAGGCGATGCGATTGTCGATATCCATTCGTTATTTATTTTTATGCTTGATTCTTGATGCTTGATGCTTGGCGTGTGCACCAGAACACAACCGGAGACCCTCGCCTGATACATTGATCAGCTGTTGACTGTTGGATGAACTTTGTCAAGCTTACCCTCAAACCATTCCACAGTACTTTTGTATTGTTTGGTTGAGGTAGGTTTCATTTATTGAGATATAACTCTGATGATCAGTATTTTATCGCCTGACAAGACACTATCACTAGGTTGAGTTATATTTAACTTAGATTTAAGTTGTGTACGTGTACGTGATGTAAATTGTGAAATTTATCTAATTAAATTTGAATTTGCTTTTCAATAGTAGCATCAAATAAGTTTCATGATCTATAGATCGTGTTCATAATTAATTTTCTAACATTTGCAGTTACCATGATTTTCTTCTCTCAGTCTTTCAGAACATTCACACTTTACTGTGATTACATGTTTGTTTTCAGTTACTAGTATTGAGATTTTACCATGGCCAAGTTCGTTCCTCCTCGACGGAAGAAGAGAGTATTCTGCAGTAAGGAATCCCCATTTCCTGTCCCTATTGAAAGCATTACCCATGAATCTGTTGGCCCTGAGCAGTGGTTCTACTACACTGCATACCTCTCGGGCAACACTGTGACAGTCAGGCATTCAGGAGATATCAACTTCTTGTTTAAAATGGTGAGTTGGTTGAGATGAAGAATTACCAGTGTGACCATAGATATAGAAACTTGTGTGTGATTTTGTTTGTTTATTGTTTTATGAAACATTCAAAAATGTTTCAGTAAATGATTTAATCTCACAACCAGTGCAATAGTGTTTCACATTCCATTGTAGGGTTTCTTTGGAAAGGGTAACCTGTCTCGATCACAGCCTGAATTTAATCACAGATACCGTACGGCACGTGTGCCGCACCCGGCTGATGTAGACAGCATCATCCAGCCCCGGGTCCTCAGTCACAGAGTGTAGGTGTTGGTTGTCCAGGTGCAGTCATTGATCAACAAGCGTGTGTAGTGAAATTGCAACACCTGGCTGCTCTACCAGCAAGTGGTCCCCCTCGTAAAAAATAGCAAAATAATGATCGTTTGTTAAACAACTTTTTTATTCGAGTGTCCAAAATTATGAGACAAATCATCAGAGTTGGTCTGTCGATTTCATGTGACTGTGCAAAATTTGGTATTGTTGCAATAATTAGATTTTATGTTAGTTAGCTATTCATCAGTCTCGAATCAAATCAAATGGACTGTAGTTGTAGTACTTTCTTTTGACTGCAGGATTTTATACCGTTTAAACATATTTGTTATTGACATACGATTTTCTCTCTGCATGATATGTCTCAAATACTGCCAATGTGACAATACATTTTAACTCACGCATTGATGTTATTATTTTGACCCCAGGTTCAAACAGCGCATAAAGTGGGCTGGGACAAATGTAGCTGATGAACCATCGGACTCTTCATCAGAGGAGGAGATAAGCATGATGGAAGGTCTGGATGATCAGGCCACAGCTGACACCAAGCCAGCCCAAGGAGAAGAGGTTATACACTTAAGTTCAGAGTCATTCACAAAAGGCACTGAATTCAAAGATTTAGAGGAGGAGGAGGAGGAGCAAGCAGATGTCTGGACTGACAAAAAAGCAGATAAGACTGAAGCATCATGGGACACAACAGAAGATGCCGAGTTCTGGGGGATGGGCGAGAGTGGGGGTGTAAAGCAGGAGAAGGTGGGGATGCTTGGACTACAGAAGGGGCAGATGCAGAGTTCTGGGGGAGGGTGGGAGTGGGGATGTGAAGCAGGAGAGGGATGCTTGGGGTGCAGAAGGGGCAGAAGCAGAGTTCTGGGGTGTTGACAAAACTGAGAGTGTGAAGCAGAAGGTAGGAAACTGTGAGGAAGAACAACCTGATAAGATGGAAGTGAGGGAGAATCCAGATGAAGACAGGCTGAAAACTGGAGGACCACCAAACTCAGAATCTGGACTTACTAAAACAACTATGATAAATGCCCAACTTGATGCCAGCCATAACTGTCATAATAAAACCTGTGATATGAATTCTGTGGCAGACAATGGGTCATCAGATAGTGCAAATGTAATTGACGTGCAAATTTCAAATGCAGAAACAGTCCAGACAGAGGCAAATATTCCTGAAGGCAATACATTACCTCCAGAGGTAACTAGCCATATGGACTGTATTCAGGAAGATGGTATGCAGCAGGGAGCTGCTGAAAATGGTCAGTGCAATGACCTTGACCCTGTAGAATATGACCCGTTTTGTGACAGTGATGACTGTGATGGGGATGTGTTTGTGATGGCAGATAGTGATGACGGTAGTCAGACGAGACAAAGAAAGTCCAGAAAGAAGAGATGGCGTCCTGTATTGAAGAAAGACCCATACCCAATTGTGGAGCATCTCCTGCTCAGCTTTGAGGAAGTAAGTTTGGGCTTTCCAACAACATTAAACTGACCTAACTGAATAACTATCCAGGACCCGTTTCACAAAGCTATCGTAGCGCTACAACTGTCGTACCTCCTATACTGTAACATAGACTTATGACAGTCGAAACGGGGCCCAGGACCCCATGTCTTAAAACGATCTTAGCACTAAGATGATCATAATTTCTATAATTATGCATTCACTTAATATATTGGGAAGCACTGACATCACTTTGTGGACCAGATCCTTGATTGTGCTTTATCGCCCAATCAAACAGTCTCATAGATAAAAGTGTTCAATAGACGTTTAAACCCTCAGTCACAGATGATTAAATATTATCAACATGTTTATGGTTATTCTAATTTCACTCATTTGTTTCTTCCAGACATTTTTTCTGTCCTATGGCCTGGGGTGTTTGGTAGTGACCGATGAAAAACAGGTAATTTGACATCTGTTGCATCTCACTGTCAGAGTTATGCCCCTTAAGTACCACTGCCATGATTTGCTGGTTTGAATCCCACATTATTATATGCCTTGAATATTTATTCCTTTGCCTATTGATAATGTTTATTGTGTCAACAAGTTTGTAAACCTCTATCACCTGCTGGGTTAGAATTGTCCTTTTTCAACTTCTTTTAAGTTTCATGATTATTTCAGTTTGTTTTGTCAGCCTCCATCTTAAAGAAACAAGGCCAAACAACTAGTTGATGAATATAACATAAATATACTTAGGACTACTTAATATTGCTCTGGATGATGAAATACAGAGGATGACAAAGAAATGTGTTCATGAATTTCATATTTACACAATCAGTAAATGTCCATGGCACTTATAAATACTATCCATCACCAGCAACCAGCTCCAAGACCATGAAGAGTGGTGACAGTTTAGATATGAGTGTGTCATTGTGTACAGTGAAAAATATGGATGATCTTCGAGGAGGTGAAAGTCAAATACCCTACATTATAGTTTATAAGATAAAGGTTTGTAACTGTAACCATGGTAACTGAATGTTTTGTTACTATAGAAGAACCTCAATCTGTCATCTCTATGGCAACGGTTCTGTTCGTCTCGAGATGACTTCTGTGCCAACTATATTGCCTACCACTATTACCGCAGCAAGGGATGGGTGCCGAAAACAGGACTGAAGTTCGGATGTGACTTCAGTGAGTATTGAATACTAAGAGCTGGTGACACTCTGACATGTTTTGTTCCTCATAATAAAGAATATGACATCCATTAGTCCTCTGTTGGTATTTATATGTGTATTCGTTCTAAACCCCACTAACAATTGAAGACAACCTTGAGACTTGCAAATGTGTACATGTCTTTAGTGCAACTAGGTACACTCCAGGCAATATAAGACTGACCCCTAAACACCAAGTCTGTTGTATGGACTGTTTACACACCATACTGACCATCACATGGTGTTTCTGCAGTAGTGTACAAAGAGGGACCCCCCTTCTACCATGGTAGCTACTCAGTGCTGGTCCGACTCGTGGATGAGGAGACGCTCATTGAACATCCTGAATACACCCACAGACCTCTGTCATGGATTTCCCTTGCTGGACTCAATCGCATCACTGAACATGTGGCCAAGGTAAGGACAGTCTTGATCTGCATATTGTTTTACACTTATCCTGTAGTTCCTCGTTTGCCTGATCCAGACTGTTATTTAGGTTATAGTAGATCATAGTCATAGTAGACTGACTGACTGAGTTTAGTTTTACGCCGCTTTTAGCAATATTCCAGCAATATCACGGCGGGGGACACCAGAAATGGGCTGCACACATAGTAGAATATCTTATGATGTCATTGAATAATTCCAGGCTAGATTAGCTGCCCAATAATAACTATGCTTGTCATATAACTCTATGAAAATGGATCAGGTGGTCAGGTGATTTGGCTGATATAGTCACAGGTTTGTCTGATCCAGACTGATCAACAGATTTATGTAAACTGTAGTGTATATGAATTGTGGGAAAATGTTTTACCCTTTTTAGTATGAACATAGTATGAGGTTGGAAGGAAAATGGATTATTGATTGTTTACAAATAATTTTGATGGGACATACAAAATATTTGGCCTACTAACTTTCTGTATTTACTTGCTACAAAGTTGAAGTAGGTACCAGTTCATCAGCCGAGGATCATTATCTAATCATAAGGTTTATGTACTACCATCAGTCACTGATTATGGTCTTGACAGTTAAGGATCATTGTCAGATATTATTTTCAAGGGTGTACCTGCTTTCTTGATGATTTGTAATAATAGTGAGTGAAAGTGAGTTGGATTTTATATTATGGTTTTAGCAATATTCCGTCAATATCACGGCAGGGGACACCAGAAATGGGCTTCAGACAATGTACCAATGTGGGGAATCGAACCCAGGTCTTCGGCATGACGAGCAAACACTTTAACCACTGGGCTACCCCACCTCCCAAGTGAAATAATAATTAGTATTGATAGTTTTGATTAAGATAAGATAAGATAAGATAAGATAAGATAATCTTTATTGTCCCAAGGGAAATTTGTTTTGCATCATACGTTCTCCAGATTTTCATTCATAAAGCAGCCATACATAACATTGCAATTGGTAATCATGAAATAATCAGGATATAAATACATCAATTTAGTACACAAATATAGATATTGAATAGAATTGTGACAATAGACAAGTCAATCACAGAATTTGTTGTTAATGCATCTAATACTAGCTGGAACAAATGAGTGGCGAACCCTGTTTGTTCTAAAAGTCGGCAAACGCAGCCTGCGTCCAGAAGGTAATACTTAATATTCAGAAAATTTTGTTTGCCTTTTTTTAAATTTGCTGCTCATAACAACTGCCGATACTTTCGATAGGAAGCCAAATAATTTTATACGCAGTGTTTACGATTTTTGAAAGTTCGTTTTTATTCTGAACAGACAGGTTCCCGAACCAACTAAAGAAATTAAAGTTTATGACACTTTGAATAAGGGTTTTGTAAAATAACATCATGGTAGTTTGGTCGATTATAAAATGTTTCAACTTCCACAAAAAATGCAAGCGTTGCTGTCCTTTTTTATATATTTTCTCAGTGTTTTCGTTCCAGGAGAGTTTCGAATCTAAGATAGTACCCAAATATTTGTATTCAGTTACTCTTTCGATTTCCGTATCTTCAATAGTTACAGCATTTATTGTTGACATAAATCAATCCTTTAATCATTGTAATATATTGGAAGACATTATTTACACACTCTTGTGGTACAGTGATCTACCGTTGGTCAACCCAACTCAGCGACTGTTTCTATTTACAGGAGCTGCTGATGTGTTATGTTATAAAACCAAGGGGAGTAAGTGAGGAAAGTCTCATGTCTCCGGCCTGCATACCACAGTTTAAAGTTCAGGTGAGTGTGTTGTCCTGGTGGTTGTGTAGACTGTTGTATTGTTCACCATCACTACACAGGAAGCGGAGTATCCCACTCAAACCCTCATTAGATTCTCCAGTCCCTCAGGCTAAATTGTTTATTTGATTTGTCTCCTCACCAAATGATGAGCTGAAAGTTCTGGTGAGCATGTCACTTGCAATATTTGCTGTAATAATCACCCTGCTCCAATATACACCCCCTGACTAACTTGTAGGTTTGATCTGTCAGCAATCCTTATACGTGTAATAATCACCCTGCTCCAATATACACCCCCTGACTAACTTGTAGGTTGATGTGTCAGCAATCCTTGTACGTGCTCACCAGTGACACCAAAATACATGTAACAGTCCATGTTTTCTATTTGTGTATACTACAGATGGTTTATGATGTTCATAGTGGGAATTGACTGTGAAGATCCGGATTAGAATTGATCTTCAGTAACCCATGCTTGTCGTAAGAGGCGACTATTAACGGGATCGGGTAGTCAGACTCACTGACTTGGTTGACACCTGTCATTGTATCTCAATTGCGCTCATGCTGTTGATCACTGGATTGTCTGGTCTAGAATCGATTATTTACAGACCGCAGCCATATAGCTGGAATATTGCTGAGTGCAACGTAAAACTAAACTCACTCACTCACTCATGATAGGAATCAATGTATTTGCAACAGAATTCTTCTTATAAGTATAAGAATATTCTCATTGACAAAGAAATATATTTTTCAATAAGTGTCAGGTATGTGGACAGTTTGTCCTTCATCTTCTTATATGAATGTGTCCTGGTTCCAGGAAATCCTGGTGACAAGATGGGTGTCATCACAAGAGAGGCAGGAGAAGGAAGTTGAAGAGTTCCCTTGACCTTGATGACTGTCATCACATCCATGACTTTGAGAAATGCCAACGCTAATGCAGCCATTGGCAGCGTGAATGCTGGTTGCTGCCACAGCAGGATTCAGACGTTAATAATGGAGACACTGAGTTGTTGAGAGGAGAGGGTCCAGTTCATCCCCATCATGACAGCAGAGAATCAGCCAGAACACAGTGTACCCACACACTCCTCATCGGGCTCTGATGACAGTGCTGACAGAGATACAAGCATGGAGTACTGGGGATTTGTTTGGCCCAAAATGCTCTCAGAGAGGAAGCAGTGTGCACTGGAGACTTATTTGCCCAAGTATTTCCTTGGAGAGATAAGCATCATGTACTGGGGAAGTTTTTGCCCCGAACCAAAACAGAGATACCAGCAAGGACAGTCTTGACATCTGAACTAATGAACTAGCAGGAGACAACTAAATTGTGCTAACAACAAGTAAAGATCCTCTGATGGTAGTCCACAATTTGCTACCAGATGAATCTGAATAAAACTGATTGAAAATTGTAAACATTTTTGTCTTCATCAAGCAGGACAAGCTCCATACTCTTAGAACTAGTCCTATATTATTTCAACCAGTCCTCTAAATTAGTCTTTGATAAATCCTTACTCAGAATAACCTGAGAAGATCCGCGTTAGAATTGGTTTCAGCAACCCATGCTTGTCATAAGAGGCGACTAACGGGATCGGGTGGTCAGTCTTGCTGACTTGGTTGACACACGTCGTGTCCCAATAGTGTAGATCAATGCTCATGCAGTTGATCACTGGGCTGTCTGGTCCAGTCTATATTGTTCACAGACCGCCGCCATAAAGCTGTATTGTGTGTGGCGTTAAACAACCAACCAACCAACCAAGCCTTACTCTCAGTGACGCAATGTTGGAAGCTGTTGCCACCAGACTGACTGAATAGTGTAACATGAACACAGCAGGTAGGAAGTGTGACTCTTTCCTCCCAGGTTCTAGGAGACATTAATATTAGTCCAAGTAGCATGTGTTTCAACCCACTATACATCTGGAAGTGTTATATGTGAGCAGATATATACTACTCAAAGAAGTTGAAGAACACTATGTATTCCTATGACAGTTGTTAATCTGTCATGGCTTTATGTGTTATAAAACACAGCCTTCCAATGTGTGGAAGTTCCTTAACCTGTCTTGAGTAGTATATAATTGTACTAATTCACTATAACCATCTCATTTGGTCCCGTTTTCAACTATGTCTCAACACCTTCCCAACACAAATTACCAGATGTACCCTAGATTGTACAATAAGCAGCCTCTAGGCATGAGTTATTCTCATTCATTTTACTATAGACCACATCTAAGAACCCACACACAACCCCTAATACATACTAAACCTAATAATGTGCCTATATTTCCAAACCCCGACTTGGACTTACCAAACAGGACTGCTGGGTCGATGGTAACAGAGTTGAAAGAGAAGTGTGAAGCCTAGACTTGAAGCACTGACGAGTTGGCACTGAGGTCAGTGTGAGAGGGAGTTCAACATAAAAGCAACAGCGTGGTGTAAAGTTTAGGGACTTGCTCCTTCCTGTTACTGTTAGACAGAAGAGTAGCCAAGAAGATTATCCAAGCACAGGAAAACAGCTGCCACCACTTTAGGAAATGTCGGGCAATACAATAGAACATATACAGTAAACATCATTCATGGGAGAGTCCAGATCATTTTTTAAAAATGCATTTTTGTGTCACAAAAGCTCATCACATCGGGTTCTAAGGTTCAGGGTGTTGGCGATGTCTTTATGTTTTTAAAAGAATTTCGTGATCGAGCGGTAAATATGTTTCATCAGGAATGGCATTTCACTCTAGAAAGTAGCTCTCGTTACGAATTATATAGAACATTTAAAAACCTATTACAACCTGAACTGTATTTATCTAAACTTACTTTTAAGTGTAACAGAAATATATTTGTCAAATATAGGACAGGTTTGTTGGACTTAATGGTAAATAGAGGCAGAAAACTGTCCATCCCAAAATCTGAAAAATCTTGTCCTTTATGTAATTTTTCAGTAGAAGATGAACTACATTTTACCCTTGACTGTCCATTTTATGAAGATTTACGTTACATGTATATCCCAGAACGTTATCTGTCGGAACCACCACTGTTAGCTTTTACCAGTTTATTAACAACTAATAATGATTCCACCCTACGTAATCTAGCTCTCCATGTTAAATATGCATTTATTCGTCGTAACGAGCACTTACAGTTAACCATGTCTTAATGTATGTAACTCGCTTGTATAAGGGCCGGTGGCCTAAATACAATAAACGATTGTCTTGTCTTGTCTTGACTCCTGATAGGAAATGTCCCAGTTTCTTCATTTCTTGAGCATTTACATCATTTGGTAGCAGACCCAGGTGATTTTGTTGAGCGATTTGTAACCAAGGATGAGTTAACCACTATCATCCAGATAATAAACAACAGTTAAAGAAGAAGATACCTTGAATATCTCCTCTTCCGAAGATGGCAAAGTCTGTTCTATTTCTTAGCTTTGATTGTGCTTCTTCGTGGTGCTGACAAACCTACCATCATAACATAGGCGAAGTAGAATTTCGATTGGCGCCCCTAGGTTTTGACCAGGGGTGAAACTATGCACATCAAACTGCGGCGACTGTGCCCAACGGCATCCTCCAGTCGGGACTTGGAATATAGCATTAAGATTAAGATGTGTCGCAGATGTCGGAGCAGAGACCATATAATATATCATAAGGTCGGAGTAGACAGCCTCTGCTCGGGTACTGTCACCCCTTTATTGGCAAGCAAAGGATATGTGGTGAGTTATTGTGTAGCCAACTTTAATTCAGTGCCACGTGTTAGCAAAGCAAGAGTTCAGGAACATCGGGCGTGGAGAATAGTTGGATGGGTGCCCGAGTTGATGTGTGCGATGTATGTGATGTAGTTGACATGTGATGTTTCTGTGCATGGTCGTACATATAGTCTAATACATTAGTAAGCTTATGTGCCCTATGTTGGGCCAAATATACTTCTCCATTCAACCTTCATCACCCTCAATATCTTTGACAGCAGAGTCTACTGAGTGCATTCAGTTGACTCTGTCAATACCCCGCCATCCCATTGCGATCCTTCGTCGCTCATGGTCATAAGTTTCACCATTCTTGATTACCCAGTGTATCATATCACATAGAATTGAAGTACAATGGACTGGATAAACGAGGGCGGGACATTCCCAAAGTGGTATATGTACACTTTTATTCCTCCAATGGAGAGTACAAGGGAATGTGAGATGAGTTAAGATAAGTTTAAGTTATAGAATATTCATGCATTACAGGTCGCGTAGAGTCCGTTAACAACAGTCAGTGTGTACAGCTCAGTCTCCTCGCCCGAGAGCAGTACTGGGGGACAGCAGGCTGCACACCAGGTCCATATCGGTCTTGTTGTGTAGTTCCACGCTCAACTCCACTGGGCCCACGATGATAATGTCACACCAGAGTTGGTCTCTGCAGCCAGCACAAGCTTCACACGATGTTAGGACATGGATCAGGAGGTCTGCACAGTTCACACTACATTTATCACAAGGTCCATACACACGGCAAGGACGCCAGAGAGCACACATTTGCACTATGAAGAAGCATTGTTGTTTCAAGAAGGGGTATCTTTTGGCAAGTAGCCACGCTGGGTGTGGTTCTATCGAGGGGTGTAATGTCCTGAAGTGTCTGAGATCTGGATCTGATGCCATTCGTTGGTTCCAGGAGGACTTCTCGTATTCCATGACAGAATCTTTTACGATCTGCTTCCAGGAGGGTTGACTCATTAAGATGCCGGAGGAGACGAACTTATCAAGAAACTGCATCAGTTTGTGTCGATATGTGATTCTGCCGAGTACCATCCAATCAGGGAGTTACATATGTCAGATTTAGTAATTTTGGGAGCCCCTGACACATCTTTAAACAGAATCGCTGTGCCCTTTCGACAGTGATAATATCGCCCTTTTTCAACCCTGACCACAATTCGCACCCAAACAAGGCTTTGGGCATACACACAGACTTGACAAGATTGGAGCTGGTAATTGGATTCAAACCACTGTTGTGTAAGCCTGATTTCATCAACATCATTGCAGCTGACTTCATCTTCGAACTTGCGTTTGATGTTCGAGTGTGGCTGCTAAGGTGTGAGTCGAGAAGAATGCCAAGATGCTTTGTGTTGTCCACTTCAGGTAACTTCTTTCCGTAAAGTTTGATATTGCACTTGGTATTTCTTTGCGGATTGGAGACCAAGACGTTGCTTTTTGAGGGAGGGAATGTGAACTGCAATTTGGCACTGTAGTTCTGACACTCTGTTACCATGGATTGTAGAATAGCTGTGATAGGACTGATCAGTGAGATATCATCTGCCTGAGTTGGTGCAGCGAGGTGGAGATCCAGTACGAATGCTCCCTTCTTAAGATGTGATAGGTTTGTCAGAAGCTCGTTGATATAGACCAAGTAGAGCTTGGCAGAAAGGACGCTACCTTGCCTCACTCCACGGTCGAGTTTAAACCAGGATGAGTAGGTAAAGCATATATTAGAAGTCTATGGATTTGGATTTGTTTGGCAAGAACAGATGGTTCGAAGTGAAACGCTATTTTTAAATGAATTTCTTGGTAGACTCAAAGTTTCGTATCAACAGGACTGGCATTCTGCACTAATAAAAGGCACAAAAACATTTGGATACACATTGTTTAAACTTATGTTCGGTGTTGAATCTTATATCTTCATAGTTAGCTATTTTAAACATAGACTTGCGCTTGCTCAGTTTAGATCGGGGTCTCATAAACTACGAATAGAAACTGGCAGGTATATTGGTGAGGCTAGAAATCACAGATTATGTAATATCTGTAAATTGCCATATATAGAAGATGAATATCACTTCTTACTTATTTGTAATAAATATCAAGTATTGCGGCGACTGTATATACCTTTACACTTTTATGAATATCCAACAATCCAAAAATTTAATACGCTTCTGCAATCATCAAATGCAAGCATCTTAAAACATTTATCGGCATATATATATATCAAGCTATGTTACTGAGACAGTCCTCATTATAACATATTTTCTCACTCTGTAATTCTCAAAGTGTAACCTGTGCCTATGGCCTATATTACTTTTCTGAAATAAACCACCATTAGGTATTGTTGGCGAGAACACAACTTTCCATTCCAAAGTATGTATTGCAGAAAATGCGCCACACACCTGGATGAATGTTCAACTCCTTCAGCTTCCAGAGTAGCCCATCATGCCACACAGTGTCGAAGGCTTTACTACTGTCCAAGAACACCACTTTCAGAGAGTCATTCCGTTCCTTGTAGTGGTAGACTGTCTCCTGTAGGAAGAATGATGCATGAAGAGACGAGAGGCCTTTCTGGAAGCCGCATTGCTGAAGATCAGGGAAATCTGTGGAGTCTTGAAATTGTGGGATCCGTTTCACTATGACCTGTTCAAAGAGTTTTGAAATAACAGGCAACAGAGTCACTCATCTGTATGAATCTAAGGACGTCCTTGGTTTACCTCCGCCTTTGAAGATTGGGATGATGATACCTATCTTCCACTGGGATGGGATAAAACCTGTGGTGATTATTCTGTTGAATAGTTTAGAAAGATAACAATGAAGAGTTGAGCCTCCATCAACCCCACAGGCCTTGTTATTTTTCAGAGATTTGCAAAGATTGCTTACCTCAGACTGAGAGGTCAGAAGGCTCTTGACGTCGATTAACTTGTTAGAGGTACAATGTTTTAGTTCAGCAACTCTGCCTTCTAGATAGTCTTTAAAGGGTAAACGAGGGCGGGACATCCCCAAAGTGGTATGTTTAATGCTACACTTAGCAACATTCCAGCTATTTGAAGGCGGTCTGCAAATAATCGTGTGAACATCCAGTGATTATCATCATGATCATCGGTCACCCAAATTGGATACAATGACATGCAGACATCGGGCCTCCCCAACAGATCCATGTTGTTTATCGCTGGTAGTAGCTTACGAGAAGCACTAGTTGTTGAAGATCAGTTTTAACAAGGAATCCTCACGGGATCAGAAGGCATCCATAAACAGAGGTACCTTGGAGCACGGGCATTATTTTGTAATCACATCTTGAGTCCCTGTCGCGATGCTTAGAATAGTAATGTAAAAGTTATTGGAGTTCCCACAGAGATGGTTCAGAGACGAAAAAAACCACTCCCAGTATATCTCGTCTTGGAGTCCCTGCCATGATATTCAGTATAGCGGTGTTAAACAACACTCCCATAATATCACTAACCTTAGTGTGAACTGTAACTTCTCAACTATTTCAGTCAGATAAGAGCCAATTCCCATATCTTATCATGTAGGATATGCTATATATTGTTGGCCACAACCACAGATGGGCAGCTCGCACGGTGCCACCAGTTCACCAGCGGCCATGTGTTCACTAACACTGGTAGGTTTGGTTCTGCTCGGGGCAGTAGCCGCAGATGCAGGTAAACCTATCTCTATGCAATATATTTCAGTTTGATTCTACTGAACACTGCGTTAGATTTATAGTATCTACAGCTGTCTTCTTACTGCCATGGCAGTCCACTGATAGTTAGAGGTAGCCTGTCTGTGTCTTTCAAGCTCACAGAGGACACATATCTATTTACATATGTCGTCTTTACGTTTTTAATATCTTTAGAATGAAAATAGGTCTAAAACTGAATCCAGAGAAAACAAATGTCATGATATGGAGAGCGGTGAACAAATTCGAAGCAATGATCCAATCCGGTAAATAACCAATATAGACCACTTAGGAATTGGCTAACGTAGCTTCTAAGCTTCAAACGTCGTTGTAATGACCACGTATTAAATACATTATTGCTTATGTAAGGCAAAGGTTATGAGAAAAGTATGAGGTCAATACTGTATTGTACTGGTATGTGTGTGTGTGTGTGTGTGTGTGTGTGTGTGAGAGAGAGAGAGAGAGAGAGAGAGAGAGAACTGAGTGTGTGATCTGAGTTTGAGTGTGCGTGTGTGTGAGAGAGAGAGAGAGAGAGTATTGTAACGAGGGGTGATCCCCATGCCTGTCGTCTGAGATGAGCCTACGTGCGCTCATTCCTTCTTTATTAGGCTTTCAGCATTTTTGTCAGTAAGTGCATATTACCTGTTCAAATTGATTAGACTACGTAAACAAGAAGACCGTATTAATCAATAAGGCAAATTATGTTCCAAGTTATCCCGGCTGTCACACACTGTACTGGTTCCAATTTCACTGGAGACATACGTTTTCCATAGCACGTACATGTATTCCCCTTTATGCACGTGATGAGCTTGGCTTTAATAACATGATAACGTTTGGAAATTTAGTTTATGTCTACTACCAAATCAATATAGGTCTTGGTCGCATAACGTATTACTGATTGTAATGCAAGTTGGTGAGTGAATGAGTTTAGTTTGACGCCCCACTCAGCAATATTCCAGCCATATGGCGGCGGTCTGTAAATAATCGAGTCTGGACCAGACAGTTCAGGGATCAACAGCATGAGAATCGATCTGCGCAATTGGGAACCGATGACATGTGTCAACCAAGCCAGCGAGTCTGACCACCCGATCCCGTTGGTCGCCTCTTACGACAAGCATGGGTTACTGAAGGTTCATTCTAACCCGGACCTTCACGGGTTGCAAGTTGGTCCTTAACAAATAAGGTACACTCAACCCAGAGCAAATACATTAACAGATAAATATACACACAGACAGTAGGTCAATGCCAGCAAAGGTTTTCCAAATCATAGTAAAGGTTAAATAAAATGTTAACATATAAATGGTTCTAAAGCTCATCCAGTATTAAGTACCTTAATATTCTGGAGTACATTCAAAACCAATTTGATGTGTTGTCATTTGCTTTTACATCAAGGTACTCAATGTGTATATGTTGACAGAACCAGACTAGCTATATTCTGGATGAATATGGATTACTGATTCAGTTAGGGTACTTTATGAATTATCCCATGACTGCTTACAGATGGAGGTTTCTCCAAAGGAAAAGAGTTCATGGCCGCCTTCATGTTCAACTATGGCGTGGGGGAGAGCAACACCACGGCCAACTATGTGTTCGTATCACCCGAAGGGGACGGCACGGTGGATCTGAGCATGTTAGCGGTGGGGAATGCCCCACCCTGGAAGGCCACCCACAACCTGACAGCTGGAACTACCCTCCGAGTTGACATCCCAAACCAGTCCGAGATGCCCAATACCATGACCCTAGAGCAGCGGGGAATCACCATAACTTCTGATGTGGACATTTCTGTGTACGCCATGAACGACAACGTCAACGCCTCCGCGGCCGACGCTGCAGAAATCCTGCCTGTGTCAGCACTGTCTACGGACTACGTCGTTCCAACGCCAACTAAAAACCCCGTCATCCTCGTTGTAGGAATTACAGCCAATACTGATGTGAAAGTGACACTGGCGTCTACCTGCAGCGTTAAATACAAGGGACAGACATATAAAGGTGGCAGCACTTTCACAGAAACTCTTGGAAAGTCGGACGTCTTCCAGATCATTTCTGCCTTCTCTACAAGGTCTGCGTGTGACTTTACTGGCACCGCTATAAACGCCAGTCAGCCGGTGGCAGTTTATTCTGGGTCTTCATGCTATTACACTACCAAGTCCGCCGGGTGTGATCACTTTATTGAGCAGGTGGGTTGTGTCTAGTGCCTAGAGCATGTCTTTGTGTTGGCTGCCTTAACAGAAGACCTGGGCCTAGATTTTCGAAGTTCTGTTAGAGCAAAGATAGTCGTAAGTTGATGTTAATGTATGGCACTTACGACTATCTTAGCTCTAAGAGAGCTTCGAAAATCTAGGCCCTGGACTGTGGCTGGTGTAGAGTTAGGCTCCAATCTATGGCCTTTGTGTGTGGGTCGATGTCTTTTTGTCTGATTGGTCATGTTTGGCTGATCGATGGCCTTTGTGCCTGATTTATGGCTTGTATGTTGGGTCGATGGCCTTTAGTGTCTGATCTATGGCTTGTGTGTTGGGTCGATGGCCTTTGTGTCTGATTTATGGCTTGTGTGCCTGATCTATGGCCTTTGTCACTGATCTATGGCTTGTGTGTTGGGTCGATGGCCTTTGTCACTGATCTATGACTTGTGTGTTGGGTCGATGGCCTTTGTCACTGATCTATGTAGCTGGCCTGTGTGTTGATTCATGTGTGTGGGGTCGATGGCCTTGTCACTGATCTATGACTTGTGTGTTGGTCGATGGCCTTTGATCTATGACTTGTATGTGTTATGGCTGTTGGGTCGATGGCCTTTGTCACTGATCTATGGCTTGTATGTTGGGTCGATGGCCTTTGTCACTGATCTATGACTTGTGTGTTGTCGATGGTGTCACATGATGGCTTGTGTGTTGGGTCGATGGCCTTTGTCACTGATCTATGACTTGTGTGTGTTGGGTCGATGGCCTTTGTCACTGGGTCGATGGCCTTTGTCACTGATTTATGGCTTGTATGTTGGGTCGATGGCCTTTGTCACTGATCTATGACTTGTGTGTTGGGTCGATGGTCTTTGTCACGATCTATGACTTGTGTGTTGTGCATGATCTATGGCTTGTGTGTTGGGTCGATGGCCTTTGTCACTGATCTATTGCTTGTGTGTTGGGTCGATGGCCTTTGTCACTGATCTGGCCGTGGCTTGTTGGGTCGATGTTGCGATGGCTTTTGTGCCTGATCTATGACTTGTGTGTTGTTGGGATCGATGGTCTTTGTCACTCATCTATGACTGATCTATGACTTGTGTTGGGTCGATGGCCTTTGTCGCTGATCTATGGCTTGTGTGTTGTGCATGATCTATGGCTTGTGTGTTGGGTCAATGGCCTTTGTCACTGATCTATGACTTGTGTGTTGTGCATGATCTATGGCTTGTGTGTTGGGTCGATGGTCTTTGTCACTGATCTATGACTTGTGTGTTGTGCATGATCTATGGCTTGTGTGTTGGGTCAATGGCCTTTTGTGCATGCTCCATGGCGTGTGTGTTGGGTCGATGGCCTTTGTCACTGATCTATGGCTTGTATGTTGGGTCAATGGCCTTTGTGCCTGATCTATGGCTTGTATGTTGGGTCGATGGCTTTTGTGCCTGATCTATGGCTTGTGTGTTTGGTCGATGGTCTTTGTCACTGATCTATGACTTGTGTGTTGTGCATGATCTATGGCTTGTGTGCTGGGTCAATGGCCTTTGTGCCTGATCTATGGCTTGTATGTTGGGTCGATGGCCTTTGTGCCTGATCTATGGCTTGTATGTTGGGTCGCTGACCTTTGGGACTGCTATATGGCCGATGTGTAGAGCGGATGGCATATGAGACTGCTATATGGCCGATGTGTAGAGCGGGTGGCCTATGAGAATGATCTATGGCTTGTATGTTGGGTCGATGACTGCTATATGGCCGATGTGTAGAGCGGGTGGCATATGAGACTGATCTATGGCATTTAGTCCGGTTTATATACTGTGCTTGAATGACGACCTTTATTGTCTAATCAGTTGGAAATTATCATGTCTGTGTTGTATTTGTTTAGACTTTTGGCCTGTGAATTTCACATTCAGAAGTTTTCGCTGTTTACAAACATGTTGGTGTTGATTGCATTCAACCATCTTGGTACATAAACAGTCATATTTAGAAATATTATCCGTTGATAGGTACGGGTTATCCAGGCGTCTTAGGCAGCAATTAGCTTTGCTAACTTGGGCACCTGGGCACTCTTGGGCCCTTCAGAACCTTATCGCAAGTTGGAAACCCGGTTCACCCTGATCGTGTTTCCAGGTGTGCCAGCACTATACCCGTGGGGTTCACCAGTGTGCTAGAGGCCTGCAATGCTTCCGGTTTAAATACTGTCCAAAGCGACGTTAAATCAAACTCACTCACTAAACGTGTGTGTTGCAGGTTATACCAAACGAGTTGCTCGGGACTCGTTTCATCGTCCCCGACGTATTTGACAACAGTAACTACAAAGTGAAGGTAATGGCACCCTTTGACTCCACTCACATCTACTTGTATGAGCACCACAAAGACTTCACCGTCCACAGCTACCAGATTGACATCGACAAAGGCGACTTCAGGGACTACACGATTCCCGATGGTACAACTATGGAGATATTCAGCAACAATCGTATCCATGTCATTCAGTATGATGGTAGTTCAACACCCTTCAGCCTCCCGATCCCGGCTGTGAATAGCTACGGCTGGAACTACACCTTCTCCACCATGGACAACCCGACATCCAAATTCTTCCTCAGCTACATAAATATCGTGGCAAAAAGCGATTCAGCGCCCTATCTAACCCTAGACGGGTCTACAGTAGATCCTTCAAAATGGCAACGAGTGAGGGATCTTGGGTATTCTGTGGCCACTATTTCCATCCCCCCTGGCAACCACAACGTGGAAGCAGACGACAACTTCATGGTGCAAGTGTACGGCTATGATGGCGTGTCTTCTTATGCCTTCCAGGGAGGCTACTACTTCACTAAACTACCTCTTCGTAAGTGTAACACGTGTAAACTAGTCCGAAACCTGATTAAGTCAGGGATGAGCAAGTGAGTGGGCTCAAGACGCCCTCCTAAATGTCCAAGCAATATCACGGGGGAGGGGAGGGGGAGGAGGAGGAGAGATAATGCTAATCACGGATTACGAACTGTTTACACGCTGTATGCACCTGGGAATCATACCAGGTATAAACGTGCAATATAAGGGACCGTTCATAATTTATGGATGATTTTTATGGAGAGGCTTGTACAATGTGAATGACCCTCCTAAATTTTATCCACAAAATAAGTGACCCCTGCATGTCATGTACAAAATCAATTAAACCCCACCCCCACCCCCATAATTTCTAAGCATAATTTTAAACATATTTTTATGTACAAAATTGATTAAACACCCACCCACCCCAGTACGTGTGTACAAAATTGATGACCTCCCCAGCTCGCCAGAACAAAATGGGTGACACCCTAGCTCACCAAAATCATCATCACACACCCCACACCCCTAGCCATAAATTATGAACGGTCCCTAATTGCAACCCTTGGTTCGTACCAGGATCTGCTCATCACAGGTTCGATTCCCCGATACGCCTTAGTTATGCTATTTAATCTATCAGCACTACACTTGTGCAAGTTTGTTAAACCAACGTGGCAAACATTTAGATGGTTCCTTCCTCCACATAACTGAAATACTGTTCAAAGCTGTTTTAAATCCACTGAACAAAGTCATTATTTCAGGCGTTAGTTAAAGCATGTTCCATTCCTCCAGATTACACACCGCCCACTCACCTCCCCGGCCATCATACACCAAGCACCACCATTGCAGCGTGTGTCGACAGCCCTGGTGTCGACTGCAAAGTCCTCGACGGATCCATAGGCATCTGCAAGAACCCAGATGGAGCTAAAAACTATTGTCCGAAATATTGCAATCTGTGTTCTGGCTGCACATCACCCGGCGGCTGTATTGTTGGCTAGGCAACCAGACACTGTGCTTGTACAATGACTGCTCAACTCAAATAGTGCCCATGGTCAAATAAAAGCGTTCATTAAACCAAGTCTCCACAGTTTATAAGATTTGGGAAATATGTTCTTCAATATCCAAAGTCCATCTTTATGTTCACATCACGTGTTTTATGACGTTAAAATACATACACGATGATAATAGAATAGACCAATGGCTAGGTATCTTAGGACAGTAGCTGTCTGAGGGTCAAGTCTCGACTAACGCAAAGGATACTGTTTAACGCTATGGCGAATCACTGCCACGTTGCCACGTAGTGGCTTATGATACATATATAGTCAGCCTTCAGTATTCCACATCTGATATCAGTGGCCAACCCGACCCGCCCCACTAGATTTCTTGCAGCTTACCAACACGACTCTGCGCTGATGGTCATTAAAATAATAGCCCTGCTTGTTATCAAGTGAGTGAGTGAAACGTGCCAGTGTGTTACTGTATATTATTTGAATGATAAAAACAGACAGACTGAAAGTTGTTCCTATTGTGTTTTAAACTCAATGAAGCTTTATTTTTTAAAATAGGGCATCTGTCACGTCAGGAACTGATACGTGCAACTGGCATGTTGGAAGTTGGAACAAGACAGTGCATTGACAATAATAAGCAGATTATCATGATAAGGTTGATGACAGACGTCGTCCTGACGCATAAGACTGGTACCTCGTGCGCTACTGTGTTAGGAAACTGTGATGAAAGAGCCTCTCAAATTGGAGATGAGCATCACATAGCTTCAGGTGTCAGAGTGAGTGTGAGTGTGTATGGTTTTACGCCGCTTTTAGCAATATTCCAGCAATATCACGGCGGGGGACACCAGAAATGGGCTGCACACATTGTACCCATGTGAGGAATCGAACCCGGGTCTTCAGCGTGACGAGCGAATCAGGTGTCAGAGTGAGTAACAAGGGAATTTGTAAATAGGGTACAAGATGAACGTGTATGCCCGACGTCCACGTGTTTTCCCACCACTGACGGACCGTGACACTACTGCAAGACGTCGTTGGTGTCAAGAGCGATAGCGCGGGACCAATCGTCGTTGGGCAAACCTTATTTTTACGGATGAATCAAGGTTTACATTCGACTTTCTTGACAGGAGCAACAGTGTGTGGCGCAGGCGGAATAAGCGGCTTCGTGCCGTTAACGTTAGGTGGGTGATGGATCAGTAATTTTGTGAATAGATCAGTAATGGTGTGAGTTAGGACAGGGATAGTCTCCCTGGTTGGGATAACTGTGACTGGCAGAAGACGATACACGTTATTCAAGTCACTGAGGAGTACTACCGTGACAACATCCTGGACGTACACATGGTGGCATGGGGCCCGACAGGGACATCGTTTTTTGTCTCACGATGACAACGCAAGAGCACACGGAAAGATATAACATATCAATAGTTATGGCGCCGTTTTATTGAATATCCTCTACTTCTTTTAAATAGTATAATTGCAGAGTACAGTACTGAATGCCCTTCACTCTCACAAAGACGTGAGTGAGTCAACTGGGTTTATCCTGCTACTAAAAGCATTCCAGCTATATCAAGGTGTGTCAGGTCAATGTTGAAGGGCAGTCCACAGTGATCTTCAGATCATGCACAGGACACATAATCTTGATGCCAACAGCCTGATAATGAAAAAAAGTCTGTACCATACCACCTTGTGACTGATATCATAAACAACAATCCATGTCATGGAGGTAAGATGACCAAGCCTGACCTACTGATTTCTTGTCCCCTCTAGCACCATCTTAGATTGTTGGCTATCAGTGTAACTGGAAAACCCACAGGCAAGATCAGTTCTGACAGAACCTCACATCCTGGTATATCTAGGAATGCACACTGGACAGCATCTAGTGCCTTGTATCACTAGTGACTGCTGATACAAAACTTTGAGGAGGCAAAATACAGTAAGTAAAAATCATCGTTTATTTGCTTGATCATTTCATGATAATATAACAGAGAAAGACGGTAATTACAAATATCAACTCCACATGGATCTGACACATAACAAGATGGTCGAGTTATTTTGTTCATGGCTGCTACATTTCTCTGCCAGCCAGGTTCTTTGATGATAGCTGATGTGTTTGAGAATGAGGGAACTGTCCCACAACACAATGTCCATGTGAACAAGGGTTGCTATGATACAGAAAACATAGACATGGGCAATCAAATACATGTAAATGAGATCTTTTACAATATACAATCCATTTTTGTGTCAAAATCAGAGGACATTGTTATAGCAGGTCATGTCAGGAGAGCCCTGAGCAGATTAAAAAAATCAATCTGAAGGAAAGATGCCAATTTGATGTCAGTTTTCTGAAATGATTCAGCTTCATTTCTTTACAGTTTTATGCCTCATCACTGACAGAATCTCAGATGGCATCCTCAGATGTTCACACAGAGAGGCATTGTGTTGGAGAAAAAGATCTGATATCAATGAGGTGAATTAATCTATTACGTTGATCTTGAATGATCAAATGTACATGTACATCATCTGACAAAACAGAGCAGGTACTTCCTCTCAACAGGAGTGGCACCTGTTGTGTTGTTGGAGAGTTACCTCTAAGCCTTACATCTTATTAGTTGGTTTACAAGACTGACCAACAAAAGCAGAACACCTGAAATTGAAAAATGATAATGGAACCAGTGGGTCTTGATTCTGTTTTACTATAGGTGAAAAGAAAAAAAAGGATATTTTTTCACAGCTGTTTGTAACAAATGGTGAAAAATACATACAAATATCTTTATGCTATCAATAAAAAACCCTAATAAATTATCTTTAAATATTGTTTTGCAATTGTACTTGTGATCGTGTGACTTACAATTTTGTTAATTTTTATTTATTAATTAGTTACTGGACTCATCTGGAAAAGGAAATGTGATTAAAGAAAATTAAACCACTCACATCTTATGCTAATGTCTTGTAAACCAACTTTTAAAAGATACAAGGCCCTTCATACATAAGCACAAATACAGAATGCAGACAGAGCTGACTAGACAATCAGATCCAATATATACACATATACCAACATAGTTCACAGCCAAAACAACATGACATCGTGTGGAATGTACATGTCAAGGAATTCATGTCAAACAAGTTCCCTGTATCCACCAACCAAACTACACCACTCCCTTACCACTACCTTATGACATGTGTATCTAGAACCTTGTGTATACTGGGACATGGCAGTACACAAGCTAGTAGAAGTGGCCAGTCTTTAATACCCTACATATGGCATATCTGAATAGCAATAAATAGTAAAGTCTACTTTGAAAAATGTTTACAGTTTTAAAAAAATCCTTTCAAATAACTGAAGATTTGTAAGAAATATACCCATTACCCCTGAAGAGTAGATACACTCACTAACTAGACAAGCTATTTGAAAACATATGAAACGTTTTGAGCACTAATCATCAAAGAAACAAAGGGTTAATATTAATTCAGGATAAACATATTGCAGCTGAAATGACCTAATCAAATATTACCAATTATCTACTGATATTCCCTGGAACTCCAGGATCCAGCTGTCTTCAGCTGAGGGGTTACATACTTCAAACCATGTCTACCAGGCACCATGGCAACCAGAGCATGACTAAAAGTTCCAGGTTATCATGAAAGATACATCTCCTTAACACATTGCTGTACAACCCCAATATTGCGAAGAATGTCAATACATACTCAAAACGGTCAAAGTAATGACTGATATAGCACTAAGATAAAACATTTGATTCAATCTCTTGACACTAACATACCATTCGTACACAGTAGCTAAGGGCACTTACTTATCCTAGATAATCCAGAACACTTCCTGTTCAGGGACTGCAATGGTTAGACATACTGATCAGTCGAGTTCTACCATGTTGTCTCTACACAGACTACAGACCAGCATGTGCCAACACTACTGTGTACAATACTAAGCTCATTACTGTTGAGGTTAATATTTAGTTCTGATCTCCTACTGCACCAGGTGAATACTGAGACTGTTCTACAGGCTATGTTGTGCTCATGTTGTCGATGTTCATCTATGCTTTTGCAGCTGACATTACTGGTGTGTCCGTCTTTGGTGCCTCCAACTGTTTGCCTAAGTATTCCCTGAAACATGAAGGAAATTGTTCGTTTGGTATTTCTCCAGGATGTATCCTGATAGTCATCATATCACCACACAGCCTGAATTACAACAGTAGGTTCAGTCACACTCATAGCCCTGTGTTACTTAACCTTCAGCAAATCTTATTAGGAATTACTTACAGGAATCTCAGCATATACACAGGACATCACCCTATTACACTTTGGGTTAGCTTAGTGGGTAATGCATTTGCTTTTTCACTCCGACTCCCCATATTTGATCCTCCACATGGGTACAATGTGTGACGCCTATTTCTAGTGTCCCTGCCATGATATTGCTGGAATAATGCTAACTATGGCATCAAATCATTTCCACTCACTCGGTCTACTACAATGACAGAATGACAATGTAAATGACTGTTTTCAGCACTGATCACTCAAACATATATTCCAGATCCTTTCAACAACCAAACTTGGATGTTATCAGTCCTTTTTGGAGACCTAGAAATGTTGTCCTCCGTAATAAAGACAGGGAACATATGTGGTAGGACACTGACTAAGGCATACAGACATTCCTACAACTCACCAGTTGTGGACCATCAGCTTCTGTACAGCAATGAGTGCCTCATATCTGACGTTGGGGTCTTCGTGGCTGAGGTACTGCATGACGATGTGCTTGGCCCCCAGCTGTTCTATCACACTGCAGGAGAACATGCACCTATGTATACAGACTTAGACATTCTTTTTAGACACTAGTCCAGAGTACTTGTGACAGCTTTTTTTCATTAATCCCAAATGTCTGTAGGTAATGATGCTTCACTCAGACGTTATTGTTAACTATTTTTATATTTTTAGTCTGCTAAATTCAGTTTCAATTTGTAGCAAAACTAAAGAATCTTTTAAAGGTTGAGAATTTAATTCCTCAAATACTACTATGCTAAGAGTACATGTATGATGGGATTTAAACTTGTGCTTAGCACAGTTTTGTAACAGACACTGTTCACTATGTTACATAAACCATATGTTTAGGCCAATGTCTGATCTATTTAGAGGGTGTCATTTGTTGACGCCCTACTTAACTCAGAACACATACCATGCATACACTCAAATTAAACATATAAGGCCAAATATAGGCCCTCTCCTGTCAAGAAGAGTTGAGGCCTTGTGATTTTGTTTTTTGTGTACATTGGCATCTAATGCACATGAATTGAAGAAGATATCACACTTTCATATCTGATTAACACACACAAAACATTGGAAACAGTTGGTGGATGGTAACATGACCTGATAAGTCCCCACTTACTTCTTGCCTCTTGGGTAGTATCGGACGTACTCGCCAATGTCATGTGCTGCTACAGACAGGATTAAAGGGTCCTTACTTGTCTCCAGCAGACGCACAAGTATCCTGGAAACGGTCATTGTTAAGGTCAGTATCAGGAAATCATGATTCTTCTAGATTTTCGATCCAGAGGACTCTGTACTAAATATATGTGGTCAGAGCCATCAAAATTGTGATTGCCACATACACCAGTGTATGAACAACCAATAAAGTACAAACTAAGAATGCTGCCTTAGATAGTCATAGAGCCTCACCTATCAATCTACCAAGTCACTTCTTAGGACCAAATGGTGAAGATTCGGGTTAGAATTGATCTCCAGCAACCTATGCTTGTTGTAAGAGGCGAGTAATGGGGTTGGTGGTCTGGCTCACTGACTTGGTTAACACAGGACATCAAAGATGCATAGTTTGATGCTTATGATGTTATTTCAATCACTGGATTGTCTGGTCCAGACTCGACTATTTAAAGACCACCATCATATAATGGAATATAGGTGAGTTCTAACATGAAATACCCAAAGGGATCCATCCATTTATATGCCAAAACTTAGTGACTGAATGTACAAACATAGATTGTGTCTTATCACAACAGAAATGTCACATAAAAAGAAGGACGTTACACTATTTCATTGTGCTGAGACTTACTTGAGCAGTTCATAACTCTTCTCATTGAGCCTGATGGCATTCTCCCGCCAGAACCTGTCTGACTTGTGGACTGGGCTCCACTCAAGGCGGCCCGATTTTACTTCAGTAGAATACTCATCAAATGAGCTGGAAACACATAAAATCCAGACATTAAACCATCTGTTTTAAAACCTTCACATCACAGTATGTTTAGATATTTTAAATCAGGCATCTTATTCAAATGAATGATTAAAGATTCAATCAGCACCACCCACCTGAGGTCAGCCACTGAGCGCTGTAGCTTCTCATTGAGGTACGCGAGGTCGTCGACAATGAGGTACGCGAGGTCGTCGACAATGTCCTGGTCATCAAACTTGCGCCCATCCAGAAGCTCCAGCTGTTTGAGGACCTTACACTGCACCATGGACAGGGCGTGGTCCTGCACGATATCACGGTCCTCTGGCTTCTCTAATAGATTCTATAACCACAGTGGAGACAGTCAGATTTCCCTTCATTTGAACAGGTTCAAGTAATCTACTACTGAAAACATGTTAAATAACTCCAACAATCGAAAGGGTGCTTGCAGCAAACAGCTTCTGTGACGTTAATTATATATATATATATGAAAACATTAGGGTTGGGTGTTCTTTACCTTCTCTTGACTATTAGAATGTTTGGGATCAATACGAAAAGAAGGTGTGATGCAGGTAAAAATGGCATCTCTTGATACCAACACTGTACCTGTTTGTGCATAAGCTGTACCTACCCTGAAAGTGGCTAGGATTATCCTGGTGACTTTCTCCTTGACGGACTCACTGAGGATGTCGGCCAGGATGGGGATGATATTGTATCTAGGGACCAGAGAAGAAACACGCAAAATGAAATGCTGAATGTATTTCAAAGGATCATCTCAAAATCAAACTGAGAGGAAATTGTCCAAGAAACTTTCCACAGAATTTCAGAAAAAAAGGGACAGTGAATGGTGAAGACAAAATCATAACAAAGCAGTTGACAGCTATTTTGGAGAGGCTGACAAGTCCACCAAAACATATCATTCAAAGTAACCTAAGGGATGGATATAATTTCTTGACTCTCACCCCACAGCCTACGTGTCGAAATCCCTTTCTGTACATAAGGGACAGTGGGGTTCGCCGTTGCTTGTCACACCTCAAGGCCAAAGTTACATTCCCCACATAGCGACCATGTATGATGCCTATTTCTGGTCCCCACCTTTATGATAATACTTAAACATTACTAAACCAGTCACAAAGATGATTCTACACAGACTGACACAATCTATCAACAAAACCAATGTGAAAGATATCTAAAATAATAGAGTCCATTTCTCTTCCTGTCTCTGGACTGGGCAAAAGCTGAAGAACTGCATCTCAAGATTGTAAGATTCCCACTGAGACGTAACCTGGCCATGCGTTCTGCCAGCGTGCTGTTGAAGGTCAGGCACCACAGACAGAAGGTCAGCTGGTACTGAATCTGGAAGCCCACCTTGCTGCCAGCCAACACAGATACGATCCTGGAACAGTCATGGAAGGTCCATGAGTCAAGGTCATAAACTTATATTACAATATGATACAGTATTTCTTCCAAACAACACACTACCATGTTCAGATTTGTTGGCTTGTTTTAAAACACAGTGATTATTTAAATCAAACAAGAGAAGCATTACAGAATCTTATTGGCACCAGGAAGTGGCAAGGTCATCTCAAATTCTGGATATCTAAATATAGGAGCAAAACTATCTCTTGGCATAAGTTTTAATTAGATTTTAGCATGGACTATTATGTTATGGGTACTAGGCCAAACAACAATTTACTAGACTTTGGTATCAGCTGAAGGATTTCAAGAAAACAGGTTTTCATCATAGGTATGTTTCATTTTGCCAACTATATTCTGATGTAGCAACTTAGAAAATATTTAAGGTATAAACCTACACATGTTATTTGTCATCATTCACTTGATGGTCAGTTAATGAATTTATAACAGGTATAATTAGTGGTAACACACTTAGATTACCCAACAAAGGTTCCCATTTGGCATTTCTTGTGTCTGGAGTAAATATTCAACATTATAAACATCGATCAAAGGATTAACCGATAACACGCTGATTGATTAATTACTTTTATCTTACACAGCTGAGATTGTCAAAAGGTAGTGTTTACGCATGTAGATTTACTAATCTATACTGAATACACTCTGTCGTGTCGGTAAGTGTCTGCGTAAAACAACGTCCTTCTTTCAAAGGATTAACCGCAATACATTGATTGATTGCCCATTATTGGCTAACTAAATTACTGTTTTTAAAGAAAGGCAGACATTATGCAATTAGTTGCCAGGTGTGCTATCTTGGGTGACCAATGAGACTATACACCAATACCTGAAAAGATTTATCACTTTTTTAGGTATATTAAACTGTTAAAAGACACATCATTTGGAACAGTTTTGTGGATATTAATGGATACATTCTCGAACAAGGTAATGGCCTGATATTGTTCTATAACTTTAATCTGTTTTAATTTTAAAATTTGCATTTTGTTTTTATTCATTTTGTCGTAGCATTCAACAGAATCATTGTTTTCACCCGTGAAGTGTAATGAGACAGACAACATGCACTAGGGTGTGTGTCGCGAATTATGATTCACATTGGCAAACTATAAAATGTCTAGATATTACAGTTCTGTTATAAATTCACTATAAGTATCAGCAGATCGTCTGCTTTTTATTTAGTTTCAAAATGCATACAAGTGTGATAATAAACTAATTAGGATTATAAGACCAAATATAAAGACGCACATTGACTAGTATCTACATACTGGTGAGTGGACATTAACCATGGGAATGTAGCAAAGAAATTTATCGCGCCCAGTATTGTGACTTCGACCCCCACCTCGCTTCCGTGGAAGAAATCGTTATGTTATAAGTTGTGTCATGCAAAATCCGTTTGGTTATGATTCCAATACTTATTTAACAACGAGTAGAAAGTAGTCTTGATTTTCTAACTTGATGAAAACAAACTATAATCTCATTAATTTATACAAACCTGTAGAGGTTATGAATTCTTTGAAGAAAGTCCTCCTTGGGGTACTTATAAGCATTAAAATGTCCATTTTGAAACCTACGACAGTTGTAACTATATTTCAATAAAAATATTTACAAAAGCGAAACACCGTTCTGCGTTATGAGACCACCCCTACAGGGCCCCAGCTGATTTACCGCACTGAGCAGTAACTCTGGCCGACAACCTCGCCTCACTTTTCATGCTGAACGGATCAGACAGAATGAGGGGCGGGTGGCTGCATTCAAGGAGGACTTTCTTCAAAAGAATTCATAACCTCTACAGGTTTGTATAATTCTTTTCAGAAGAAGTCCTCCTTGGGGTACTTATAAGCATAAAACAGACTCCACAAGATCAGAGAAAACCGGGAGTGGCATTCTGTCTGACACACTGGTCGAGCGCTTATAGCGTTAGTACAGCCGTATGAAAATAGAAATCACACTTACCCAGTCCGCGTGTCCGCCCAATGTCAATCAAGGTGGCTGACTAAAGGCTGAGACCCTGGGAGGTCAAAGCTTAGTGCCCATTGGTCAATCGGTACACACCCCAAGATAAAAACTACACCTCCCATCCTGATTGGTGGAGTGCGAGGTAAAACTAGGGACTAAGCCAAAACAAACTGTCCATGCACACCGCTAGCCAAAAGCTGGGGAAAAATGGAAAATAGAAGCCAAAGGCACCGATGCCAAAGAGCGGAAATAAAACATACCACATACCTTCACCGGTGCAAAATAGGGAGAATATACCCGTACACCAGTATAAAACAATGAGTAAATCAGCCACGGAAGCACTATCGGCCTGGGCGTGCTACTCTGTCCACTGTGGAGAATCGTCTGGCCAAACCGAGCAGCGGCCGCAGCGAATGTTTGTCCAGCTGATAGCCATGGCGAATGAGCGGATGCTCGGTCGGCTCCAAATAGCCGCGAGAACATATCTCTCAATGGGCAGAGCAGCCGCATAACGGCTTTGGGCGTGGCAGCTGCTTTCGAACCGATGAGCCTTAAACCCTCTGGGGAGTCATACCCTTGTGTATATGTAACCCATACATATTGCCGATACGATCCACCTCGATATGGTCTGTGTATTGGTAACTGGGTGACCTACTTTACGCCCCGTAACAGCAGAATAACTGCTTATCTTTACGGATTGTGTTCTCTTGACATCGTCTTAAGTGTCTTCACGCATACATCAACATTATGTACTGCATGCGCTGCTACCAGGCAAGCAGGAAGCGTAAAGAGCAGGTAAATCAATAGGGCGGTGACATGAAGCGGCTTTGACATCGATTTTTGGGCGGTAGGAATCAGGTAAAGAATACTTACCCTATCCTTATGAAAAGCGGTAAGCTCGGGTCTGAAGACATAGCCATGAATGTCTCCCACCCGTCTACCTGAAGTAATGGCCACCAAAAATGCCGCTTTCCAACTTAATAGTTGAAGGTTATCCCGACCTATCATCGTGAAGAAAGGACTAGATAGCCAATCTAAAGCGATGGACAGCTCCATGGTGGACTGGTCCCGACGGACTGACGGGCGCACTCTGTCCACACCTGCTAAGCAACGCTGAACCAGAGGGTGTTGTCCTAAAAGGGCACCCTCGGTAGGAATGTGGAAAGCTGAAATAGCTGTGGAGTAGCCTCGGATAGTAGACACGGCTAGGCCGGCTTCTAACCGGACTGTAAAACTCCAAAACTTCGACTACAGTCGAAGAAAGGATCAAGTATCCCTCTGTTTCCACACCAGCGCGCATAACAGGCCCATCTATCCTCATACTGTAAGTTAGTCGAATCCCTCCGCGAAGCCAGAATTGTGTCTGCAACTGGTGCAGGAATTCACGCTCTCACGCGAGGCTGACTCCTGACAGTGGCCAAGCCACCCACTGGATCCATGGATCCGGTGTGGCTAGCCTTCCTGGGATAGGAGGTCCGGTCGCGCATCGGTAACAGCACCGGAGGCTGTACTAGCGATCTGAGTATTACAGGGAACCAGCGTTGAGGCGACCACAGAGGTGCAAGAAGCACAAGTAGTCGCTGGTTGGGTGGCTAGCTGCGATAGGACTCTGGGAATCAGAAGGTGCTCGGTGGGAACGCCACAGGACCCTGTCCGTCCCAATCTAGCTGGAAGGCATCGGGCGATGGCGCCCGGATCCGGGATCCGAGAGCAAACACCGGAGTCTGGTTAAATCACCCCAGAGGCAAACAGATCCACCTGGAGCGACCCGAACAACTGGGAGATAGCCCGAATATCTCCCGGTGGAAAGTAACTCCCTTCGTGAGGGGCCAGGATACGACGTGAGAGTGCATCTGCCGCACGTTGTCCTCCCGGGAGATACACAGGTAATACCCGTGTGTTGAACCGGTCGCACCACAGCAGAAACTGCCACGCCTCCTGGAGGAGTGGCGGAGACACCGATACGCCCTGCTTCAGGATATAGGACATCGCCGTTTGATTGTCCATTTCTAGACGAACCACACGGTTCGAACCTGTTCCATGAAGCGTTAGGGAATACCCGGGCGGACCGCTCTCAATTCTAACACGTTGATGTGTAAGGTCGCCTGCTCACGGACCAAAGTCCGAAGCTGTGAGGTCCCCTAGGACCCCCCACTCTGTGAGGGCGTCCGTCCTGAATCGCGTGAGCGTAGGCACCGGGTCTCCAGAGGATACCCCTGACTAGATTCCCGGTGTCGGGTCCACCACCTGAGGTGAGGATGAAGCCACTCTGGAGTTAGGAGGATAGTCTCGTAACTCCCCGAGTGTGACCACAGCTGTGCTAACGCTTGCTGAATTGGCGCATCCTCAGACGCGCGCATCGCTAAACTACATCCACTGCCGCCGCCATGTTGCCTAGCAACTGAAGCCATCTTGCGTGCTGAGGCCCTGGGGACTGAAGGAATTGTACAACAACCCGCTGTACTTTGGAAATGCGGTCCTGAGACAGAGAGACTAAGCCCTGCTGTGTCTCGACCCGCCCCCAAGAAAACCTGATCCTGGGATGGAACCAGCTTCGGATTTCTTGAGGTTGATGACCCAACCCAACCTGGTGAGAATATCCATCACTGTCTGTGTGGATTCCCGACTCAAGTGAGTGGAAAGCTGCCTGAGCAGCCAGTCGTCCAGATGCACGGGTAACAAAAGTTGCCCTGTGCCCTGGCGACTTGAGCTGGCACTAGCATGAGTTTTGTGAACACCCTTGGCGTGGAGATGCCGAAGGAGCACACGAAACTGATAGCACTCTCCCCGTCGAAGGAAAACCCGAGGTATTTCCTGAACTTCGAGGTGCGTGGGTACATGAAGGTATCGGCGCCCTTGAGGTCGATTGGCGAAGCCAATCCCCTGCCTCCACAGATGAGATCACCGAACGCGCAGTGTCTCCATCTTGAAGGGCGGTACCTCTAGCAAACTGTTCAGACCCTTTAAATTGAGAATGGGTCTAAACCCTCCGTCCTTCTTGGTAACCAGGAAATAGGTTGAGTAAAACCCTAAATTTTTCCTGGCCCTCGAACCACCTCGATGGCTGCCTTGTCCAGCAACGCCTGACCTCGCACGGAGAACATCGGCCTTTTCCTGAGAGTTCGGCACTGGCGTGCAACGAATCGAGAGAAAGGAGGAGGGCCTGCGCTTCCACTGTGGCATATGCCCATCCCTGAGTGTGGACAGGACCCAGGGATTTGATGTGGCTTTCTCCCATTCCGAAAGGAAGAGAGGTAGCCGGCCCTACAGGGACGTCGGGTAAGAGACAGTGAATCCCGGCAGTCGGCAGTGTAACAACTGCTTGTGCGGGATCAACAAGGGCTCGGAGGAATGCTTACACTGGGAAGCCGGGCCGACTTCCCCTTCCTCTGAAAATGCTGCTGAGAGAGGCGGCAGCCTTGCCCCTACCTTCTACCCTTGCCCTTGCCTCGTGCCTGAAGTGGAGCCGTCCACTTCGCGCTTCCTTTCCTGAAGAGGAAGGCAAGCTGAGGAGCAGGGCGGAAGGCCGGGCGAGCAGTGAGGGGTTGTTCAGTAAGGGCTTAGAGTCCTTAAACTGGCTAACCGCCTCCGCGGCCTCCCTGACCACTGTCAATGCCCCCGGGAACAGGGTTGAGCCCATCCTGAACGGCAAAGACAATAGCGCCTGCTGTGTAGCCGGTGAGTATCTGGCCACAGACAGCCACAACCGACGGAGGCCCATGACCGCAGACATCATCTGGCTAGCGCACGACCGAATGGCGTCGCGTGCCAGATGTGAATGCACCTCCGTGAGGGCCGAGAGGTATGCTGAGTGGACTGAAACCTTTAGGTGTTGAACGGCGTTACGGTATTGTTCCTCAAAGGAACGATAGACCGACTTCAACACCTGGTTGTTAGAAGTAAAGGGAGGCTTTGACGCCCGACCCTGGCGAAGGCGTATGCTATGGCTAGATGACCCTCCCAGGGCGACTGAGGCATAAATACACTCGTCTCGTAAATGTTATATGAAAAAACTTACCCCAACTCACCTTTTGCTGAAAGTGTAAACGTTAGGCAAGCCTACCATAGTAATAATAAGAAATTACCCTCCCCCCTAGCGATGTAACTTAAAAAAGTTACACCGTAGGACAGAAGGAAGCCAAACCGACCGCCATCTTGCCTGCCACGCATGGCTGGAAAATGGAGCCTGTCCGACTAAGTTACAACAATCATGAATGAAAAAATCAACCTACAATTCCACTTAAAGCCCGATGCGAGAAAAAGAGGAACCATACATACATTAGTTGATTCTGTAACACTCATTTTGATTTCTTTTCACAATGAACTACACGCACGTCTGTCTTCTGAGACGACAGCATGAAAAGTGAGGTCTGAGGGTTGTCGGCTAGAGTTACCTGCTCTTGCGGTAGAACCCTGGGGCCCTGTAGAACCTGGTCTCATAAATGCAGAACGGTTTTTCGTTTTGTAAATATTTTTATTGAAATATAGTTACAACTGTCGTAGGTTTCAAAATGGACATTTTAATGCTTATAAGTACCCCAAGGAGGACTTCTTCTGAAAAAGAATCTAACAGATTTTTTTATTTTTTAAAAATGGCGGCGCCCTGTCGGGAACATCCGCCAGTCTGAGGATAAATGATATTTAGGTTTGTTTTCACCGAGTTACAAAATCAAAACTACTTTCTACTGGTAGTAAAATATGTATTTTATTGATGGCCAATAGGATTTTGCATGACATAGCGTATATCATAACAATTTCTCTCGCGGCAGCGAGGTGGGTGCCAATATAATACTACTTACAATATTATTGTTACTTCGACCACAACCTCACTTCGAGGAAGAAATCGTTATGTTACAAGTTGTGTCATAGAAAATCTTTATGGTCATCAATCATATGCATATTTTACTACAACTAGTAAGTAGTTTTGATTCTTTAACTTCCGATGAAGCGATCTGAACACAAGTAAGATATCGTTTCAGGCTTCCACAACGCCTAACCGCACTCACAAATATAACCCATTTAGCACCGAACTGCGGGGGTCCTGTGAAATCTGTGCATAGGGACACCATCGCCCGACCCTAAGAGCAATTGGCGACAAAGCAACGATTCGGCATATAACGCCGTTGATGTCGAAATCATCAAAATGATGAGCGTGCTACACATTTCTATACAACTAACTGAAAATCGTTCCTCATATGACGTCAATGCAGTGCTCTGGCGACAGAGTTACGTAACCTGTCTGTGGTTTCGTTGGCGGGCGAGAGGGAAGCAGGCGACTTTTTGGCCACTTTTAATCGCTCGGTATTAATTAACCACAAGTTTTTAAAGAATAAATTTGGTGTTCCGCATAAGACTAACCACAAATCTTTCATATGTAATGGTTAAAAGAGTAACAAAAAACAAAGTTTAGTGGTTCTTTAATCTACTTACTTATCTGCAACATGTAATGTCAATTATCTATTATCCTGAATCATACCCTCAAATGTTTCATAAAACAAGTGATGTCTACACGTTGAACACATCTTGTCTAACTTCTGTCAGCATCTACTTACGCAGAGATGCCCTCGACGTCCACGAACGCCCAGCGGTACATGTCAATCCTCAACATCATCTGCAGACATCGGGCGGCAGTCTGGAGGTACTCATTGCTCTGGAAATAGATCTTTGTGTAAACACCTACACTATCTGCAGTTTTCATTGTCCTGGATATTTTGATATTTCAATCTAAAGCATGTATTTATATTTCTGGAGATGTCTTCACAATAAACACAATGATCCCCTGAACGGAACAAGCTTAATATGACATCTTGGAGTACATGTGATAACAATGAAATCTGTCTTAACAAGTCAAACCTGTGATTGACCGCATAAACACCAGTTCATCACAGCACTGCACCACGTAACCACTTGATCCTCATTACAACTCTTACAACAAGCACTGAGATACTACTCGGGACCTACTACGTCCATAGCTAGGAAGGGGAGAGGAAGTAAGTATGGTTTTACGCAAATTTAGCATAATTCCAGCCATATCACAATGGGGGAACACCAGAACTAGCTTCAGACATTGTACTGTAGGGCTTCCACGGGTACTCGAGTACTCGAGGACGAGTCGGGTTTAGCTGGACTCGAGTCAATTTTCAAGGACCCGAGGACTCGAAAAGGGGCGATAACTCGAATTATTGACGTTGACGGACTGTCTGCCGTGTGCTAAGCATGAACGGCCGTTAACGTCTAATATTAAGAAAAAGATATAACTTTATTATCCCGGAGGAAATTCTCATACAACTTAAAACTGTCTTAAAATGAATATATACACAGTTCACAAAAATATACACAATAATTACATGCTTCAAAAACGAATGCTATTTACAAATAAAACTGACATGATATAATTCAATTAACCACATAGGTAAAGAGGCTGAATAATTCTTGTTCTAATCACATGATAATGATTCAAAATATTTGTTGCATTCCACTGAATACTTGATGGTATGAAAGACTGTCGAGCTCTGTTTTGAGGGAAGGTAATCGACAGCCAGTCAGAAGGAAGTAGTTCAAAATGGTGAGATGAAATATGTCAACTATCAAATCTAATTTTAGCTGCCTTTTTGACTATATTCGAAATACACTCCAGAAATTTTGCGAGCAGTATTAACAATTTTAAAAAGTCTGTTTTTGTTGCGATGAGACAGATCTCCATACCAACATAGAAAATTGTAGGTCAACACACTTTGAATAAAGATTTGATAAAAAACTGTCATTACGGTTTTGTCAATGCCTTGACGATAATAATGTTCAGAATCAGTAACAGTGGCGTTATCTGCAAATTTCACAGTAAACAAGTCATATATTGACAAGTAACAGTCACTGGTATACAAAACGAAGCGTACGGATGAAGGAACACAACCATGTGGATCTCCAGTAGAGGTTGAGAGAAAAGAAGATTGATAGCCATTGACACTGACATACTGAGTTCTATGTACCCTGAATTCTTTAACCCATCTGATAATGTTTTTATTAACACCTAGATTAAATAGTTTACTCCTCACACGGTGTGGCTGTATGGTATTAGTTGTTACAAGTCTGCAGATTAGAGTAAATATTATACATCGATTGAGATTTCACTTCTTAAAATGATTAGGTAACTATCTTGACAATTGATCGTTGCTTGAAAGGTATGAATTTCGAGTACTCGGGTCCGAGTCGAGTCTCATCCCTCGAGTACTCGAGTCCCAAAATTTGGACTCGTTGAAGCCCTATTGTACTGTAGGGGAACTGAAAACCAGTCTTCACCATGATGAGTGAAAGCTTTACCAATAGGCTACACCATCGCCCATTATTATGGAGAAGGGTCCCATTGTCGTACACGCAGAGTAAAGAGGTATTTTCCAGTCAACTTACAGGTGACTTGAGTTGATCTTTAATCCAGTTGAGGTAGAACTGCAGATTTCTCTTGTCCATGGGCTCCTTGCTCCAGCAGGCTATCTTGCCTATAATCCGACTGGACTGGAGAAGAAGAAACGAGGAACATATGAAGAAGTCGGACACTTTACATGTCATTACATGTCATGTTTGCGTAAAGTAGTGGAGACTGGACCAGACACACCAGTAGTATAGAGACCTGAACAGATCAGTTTTGAGCACGGCAACACAATCACCAAGGTCGCAGCCAGAGTAACATTGCCTTATGACATGAGCCTAGCAACAGTGCTCCTGGGGTCATTGGGTGTACTTTAGTTCTACCCAAAGATCTGTCTACACTTAATATCATCAAATGAGCCCAACAGTGTTTAGAGCTTTCATTAAAGTTTACTAAATATACCTTGTGGTGGTCCATTTTATAGAAAGCAGCAGTTTAAGCATTTTACATCATATGAGTAAAAAACAAATGCACCTGTCAGGTATACCTATCTTGTCAGGTATACCTATTCATTGATTGATAATCTTTACATTTACTCTTCACGCAAACATGTTGAGCCAGCAAGATGCTGCTGTAAGATTGGAAACAGGAAACTACAACTTCCATTTTACATTCACTCAATACATTTGCTCAGAATGCTGTCTGTCCACCATGGCATCATTAGCAATGACTACTCCCTTCCTTCCTTGTTCCTTAATAGGATCCATGATATACTTACAGTGTTCCCTCGATTGGTCATAAAATCACCCAATGAATTCATACATAATGATGAGCTAATTAGAAGTTGTAATACCAAAGGTGCTCCCCTTGTTAAATCAACATCAGAATAGGAACGCTTATAGTTATAGAGGCCATGGCAGCATTCCATGAAGCGATTTGTCTGCTAATTTGTATACTTTTTCATTGTCTCATGACAGTCATACTGTTATGATTGCACTTGTGGGACAGGGCCCTGTTTTGCAAGGTGGTCTTAGTGTGTAAATCTATGTTGTGCGACATTTTGTGAATGCTGTGAGCAGTTTGATGAGCTGGTACCTGGTAAACGATGAATTTGTCCTCTCTGTCGAGGAGATGGAAGAAGGGGTTCCAAACTGACTCCTTCTTCTTCTTCGCGTACTCCTTGAAAATGTCTACACGAGCCTTCTCCTCCTGAAAAACACACACAACAAGGTAAGAAAATGCAGTACATGGCCATACATGAGCTACTGTGATCTACAACATTTGGAATATTAATATGTTAATACAAAAGGTTTACAAAATAGAGAATTGTACAACCACCACTCTCGATAGCTATAAAAGTTGAGGCAGATGTATTTCATATGTTTTGCTTGAGTTTCTAGTCACTCTCTCTGATGATGGAATCCTACTCTCCCCCAAAAAGTGTTGCATTCAATCATGGGGCACTGATGGCCTAGTTAACTAGGGGTGCTTTGCTGTGTTGAGTTACTTCCCTTTGGCAGGCCAGAAACCATACCATGCTCTTTTGTGAAACTAAAAGGTTAATCGTCATTACCTCAGGTCCCCCTCACACATGAAGCTGACAAGCAACAATAGAACAGGGAGCCTGTTCAAAGCATTGTTAACCCCAACACATTCAACTCCATGTCATTGACATCTTAATGAGTGAGGGGCGGTGGGGTAGCCTAATGGTTAAAGCGTTGGCTCGTCTGCCCCCTCGTGATCGAACAATTTTGCATTACGTCACAATGTAACCGACGTCACGATGCATGTCCGTTGCCATCGCCTTGTTCAGCCTCCTACAGTAAACTACTCTGTTGCATCCCGTTTCTTGGTTTGCAGTTGCTTCACGCAGCTAACGTCACTGGTGGAAACATTACGTTAATGTTCTCCAACGTTTTAAATGTCTCAATTCGACTCACAAGTTTTCAGCGACACGGTAACGTTCGCAATGTTTACATTCCCATAATGCAATCGTGGAATGTCGCTTGACTACTCAGCTTCATCTGAATATACTGATCCAAACTTATGTTGATAGTAGAAATACAAGGTTCATATTGCCCATATGGTTTACGTTAATCACAGATGTAATCAAAATAATTGAGAGAAAATATTTAACCCGAACGTAAACCATCATTAAACTGTTTATCGTTTGTATTTTCTGGTAGGGGGCAGACACATCAATAGAACAGCGCGCAAGTTAGCCCTGTGCAAGGATTCTTAATTTAGGTCACCAACACCATCGTTTGTTTGCTGCCTTAGATTAATCGTAATTACCCTTACAATGTATTAAATTTGGCATCTTAGAAAAACTGAACTATTATAAAGTTAAAGCACTCGGACGCAAGCGTCCTCGTGCCTTAACTATAATAGTTGAGGGCAAAAGTGTGCTTTATTACACTATACATGGTGGTAGAGCGAACTGTATTTCTTAAACATTATGCATCATTACCACAAGTACAACCCCTCCGAGTTGGAAACAACATGAAAGATTTAGGGGTCCATTGATTCAAGTACCATGTAAGATTTAATAAGCCTCAGGACACCTCTTAATTTATAACACTGCCTTTACAAAGTGAGACACCACTTTGAGACTGACTGACTGACTGAGTTTGGTTTTACGCCGCTTTTAGCAATATTCCAGCAACATCACGGCGGAGGACACCAGAAATGGGCTTCACACATTGTACCCATGTGGGGATTTGAACCCGGGTCTTCGGCGTGACGAGCCAACGCTTTAACCATTAGGCTACCCCACCGCCCCCACCACTTTGAGAAGCTTTCAAAGTACATCTATAGACATACAGGGGTGGAAATAACTTTAAAATTGCTAGTGTACTCTGGAACAGTGGCACATGTAAAATCACTTGCCCTGATAATTTTTCCACTGTACCGGCTGTTTTCTTGTTGATTTTTTTAAATAAACAACATAATTAACACCGGAAAGTCATCTGGACACCGGTACAGTGTGATATACAAATTTGCTTGCCCGACAGAAAATAACACTGGACTCGGACGTCGGGCAATGGGTTATTTCCACCCTGACATATCTTGTACAGATTATAAAAACGTATACATCTACAATGAAATTCATTCATAGGTGTCCAAAGAAATTTTAGAGCCAACAGCGTTCATATTTCTATACCTGCAGGGCATCGTCCAGCATGGTGAGAATATACTCAAGTGTTTGGTCCTTGGCAATCTGGTTGATCAGGCTGTAGAACGTCACAGCAAACTGTCAAAACATATCAAGCATCCACTTATAAGGGACAGCTAAGTATCATCATAAAATTCTCATTTTATCATCATAACAGAAATCTTACCATAAAAACTACAAAACTTAGATAAACCTGTAGAGGTTTCCAATTCTTTGAAGAGAATTGTCCTTGGGGTACATATATGCATTTTCTGCGGCTGAAAATGTCATGTGACAGTTGTATCAATGTTTTAATAAAAATATTATTGTACAATAAATAAAAATCTTTTTTATTTATTATACGGCCTCCACCACGTGGGGTTACCCCCCTGCTACACATGCGAAGCCAACCAGGTAAGCACCCAGGCCTGTATCATCATTCCTTCTGCTGAACAAATCAGTGAACAGAATTGCGGGGAGGTGGGTGGCCCTACCCAAAGGACGATTCTCTTCAAAGAATTTGAAACCTCAACAAGTTTATCTATTCTTTTTCATAGATATCGTCATTGGGGTACATATATGCATTAACACAGACTCCCAAAGACCGGAGGCTAGGGAGGAGGGAATTCTGTCATAGTACACATAAATAGCGATCGTTAAGAAGAAAGTAACTGACGGCATAACACTCACTGTGTCCCGAAGCTTCCGCGAGAGGCATGATGGGAGGGTAACCGACAGGGAGGACCCGACCTCACAAGCTAAGCAAAACAGTTCGCACACTGTGCGAAATTAAAACCCCGCCCACATCATGAAATCTATAAAGAGCACCGAAAGGGGGAAAACCAACTGACAACCGACTAGTATCTCATGAGAGAAATCGAAAGTAGTTAGATATGACAACAGCGGATATATCAATTATACACAATTGAAAACAGCGTCATCTGTCCAGATAACCAAGATTCACTCGGTCAGGGTGGCAGGACACTGTCCACTGGAGAGAACAGAACGGCCAAAACCCACTCAATCACGGGAAAGTGTATCGAGCTGATAGTGCCTTATAAATGTGCTAGGCCTGCTCCAAATAGTGGCAGAGCATATCTCTTCAATGGGCAGTGCCGGTGCAAAAGCCTTTGAAGTGGCCACTGCCCTGACCGAGTGAGCCTTTAACCCCTCAGGGGGAGGCTTGCCCTTATCCTGATAAGCACTACAAATGACCGATACAAGCCAGCGAGATAGGGTCTGTTTGCTAGCCGGCATCCCAGCCTTCCCGCCACCGTAACAGCAGAACAGATTGGTACCCGTACAGATCCCTTGTGTTCCTTTGATATAGACCTTGAGGGTCTTATGGACATCCAACGGGTGAGTGCTTGTTGCAGAGGTCCCTGATGTGGAAGGCTGGGTAAGATTAGGAAGTTGGATAGGAGCTGTCACATGGAAAGCGTGCTTGATCTTCGGACGGTAAGTATCCGGGAGGCGAATACTGACACGATCTGGATGGAACACAGTCAGCGCCGGGTCTGCCGACATACCATGTAAATCGCCAACCCTTCGCCCAGATGTTACCGCCACCAGAAATACAGCCTTTCATGGTAACAGCTGAATGGAAATAGCCGATAGACGTGAGAAAGTATGACGGGACAGCAATCTAGCATGATTGACAAATCCCAAGGTTGGCTGGTACGCCTGACAGCAGGTCGAACCCGATCCACGCCAGCCAAGAAGCGCTGCATAAGAGGGTGCTGCCCCAGAAGAGTGGAAATAGCGGTGGAGTAGCCACGAATGGTCGAAGCCGCCAAGCCTTCTTCCAAACGAGCCTGCAGAAACTCCAATACTCGGACTAAATCCGCAGAAAAGGGATCTGCAATCCCCTTATCTGAACACCAGCGCGCATAGCGGGACCACCTATCCTAATATTGAACGCTTGTCGAATCCCGCCTCAAAGCCAGAATTGTGTCTGCAAATGCTGCAGGAATTCCGCATGCTTCGAGCCTAGACCTGACAGAGGCCAAGCCACCCACTGAATCCTTGGACTGGGGTATGGCGCGCTGTTCTGAGTGAGAATGTCCGGTCACAAAGGTAATAGAACAGGAGGCTGAGCCAGAAACCTGAGAATTACTGGAAACCAGCTCTGTGACGGCCATACCGGTGCCAGTAGCACAAGTAGCCGAGCTGGCTGGATGGACAGCTGGGAGAGGACCTGGGGAATGAGTGGTAGAGGGGGAAACACCCACAGCACCTTGCCCGTCCAATCCAGCAGGAAGGCGTTGGAAGCCAACACCCTCTGGTCCGGTATTCGAGAGCAGAACACGGGTATCTGATTCGTCCCGCCGGACGCAAACAGATCCACCTGGAACGATCTGTACAACTGGGAGATAACTCCGAATATCTGCCGATCGAGCATCCACTCGTGCGGGGCCAGGATCCGGCGAGAGAGAGCATCTGCTCGCACGTTCTCCAGCCCCGGGAGATAAACAGGAATCACCTGACAGTCGCACTGGTCGCACCAGAAGAGAAATTCCCACGTCTCCCAAAGGAGTGCTAGGGACACCGTGCCGCCTTGCTTCAGGATGTACGTCATGGCCGTACGGTTGTCCAATTGAAGACGAACCACCTGGCCCTGAACATGCTCGAAAACCAACCGCACAGCTCTCAGTTCCAAGACATTGATGTGAAGGCTGGCCTCGGCTTGGGACCAGAGTCCGGACACCGACAGACTGCCCAGAACACCCCCCAGCATCGGTTTGAACTGTAAGAGCTGGCATCAGGATTTCCAAAGGGACCCCCTTGGAGAGATTCCCGACATTGGTCCACCACTGAAGATGAGGAGACAACCACCCAGGCACTGTGAGACACTTCTCCAGATCCTCTGAGTGAGCCCACAGACTCGCCAAAGCTTGCTCTTTAGGGCGCATCCTCAACCGCGCCCGCCACACGACAGAGATAGTTGCCGCCATATGACCCAGTAGATGGAGCCAAGTCTGCGCTGGTACCTGGGTCTTGGAGAGGAATGAAGACACCATCTCCCGTACTCTGTTGACCCGGTCGGGCGACAAAGAGACAAGACCCTGTTGAGTTGTGAACCGCGCCCCGAGAAAAACCAAGTCCGGGGTGGGTACCAGGTCGGATTTCTTGAGGTTGCTGATACACCCCAGTTGCCTTCCTTGCGACCTTGTCACGCCGAAGACCCGGGTTCGAATCCCCACATGGGTACAATGTGTGAAGCCCATTTCTGGTGTCCCCCTCCGTGATGTTGCTGGAATATTGCTAAAAGCGGCGTAAAACCAAAACTCAGTCAGTCAGTCAGTCAGTCCTTGCGACCTTGCGAGGGTAGCTGGCACTAACATGAGCTTGGTGAACACCCTGGGGGCAGTGGATATGCCGTAGGGGAGCACCGTGAATTGGTAACACATCCCGTCGTAAGAGAACCGGTGGTACTGCTTGAACGAAGGATGAATTGGTACATGTAGATACGCATCCCTTAGGTCAATCGACGCAAGCCAATCGCCGGGCTGAACAGGAGATCACCGAGCGAAGAGTCTCCATCTTGAAGGATGGAACCTCTAACATGCGATTCAACCCCTTGAAGTTGAGAATAAGACGGAACCCGCCGTCCTTCTTCAGAACGAGAAAGTATGTGGAATAAAACCCCGCCTTCTCCTCGCCCAGTGGTATGCTCTCTATTGCGGACTTGTCCAGCAAAGCCTGAACCTCGTTGCGCAGTATACCCGCCTTGACCGGACATGACGGCACCGGAGTGCGCCTTATGTCAGTGAACTCTGGCGGGCCTCACTTCCACAGCGGTAGATGGCCGACACTGACGGTAGATAGCACCCAAGTGTTGCATGTAGCCTTCTCCCACTCCAGTAGGAATAGAGAGAGGCGGCGCCCCACTGGGACGTGAGGTAAGAGTGAGTGAGTAGTCCCCTGCAGATGAACTGGCTGGGACATACCCACGGATACAACCGGCAGGTTTAACGGGAGGTCGGGGCAGACCCCCTGCGACTGCGAAAAGGCTGCTGGGAGCCAGACGAAGAGACCTGCTCCTTGCTCTTACCATTGGCGACACGGCTTCTCCTCCTACCTCTACCCAGCGGCCTAAGCCAGCTGGCAGGCTCGGGCGTAGGCTGTGCCCCATAGGAAGAACCCGCTACGGGAGCGAGAAGCCCGCCGTTGCACCAACAAGGCCTTAGAGTCCTTGAAGGAGGTCGCTGCTGCAGCAGCCTCCCGAATGACCTGCTGTGCCACCGGAAACAACGTCGCTCCCAGCCGAAACGGAAGGGCCAGCAAGGTCTGCTGTGTTGCTGCCAAATAACGGGACGTAGACAGCCACACCTTGCGCATCCACATGACTGCGCACATCACCGTGGACGCGGCAGACCTTAAAGAGTCTCGCGTCAGGTGGGCCTGAACTTCGGATAGTTGGCGGAGAAGAAGAACATGCGGAGAAACGTCACCAGTGCTCCCCTCCGACTCCAGAGCCGACCTTTGTATCGAGGAAAGGTACGCCTCGATGACCACGACCCGCACCTGCTGCATGGCATTCCGGTAGACTTCCTCATAAGTCTGGTATGCCCGCCGCAGGGGGCATCTGACTGGGCAAACGGTGGTACTAACTGCCCTTGCTTGGCAGCCAGGGCTGCCCCCGAGGAAGCTGAGCCTCGCTCGAGGGCAACCAAAGTGAATACACACTCGTCCACCACCGGCACAAGGGTCAGGGAATCATCACCCAGCTGATACCTCTTAACGAGTTCAGGGTGATCGAACCTGAGGCGAGAACCAACCAGGAGAGGATCCATCACGTCCTGCGCCTGGGAGGGCAAGATGCGGAGCTGTGTCTGAGAGGGCTGCCGAAGAGCAAACGCCGGACCGGAACCCCAGGAATCCAATGAACCCTGCGCCAGCACCGAGAGAGGGGCTGGGAGTGAACCCTCCCCTTCGGGGTAGCCGAGGAGCGATCTACAGGCCAAGGCTTGAGCCGAGCTTGGCGATCCCACCCCCGGACTCTCGGTCGCCCGTTCAGAGTGGGCGAGGAACTCCTGTCGGAGACCTCCAACCGACTCATGAACTAGGGACTTCACTGAGTCCATATGCTGTTGAAACAATTGTGTTATAACGGACATATCAAAACCACTGGAAGATTGAGACTGAGAGTGCGACTTATGCGAAGTAGACTTAGATTTAGTTTGCTTAGCCTTTTCGGCCTTGGACGGGGGAACCTCCTGGGTCAAGTCCCCTCCCGCCTCACACAATTCCTTGTAAAAAAGGAAGTCAGCCGCCCGTCTCTTCTGGGCCCGGGGGGAAAAGCCCATACACAATTGTCACACATTGATACACAGATGTCAGGGTTATGCCCTGCTTTTTCCAGACAGCATAAGCATTTATCATGCTTATCTTGGCGAGGGATATTTGCCCTCAGGCAGTACACACCGTAAACGCCTGAAAGCAAACACGCAAGCATGTAGCTAATGGCGCAACACAACAGCATAAATATACACGTACAAAACATTGAAAATTACATGAATGCGACAACGCGACATGAAATACTTGGTTAATAATGCAATATTTCAACCACATGGCACGCTAAACTTCCCGCCATGGAATAGCAACACGTGCGTAAACCACGGGAAAGCTAGCATAAAAGTTTAATACAGTCACATAAATGAGAAATAACTGACTGCAAAGTCAATAAAATGTTTCCCAAGAATGAATAATGACCATACATACAGTAGTTGAAGTCTCAGACATTCTTCCGATAAGAAGTTAATCAGCTTGGAACTCTATAAACATGTGTGAATACTAGAGTGACAGCAGAAGGAATGATGATACGGGCCTGGGTGCTTACCTGGTTGGCTGCACATGTGTAGCAGGGGGTAACTCCACGTGGTGGGGGCCGTATAATAAATAAAAAAGATTTTTATTTATTGTACAATATTTTTATTAAACATTGATACAACTGTCACATGACATTTTCAGCCGCAGAAAATGCATATATGTACCCCAAGGACGATCTCTATGAAAAAGAATAAGAAAATTATACATAATTTTCACTAAAGACAGTCTATTACTTTGGCACTTTTCAAAATTGGGATCAGGTAAAATTCCATCCCATCTTGTGAGTAAACCCGCTAATAGTCCATTTATATCATTTTGGTCTTGGAGCAGGCACCACAGAGGCTGAATATAATGGGGTGAACACATGAGAATCCTGTGATGTTTTACCAGTACCTGTTGAGGGTTTTCCAGCAGCATGGCTGTCCTGACCTCAGAGTTTGCCATGTCAAATTTAGAGATGAAGGTGTACACCTCCGGGGAGATCATCTGGCCTCTTCATAGAACAAAGAAAGACAATATGGAGTTTGTTAAGACGGTACCGAGAGAATTGCTAAGAAACAAGTTTCGCCCCAGTCAGTAATATAAAGGCTGTCAGTAAGCAATGTTACAAACACAGTAAACTGGAGGCTGACTGAAGGAGACACACCATCTGGATTCAGTGTACTCCTTTGTACTTCACTTATTTGACTCCCCACACATCCAGGGCAAACTGGATACTGGGGACCAATTCTGCCCGGTAGGATTGAAAAAGATGAGGGTTAACTCAATACTTATTAGTTTGTGACTTCAAACACTATGACAAAGACAAGACAAGCATCTAGGTAAATATATTAAGGTCTATGAAAACTCTCATGCAAAATCTACTGAAATGAAAAGAGGGCAGCACCTACATACAAGATGTCATGATGACGGTTTCATCCAAAAGGCAATCATAATATTTTAATACAAAATATATTTACAAATGTATTAGTGAGTAAATCCAGGTACACATGCATAAGGGGTGGTGGGGTAGCCTAGTGGTTAAAGCGTTCGCTCGTCATGCCGAGGACCCGGGTTTGTTTCCCCACACGGGTACAATGTGTGAAGCCCATTTCTGGTGTACCCCACCGAGATATTGCTGGAATATTGCTAAAAGCGGCATAAAGCTAAACTCACTCACTCACACATGCATAGGACTGAAACAGACTTATTCATTTTTTTATAATAATTTGCTTCAATGTACTGAATGTTCAAAAGGCAAGAATGAAATAAAAACATGGTTAGCTAATGTCTTTACTTTATTCCTTGAAAAATGTTAAGTTTAAGCAAAGTCTTTAAATTGTGCTTATGACATGGAACAACATATTCACACAATACCCCAGTTTCCAAAGGCAAGTAAAACCAAGGCTAATAAATGCTGTTCAGACTTTAGTAAAACCTTGGTCAGTTGATGGTCAAATGTATGCAACAACTCACTGTAGATATGACTGCCAGTTGACCCTATTGGCTCGCACATCATTGGCTCTTTCCTGTAGAAGACTGGTTGCAACTTGTGCTCCTGAATCATACAATACTTCACAGTCAGCATCACTCCACAGTGGAACAAGAAGTCAACCCAACACATACTCTTGTATATACATATATATAACATATCGGCCACTGACCGAGTTGACAATCACATTGCTGATACAACTGTACAAAGTATTCAGCATTCACCATAAAACACTACGCTGACAGATCAAGGATCAAGGGGGATTCCATGCCTCCTAACATAACCACGTACAGTGACTTTCAGCAAGCTACCACACATCTGTATCATGTGTATATTGGAAAACTTGTTCACATTTGCAACACTGAAATATAAATATGTTCTACATTTTGAAACTTTTGATAGCGATAATGATACGTGTAAATGTGTTTCAATATACACTGGACTACCATGAGAATTAGTTTCTATATCATGGAGAGACAAATATATCAAAAGCGGAATAGTATATAATAAAATATTAAAAACATAACTGATTTTTAAGTTTAACTTTGGTTGAAAACAGTTTCCTAAAATAAAGCATTTCCTATCTTCTTCTATTAGTACTGAAAATAATATATTGAATCATAGAATAAGGGACAAAATCAGGTATTTTATCCTGCTACATAACTACTGCTGGCCTAGTGTGATATAAGTATGACCGATGAGTGTGTGAGTCTGTGACAGGTAGCCTGGCCTGCCACCAGGCCACACAGCTATGTCGTCAGGCAAACATGGACAACACTGTATGGTCATCAGTGTAGAAACAAACAACAACTACAACTGCTGGCTCCTCAAACTGGCTTTGTGAGAAACAGTGATAGCGGCCTTTCTTTAACAATGACAAAGTGAACTAAAAACACCAAGAACATGCTCACATTTATCAAGGCTTTTTGTAGGATTGTGATTAAATTCATCATATTGAAATTTCATAATTTTACCTCATAAAAATGTTTTTGAACATAAACTTTCGAAAGGTCCCCATTTTGAGGTGCCAACAAAAATAGTTCTTAATTCCTTGATAAATCTCTTCAAGTATCTGAAAGTGCTATGTGTGACTCGGTTAAGGCAGTGTTCTGTGAGTTGGAAGTATTTTCTATGCGTGAGTTAACATGAAGCTTGCAGTGAAAATGTTAGAATGTGCAGGTCTATACATATGAAGGCTCCAGCAGAGCACATCCAGCAGGTGCTTGTACAGTACTGATACTTGATGCATCAGTGCTCAGTACACTACACAGAGCTCTCTTCGCTATACAAAGTGCATGCATCAGAGCTCAATACACTACACATAGTGCATGCACAAGATCATGCATGAATCAGAGTACACTCCACAATACATTGTACATGCATCAGACACTAAACAATACATAGTGCATGCATTAGAGCTCACTTACTCCATAAAAGTGCATGCATCAGAGCCCAACATGCACCCATTCCAAACAATGTGTCAGTCATTGTCAGGTATGTCACAACATATGCATGCTACATGTATACATGACAAAAATTGAACTAAATCTAACAACAATAGAGTGCAGCTTCCTCAAAATGCCCCAGTGGTAAGTAATAACCATCATAAAGTGATATAACTGTAGAATTTGGATGAAACTATCTTTTCTTTACAGCAAATTTCAACTAAGTACATACTTTTCAAGAATATATATTCACTCATGGTAAGATCCAACTTATCAATATGACTAAGCCTCCAAAACACTTGACCATAATTATTTCCTTTGGCCTGGTGAAAGTGTCAAGAACCAATGTCTGATATCCTGCATGAAGCAAATTACAAGAGAATTCTACATCAACATGTATAAAGTATACAAATACAGTTCTGTCAGTGTAATGGGGTCTACAGATGGAACAATTTCACTTGAACATACAAAAACATTGCTCACGATATGTTAAGCATGCTCAGTGACACTTACTCAAAGTTGTACATTTTTCAGTACAATTGTTCATTGACTTCAGCCAATCTGGGTGATCTAGACTATGGTATACCAGGAACACTACTAAGTTCACTTAACACATGTATGAGGGATATTTGAAAAGACTGGAGAGAAACAAACATTCTGGTTATCATATCTGCACTGCACTGACAAAAGGCTTCTTAATCCAAACACATCTTACACTAAAACAGTTCCTCAGGCATATTTTTTTCAAAGTGTGGAGGGACTTGGGATTTTTGTTTTATTTTTGTATTGAAAACAAACATGATGAGGGAGGAATACTTTCCTCTTTATCCCAAAACATACAACAAACACAACTAGGCACCCATAAAACATGGCTCTTCAACAGTGTCAGTTGTCTCCTATTATCAACACAGTCATATTACATGGGACATTACAAAAATAATTAATTTACTGACAATAAAATGACTGACAAACAAGATTTACACTGATGCACCAGTTGCAATAAATGTTTTCGTTTTCTAGTTAAGTGTACTGGCATTTCAAAGCAAAGTGAAGATGCATAATTAAGGTAATGTGTGAGTGCAAACTCTGAATATTTTGATCAAAATAATAAATAATTTATTCAAAGGTGCAGCTACAAGTGCAAGAGAGCCTTAGTTGATCCTTGTACTGCAGTTGACGACACCTAAACTTCTACTCACTGTAACAATGAGCATGATGAATACAGATTACCATACACTACAGCACTGACTCATGGTGAGTAGACCAGAACTACTGTTGTCATACCTCATAGGACATACATTATATATTAGCTATCATATTTAGCCATGCTCACCAAAGCCTTTTCCCGCTCCTGGAAGTTAGATAAGAAGAAAATCAAACAATTACTAAGCTACTGGTAATGATATAACTGCATGCAGGTACAAGGGTCTAGATCTTCTTAATGATCATGGTTGAGATTAATCTTAGCAGTTAAATTTCAAAGTTAAGATAACGTGACAAAAGTTATAGTGTGAGATAAGTTTCACACTGTCCAGTGTATCAAGATGTACATTCATTATTTTCTTCTTTCATCTACCGACAGCAAAGCAAGACGCCATCTTGGATGAAGATTAAAACTACTAACTAACATCAGGTATTCAGCCATGTTAAAATTTATGATCTTTAAATTTTTTAAAAAAGGCCATGATGAATTATTTACTTATGACATCTTTACAAGTATCTAACAATCATTTTGAAAATTAAGACCCAGAAATGTATCGATGTAATCCTAATGACTGCAAAGTACATATGCAATATAACGCAAAACATCCTACTTAGACATCCTAACTTCGCCAAGGCAAGTATGATGACATAGTTAACATGCTCTCAACTACATCTACTGATTGCCATGGCTACCCCTATCAACTATACATTATGGCATAATGATTGACATCAGTAGGTTGCGGGGTGAAGTGATATCAACAAGTCCTGTAGAAATACCCAACTTATGACAATGTCAGAAGAAAGGGATCCTGGTCCAATGAATTTAGGGGCCACATAACAAGCTATCTTAGTCCCTGATGTTGAGTAATTTTGATCAGGACTCACTGACTTTCATTCTTCATTGCTGTAATGATAGACAGGAAGAAAATATTTTGGCTGCATCAAGACAAAACACACCTAGTTTGTCATTATTTATACAAGAAAAAATACAATTAACAAGAATGCATACTTCATTCTAAAACTGAACTAAGGACATTAATAAAATGTCAAATTAGATACAAAGTACATGTAGTGTTTGAACAACTTGACTCACTCTTAACATGCTTAATATCAGGACTTGCTTGTCCATCTCTAATATAAAGCATACTAGTAGATGATCTGTGTCCTTTGCTTTGGTCAGTTGGTTTCTCGTCATAAACAAGACAACGGATTCCATGTGACAAGATATATTGGTACAACACATTCACAACATCCTATGCCTAACTATACTGGTTTATCCCCACTTACCCTTCCTCAGACAACTGCCTATAACAGAGTGCTATATTTTTAGACAATTAAAATGATTTCATACACATGTTAAACCTTCTTCAACAGGTCACTATATCTGACAGACATTAGGGAGAACCAAGGATGCTATTGGGGTTAATTTCACTATCATGACTATTGATTGTATTGCAATTGCAATCCAGATTGTTGCAATGGGATCATAGGAGTGCTCAGCTGTTGCTAGTAATAGTAGTAGCAAACCAGGTGTAATGCTTGATAATGATACTAATCAATGTAACAGAAATGAGTATAGTATTGCATACAATTTCAACGTCAGCTATTTTTCTCCCTTCTGCAACATAAACGTAAGGAAAGTACCAGTATCTCAAATCTGAAGTTATCATGACCCTAGTTAACCATCCACATTGGCAGGTTTGAAATTAGCTTTACAAATGTAATATTTATAAGTAACTGCAATTACCACAAGTTTCAATTGTTATACTGTACTACTATATATTCCAATGACATTTGATATTCTTACAATGGCTGTAGTTTAATATATTGTTACACTCCTAACAAACCTGACATGCTCCATCTACAAAGGTCAATGACACTAATTCTCTAATACAGCCACTTTAAAAACATGGTGAAAATGCATATATCATAAACAAATTCCCCAAAAGCTTACAACTCATGCTACAGAACTAATCTTCAAAACACAAAATCTTCAAATCCATTGACATTCTAAAATGTAGATGATTTCTAGGATCCATAATAACACACTATGAATGTTAAACAAATCATCGATCATTGAAGTAATTGCTTTAAAGTATGCTATGAGAATTGTCCATCTTAAATCTTTGATATGGTAGGAGTTGGTATCTCAACAAACTAAACTTGCTGGAGATGGCAATGTGTATACACCATAGATTTTCAGGTGATGCTGATATATTCCCTTGAACAAACAGAACTGATTTAATGAAGCTGTTCTTGTGATGTATTATGGTCCCTGTGTATGGTACCAATGAGGTTTCAGGTGAAACCCCTTCTAAATGCCTAGCTGGTAGTTGTTGGGAATTAGCTCTGTAAACAGTCCGAAGTCACAAGAAGCTAATTACAATTTTATTTACAAGAATGGAATATGTGGTGGCCACAGAGAGTCGGTACAACCTTCTGGGCAGAGGGCTAGAGCTAACCTGCATTGGAGAATCTAAACCCTCCTGCTCAACATTTGATGATGATGATGATGATCTGAATCCTAATATATCACTCCAGTGGTAATAATTAATCATGAATTATTGTATAAATTAGTACTCCATGATCGATGATCCAAACATCTATGTACTGAAACCTGTGATGTTATGCTAAATCAAATCTGGAAAGTCCGTATAATCTGCATGATTATTAACAGGAATGTTTGTCAGTACTAGAGACATAATACAACTGAAATCATGTTGTACACTGGCATTACAATGTATGATTTTTTGTAAAAAGTTTCTAAAACAGATGTTTTTCATCTGTGCCTCATTTTAATTGTTTATCCCTGAAATGACAACTCATTCTCACTTATGCAATGCATTACCCAACATTTACCAGTGTGGTTGTATATCTGTATGTCTTCATTGATTGGTACAAAAGCACATACTAATATAATCACATTTTAAATATGGGATCCTTTATAGTAGTATATACATTGAATGCCTTATTATCATGCATATGACAAGTTGTTCATTTGATTAGTGAGAAAATTGTACCTTCTGGAAAGTACCAGTATTAGTGTCCGAAAAACCAATGTAAACAGCTTACAATCTGTATATATACATTCATGCCATCTGTATTGAATGTCGTTATTTCATATTTTTACATATGGCATCACTTTCACAGGCCCCATTATCACGATGATTGTGAATATGTGTGTGCACAACTGCATGATGACGATGAACGATCGCATGGTGTAAACATAGAAGGGGTAGATTTCTAGGTTACAGAAACAATCTCACAAAAACACTACCCAGAGTTTTACTCAATTAATGTTACATGAATATCAACACGTTACTTATACCGGACACAGTTGCTTATACCGGACACCGCTCCTGATATCCTGACACAGACCTTCCGTTTCTGAGTTTCTTCAATCAGACATATTTTTGACAAGATGACATTTTCATTTACCTTTCTCCAGATCCTCTATATTTGAAATAACAGTGCCGAAGTTCTCAATGCCAGCCATTATTTTGGGTGGCTCTACAATACACCTGTCAAAGCAAATAAGAAATTATCTGGCACTTAAAATGAAGATCACTTTGAAAACATCAAGGTTATCATCTGCTAATGTGATCATGTGACACACGGAACTAGTGCAACGTGTATGTTTATGGCTTATCTTATAAACTAGCTTAAAGGCAAATGAAAAATATCTTTGAAACAATAACCTTGCTCTGTATTAAATGATTTTTATCTACTGTTTTATTTTTATAAATGAAAGGAATATAAACGAGGACAATTCAATGGTTTTATCAGTATTATACAATATGAATTCTACTATAAATAAGTTTTCTTAGGGAAATACAACAGGAATTTTCGCAATTTCTCACGAGATTATGTGTTACAACGAGATCGTTTCAAGGAATACTAAGGGATAAAATTTAAGGTAAGTGCATTGATCCCTTAAAGGTTTTATTTATGTAAAATATTGATTGTTTTGTATTCATGAATATATATAATACAGCTATGCTTGTGTATATGATAAGCAGGTCTGATATGTATCTTATATCTTTCTTTATGTAACTGTCATTTATTCATTGGGAGATCCTGGCAAAGATGGCCGACGGCACAAACAAGGCTAGCAGTTGACGAACACTAAATCCTTGGTTTTCAAGGATGACTACCAGGACTGAAAGACAGTATTTAACTAGACGCATTTTTTGTTGTTTAAGACACTAAACAGTATGGCTAGACCGCCGATAGAAACGGATACAAGGCCCACGCGCCTCTACTCGGTGTTGAGAAATGTCAAATGGGAGTATTTGGTGGCTGGAATATCTGGCGGAGTTGTTTCCACACTGGTACTTCATCCTCTGGACTTAGTTAAAATCAGATTTCAAGGCAAGTATAATCGTCCATAATCATGGAACAGTGAATAACCGAAATTATGAAACTAACCAAAACATTAAGTTCATGATTAAGGTACCACAGTTACCAGAATAGAGATATTTTGAGAAAGATTGCATCATCTCGTCGACTCGCGTCATTATTGTAGGATTATCCTGATTATATGTTTTCGGACGTTATACGTTTTTGGGTGGCAGTGTTTGCTCTGGCATACATTGTAAATGCTCGGATGGTTTCTCTTTAATAAGTTAAGACATGTTATTAAATTGTTCATGCGATCTTTGAGAAAACCAGGATGTTCTTAAGCCTCCAAAAACTCATAACAGGATACAAGGAATTCATTGACCATAAGCGAAGTCGTATCATACTTTGTTTTAATATTCTTGAGTGTGATGTTATGCCCATATTATCTCTCTCCATAAATGGTGAAGGAGGTATTTTTCATGCTTGACATTTTTAAGGCTTCTTATATGGAAGCCTTTTTACTCACCATGCGTTGATGATGATATTCAGGTGAATTATCATGATTATACTATAGTCATATAAACAGGATCATGTTAATTTTGAGGCAAGACTACAGAATACTGGATACCTTCGCCATCTTTAGAAGTTTACTTTAGAACAGGGTTAGGGTTAGGTTTTTGAATTTTATACCTCATGTTTCCCTACAATAGGAAGTGCATGCGACATTAAACATTGTTAAACAATATGGCTGGTAGGTATCCAGTATTCCGTAGGTGTACCAATTTTGATTTTTCTGTTATGTTAATTTTTCTTTGTTTTCAGTAAATGAAGGCTATGGTGTGACTAATCGACCAAAGTACAATGGAATTGTCCATGCATTGCGCAGTATAGCTAGAAGTAATGGTTTTGTTGGCCTCTATCAAGGAGTCACACCCAACATCTGGGGTGCTGGCATGTCCTGGGGATTATACTTCTTCTTGTAAGTATCCCCAACAATAATGTTTTCACACAAGCTTTTAGTGTGACCCATGAAGATCCATGTTTGAATTGATCTTCAGCAACCCATGTTTGTTTGAGGCTCGACTATGACTTGATTGATGCAAGTCATTGTATCCCAGTTACACAGATTGATGCTCATGATATTATTGGATTGTCTGTCCTAGGTTCAATTATTTACACACCACCTTCATGGTCCAGAAATATTGCTGAGTGCATGCTATACAATAAACAAATACACAAACACACAAGTCCTGCACAGGTATTCACTGATACAACAGACCCATGAAGAATCAGGTTAGAATTAGTCTTCAGCAACCCATGAGGCGACTAACGGGATCTGATGGTTAGGCTGGCTGACTTGGTTGACACATATCATCATATCCCTGTTGTGTAGATCGATTCGCATGCTGTTGATCACTGGATTGTCTCGTCCAGACTATTAATATTTACAGACTGCCGTCATATAGCTGGAATATTGCTGAATGTGGCATTAAACAACTGATCCACTGATGCAACTTGTAAAAAACTACTTGATTCACATTGATGTGAATGTAATTGGAAATGCATCATGCGTTGCTATTTTCTAGATTATCTTTATGCAGAGTTCTTGAGGTCTGTTTCCTTCTCACCCATGTTTATCTTGTCATAAGAGGTGATAAACAGATGTCAAGATCACATGTATAGTTACTCATGCTTTCAGTCAGGTATTTGTCTGGGCCAGACTCTATATCCCACAGGCCACCATGATATGGCTGGAATATTTCCTACTGTGGTGTTAACATGGTTATACAACATACACTTTCACTTGTAGTTCAATTTCAGTTCTAGCATGCTTTATATTAGGCCTTACTAACACATTTGGTGTTTTACGTTAAATATTGCCATATTTGCTATTCAGGCAATGTTTGAGTTGCCATGCATGAGACTGTTAACCATAAGAGATAACTGTTTCAGTTACAACTCCATCAAAAGTAAGATGAATGAGGGAGACTCCAAGCGCAACCTTGGACCTGGCTATCACATTATGGCAGCCACTGGCGCAGGTAAACACACATTCTATCTGAGCTCAAGCAATACATCCATTCCCTGTCTGCTTTCTGTTCGACCTCTGCCGCAGATTAGGGAGATGTGAGGAATAGTTAGATCTTGCTAAGCTAAGACAGGACGGTGGGGTAGCCTACAGGTATAAGTTTTTGCTCATCACACTGAAAATGAATGTTCAAATCCCCACACAGGTACAACATGTTAATCCCATTTCTGGTGTCCTCTGTATTGATATTGTTGGAATATTGCTAAAGGTAGTGTACAATCCTACTCAAATACCACTGGCTTTGTGGCAGAGGTACAAGGCTACACAGCGCATCTGACAAGGCACAATATTTTTTCACCTGTTCGAACTTTTTATTGAGCGAATATTGTAAGGGAAATGTATTTCTTCAAAGTTTGTTTATTATAGTCATATGGTTCCAAGTGGAGAACACAAAAAACTTTTCATGAAGCTGGTCTACTCTGATTTGAGAAAAGTGTCTTGAGTAAAAATTCAAAAATAAGTCTGTTCATAAAAATGTCTATTCAGATCAGACGTGGGACATCACCATGGTAACAAACACTGGTTTGACTGAGTCTGTATATCAACACTGTTTCCAGACATCGTAATATTGCATGAATATTGCATGAATATTGCTAATTACAGAATAAAACAAATGTGAAATTCAACACTCTCCTTAGTAATAGAAGTTAGATGAATATGTGCTGTGTCTACGACCACCTAATATCTGTACCATGTTTACTATTGGTCCAAACAAAACAGGAATGCTTTTGTCCATGATAGTAGGACAGCTTATTTCATCTGTCATTGCAGCTGTGATTGTATGTACAGGTGGATCTCAGTGCTGTCAGTAGTGAGCTGATGTGAGGTTGTATGTTGTAGGATTCACAACATTAGTGTTGACCAACCCTATCTGGGTGACCAAGACCCGCCTGTGTCTGCAGTATGACAAGCCAGCAGCATCTAAATCCAGTGTGCACTATAAGGGTATGGTGGATGCCCTCTTCAAGATCTATAAGTTCGAGGGCATTAGGGGTCTTTACAAGGTAAGCTTCCACATCATAAATAGATTACGTCTTTGAGAAGCATTTAGAAGTTGGAGCAGTAAGGAAGGATAACAATGTATAGATGAACAACTTCTTTCTTACAGTATGAGCGATGTTTCAGTTTAGGTTCTAACCCCGTTATCCTTCCTCATAAAAATGCTGATTATCAAACCATATGCTGTATACCAGCAGAATTTCCAGTCATTACAGCTACGTCTTGTTTGAATAAGGCTGAGTAGTCTTATTGGAAAATAATATAGAACTTCCCTTGCACTCTGCTGAACCTAGTATCTAGCAGAAAATCATGTTGAACAATGTAAGGAGTGTTTTCTAAAGTCATTCATTTTAACCTCATGTTGTTGAATACTTTTGCTCAAATATGGCAATAATAATTTGACGTATTACCTAATGATTTCATGATGATGGTAATGGTGTTTCTAAAGGTACATACACTGACTCATCTTGCCTGGTTTGCATTACAGGGTTTTGTACCTGGTGTGTTTGGGATCTCCCATGGTGCTCTACAGTTCATGGCCTACGAGGAAATGAAGACACTTTACAACACTTACAGGAATCAAGCCATTGACACCCGCCTGGTACGTCTTAAAACAAAAATTACATGATGTAGCATTAGCATTTGACTTTCTACCAGTTCGGATTGTTTCTTGTCAGTCCACAATATTCCAACCATGTCACTTTCCTATCAGACTGGAGACCCAGGTTCATTTCACCACATGGGTATGATCTGGTGTTCCACGGAAAGATGTTGATTGAATACTGCCGGATGTGGCTCAAAATTATACCCACTTGTTAGAACACAGAAATTGAGATGCTGTTGTCATTACAACTGATTAATGTCAAAGCAGTGTTAATATCAGCTTACAACTCACTCAGTCGATATGATAAAGTTCAATCTTGAAAATGCTTATGTTTTCTTATCAATTTGACATTAATTTTAGAAATGGAATGGAAACTCCATGCAACAGTATTACAATACAATTAAAATGCATATGAAAACTTGATGAATGATGTGAGGATTGTCCATAATCCCCAGGGTTCAGCTGAGTATGTGGTATTTGCTGCCTTGTCCAAGATGTTTGCTGCTACCACTACATATCCCTACCAAGTCCTCCGGTCTCGCATACAGGACCAACATAGAGAGTACGGAAGTATACGAGATATAATCCGACAGATATTCAAGTAAGTATGCAATGTTTTCTGCTTTACCGGGTGTGCAGTGTTTTTCCTGCAGAATTAGCTGTGTGGCACCTAAATGTCTCTGCTTGTTTTGCTTACATTCAGTTATTTATAGGCAGTTGACAGTTTCTGAGGTTACTCTGGAAAGTCCAAGAACACCTTATTTTCAGTCTAAGTAAACTTAGGCTCAGTATTATTTGTTACGCTGCTATACTGAGTCTAACAAACCCTAGTAGAATTAGCATCAGCTAACCTTTAAGTGACCTATGACCGTCCAATCAAACGCGAGATGGCCCGAATGGATTTAACCAATCAGACAATGACTACTTGTTATGGTTCGGCGGGACTTACAAAATGGTTTTGGGATTTTCTCTTCCCTGATCGCTGACACTGATCTATCAACAAAAGAAAATCTGCAATAAACACAGATATTTGACCTGGTTACTATTAGCTTATATTTCCACATGATGACATCCTTGAATATTGAAAAAAAACGCTATTTTCAGCGACTAGCTACACATTGCGTCCTCCATGTGAATCACTCGGAAGCGATCGTGCGGAAAATAGCATTCAGAATCATTCGGGTTTTTCAGGTGTAGGTCAAACGGTATGTGCGGATGTTAACTTTCACAATTTGGTAAGCTGTGTTCTGATTGGTCAGTCCAAAAGGTTAGCTGACGCAACCTACTACTAGGGTTTGTCTGATTCAGTATAGCAGTGTAACGAATAATACTGGGCCCAAGTTTACTTCGACTGACCTTATTTTTAATCTCGTGCTGTGGTACCAGAAACGTGATCCTAGTAGATATCTCTCACCAAGTGACAAATAGTCCAGAAATAACCCAAGCATGCCCAACCAATGGGCATCATGTGACCCAAGCTGCTTTTGATACTTGTTTTAAAATCAGATATGTTTGATACTTTTTTAATTCTTACACTTGTACATGTTTTAGATCAAACAAGAGTATCTACAAACTCTGATGCCCATAGGTTGGATGTGGTTGGGCTATTCAACTTGTCCAAATATTTCTCTCTGGGTGACATATGTCTTTAATGTTGGTATTATATGTAATGCAGGAAAACCGTATGTTAATATCAGACATGTTAGCTATTAATAAGTTCAGCACTGATTATTATTTTTTACCTGCAAGACCATGTCATTCAGACCTGTTCTGAAAATTGGTGTTCTTGCTATCAACCACAGGTTGGACTGGCTCTTACTTTCAGGACAGTGTAGCTGAAATATTGCTGACTGTGTTAAACAACATTCACTTACTATCTACTACAGTGTTACAGATATATCGATATCCTGTTAGTCCCACATTTTTCCGATTGTTTTCGCATGCCTTTACTTCATGTTCTGCTGGTCAGATGTGTGGTTGCATGTAGCTTATTTTCACCAGGTACGAGGGTATACGAGGGCTGTATAAAGGCCTAGGCGTCTATCTGTGGCACGTCACCCCTAACATATGTATAGTGTTTCTGCTGTACGAATATATCACAAACTTGAAGAGCAACCGTCCCGACAACCACAGCTGATGGGACCCTGTACAGAGACATCTCCTCACTGGACTTTGGATACAAGAAACGTCAACATGATTGCCAGCAGAATTATTGTAGAGATTTCATTCTAATAGTTACAAGACATTTGCAGGAAGAATAGTCTACATGAGTGTCAGCTACAGGAATATATCAGCTGCATACGTGGTGGGCAACGTATTGGCAATTTCATGTTTATGTTCACCAGAAGCTTGATGAAGAGGTGACAGAAGACTGTTTACAACTTTGAGCCCAGTGAATCTGATGGACGTCAAGGATTCACAGAATTGATCAGACTCAGAAATCCATATGTCAAATGAAAACAATATACCTCTACTATATATAAAGTTTGGCATGTATGGCGAGTGAAGTGACACTGCACAGCTTGCTGTTATGTACAGTACAGGGCAGATGTGTGTTGGCAGCCATACATGTACTGTACAAACAACACTCTATCATCTGCACACAGTGTACACTGTCGAGCATGCTTTTATTCACACTCACACACACACTCACTCAGAGAGAGAGACACAGAGAGAACACACACACAGACACACACACACACACACACACACACACACACACACAGAAACACATGCTTGCACGCACACACGCGTAAATGCATAAATAGATTATGCTGTGCGTTTAGACCAATGTTGTAGAGGTCAATTTTGTTTGATAATGTCAGCAGTTTTAATGGGGAATTCAACCAATTATTCTTACATGTGGTTGTTCTGAGTCACAATTATGGCTCTGAATTGTGCCTGATATTGTGCTGATGAAAAAGGTTGTTAATTCCGCACAACATTGTTGTTTGTAACTTGAAGTTTTAACGTTATGTATAATTAAAGGTATTTAATGTTCACAATACATTGTTATAAAATATATTCCGATGCATTTATGGAAGTGACTGACATCATGTGTTGTTATATGTGCAATTATGACTTGTTTTTATCATGAATGATTGTCAAATGACAGAATCTCATGTAATTTGATATACAAGTACATATGTTTCACACATCTTCATGATCATATCAACAGGACATACCCATCATTAAATCATTTTTGTTGTTTAAAGTCAGCAGACCTAGAATTCAAAATATTCATATCAGTGCCATAGAATAGTCAAAAACAGCTAGCATTGTTGATTCGTGTCAAATAAAATTTTTTATGTTATTGTTTATAAATTATAGACTTTTACTTAAACAGTTGGTTTTGAATATGAGGGGTTTGCAATGGCTGATAGTGAATCTGCTTGATCAGTTTCTTTTGAAGGAGTAAACAATTATCATGATTGAATATATTTTTATATCCCATCACAGCAATCAGGTAAACAACACGCTAACTCCATTTTTACTCTCTTTTCTGATTGTGTCATATGTGGGTGGAATCTCTTCAAAAATATTAGAAGGTGTGACTTTGCAGAAAGAATTAAGATACTACTCAGCAGAAGGCCCATGATAGGAAGGTAGTGTCTTGCTGTACCAACCAGCCAGGACACTGGGTGTTCTTTATAATCTTCTGAGTAGTATATTGCATTGTTCAATGTGTTATTGGGGAGGTGTCAACCAGGAACTATAGAAGCTGTTTACAAGCTACTAATCTACAGAAACTACCTGCAATAGTAATCTCAGATTATCACAGTTTATCCTTGTGTACAATGACAAATCTGCATGTAACACGTTGGCCTGCTATGTAAACCCTGTACAGGTAATGGAGACACACATATTACATTATCATAGTTTCTTGTTAGGAAATTGTATTTTCCATTGTTCAGGTGATCACGATTGGAAATTAAGTGGACGTGCAGATTACGCATGTCTCTCTGAATATGTGGGTGTTTGCGATCATGGTGTAATGTTAGAACTAATACCACTAGTGTATGTATTATGTCTCGTTTAGACCAGGTAACTGGTGTTCTGCAGCAAATCTTGTGAAGTTACATTGCTTGATGACAATATTGTATCTGATTTAGATATCTGTAGATTATTGTCCATATTCTGTTTATATCAATGGTTACCATGCTGATATTATATTTATCTCACATATGCAGCATTATTTGTACCAGTATACCAAAGAGCATATAGTGATGTACTCATTGATCTCAATACATTCCTGTCTCAGCTTCTGTCCTCACAATCCCCCTGGCTCAGCTCTTTCACATGCAAGTCTGTTTCAAGATAAACATATTGTGCATGCCGTAAACATGTTTTTAACATAATCACGTTTCTTTTTCAATTTCATCCAAAACTGAACATGTTCAATATAAGTATTCATAACTGTATAGCTGATAGCAGTGCCATCGGCTCAGTCTTGCTTGATTGGAAATTACACGTGGGTGGCACAGCAATTGGAATTCAAACTATTAAAATGACATTTTAGAATCTCATATTTACTGTATTGCAAGGACACTCTTTCTCTAAGACGGGTAATTGTGAAAAGAAGAATATCAACAAACTCTGGTGCTATAGTCACAATATGGCTGAAATATTGCCACGTGACTTAGTAGTGTAACTCACTCCTTCCTACTGTATCATGTGGAGTTAATGCCTGAGTATGTGATCTGTGGTGGGTAGGTAGCCTGGGCCCTGTTTCACCAAACTGTCTTGGTGTTACGACTGTCGTACCTCCTATACTGTAACAGACTAGTTGTAGCACTATGATAGCTTTGTGAAACAGGGTCCTGGTTGAGTGTTCACCCATACAGCTGAGTACGTAGGTTTGTCTTCCTTCCATGATGTGGCTGTGATGCTGCAGAAACGGGCATTAACAAAGTTATGTTTTTCCTTTTGATAAGACATCAAGTGCTGACATCCTTAATTAGCAATGCTGGTATGCATTGAAATTGAAGTTTCATTGTGCTCTGGTTGAGTCAATCATGTTATTTTCTTGAAACATTGTTTGTAATTATTCAGTATTTGAAATTAAACGCACATGTTCATGGGTCTTTGTCACAACCTTACATTAAACATCAGAGATTGAGGGGCCTGTAGGTACACAAGGGGTCAGGGACCCCAGGACACTCTTTAGTTTTGAACAATATTTCTGACCAGGAAAGGTGAGCTTCGGAGCCTGGGACATTGGCTTATTTCAGTTGTTAAATGTATAGTTTATCCCGTAGGAGTTAGGGTGTGTTTCTTTGTTAAATGTATAGTTTATCCTCTAGGAGTTAGGGTGTGTTTCTTTGTTAAATGTATAGTTTATCCTCTAGGAGGCTTGCTTTGTTAAATGTATAGTTTATCCTCTAGGAGTTAGCCTGTGTTTTTTTCAGTTGCAGTTGTAATGTGTCTTTAATATGTGTAGTATTCAGGTGATGTGATTGAAATGTGTACATATGTACATAAGGAGCAGATGGAATTAAATTACATGTGGCGATGATCTATTGTGTGACTTGGTTTATAGAATTCTTTTCAGCTGGAGACGTTTACAGACATTGTTGAGTTCACATAACAACACCCACAGTCAATGAATAAGATTAAATTATCAGTTTTGATATTTGAAACACGTTATATTTTACGACTTCCTTGGTGAAATTCATGCATATTCATGGCCCAAACCACTATACCAGGCCTTGGTCCATGAATTTGCATAAATTTGCTGAAAGGTCCTGTGATCTGGGCAATACAAACATATATCTTGCCTCATACATAAATGTCGTTTTCTGATTGGCTGAGTGCTCTATTATTTTCAATGTACCCCGCTTACAAGCGAGTAACATTTTCTATGTACCCCGCTGGGAATGCTGAACTCATTTGGTACTTCGTTGTAGTAATTCTTTATCTCGAATAACATTGAATCACTTATGATGTACGGAAATCACCGTTGGAAGGGAGATAACTCTAAATTTGTTTTTCTTGTCGTCTTGTCGTCTGGTACACCATACTATGATCCGATACCCATGCTTCAAACAGTTCAAAATTACCATTGAGGTGTTCAGTTAGATAAATATGTTGTTCACTGGTCCCTCGGGCCCATGGGTTGATGTACCCTCAATGTTTCTTTATGGGAAACATGAACAAACATCGAGGGTACATCAGCCCATGTCCCCCTCAAGACCAGTAAACAACTTATAATATGTTGCTCTGTCACATACAAAGATATCAGCTTAGTCTCAAAGGGGAAGTCTAAATGTCAATGTTTCTGAACACAGTGATTCAACTCAAGTACAGCAAACACAGGTTCCTTACAAGGGAACAAGATATATACTACTCCAAACAAGTTAAGCATCACCTTATTCTTTCATATTTCTATAGTTCATATGACAGATTAATTGTAATTATATGAAGAATTGTGTGATTCTTAACTTTTTTAGGAGTACATTTGTATGACCACATGACAAGAACATCTCAATCATCTACGAAAACAACTAGAATGCATCACAGATCAGATCTTGCATCTCTTACAGTCTTAACGTGCATCTCTTACATTGTTAACCGCACACAGATAACAGGGTTTAGGCACAGTGTCAGATACACATGTACACCTATTGATACACATGGACAGACAAGTGTCCATGCGTACATGCAGCATGCTCAACCCTAGACTTTTGGGGGAAGAGTAGTCCAGAGGACCAATACAAATGTTATTTCACTGCACTCAGAGTTTGTGGCTGGTCCTGCATGAGATAACTCTTTGAACTACTTTTGCAATTTTCTGTCTGTTTTGGGTTTACAGTTTGTGTCTGTTTATTTCAATACCAATTTTTATCAAAAGTGACACATACAGAAATACAACCCTCAAATGTTACTAGTCAATGAGTCCGGCAATCACTGGATTATATTTCCCTCACAACAACTTAGCAGACTAGCATTATGTGATGGCCGACATCCTGATTGTCCAGTGATCACACTACCAAGCAGATGTTGCTGCTATAGGGAGATACAGTGATATGTTGATAGTGTCTGTTATGTACTGAAGGATCTGCAGCAGACGCTTTGCTCAGAGATGATGGACCTTTTCTCACTACTCATATATGGCCATTGCATGGTATAACTTTTTATGTGAACTTTTTCTTCTTGATCAAAGTTGTTTGCAACTCGGTTGAAATCATTTCTGTTGTTTTAATTTTTGTATGTATATATCAATATTGGTCAATAAAGGGAGAAATTCCCCAAATTCAAAGAAATGCAAAGCATTCCATCCTTCTCATGAGCAAGTCATCTGCTGCCATCCTGGACTGTGTCAAGTGTTAACATCAGATTTTATCGTCTTTCACCAGATACGAGGGCATGTATGGGTTCTACAAAGGTCTTGCTCCAAACCTGTTACGAGTGACACCAGCATGTGCCATCACATTTGTGGTATATGAGAACATGGTCACTCTGATGATTGGGCAGTCCTAGCCTAAGCAGCAGCAGCAGCAGCAGCAGCAGCAGTAGCAGCAGCATGGATGAGTGTTGGACATGAAGGACGTGCTGCATGGACAAAATACTGGTTGATCTGATGTCCTGGGACACTCCTTACAACTAGCTCCACATCTGAATACAGCATTTTATGATGATCTTAACACTGATACTTGTGAAGAAAATACTGATCACTAAAACATGTAATACAGTCAAACACCATTGTGTCAAACTAACAGCTGTCTCAAGGTTAGAGGTCAGTCCCTGGTTATTCTATATTTAGTTTTTCTTTGCGGTTGAGTCAAACCTCCTATAATTATAAGTAGTCTTGAAACTTCGGCAATCGTGTTTGACTGTATACTACTCAAGAAGTTCGGACAAGGACTATAGTTAATCTGTCTTGGCATGACACACGGACTATAGAAATATGAACAATCGGGTGGAGATGGGGTTGTTTTGAGAAGTATATTATGGACAAACAACAAGGACACATTCCTGTTGGGTTTCTGTGACAGGCATAAAAAGAAACCACAAGCTGATTGTCTCCTAGATGTGTGTTGTAGCATGCAAATGGATATGGATGATTATCTAAATTATTGGTATGTGTGGTGTGTGGAAGAACTTCAGTCAGAACATCACTGTTTTGTTGTATTTCTTGTAGTTTTCAGTCAGTGCAGTTGCCAGGAGATAAAGCGTTCCCTCATCATGCCTCAGTTCCTGGTTTAGTTAACTGCTGTTTTACTTCACCCACTGTCCTGATGTAGCTTCTAAATTCCTTCTACGGGATCGGGTGGTCAAGCTCGCTGACTGGGTTGACACATGTCATCATATCCCAATTGCGTAGATTGATGTTCATGCTGTTGATACCTGGATTTTCTGGCCCATACTTGATTGTTTACAGACCACCGCCATATAGCTGGAATATGGCTGAGTGTGGCGTTAAACTAAACTCACTCACTCTATAAATTCCTTCTGAAGCCTATTTCTGGTGTCCATTGCCGTGATATTGCGGGAATATTGCTACAAGCGGTGTAAAACCCAACTCACTCACTCACTCACTCTAAATCCCTTCAGCCTTTTTTAATACTACCTAAGGATTTACAATTTGATGATTTGGGGTCATCTGATTATTGTGGTGACATTTTATTTTACTTCTTTGAGAGGCATTTCAGAAGTTGTAAAGGTGAAGGAAAACCAAGTTCTATGGATAGTCAACTTCTTTATTGCAATGAATGCAACGTTTCGGTGTAGATTTTGACACCGTTATCAACCAAGTTCTATGTAATATTGAAGTATTATGTTTGTTTCATGCAATTTCTGTTATGACTTTTTCTGTTCCAATTTCCTCGAACATCCAGTGGTCGGTCGTTTAGTTTCAGGCTGGTTTCAGAAAATAATCTGCTGCATTTATCTTATCCTAGACTTACACAATCCAGTGATGTTTTCATTATGCTTTTCCTAGAATCAATTGTAGCTTGTTGTCCTTGAGGATGACAGGGTTTCTCAGGGAAGATGGGAAGATGATTTGTTATCTTGTGGAGTTATAAGATGAGCAAGAATTGAGTTTTTAGCATGTCAGAAATGATGTTAGCAGTGTTATGTATGTTCTGCTGTGGATGTATAGCTGTACAGTACATGGTGTACAGAATTGTTTGTACAGAGCTCAAGAATTTTCCTCCACAGCAATGGATTATATACATGTATAATCTTTTTATGTATTGCCTCCTTCAGATTTGTGATCATTTTATAGAGTCTGTTATTATCTTCTGGAGTTGTGTGTGATAATATGGCCATGGAAATCCATGTTTGAACTCCTCTAATCAAAGATCTCCTTTTGTCCATACATGTACATTAGGTACATTTACACTTAACATTGTATTCTCCGTGAAGAATCCTTAGACTTCAATATCCTTTAGCAACCCATAAGAGATCAGGGGCAGTGAGGTAGCCTAGTGGTTAAAGCATTCGCTTTCCACACCGAGGACCTGGGTTCGATTCCCCACTTGTCTGAAGTCTATTTCTGGTGTCACCCACCATGATATTGCTGGAATATTGCTAAAAGCGGTGTAAAACAAAATCACTCACTCATAAGAGGCCAGACTTGCTGACTGGTTGATGCATTGTAATGGCATTGTTAGGTGATCATGATGGGATTCACTGGATTGTCAGTCTCAGAACAGACTTTTGTAAATACGGTCATCATTTAGCTTGAATGTTGCTGAGAGCTCCTTTAACAAACAAGATCTGTTTTAGGTATTCATCATCTTCATTTTGCATGTGTTTTGTACAAGTGTGGTGCATGACTGAATGAAGGCAAGTAGCTGGAGTGGATGTCACAGCTGGTGCATGCAAATATTTCCTCATGCTACAGTCATAAATGGAAATGTCTAGCACACGGACTCGTTTCCGATTTCCAGATCCTTGCCTCTCAGACTTCAAGCTTCAGCCAGTAAACATGTCAGATAGTACAAATCCTTGGTATTTGATGAGGTTTTGCAGTTCAATTTACCTTAAGTCAGAAAAGATTCTCGGTTTGCATGGAGATATCCTAAATATGGGTGACCACGTGTGATTTTATATTTCAAGTTGACATTCTTGCTGCATTGTTATGTGATTTTCTGATTTGGATTTGTAATGTTCAGATTGACTGAAATATCCAGAAGTGCCTCTGGACAATTGTGTAAATGCTATTCAGAAAGAAGCAGTTTTTCAACTGTTTCATAGAGAACTGAATATATTCTGATAATAAACTATAACTGGATGACTGGTGTTGTGTGGTTTCATTCACAAAGGGGAGAGCTGGAAGATCACAACACAAGTGCTGCTCAAGAGTATGAATGCCATGAAAAGGTATGAGTAACAAATTTGAGAATGAAATGAGACATTTCAGTCGCCTATAAATTGTTGTTATCCACCATGCCTTTAAATAAGCTACTAAAGAGAAGTTCTTTCATATTATGCCATGACAGATAAACTAAAGTACATCTTAATAATAATAAAATCTCAAGAAGTTTGTCATGCAATCATTTTACTAAACCGAATTATTTCCTAAGCTTGTAAGTACAACTCACATTGATAGATGCATTAACCCAAAATATTCCTTTTCTTCTTTAAATGTTTTTAACCCCCCCAGGAAACTGAATATTAGTGGTGGTGGTTAAAACAGGGTGAACCTTTCATTGGATAGCAGTGTTATATCAATAGTTCCTAATCATTACGTCATGATGAAATGTAACACATTGTAAAGAAATCAATACTATTTTTGGGTGATGCTGTAGAGATTCTTTACATGGACACTGCATTATGAATGTCCTCTCTCAGATACAATGGTATACTATCAGCCAAGTTGTGAAAACTGATCCATCTTGTCACCTCTCACAAGACGCACGGGTTGCTGTGGTAACTGGTCTTAACCCTGAATCGCTACAAGGTTGCATGTGTGGGAAGTCAATACAAAGTTTCATTTTGATGTTTCATGTAATATGATTTATGAGTTATGCTCCAGACTGACTGAGTTCATTTTTATGCTGCTTTTAGCAATATTCCAACAATATCACGACACCAGAAATGGGCTTCACATATTGTACCCATGTGGGGAATCGAACCTGGGCCTTCGGGGTGATGAGCAAATGCTTTAACCACTAGGCTACCCCACCACCTTGTTATACGTCAGAAACATGATGCTCTGCAGAGCAAGAGCAAGATTTCAATGAAAGGTGTGGTTGTGTACAGTTTCCTGAAGATATTACTGCTTTCACAGCAAGAAGTAAATTACATATACAAGTAAGTCCATTGGTAACAAGAAATCTTACATTTGATGAAAACATGTTTTTCTTTTTCACTGAAAATCAGTTAGTCTGCAAACCCCACCACCCAGATGATTACTGTTAGGAATTTCAAGGTTACCAGTTTCTGAAAGGTTTGCTGAAACATAAAATATGACAACACTGATAAAGATTTCACTTTTCACATGTTTGTCTCCTCTGTGGGGATTACTGATCAGGTACAGGATGTATGTCTCCCTGAGAAGATTCTGAGTCAGATATGTTTCCCAGGGAATAAGAAAATACACATTGTATTTCAAACACTCTTCCTTCCACTTTTTTGGTTCCTGAAGTAACAAAGAAAATCAAAAAGTTCTTCTTCCTTAGGACTTTATTTTTTAAAATGAACAGTGATAAGTTGACAATGGAATGATAGAATGTAGTGTGTAAACATACAAAGCATGTTAGAATGATATCTGTAGAAATATAGACCAAAATGAACACTTAGTATTGTGCTTCAGGATTCTAGCTCACCTGGATATATGGCGAACTGTTTAAAATGTCAGAAAAGACAGCCAATTCTGAAAAGTTGCTGAAAACTACAAATAAAACCATGATGTAAATATTTGAACAAAATATGATGCCATCATCAGGAGGCACACATATGCCAAACTTCAGCTCCTAAATTTCATCAAAGTTATTTACTGGGCAAAATATGTATATCAACATATTTTCACATATATGAGAATAATAATCAAAGACCAAAAATATGTCAAAATAACAGCTATAATTTGATTTCTTAAATAGATGCTGTGGTGGCCATAATGAAATTGGATTTGAACCAAATGAAGAAATTCAGGTGACATCATTGGTTAAAAAAGTCTTATGGAGTTTTATTGGTCCCATGGTCTCAGGGGATGATTACAGTAGAGGGAATGCATTTCAAGAGAATTTAGGAACCTAGTCGGAGGGCAAAGGTAAACATATATATTAAAATTGGATCCACTTGAAAAAATTAGGATGTTGTCATAAGTGAGAAGATGTAAGTGAAAACATTCAGTGGTTTCTATGGAGATGTTAACACTGGACCCCAGACAAACAGGCCATGATAAAAGCTCCCTTGACTTTCTGTCAGGTGAGCTAAAAAACATAACTACGAGTGAGGAAATAGTTGTGAACACAGAACATGACACCTCTACTGCCAGTGAGTATTGGCTGAGCTGTTGCCCATTCAAACACAACAGAAAACACAACACCTGCCAAAGGATTTTGCAGGGTTATCCCCAAAAGTCTAAAATCAACGTTTATCTCAAGAAATAACCAAAGGTCATTCTCAAGTTATATATTTTTTATATTTAAAATATAATGCTTTAGTGGTGTTTGAAAATCACTCAGTATATGTTTCATCTTGAAGCAGATTACGTTAAAACAATTACAACTCCCAATATGTTTCATATAGAATGGAAACCAATATCCAATGTCCAGATCATCATAGTGGCTCTCAAGAAATGTCTTTCCAATTATTTGAACACCACAAGCATGGACAGACATGGCCGCTAGCCTGTTAGCCCAAGACTAGCACAAATCAGAGTTATGTACATGAGACACTAGTCTGAAATGAACTGCAGACTAGCTGAAATTGACCAAAGGTGTCTAACCTTGGTAAAAAACAAAACATGACTTGACATGTGGCATTGACAGTGTCATATTGCTGCAGACCATGTGCCCGTTATGTAATATACATTCAACTCCAAACCAGGTATCTCCAGCATACATCTGTAATACATCAAAACAATTTGCAACATTTTTCATCATATTTGCATAAGATTATTACAATCACATTGCGATACCACAGTATCACATCCTCACACGTACAAGTCAGTTAACACTACAAATGGTCACAACAACATTTAAATGGTATTCATTATGTAGCACTATATGATATTTAATGCTGCCTTATTTCATAGTGTTAAGTTGGTGATCAAGAAAGTTTCAACAATATACCTGCAACCCGAGATCATGACAGTACCTCATTAGGAAGTCATTCACGTTTTCAATTGGATCATTATGTTTGTCAAAGGATTTTCGACAACATATATGATTGGGCACAGAATCTGTTACATCTGAATCAAAATAAATATCTACATGGTATATGGTTTTGGTTTGCATATATCTATCACAACAAAGGAAAACTTGGGACAGATCTTCTCCAGTACATATAAACAAACACTATATCTGCAGGGGTGGACATCTGTCTGCACAAAAAAACCACTATGGATGCTTGACCAATGAAGAAATGGTAATGGACATTGGGCAGCGACATATTCATAAAGCCAAGAATTTATGGATGTCAACTTCTTCATTTGAGGAACATGCCATTTCGGAGTATATTCTTACTGTTCTACCTCATGAAGGAGTAAGGATATACTCCGAAACATGGTGATCCTAAAATAAAGAAGTTTACATCCATAAATTCTGGGCTTTATGTGTATCACTTCTAAATGCCGTTCAAAGACATATTCATGTTCCATCTCATCTGTGAAGTTGATCCACGAGAGACTTGTCCTCCCAGAGTGATGCCTCTGAGCCAGTTATCCTAGCAATATTTGAACACTCTTTCATGGGCTGCTCTTCTTTACTTGTACATTCTCAGCCACCATGGTGACACACCTCTCATGACACACTTAACATGACATCCATCAAACCATCATGTCACACCTCTGATCATGACACACCTTTCCACCATGGCAGATTTTACATGACATCCATCAATCCATCATGATGACACCCATCCATTATGACACACTACAAATCATGTCACACCCATCCATCATGACACCTACAAATCATGTCACACCTAGCAGCATGACACATCCTTCCACTGTCACACCTACCATCGTGACACACCCACAATCAGGACACACCTACCATCATGACACACCCACAATCAGGACACACCTACCATCATGACACACCCACAATCAGGACACCTACCAATCTTGTCACACCTACCAGCATGACACATCTTTCCACTGTCACACCTACCATCATGACACACCTACCATCATGACACATCCTTCCACTGTCACACCTACCATCATGACACACCCATCTATCATGACACCTACCAATCATGTCACACCTACCAGCATGACACATCTTTCCATTATGTCACACCTACCATCATGACACACCCATCCATCATGACACCTACCAATCATGTCACACCTACCAGCATGACACATCTTTCCACTGTCACACCTACCATCATGACACACCCATCAATCATGACACCTACCAATCATGTCACACCTACCAGCATGACACATCTTTCCACTGTCACACCTACCATCATGACACGCCCACAATCATGTCACACCTACCATCATGTCACACCTACCATCATGACACACCTACCATCATGACACACCCACAATCATGACACACCTACCATCATGACAACCACATGACCACAATCATGACACACCTACCATCATGACACACCCACAATCATGACACACCTACCATCATGACACACCTTCCCATCATGTCACCCCTACCAGTATGACACCCTACCTTTATGATGTTCAAACCCTCCACATGACACTCCATACAATAATGAAATTACAATCCTATATTCTCACTTGGTGAGTAGCTTTAGATTTTATTAAAATTTATGGTAAATGAACACATTGTGACAATGCTAAAATATGAAATTAAACTGAAATTTAGGATTTCTGATACTGACGACCCCGGATGACATGAACAAAATGGAATGAATGAACAAGATGGAATGTATATACACGGGAGCATGACAACCTGTGAAGCTGCAGATGTATATTATTGTGTGGCTTGTGTCACAGGAGCATGACAACCCGTGAAGCTGCAGATGTATATTATTGTGTGGCTTGTGTCACAGGAGCATGACAACCTGTGAAGCTGCAGATGTATATTATTGTGTGGCTTGTGTCACAGGAGCATGACAACCTGTGAAGATGCAGATGTATATTATTGTGTGGCTTGTGTCACAGGAGCATGACAACAATTTGTCTCATTGGAAATGAACACCAAGAGATGACACGGTTCATGGTTTGTCATGACTAGCAATGAATATGAAAATATTCTTTCCACATACATGTATATTTCACAGACTTGTACTTATTGCAGTTTGTATTCACTTGAACATCTTCACCTTGACCTACAAACTCATTACATCAAAACAAACTGGACATTCGAACGGCATGATTCACGAACAACTACATAGGTACTATTAGAGCAAATACTCATCTTTACACCATTAATGTGCCATTTTAAGAATATCTTTTAAACCTATGTCAACAAACAACTGTTCAGCTGACCGAACCCTGACATGTCACACTGAGCAAACTGATGAAACAGTTAACTCTCTGGAAAATAGAAGTTTAATCTGATACAATATTCATCATGTCATTCCCTTCAACTGTTTGACAACCCTCACCAAGGCCTTATAACATGAATACTTAATTTGCCGCACTGTATACATCCATAGGAGAGAGAGTTACTCCCCTTACACCTCGCCACTTCAACTGGCTTACCCACCAAGTCCACATTAAATGTTGAGAAGAAAGAAAGTACACCCAAGGTCGAAAGCCAGACCATCAGGATGCCATCACAACACAGTCAAGAAGGCACAGAGGAATAAACCACATTACTATCATGTTTTACGCAACTTCTTCCGACCATCATCCGACACCACTGTTGTCATCGAGGCAATCCTCTTGCTGGCTCGTGTGGGCGTTGTCACCTCTCCGTTCTGGTGGCTGTTGGAAACTGTTGTTGTTGAGGACGATCCAGACAATGTTCTCTGGCGCTTGGACGGTGTTTCTGTGGTGTTACTGTTCTTGAGACGGGGATCTGTGTTGCTGCTAGGTCGTTGTCGAGGCTGTAGTCCCACACCTGGGAAGGGAGAAAACACAAGGTGTTAACTGGTTCATAATAAAAGTCAGGCCTAAAGAAATATACTAATTAAGCCAGGAATGTTCATCCAAGTAACTGCCCAGCTCAGCTTCTGATCACGAACCCTGCCCTCTGATGCCTAAACTCATCCTATACAATCCCACCACTTCACTCTACCTTGGGACTGCTCTCACCAATTATTTATATGATAGGCATATTTATATTCAGCATCAGAACAATTATTGCAGCCTCACAGACAAGCCCAAAGACAATGCTACCCAAACTCACAGGACACCACCTGCCACCTCACATCACCCTGTCCCACCTCACACAACACATCCTACTTAATTTCAGATCACACACCTAACCCACCCACACACAACACACCACCACAGCATTCCACTCAACACCACTCTACCCAAACTCACAGGACACACCACTCTACCCAAACCCACAGGACACTGCCCACCACCTCACATCACCCTGTCCAACCAACACCACCCTACCCAAACTCACAGGACACCACCCACCCTCACACAACACATCAAACCCACCTACAAATCCTACTTTAACGGACACCACCTGTCCACCTCACAACACAACACACCCCAAACTCCCCACCTCACATCACAACACAACACACCACCACCCCTACCACAAACTCACAGGACACAACACAACAACACCGTGCCCAAACTCACAGGACACTGCCTCCACCACCTCACATCACCCTGTCCCACCCCATCCACACAACACAATACCACTCACAGCATTCCCCTGTCCCACCTCACACAACACACCACTATTCCACTCAACACCACACTACCCAACTCACAGGACACCACCCACCACCTCACATCACCCTGTCCCACCTCACACACCCACCCACCACCACCACCCTGTCCCACCACACAAACTCACACCCAAACTCACAGGACACTGCCCGCCATCTTACATCACCCTGTCCCACCTCACACAACACAACACCACCCTACCCAAACTCACAGGACACCACCCACCACCTCACACAACACATCCTACTTAACGTCAGATCACACCAACCCACCTAACACAACAAATCCTCTTAACGTCAGATCACACACACCTCTACACATCCTAACGCCAGATCACACCAACCCAACCCACCTCACACAACACATCCTACTTAACGCCAGATCACACCAACCCACCTCACACAACACATCCTAAACGTCAGATCACACCAACCCACCTCACACATCACATCCTACTTAACGTCAGATCACACCAACCCACCTAACACAACACATCCTACTTAACGTCAGATCACACCAACCCACCTCACACAACACATCCTACGTTAACGTCAGATCGCACCAACCCACCTCACACAACACATCCTACGTAACGTCAGATCACACCAACCCACCTCACACAACACATCCTACGTAACGTCAGATCACACCAACCCACCTCACACAACACATCCTACGTAACGTCAGATCACACCAACCCACCTCATCCTACAACGCCTGATCGCACACAACCCACCTCACACAACACATCCTACGTAACGTCCAGATCGCACTCAACAACCCACTCACAACACATCCTACGTAACGCCAGATCACCCACCCATCACACACATCACATCCTACTCCTAACGCCAGATCACACACATCCTACCCACCTCACACAACACATCCTACGGAACGTCAGATCACACCAACCCACCTCACACAACAATACCTACCCAAACTTCACATTACACTTGACCTCAAGTGTGAACTCACCAAGCTTGTGCTCTATTTCCTTGAGCTGCCTCTGAGCGTCCTGGCACTCTGTGTACTTGTTCACCATCTCTGGTAGTTTCTGGCATTCTATTTGTTCCTGCAGGTCGACCTTGGCCTTGCTCTGCCTCTCCAGTGCCCCCTTATAACTCTGCAGAGTATCTGTAACCGCAGAGAGGAAACCGTGGGAGTGCATGTCCTAAGTAGGTTTGTTTGTTTATGGAGTAACACTTCATTCAGTTACATACCAACTATATATAAATAATCACATCTGGACCAGACAAACCAGTGATTGACATCATGAGCATCCATCCCTGCAACTGGGATCAACCTTGTCAAAGAGCTTGACCAGCTGATCCAACTAGTTGCCTCTTATGATAAGCAAAGGTATAGTCTGTTTGCAGTGAAAACGTACCGATGAATTTCACTCTAAACAAAAAAGTAAATCGATTAAAGCGAAATTAAGATTGGGAATCCTCATAATTTTACCTTGCCAATTGAACATTCAAATCTCAGAATCTTATTCAACTTAGGATAAAAGTTGTTTAACAAACAATCATAGTTTCAAATCGCAATTATTGGTTTGTATTACAAGGGGTGATTAATTCACTTCACTTCTTAATTTCACTTAATTTGATTTACTTTTTTGTTTAAAGTGAAATTCATCAGTATGTTTTCACTGCAAACAGACTATAGTTGAACACTAGATTTAAACCTAGATTTCACAGGACTATAAAAGAAGCATGTCACTGTCGCTCATTGCAAGCTTCATACACTATACATATGGTTGTCACTATATTAAGCAACAATTAGAATTTCTCGTGTTTAACAGCACAATCTGCAATAATCCATCTAAATGATGTCAGTCTGTTATACCTGAGTCAGTGTTAGACAAGCTAGTGACTGACATGACCATTGATCTATACAACTTAGATGCGATGACACGCATCAGGCAAGGCAGTAAGCATGAGTTGCTGAAGATCAACTGGAACTGAGTCTTCACTGGGGGCAACATTAGGAAAAAGGATGTTTAAAAATATATCAGGATTTGTCATCTTTGCCACGTGAAGTCACTTACCTATCTGGGTACATAATGCATGGTAAGCCATAGGCAGAGGTTCACTGAACACAGCCCCTCGCAGCTTTTCCACGGGCAGGGCTTTGTTCATTGTGCCTCCAAATTTGCCATTGCTGCGGATTCTGTCTCCATTGCGGGTCAAGATGGTCGGGCAGTGTGTGTGTTTGATGATCTGAAACAAATTATATTCATACATCTGTCTATAACTTGGCAGTATTCAAGCTCTAATACAGCATTATGTGAATAATCAAGACAGACCAGCCATTCCAGTTGTTACTGGATGACTGGCAACTCAACTGTTTTACTGTTAACGATTTACACCTGCTGTTAGGTATGTGTGTGAGACTGACCTCCTGTCTGTAAGAGTTGGCATGGTCCAGTGTGTCCAGGATCAGTGTGTCCCCTAGCAGCATGCCGAACACTGCAACATACAACACAGAAAAAACATGACACAAGACACAGAATGTGTGACACACCATGACAGAACACACATGACACACCATGGCACAAGACACAGAACACACATGGACACATGACACACCATGACACAAGACACAGAATGTGTGACACACCATAACAGAACACACATGACACACCATGGCACGAGACACAGAACACACATGGACACATGACACACCATGACACAAGACACAGAATGTGTGACACACCATAACAGAACACACATGACACACCATGGCACAAGACACAGAACACACATGGACACATGACAAACCATGACACAAGACACAGAATGTGTGACACACCATGAATGAACACACATGACACACCATGGCACGAGACACAGAATGTGTGACATGGACACATGACACACCATGACACATGACACAGAAACATAGCACAAGACACAGAACACACACATGACACATGACACACAATGACACAAGACACAGAATGTGTGACACACCATAACAGAACACACATGTCACAACATAGCACGAGACACCGAACACACATGGACACATGACACACCATGACACAAGACACAGAATGTGTGACACACCATAACAGAACACACATGACACACCATGGCACAAGACACAGAACACACATGGACACATGACAAACCATGACACAAGACACAGAATGTGTGACACACCATAACAGAACACACATGACACACCATGGCACAAGACACAGAACACACATGGACACATGACAAACCATGACACAAGACACAGAATGTGTGACACACATAACAGAACACACATGACACAGACACACATGGACACATGACACACCAGACACACACATGGACACATGACACACACACATGACACAAGACACATGACACACATGGACACATACACACACACAGAATGACACACCATAACAGAACACACATGACACACCATGGCACGAGACACAGAACACACATGGACACATGACACACCATGACACAAGACACAGAATGTGTGACACACCATAACAGAACACACATGACACACCATGGCACAAGACACAGAACACACATGGACACATGACACACCATGACACAAGACACAGAATGTGTGACACACCATAACAGAACACACATGACACACCATGGCACAAGACACAGAACACACATGGACACATGACACACCATGACACAAGACACAGAATGTGTGACACATAACAGACACACATGACACACCATGGCACGACGACACAGAACACACATGGCACACACACACCATGACACAGAATGTGTGACACACAATAACAGAACACACATGACACACCAAGACACAAGACACAGAATGTGACACACCATAACAGAACACACATGAAACACCATGGCACAAGACACAGAACACACATGGACACATGACAAACCATGACACGACACAGAATGTGTGACACACCATGACAGAACACAAATGGCACAACATAGCACAAGACACAGAACACACATGGATGCATGACACACCATGACACAAATGTGTGACACACCATGACAGAACACACATGACACAACATAGCACAAGACACAGAACACACATGGACACATGACACACCATGACACAAGACACAGAATGTGTGACACACCATAACATAACACACATGACACAACATAGCACAAGACACAGAACATACATGACACAGAACACACATGGCACAACACACTGTGACACAGAACACACATGACACAGAACATGCGACACACCATGACACAGGATACTTTAACATAATACACACATGACACAGAAAACACATGGCACAACATGACAGAAAATCCGTGGCACACCACGACACAGAATATGTATGACACACCATGACATACTACACACATGGCACAGTACACGTGACACATGACATATTAGACATCATGACACAGTACACATTACACACAATAACAATAGACACATGACACATAATGACACACTTCACATAATGTAACTACACACCATGTAAAGAATTTTAACCAACAATATTTAAGCAACAGTCTTTTGTTTTGAATTTTCTGTGACAAGTTCTTATTTGATACAATCCAGGCCCAACTAGAATATCAAATGGAAATCACTGACAAAGTTAACAAAGAGTTAACAAACTCTACAAGGAGTATCAACCTGATCTGTCCAGAATCTCACCTATTCTGCAGTTTTCCTGATCCTGGGGAAACAGCAGCATGTCTCGGGCATACACTGGGTTACCGGGCGGATTCCAGCTGGGGCGGAACCTCGTGTGGGGCAGGGGCCTGAAACATAGGTCATCACTATCATCATATCATCAACCATCTGTTTCATATACTTAGTAGAGATTCCCCGAACACATTGTTTGGGAATATAGGTATCAAAGCGTTTTAACCTAGCATACCTGGCGGTGAAATATTGCTATAAGCTTGAACAATATTTCAACAGTCTCCTTGCAGTTTGATAAACTTGTCCAGTTCAGATATCCCTGATTTGTAGAAGGACAAATACTGATCTGTCACCAGCCCTCTCTAACATATCTCCCTGAGACAAGAGTGTTATGGTAAATGACTAAAAGCAATCCAACCCTTGCAATTAGGCTGGTGTTTTGAGGCTTGATCACAGTTCATGACGATTACAAGTGATGACCCTTCCAGGTCTCTTCTATTGACCAAATGTGATTCAACCTCTCACATAATATATATGTGCCCAGTCAATAGTATGTTAGTGATAATCAGGATCTATATTGTAATAAAACATGTCTTATCTCACAAAGAGCATCAAACACTTGACCACATTGATTAAACACAAGAGAAGACTTGGAAAACATTGTTGAAAATATCTTGGCAGTACAATTGCAAATCCTGCAAAATCTGCATGGAAGACACCCTGTTGTTTACAAACTGGATATTGATTCAACATTCATGGGACCACTCCCCTAAAATTCAAGTCTAGTTCAGCGAAGGTTGGAAACCAGTCTTTTATAGCCAGTTAACTCCCTTGCCTCAAGAAGACGACCACAAAGGGATCTTCCCAAACCTGAAAATATACTGAGGGAAACAAATAAGGGAACACCACTTTATGGCAGTGTTCCATTATATATTCTCAGATTTACCCCCACAGTGATATTCAAGGCTGGTGACGAAAACCGGAAAATATTAAAGGAACATAATTTTCTTGTGTTCCTTTATTTGTTTCTGTCAGTATATTTGGTAGCCAGTTGGGGTCAGATCTGGTGAATAAGGCTGAAGCGTGTATCAACATTCTTTAAGACTTCATGGTTTGGGACACCAGAAGTGCTGTAACTCCATAAATTCTTGTTTGATTCGGGTTTATTGTGATGGTCATAGTCTGATACACAGGGAATCATTGTGATGGTCATATGCTGATATATTGGGGATCATTGTGATGGTTATAGGCTGATATATTGGGAATCATTGTGATGGTCATAGGCTGATATACAGGGGATCATTGTGATGGTCATATGCTGATATATTGGGGATCATTGTGATGGTCATATGCTGATGTATTGGGGATCATTGTGATGGTCATAGGCTGATATACAGGGGATCATTGTGATGGTCATAGGCTGATATATAGGGGATCATTGTGATGGTCATATGCTGATATATAGGGGATCATTGTGATGGTCATAGGCTGATATACAGGGGATCATTGTGATGGTCATATGCTGATATATTGGGGATAATTGTGATGGTCATAGGCTGATATACAGGGGATCATTGTGATATATATTGGGGATCATTGTGGTGGTCATAGGCTGATATACAGGGGATCATTGTGATGGTCATATGCTGATATATTGGGGATCATTGTGATGGTCATAGGCTGATATACAGGGGATCATTGTGATGGTCATAGGCTGATATATAGGGGATCATTGATGATGGTTATAGGCTGATATTGTGATGGTTATCATTGTGTGATGGTTATAGGCTGATATACAGGGGATCATTGTGATGGTTATAGGCTGATATATAGGGGAGGGGTCATCATTGTCATTGTGATGGTCATAGGTCATTTTGATGGTCATAGGCTGATATATAGCTTGTGATATATAGGGGATCATTGGATCATTGTGATGGTTATAGGCTGATATATAGGGATCATTGTGATGGTTATAGGCTGATATATAGGCTGATATATATCATTGTGATGGTTATAGGCTGATATATAGGGGATCATTGTGATGGTTATAGGCTGATATATAGGGATCATTGTGATGGTTATAGGCTGATATATAGGGATCATTGTGGTGGTTATAGGCTGATATATAGGGATCATTGTGATGGTTATAGGCTGATATATAGGGATCATTGTGATGGTTATAGGCTGATATATAGGGATCATTGTGGTGGTTATAGGCTGATATATAGGGATCATTGTGATGGTTCAGGCTGATATATAGGGATCATTGTGATGGTCATAGGCTGATATATAGGATCATTGTGATGGTTACAGGGGCATTGTGATGATGGTTATCATTGTGATGGTTATAGGCTGATATATAGGGGGATCATTGTGATAGGGATCATTGTGATGGTTACAGGCTGATATATAGGGGATCATTGTGGTGGTTATAGGTTATAGGCTGGTTATATATATATAGGATCATTGTGATAATCAAAACCAATCATTTACCTGCCTCAATCCTGCTCAAGCCATCTATTCCTAGCAGCTATTATGTTTAACATTTGTTCTCTGTACCTTGATAACCTATCAAACCTACAAAGTTGTAGTAGGTTTTCTTACAGTATGTCTACAGTATAGAATATCAACATAATAACTTGAAACATTGATTAAAACTGTTGAATCCTGAAACTGAGTTGTTCAGTTTGATAATAAAGAACTAAAACAATAATGTCCAAGATATTTTTATGGATTAAACTTCTTTTTTAATTTCTCTCACGACGTTTCGAGACCATTCCAGGTCCCTTCATCAGGTGAACTGGCAGTTAGGAACTGGCAGTTAGTGACGACGCCATAGTCCTAACTGCCAGTTCAACTGATGAAGGGACCTGGAATGGTCTCGAAACGTCGTGAGAGAAATTAAAAAAGAAGTTTAATCCATAAAAATATCTTGGACATCTATGTACAACTTCTAAATGCCACTGAAAGACATAAAACAATAATATCCTCACAGTAACATATCAGGGAAAATACTAAAAGCATTAATACACAACAAATAATCAATTGGAAAACCTTAAATTCTTGGGAAGTCAATGTATTCTTCATTAGCTAAAGTTTTCCACATACAGTACTAAAGAAGAGTTTAAGAACACACAGTTATCTATGACTATAGATAATCTGTCAAGGCTATAGATAATAGCAGATTAAGTGTAGATGTATTATAAGAAAACAAACAGTGTTTCTAAACTTCTTTTGAGCAGTATATATTCAATGCCAAGCCAAAGCACAAACGCTATGACTCATTAGCCATTTAAATTACATCATTAATAACTGTACCAAGAAATAACGCTGAACACAGTAAGACATGAACAAGACACACCACCTGTTGGCTCTTACACCATAACAAGGCTGATCAATCAATAATCACAGAGGCCAATCTATGGCTGACTTTTAATCAAGCAGATATCAATAAATAATGAGGCCAGTAATCAAGCAGGTCAGTTTGGTTGAAACCATGGTAACAACATCCCTGGTGCTGATGTAGAGGGGATCAGAGGGGATGAAGGGGAGCGGCCATTGGTACAAGTAGTGAGGATACCACAGACAGGATAACTCTGGTGAACATCATCAAGTGGCAGTGAGGGGCGCCATAACCAAGTAAAGTGAGTATTGTCCCCCTGAGGGGGTTCTGGGTTAGAGTAGACCCTCAACAATCTGTACTGGTTGTGAGGGTTACCAGATGGAGTTTGTGGTGAGGATCAGGGCCTAAATTTTCGAAGCTCTCTTAGCGCTAAGATAGTCGTAAGTGCCATATCTAAACATTAACTTCCGACTATCTTAGCGCTAAGTGAGCTTCGAAAATCAAGGCCCAGCTACTTGATTGATTGTACGATACTGTAGCCTGAATGTGCAGATTGTTCTCACAATATCAATCACTGGATTGTCTTGTCCAGACTGGATTATTTTAAGGCTGCTGTCATATGTCACATCACTGTAGGGTGTGACGGAAATAGGCTCCAGATACTGTATCCATACTGGGATTTAAACCCCTACCTTCAGTGTGAAGAACAAATGCATTAACCACTGAGCTCCCTCAACCAGGCAGATACTTCCAAAAATATTTCGTCTAAGCCCTTGAATGGTTAAGGTAATGAATTTCTGGGGTCCTAAGGCAACAAATGGTCCCCGAAATAATGATTATAAAGTAGTTTAATTAATGACTTAAAGTCTTGTGTAAATGAGCCTTCCATTTCCCAAAACCTGTGGTATTTGCATATTTCAACTTCAACAATAATAATAGCTGAATTCAGTTTCCTTTATTCGGTCTATACTGACATACTGAATGAGAGATACAATCTATATCCTAAACACCTTGAATGATTACTTCACTGAGGTCAGAATATAGCATAACAAACTGTAAGGACAGGTAGAATTCCAATGAGAGCCATGATTAATCACAAATTTTCAGTGATCTGATTTTGTAACAAAACGAAACTTAATAAACCTGAAAGAAAGTGTGAAAATAGAAAAAACTCAGCTTGGAAAAACCTGAATTTCTATGGTTATATAAATGTTTGTAATTTATTGAAGTTGATACAGACTGAAATCTTGAACATGATGCCTCTGTTGTGAGTGCAGTCACTTGGAGGGAGTGTGTGGATCACTGGAGAATAATAAATAACCCTGTAGCCCTGCTGTCTGTGATTACACATTAATGAAGGCAGAAAGTCTCTTATTCATGATGAACCTGTTTCACAGCTAAGGACAATCTTTGTAGAAATACACATATATATTCATACAGTGGTATTTAGCTGTCATACAGTTAAGGCACCAACCTCTGCACATTATTCCTATATAAGTTAACAGTTATCTCTGATAAACTACTTTGTTTATAGTTACACTTTTCAAATTTTTAAACTTATCCTATCTCACAATAAGCACTTATCTCATGGTTGAACTTTGGGCCACAGATTCCTCTGTAGGATAGTCTGTAGGAAGTCGACAAACGTTTGATGAATTGTTCACAAGGACTCTGACCTAGACTTTTGATCAAGATCAGATCATAGGCTAGAACTTGTGATGGTTGCTTCAGAGTCCCTGTAATAAATCTTTACATGAGCTCCTAGGACCTGGGCACCCCGATTTACATAATTTATCATAGCATTTGCCAAAGGACAAGTGACAAAGCTAAGAGACCGGAATCCCTGCTCTTTCACGATTTTCAACAACCCCCAGAATCCAATTACCTTTCTGTCCTCAGTCCTAGGTGGTGTAGTGGTTAGAGCGTCCGCCCGGAGAGCTGAAGGTCGCGGGTTTGATCCCCGACCACGTCATACCAAAAGACGTTAAAGTATGGTACTTGTTGGTCCCTGCCTGGCGCTTGGCACTAATGGGTACAACAAGGACTGGTCGGCTCGGAGTCAGTATAATGTGTCTGAGTGGGGTATTCATGCTTCACTGCGGCATGGTATCTCAGTGGGCTAGCACTATAAAACCAGCTTAAGTCGGGGCTAGTACAAGCAGCCGCACCTACACATACACACGCATGCACGTCGTCATATGAGCGAAATATTCTCAAGCACGACGTTAAACCCAATTTCACCTCACCTCACCTCACCTCCTCAGTCTCAGATGGTGAACTCTTCGAAACTCTCCAGATGGTGAGCTCTTCGAAACTCTCCATCAGAGACCTGGATACAGGTGATCTCTATGTATAACATTCTGAACCTATCCCATCAATGACCACTTCAATGCCTCCTCTGTTTATGTCTTATGACAGTTAACAGTCAAGGAATGCTGGAGGGGAAAACTCATACAAGGGGGTTCAAAATTCATACTCTTACTATCATATCACATCTAAATATACATAATGTCCATTAGTTTACAATTTCTTTATACTAATGTCAACAGAAAATGTCCAGCTTCTATGGAATTAGCTATGGTTATACACCATGTGCTGTCAAAATGTGAATGTACCACTCACTCATTATCATTGTTTTTATTTGTACTACGGGCCTCTGGCCTACACAGGAATAAGCATAGCATAGCTGCAGTGTTTCCGACTAAAGCATAAAACAATATTCACTCCATCTCAGTACGTGTACTCACTTGCCCCAGTCCGGCAGATTCTTCCGGTAGATGGAGTCGAGGGGAAGAACCTGCTGCTTCCCATTGGTCTGGTGGTAGATTTCCTTGGCCTGGAGAGGAAAAACATATTTCTACACTCACGTTCAGTCATTTAAAATACTGTAAATACATAAACTTAACCAAACCTGCAGAGGTTTTCAATTCTTTGAAGAGAGTCGTCCTTGGGGTACATATTATGCATTTTCCGGCTGAAAAATGTCCTGTGACAGTTGTATCAATGTTTTTTGAATAAAAAGATTGTACAATAAATAAACTCTTTTATTTATTATACGGACCCTACCTCACGGAGTTACCTCCCTTAGCGCATGCGCACCAACTGGGTAGGCTCCTAGACCCGTATCATCATTCCTTCTGCTGAATTCTTATCAGTGAACAGAATTGCGGGGAGGCGGGAGGCCCTACCCCAAGGACGACTCTCTTCAAAGAATTGAAAACCTCTGCAGGTTTGGTTAATTCTTTTTCAGAGAGATCGTCCTTGGGGTACATATTATGCATAAACACAGACTCCCAAAGACCGGAGGCCAGGGAGGAGGGAATTCTGTCCAAGCACACTCAAAATATAGCGATCGTATCATGGAAAAAAATTGAACAGACGCCATAACACTCACCTGTCACTGACCCAGTTTCGCCTCACGAGAGGCATTATGGGAGGGGAACTGACAGGGAGGATTTGTGCTCAAAGATCTACCTCTAGCATAATGAGACATTGCACGAGTGCTAATATCAACGAAATCCGACCCACTAAGTGGCTTCTTTCATGAGAGCAATCAGAGGGGAAACAAAAATACCACTCACTAACGATACAGTAACTCCGTGAGAATCGAAAGGGGTACAGGTTCTCTGAGTGAGCTCACATTAGCAGACATGTCAATAATGGAATCTTATTGTACAGTAGCCAAAACAAACCAATAAACCAAGACTCACTCGGTCAGGGTGGCAGGACACTGTCCACTGGAGAGAACAGTACGGCCAAAGTTTGCACGATTACGGGGAATGCGTGACGAGCTGATAATGGCGATAAACGTGCTTGGCCGCTCCAAATAGCGGAGCAGATCTCTTCAATGGGGAGTGCCGATGCAAAAGCTTTTGATGCGCGCTACTGCCCTGACCGAAAGTGAGCCTTCAACCCTCAGGGGAGGCTTGCCCTTAGCCTGATAAGCGGCACAAATACACGATACTAGCCAGCGAGACAAAGTCTGCTTGCTCGGCTGGCAGACCAGCCTTCCCGCCACCGTAACAACAGAACAGCTGGGTACCCGTGACGGATCCCCTGCGCTCGCTTGAGATAGACTTTGAGCGCCTTACGGACATCCAACGGGTGAGTGCTCAGAGAGGAGTGGTCCCCGATGTGGAAGGCTGGGTAAGAGTAGGAAGTTCGATAGGAGCTGTCACATGGAAAGCGTGATCGACCTTCGGTCGGGCATCTGGGAGGCTTAATACTGACACGATCCGTGAAACACAGTCAGCCGGGTCGGACGACATAGCATGTAAATCGCCGACCCTTCGACCAGATGTTACCATGACCAGAAAACAGCTTTCCAGGTCAACAACTGAATGGAAATAGCCGATAGGTGTGAGAAAGTGGGACCGACAGCCAATCGAAAGCACGATCGACAAATCCCAAGGTGGACTGGTTCGCCTGAGAGCAGGTCGAATCCGCCCGGCCAGCCAGCGAAAGCGCTAAACGAGAGGGTGCTGCCCCAGAAGAGCACCATCGACAGGGGTGTGAAAAGTGGAAATAGCGGTGGAGTAGCCGCGAATGGTCGGCCGCCAGGCCTTCTTCCAAACGAGGCTTGCAAAACTCCAATACTGGACTAAATCCGAGCAGAAAAGGATCTGCAATCCCCTTATCTGAACACCAGCGGCGCATAGCGGACCACCTATCCTCGTACTGAACGCTTGTCGAATCCCGCCTCGAAGCCAGAATTGTGTCTGCAACTGCTGCAGGAATTCGCTCGCGCCTCGAGGTTAGACCTGACAGAGGCCAAGCCACCCACTGAATCCGCGGATTTGGGTGGGCGCGCGCTCGAGTGAGAATGTCCGGTCGCAGGTAATAGAACAGGAGGCTGAGCCAGAAACCTGAGAATTACCGAAACCAGCTCTGTGACGCCAAAGCGTGCCAGTAGCACAAGTAGCCGAGCTGGCTGGTGGACAGCTGTGAAAGGACACGGGAATGAGTGGTAATGGCGGAACGCCCAGAGCACTTTGCCCGTCCCAATCCAGCAGGAAGGCGCGGCAGCCAACGCCCTGGGTCCGTATCCGAGAGCAGAACACGGAAGTCTGATGCGCCCCGCCGGACGCAAACAGATCCACCTCGAACCACCCGCATAACTGGGAGATTACTGTGAATATCTGCCTGTCGAGCATCCATTCACTGCGGGGCCAGGATCCGCGAGAGCGCATCTGCTCGCGACGCTTCTCCAGCCCCGGAGATAAACAGGGAGTACCTGACAATCGTATTGGTCGCTCCAGAGGAGAAAGTCCCACGCTTCCGGAGGAGCTTTGGGGACACCGTGCCTCCCTGCTTCAGGATGTACGACATGGCCGCCTGGTTGTCTAACTGAAGACGGACTACCTGGCCACGGACATGCTCTCTGAAGCCTCAATACCAACCGCACAGCTCTCAGTTCCAACACGCTGATGTGAAGGTGAGCTTCGCTTCGACCAGAGTCCGAAGCCCGACAGACTGCCCAGAACGCCCCAGCCCGCGGAGGGACGATCTGTCTGAACTGTGAGAGCTGGCGCCGATTTCCAAGGGAACCCCTGGTGAGATTCCCGACATTTGTCCACCACTGAAGGTGAGGTGTCAACCACTGGGACTGTGAGACTGCGCCCAGATCCTCCGTGTGAGTCCACAGCCGAGCCAAAGCTTGCTGTATGGGACGCATTCAACCGCCTCCGCCACACTACAGAGATCGCCGCCGCCATATGGCTCCAGTAGACGGAGCCAAGTCCGTGCTGGTGCCTGGGGCTGGGAGAGGAATGAAGAGACCATCTCCTAACTCTGGTGACCCGGTCGGGCGACAAGGAAACGAGATCCTTGTTCGCTTGAATCGCCCCCAAGAAAACCAAGTCCTGGGTGGGTACCAGGTCGGATTTCTTGAGGTTGATGATCCACCCCAGTCGAAGTTAGAATGTCTATCACTGTGTGAGTAGCATCTGACTTCGCTGGCTGTGTTAGTGTTCGGAGCAACCAGTCGCCTAGGTAAGGGTAACAACGCCTTCCTTGCGAGCGCGAGCTAGGGTAGCTGGGACTAACATGAGCTTGGTGAACACCCTTGGGGCAGTCGATATGCCGAAGGAGCACCCTGAATTGGTAATACATCCCGTCCGTGAAGAGAACCGAAGGTACTGCTTGAACGATGGATGTATGGGTACATGCAGATACGCGATCCTTTAGGTCGATTGACGGAGCCAATCGCCGGGCTGAACAGATGAGATCACCGAAGCGCAGTGTCTCCATCTTGAAGGATGGTACTTCGAGCATGCGATTCAACCCCTTGAGGTTGAGAATCGGACGGAACCCGCCGCCTTTCTTCGGACGCGAAGTACGCGGAATAAAATCCCGCCTGTTCCTCTCCCCGTGGAATGCGCCGATTAGGGACTTGTCCAGCAGAGCCTGAACTTCGTCGCTAATATGTCCGCCTCTGGCTTGACATGACGGCACCGAGTGCGACGATGCCGGTGAAGTCGGGCGGACTCGCCCACAGTGGGAGATGGCCTATGCTGACCGTGGGCCAGCACCTGCCGTTGTTGGTAGCCTTCTCCCATTCCGCAGGAATAGAGAGAGGCGCCTCCCACTGGATATGGGGTAGGAGCGCGTGTAGACCCGGTAGCGGAGCTGACTGGGCGTGACACACGGCTTGAGCGGCAGCCTGATGGGTTAACGGAGGTCGGGCAGACCTCCCGCGCCACTGAAAGGCTGGGGAGCTAGTCGAGGACTGCTCCTTGCCCCTACCCTTGGCGGACCTGTTCCTCCGCCTACCCCTACCAAGCGGCCGGCCAGCCGGCAGACTCGGGTGTAGGCTGCACCCCGGCGGAGGAAGGTGGCACGGAGCCGCTGGGCGAGACACCCGCTGGTGCTCCAACAAGGCCTTAGAGTCCTTGAAGGAGGTAGCTGCAGCGCAGCCTCCTCGTATGACCTGCTGGGCCCCTGGAAAGAGGGTCGCTCCCCAGACGGAAAGGGAGGGCCAGCAAGGTCTGCTGTGTTGCTGCCGAGTACCTAGACGCCGACAGCCACAGCCGGCGATCCCCATGACTCGCGCCACATCACCGTCCGACGCAGCAGACCGCAAAGAGTCGCGCTGCCAGCGTGAGCCTGCACTTCCAAAGCTGACGGAGCAGCACGACATGCGGCGACATCGCCGCCAGCATGCCCTCCGCCTTCCAGGGCCGACCTCTGAACCGAGGTGAGGTAGGCCTCATGGACCACCACCCGCACCTGCTGCATCGCCCGGCGTTCGCAGACCTCCTCGTAGGTCCGCACGCGGCGCCGCAGGGGATGCCGCCAGGGCAAAAGGTGGAGTTAGCGCCCTTGCCGAGCAGCCGAGCTGCTCCGAGGAAGCCGAGCCTCCCCAGGGCGACGGAAGTGAAAACACATTCGCCAACAATTGGTACAACGAACAGGGAATCCTCCCCAAGCTGGTAGCGCCGCACGAAGTTCAGGTAAGTCAAACCTTACTCGGGCACCAGACAAGAGGGGATCGACCACGCCCGAGACCAACGATGGCAGAATGCGGAGCTGCGCTCGTGAGGGTTGCCTAGGGCAAACGCCGCCAGGCAAGCTGAACTCAGTCGAGTCCACGCAACCAGCAGGCACCGCTGCCTGGGTAGGCCTCGGCATTCTCTCTGCCGGACCTCCCGCAAGGCCGGCAAAACGGAAGCCGCCAGTCAGGCTCTCGACCTCCCCTAAGCTCCATTGCCTCGGCGTCCGAGCCCGAAGTCAGAGGCTGGCCCTCCTCCGTAAGAGGACCCTAACCCCGACCCGTGGACTGCCTAACGCTAGGAACCACAGGAAGGGAAGAACAGACAGACTGCTCCACGCCAGCGCCAGCCGGGCGCGGCGGGACTCCGTCTCGAGACGCTGGAGGCAGGCCAGGCAGAACTGGTGCCTCCGCCTCATGGGGCGGGTGTGCGCAAGGACCGGAATACCAGGAATACTCAACGGCCCTCGCCGAAGCTCGAGAGGGGACTGGGAGCACTTCCTCTCCGGAGCAGCCGAAAGGCCCGGATCCGGCCAGAGGCAACGGATCTACAGACGCCTCAAGGCCGAGGGATCGAGCCGAGCCCGCGCGATCCCACCCTCGACTTCTCCACCCCGGCCCGAGTGGGTGAGGAACTCCTGCCGGAGACCTCCAACCGACTCACTTAACGGCGACTTCATCGAGTCCATCTGCTGCTGAAACATAGACTCCATCAGTGACATGTCAAAACCACTCGGCGTGGCAGGAGAGGGGAAGGGCCACGGGATTTTTCCCTTTTTGACACACGCTTGGACTTAGACGGGGAACCCTCGCGCCAGGTCCCTCCCCGCCACGATTTCGCGATAGAACAAGGTGTCGGCAGCCCGCCTCTTCTGGGCCCGGGAAAAGGCCAGACAAATAGGACAGGAGTCAGTTTCATGGCCTGTCTTCTCCAGACAGGCCACGCAACTGGTATGACTGTCGGCCCGGGATACTCCCTCACAGACCGAACAGCATGAAAAGGCCTGAAACAAACACGCAAACATGTTAGTTAACGGCGCCAGCAGCAGATAAACACGTAGAAAACATTGAAAACTACGTGAAGGTTACCACGGAAGTAATAGTTGGTTTTAATACGCAATATTACGACCATTATGGCACGCTAAACTTCCCGCCATGGCAGAGCAACACGCGGCGTAACCACGGGAAAGTTCGCGTAATTTTGTATTAATACAAAGTCACAATTATGAAACAACCAACTGTAAAGCTTTACTGTTCTTGTTTTAGACAAATAAAGACCATACATACAGGTGGTGTCTCAGACATAGTCTTTTTAACAGCCAGCACGCTCATGAATGGGTTACTCAAAACACGTCTGTTCACGGCCGTGACAGCAGAAGGAATGATGATACGGGTCTAGGAGCCTACCCAGTTGGTGCGCATGCTCTAAGGGAGGTAACTCCGTGAGGTAGGGTCCGTATAATAAATAAAAGAGTTTATTTATTGTACAATCTTTTTATTCAAAAAACATTGATACAACTGTCACAGGACATTTTTCAGCCGGAAAATGCATAATATGTACCCCAAGGACGATCTCTCTGAAAAAGAATAGATATATTCCTACATTAAAGTACTGGTGTCAGCATATCTAAATCACTGGTATGTATCCATGTCGAAGGCTTCAGACAGAGTGTAGCGTGACAGTGTCAAGAAGTGTTATTACCAACACACCTTTTTAACAGTTCTTCCCAGACTGTTAATTTAATTGTGGTTAATTTCACCGACTCAAGTGTATGTATGTCAGGTATATATGAATATTACATACACATAACAAAATATCTTAATTAGTATGGACTAAATTATTTGAGCTGCTTCGTGTCTTGTAGTATTACAGATAGAGAGTTGTCATAAAGAGAGGGGCACAGATTACAATGATTACAATGATTACATTAGTAGTGTGAGAGCAGCTTACCTTCTTTGTGGACAGAGTGACGACACAGTCCATGTCAGCTGACATATGCCACGACATGACACGTGCAATGTCGTTATCTTCAACCCGACCCAGATGTGCTATCTGTAACAACAAAACAACATTAAACATGCTGCCTCGTGGTTACTGGAGGAACAGTTCCGCCTGTGTTTACACAACAGGAGTTACTTGTGACATGCTGAGTTGCATCCTTTGGCAGCCAGTATCAAGTTACTTACTTTTCCTAAGACTTCATGGTCCTTGGGTGCTGGGGGCAGGCCACAGAGCCGCCTGGGTACTTTCAGCAGATGTTCTCTCTCCTTAACACGGGCTGCCACAAGTTTGTCTACCACACTGATCTGAAACACACCATGGCTCAGATTTATACACCCTGTGAAGATCTGGGTTAAAATTGCTCTTAAGCAACCCATGCTAGTCGTAAAAGGCGACTAACGGGATAGTGTGGTCAGGTTTGCTGACTTAGTTGACGCATGTCATTGCATCCCCACTACATAAATCGATGCTCATGCTGTTGATCACTTAACTGTCTGGTCCAGACTCAATTATTTACAGACAGCCACCATACATCTGGAATATCGTCGCGTGTGGTGTTAAATAACAAACAAACAAAATCCAAATGAGATAAACTGTCATGCGTATGACGTGAAATGTAAGAGATACATATGTCAAGATATTGGGATCCTACTCGGAATATCAAACTTACATCTTGAAGCTGGGATGGAGGAATGTTCTGTTTGCGGAGTTCCCCTCGAATGTTCTGTTCCTCCCTTGTAGCTTCAACAACGGAGACTGGAAAGTAAGGAATAACATTCATAAACTGACTAGAATCATGTGTCGGAATGGTGTTTGGCTGAACAATCATAAAATAGTACCAACCATCCAACATCAGTTTCATTACCTCAATCCATCTAAATATATCACAGTACAATATCAGGGAGATATTACACATGTTGTCATGTTCGTCTGTCAGCCTCACGTTTGATCACAGAGCAGCCCGTGTGTCTGGTGGGACATCCACAACTCTAGTCACGATGTGATCAGTCACTAATTGCTTCTCAGTTCGACACCGACAGCCTGCTAGCAAAACAAAGCAGTACGCTATCACTCCATACTAGACCCTCTATACTATACAGAATGAGAGGACACTGTAAAAGTGACACATATATATGTACAGTCTGCACTGAATTACAAATTCAGTGTTAAATAATTCATTCTTCACTCATTCTGCTCTCGTTCTATGCCCATGTCTGATAGCCAGGGTCCAATTCCCTACATGTGGAGCCAATTTCTGCCATCCCCTGATATATAGCTGGAGCATTGCTGAAAGTGGCATAAAACTATACTCACTCACTCATTCTATACTACTGCCAGGATATAAGCCTTCATTCTATACTACTGCTAGGATATAGGCCTTCATTCTATACAACTGCTAGGATATATGTCCTCCTTATTCTATACTACTGCTAGGATATAAGCCTTCATTCTATACAACTGCTAGGATATAAGCCCTCATTCTATACTACTGCTAGGATATATGTCCTCCTTATTCTATACTACTGCTAGGATATAAGCCTTCATTCTATACAACTGCTAGGATATAAGCCTTCATTCTATACTACTGCTAGGATATAGGCCTTCATTCTATACTACTGCTAGGATATATGTCCTCCTTATTCTATACTACTGCTAGGATATAAGCCTCTCATTCTATACTACTGCTACGATATATGTCCTCCTTATTCTATACTACTGCTAGGATATAAGCCCTCATTCTATACTACTGCTATAAGGGTAATGCGATTTTTCAGGGCATTATCATTTGTGGAAACCTGAGGTCTTTCATTAACTGCCCGACAGGTTAATCCTGACTTACTTCGGAGTTCACTAACAAGTTGCTGCTGGGTCTCGAACATTGACTTGTAGGCTCTGATGGTGGACTGCAGGTTGTCCCGCTCCTTCGACAGCGCTGCCATCTGTGACTGCTTCTTTGCATCTGAAATACAACATCTTGTTGTCACTCGACCTCAGTTTCTTGCCAATTTGTTTGTTCTTTCTATATAATTTACTCATGTGTAATTTCACCAGGGCACACTTGCACAAAGCAATCTTAGTGCTACAACTATCTTAAGTCTATTCGAGAGTATGGTAGTTACGTTCATCGAAAGTTTTTTTCGTCAACGAGGGCCCACGTCAACGAAAAGATGAAAAGCTTTATGCTTGAGTAATGTCCTCCTCTACTCAAACGTTAACATATCTGAACTTTCTACTGATTCACAATTTTTTGAAATATTAAACAATGCATTTTTCAGACACCATCATGAGTAAAGCTACTGTGAATGCCTGGCTAGATCATGCATCCACTGTGCCTCGTAAACCACGTATCCGCCTGCGAGTGGTGACCAACTCTAAAGGCTATGTTGAGCTGGACCTACACAACCGGAACCTGTCAGTGGTGCCCCCCGAGGTGTTCCAGTTCACCAGGATCGAGGTACTCAAGCTGTCCCACAACAAGCTGGAGCAGCTCCCGGTCATGTTGTCCTATCTCCGAGGTCTACGTCTTCTCCAACTCCAGCACAACCTCATCACATCTCTACCACAGACACTCATCAACTGTAAACACCTGACTGAGCTCAACCTCACCAACAACAGGTTGTCAACACTGCCAAAGTGTGTTTGTAAGTTGCAATTATATTCAAAGAATCCAAATCCTTTATGTCATAGTGCCCCGGTGTAATGCATTTACATAGGCACTCCACATTTTACAACATTACACAATTTCAACTGTACACGGGAATTCATCTTGGGTGTTAAATGTGTTAAAATATTTACCTCCATACAACCATTGCCTCCAATAATTCACGAGGTACTTTCAATAACAACATAACAAAGTATGACTCAAAAAATTAAAGAAACAAGTAATCACTTATGAATCAGACCTAAGAAATAGATCTTAGGCATAGCAACTAGATGGTATCTTTCCAGACAAAATCACCACATTAACAAATGTCCTGATTAATCAATCATTATTAAAGTATTTTTGTCAAAATACTGGAATGGCAATAGGAATCTCTTTTTTCTAGCTGAAAACTTAATATTGTGTCGTCGTATGGTGGGTTCAGACGATTCACAGACTTGATCAATTTGAAAATGCAAAATAAATCTGGGAATCAGCAGAAAATTGCCATAACTGATAATAACAGCACATACCTACAGCTTGTTCAGCTTGACCTGAGCTACTCTACATATGCATGACCCGGGAGGTCAAAAGGCACAAACGGCAGGTCAAGGAAGGTTTTTAATGCCTAAAAGCCCGAATCGGAAACATTAAACTATCTCTAGCTTCCTTTTTAAAGAAAGTTAGGACATTGCTGACGATTTCTCGACACTGAGATGTCAAATGGCGACCTCGTCTCGGATGTTGACAATGAACTGACAAAGGTGCAGCCCTTCACAATAATGGACCCAACCAGTTGTGACACGGTCACGCAATGCATTAGTATTCACTTGATCAGGTCAAGCTAAACAAGCTGTAACTTACACAATGTACAGGAAATAGACCACATATTGTTTCCTACATGAGTTAATTAACACTGTTTTTTTATTGAGGTTCGCTGCATCTCCTGAAGGTCCTCCAGCTTGGTGAGAATGATTTAGAGCAGATTCCCCATGAAGTTGGCCTACTGACAAACCTCAAACACCTGGACATGCATCAGAACAAACTGTGGTATCTGCCCTTCTCCATCCAGAATCTCAGCAAGCTGCTGTTCCTGAACCTTGCCAATAACCTCTTGGACCAGGTCCCTGTCCCCGTGTGCAAGCTCTCCTCCCTCCATGTCCTCAACCTCTCTCAAAACAGGCTAGCAGGTCTCCCACCAGACTTTGACTCCTTGAAGCAACTCAGGGAGCTCAACATCAGCCTCAACCAGTTCACATCACTCAACATCATGGTCACACGGATGAGACATCTCAAGTTTCTTAATGTCTCTAAAAACAGACTTACTGCTCTTCCCACAGAACTGACCCGACTGCAGTCTCTCCGAGTGCTCCATGTCCAAGGCAACAAGCTCATGACTATCCCGGACAAATTTGATAACCTGCAATATCTCAACATCTCTGGTAATGACTTTACTAGTTTCTCTGTGTCACGCATGAAGAACCTGATCTGCCTGAATGCTGCTAACAACAAACTGGAGTCTCTTCCTCAGGGGATATTTGACCTCACTCAGCTCAAGTACCTGCGTCTGGAGCAAAACAAGATCTATGACATCAACCCCCAGATTGTCCTGCTGACCAAACTCCAGACCCTTGACCTCAGCTACAACAAGATTAACACCTTGCCTGACAACATGTACAAGTTGGAGAACCTACAAAAGTTTAATATCAAGGGCAACACCATTGTCCATGACAAGAATATGCGCAAGAACGTTCAGCCAGAGAAAGAGTCAAAGGGGCTATTTGGAATTTTCAAAAAGAAAGACCCTGTTAAAGATGAGAATCCAAAGTCAAACACTTTGAGATCATCACGACCTCTGACAAGAAGACCCATCCCGAAAGATGGATCAAAGACTCTCGGTCATAACTTTTCCAAGCCTCCAACAAAAGGTAACAGAAGATCTAGAAGTGAAACGCTTATGGGAAGAATGCCAGCTGAGGAATACCAGACAACGGGAAAGAAGTCAGCCTTGGAATATCAGACTAAGGAACTCCGCACAATGTTTCTTGAGGAAGACAGTATCAGTCTGGATTCAAGGACATCGATCAGGACGTATCGCAGTGAGCCAAACCTGAAAAAGGTTGGCAAGTCTCCTGACTCAGGGGTGGCCCGGACGGAGCCATCACATGGTGACCTAATGCCCCAGGGGGAGACTACACGCTGCTGGGGGTCTGCAACCAGATCGAGATGCTGCTCAACAAGCAGCTACTCCATCCTGTCATTGCCAACAACACCATAGGCAAAAGGTCAGTACAGTACACAATTAGCAGATTTTTATCTGTATGCTTTTACGAAAATGAAAAAAGTTGTGTCAACTTAATAAATCTTTTACAGACTTTTAGTCAACAATTAAGGCACATTCAAACATTCAATCACTTGGGTTTGTCTGTTCAACAGACTCTATCGATGTCAATCAATCTTTATTCGGTACTTAAAAGGCCACAGGCCTAATGTACATTTATATACACAATATTTACTCTTGATTGACTCTATCGATGTTTGACCTGACAACAGTGTGGATATGGATATCTCAGCAGCTGCTTTCTATGACAATTGCTTACTTGTGTGACTACCATGGACTATTTTGGTGACTGTTATCAGGGGCGGTGGGGTAACGTAGTGGTTAAAGGGTTCACTTGTCACGCTGAAGACATGGGTTCGATTCCCCAAATGGGTATAATGTATGAAGCCCATTTTTCATGTCCTCCGCCGTGATATTGTTGAAATATTGCTAAAAGTGGCTAAAAAAACAAACTAAACACACTTACACTCTAGCTGTCAAGAGAAGAGTTTCTAATCACGGCTAAATATTAGAGCTATATTATATGTATATTACTGTTGGGGCAGAGTGATGCAAGGTCATATGGTATGTAGTCACACAATTTCCACTTGAAGTGTTTTACAGCAAGCATGGGGTACTCAGGACCTATACTGCAATATGATAAATATTATGACATAATTCAGTGGCTTTGGTCACACATTTCCGAGCACACCAATGATTTTGAGTGTGTGTTCTAGATTCTCTGATGACCGCACCATACAGAAAACCCCGAATGGTGTATGGCGACTGAGTCAGGATGCTACTGTGGAGAACTACGGCCTGGAGTACAGTCAGCCTGAGACGTTCACCATCACACAGTCTGGGGGTTCCTATGTCTCAAGTTTCGACAACCGTATACAGGTCACTGCCCCCACCAACGCCTTCATCAACACTGTACATGCTACACTTCAGGTCAGTCAACTCCATCCAGACTTACCATATTTGCTGTATTAATGCCCCCTGCACTACCTCCTTAACCAAAGAGCACCCTTAAACACGCTAAACCCAGAGTGCTGGTTAGCAAACCCCCAAAACGACAATCTAGATTTCTTGTGCATAATACAGATAGTTTTTCAGTAAATACAGCAATTTAAAAAGTTATGTAATTATTAATTATAATCATTTTCACTGACATTTGCACTAACTTTGGTCTCTACCTCAAAATTTTGACAATGAATTCTCCAGTGTATGGTTTTGATAAGATTCCGTATTTGATCTCTATCTGTAATATCAATTATGCAACTTCAACTCATCCTTTTTTATAACTAAAACACATCAAATGTTAGATATACACTTCTAGTGATCCTGATCTTAAGATGAGACATTCATGATTAACACTGGATCTAAACACAGGTCCTACGCATCAAGCACAGCCTCCTGGCAAAGATCAAGTCCATGGAACGTTATGTTGAAAATCTACTTGCTGTCGGCCCCCGTAATTTATTTCAAGCTTCTAGAGTCACAGGCTGTCATCAACAGTGCAGTGACAATCACCATCCCTGCTCCACCCGAAATGAGACGTGGTCACCTGATGGTTGTGACTGTAAGGGCAGACAACTCCTGTACACCTTGTTCAAGTGGCTACCAGTCAGCAAAGGGAGCTGTAACCTTCAATGCCTGGCACCTGACAGGGTGAGTAGGACTTCATTCCTTCTAGAACATGTTATGCAACACTTCACCCCACAGAATCTGCATAGCACTGGGTAATGTCTACTTAACACCATGCTTATTGTCCTGCTAGTGGCAGTCATAGAGAGTAAATATTTAGAGTCAGCGACATGCCATCCTTATCATGAAGACTGTGTGGCTGTGTAACCTGCCTGATTGTGGTTTCTGTGCCTTTATCTCAAGGGTGGTTGTTCAAGCATTCAGCCATGATTTGCCTGGACGGATTTAATAAATATTCTACTACAACATCCACTTTTACTCTGCTTATCAACATCCACTAACTCATCTATTCAATCCAGGGAAAGTGATATGACAGGACCGCATTTTCCACTTTTGTTAAAAGCATGTAAAACAACAACACACTTGTAAGCATGCTATAAAGGTCAACATTAAGTCCAATAATACCCCTAAAACTTGTGCTGCCATTTCAGAAAGGTAGCAGTGGTGACAAAGGCCAAGTGTAAGTACAAGGCATGCAAGTCAGTGGAGGAGCTGCTTCAGCGACTTGGGATTCGACAGAAAGGGGCAGATAACTGAAGTCTGACAGAAAGGGGCAGATAACTGAAGTCTGACAGAAAGGGGCAGATAACTGAAGTCTGACAGAAAGGGGCAGATAACTGAAGTCTGACAGAAAGGGGCAGATAACTGAAGTCTGACAGAAAGGGGCAGATAACTGAAGTCAAATGGATACTGGCATATGGGTGAGGTCCAAAAGGACACAAAGCTGACAGCCAACAACTGGGAGACAAATACTATGAAAGAACTTGAACATTGTATAAGGTGACTGTGAACAGTCTTGAACTGAATTGTCTGTTGTCTACCATGAGCTCTGGGTGTATCATCCATCTCAATGCATGACTTTCTTTTACCCAAATATTCCACAAACCATGCAGTAGTGCTGTACCATCTCTGCCAGAGATGAAAAAGGACTGTTAGGATGATTATGTCCAGTAACAGAATGCACTGGAACATTGTTGTGCGTTGTGAATCACATCAGTTGTATTCACTGTTGATTCATGGAACTGTATGTGATGGTTGTGAGGTACAAAGTAAGGTCAGGTTTGGACTGGGCCACAACACTCTTGAATACTGATTTGTTTTTATGATTGTTTGTTGTTTAATGCCTCACACAGCAGTTTTTCAGCCACATATTGGTCAGCTAACTAACTGGTGCAGGAGTTATGCTGATCAGTACCATAGCACACTCTTGACACTAATTCACAGTATCCTGGAACAAATTATAATGAGAGTGGGCTAAACTGGTTAAGGTAGTCAGGTCACATGATGGTCTGTGATGCTCTTCATATCAATCACTTGTTTCTGTGCTAAGTTTGCTGACAACACTATAACATAAAACCCCCACTTCTCCCATTCTCCAGCTCTGTCCCTATGCCATCATCAGGTTGTGCAGACTGACACTGTACGACTCTTGTCATCCACAGATGGAATAACTGTCCCGTAGACATTTACTACAGTCACAACACCACACCAGCCAAATACTTAAATGTAGTAGTACTTTAATTATCATTAGTTAACAGGGGTGGAAATAACTTTAAAATTGCTAGTGTACTCCGGTACAGTGGCACATGTGAAATCACTTGTCCTGATAATTTGTCCACTATACCGGCCGTTTTCCTGTTGATTTTTTAATAAACAACATAATTAACATTGGAAAGTCAACTGGACGCCGGTACAGTGTGATATACGAATTTGCTTGCCCGACAGAAAAAAACACTGGACTCAGACGTCGGGCAATTGGTTATTTCCACCCCTGAGTTAAAGAAACATTTCTTCCTTTTGCTGGATCGAGACAAAATAACTCATGTTTAAATATCCCAAACATATATCTGTGAATTTTTGTTGTCACATTATCCTCAAAGATATGACTGACTTTTTCTGAAAGGAAGTTTATAAAAGTACTAAACTTTTACTCTGCTTATCATTTGTGATCAACATTCCCACATTCCCTCCCAGTGATGTGAGGTGATGTGAGGTGATGTGAGGTGATGTGAGGCATGCTAACATAGGTTCATAGCTCCAGATAACCAGAGTCATATCAGCATGAACATGAAGCAAATCAGGTCCAGTGTATAAGGCATCCTGAAGAAGCATGCATGCAGTCATCAGTGGACAGTGTCACATCTTGTGGTGGTATGACGATGAGGGAATCTCCCCTCTGTCAACAATAGTGTGTATTTGCATGATGGTTGTGGTGTATATATGTAGAATAAATGTTCTTTTCTATCTTTCATTTGAAGTTGTGCTGACCTTTCAGCATGTGTTGAGACTGGTACTCACCGTTATAGAAGAGGAATGGTATTTCATAATGTGGAATGGACCTGTTTCTGGGGATGATGTCACATGATATGTGGCACTTCAGGACATACTCCAGTCCATCTTTGCCAGGCGTGTTCTCTTGTAACATCAGGTTCTGTAACAAACCACTGCATCAGTCACCATAACAACATCACGCTGCATCAGTCACCATAACAACATCACGCTGCATCAGTCACCATAACAACATCACACTGCATCAGTCACCATAACAACATCATACTGCATCAGTCACCATAACAACATAACAACATTATACTGCATCAGTCACCATAACAACATCACACTGCATCAGTCACCATAACAACATCACACTGCATCAGTCACCATAACAACATCACACTGCATCAGTCACCATAACAACATCACACTGCATCAGTCACCATAACAACATCACACTGCATCAGTCACCATAACAACACTCTGCTCCGTCATTTTGATAACATCACGCTGCATCAGTCACCATAACAACATTATACTGCATCAGTCACCATAACAACATTATACTGCATCAGTCACCATAACAACATTATACTGCATCAGTCACCATAACAACATTATACTGCATCAGTCACCATAACAACATCACACTGCGTCAGTCACCATAACAACATCACACTGCGTCAGTCACCATAACAACATCACACTGCGTCAGTCACCATAACAACACTCTGCTCTGTCATTTTGACGATATCAGGCTGCATCAGTCACCATAACAACATCACACTGCGTCAGTCACCATAACAACATCACACTGTGTTAGTCACCATAACAACACTCTTCTCTGTCATTTTGACGATATCACACTGCATCAGTCACCTAACAACATCACACTGCATCAGTCACCTAACAACATCAAACTGTGTCAGTCACCATAACAACATCACACTGTGTCAGTCACCATAACAATACTCTTCTCTGTCATTTTGACGATATCACACTGCATCAGTCACCTAACAACATCACACTGCATCAGTCACCATAACAACATCACATTTGTCATTTTGACAACAACATACTGCATCAGTCACACTGACAACATCACAACTTCTTCTGTTACAGAGACTTATAACAATCCAAGTACAATGAATAACACAGACACAAGTTTTACTCTATCAATTTATACCAGTTGGCTGAGTTTGAGGGTTACCTGAAGGTGCACCTGTCCGTTCACCATGGACATATCCAGGGACTTGGTGCCGCCTACGAAGCAGGGTATCTCTGTGACTCCCTCAGGTGCTGTAATTTCCAGCGTCAGTCGGCCATGGTACTTCTCACCCATGTGGTTGCCAAACTTGTCCTTCAGCGAGAGCTTCAGATGTCTGATGAGGCAGCGTGAGGCGGCATTCCGTGTGTTGGATACAGTAGGTGTACCCGGGGAATCTTGGGGAGACATCTCCTCTGGCTGCCCAGGCATCACGTTGATGGAGATCTACATGAACATACCACAGTGAGCTACTCAGTGACACTACAGTCAGCAACATTCCTGCTATATCACAAGTAACTAAGACACCCTGGACACCCTTCTGTCAGTGACACAATCAGCCTGGCCATACATTGCAACCCACTTTCATCAGTTTAGACAGCTTTTTATGACATGCATCAGACACTGGGGACCAACTGTGCTTAGAACCCACTTGCACAAAGCAAAAAAGACCATTTAAATCAATATTAAAGTACGGGACTAATTTGTCTCTGATCACAAAGGTAACTTAGTGCAAGTGAAGCCTGAAATCTCCACAAGACCGTCACGTTAGGTTCAGTGAAAGAAAAAGGGGAGATAATGTATAAATTGGCTGTATCAGATATTTTCTAAAGGCAAATATGAAAGAATATGAGACTGAGGCCAATACTAATTCAGTTTCTAGAAGCTGACGAGTACATGATCAGAATATAGGCTTACTATGCACCGGGTCTAGTTCAAAGGTTCTATGTTGGTTCACATGTGGTAGGGTTAATGGCACTGCAAGTTTTCAACAGAACCAAGATATTTTACCTGTATTTAATGTTTTGTATGCGGTAATTAAACTAAGCAAAAGCTGCCATCTTTTCCCATCACATTATCCATAGCATGGAGGTGGCACGATCTTATTTCAGAATTAAGTCTGGGGTTAGGGTATCCAAGATTGAAGTTTTGAACTGATCACCTAATTTGGCCAAATGTTATGATGCCATGATGGGGTTCCAACCTACCACTGTGCTGTACAGCTCATGCTTCCCATCAAAGAACACAAACATCACGTTATAGGACCCTGCTTGCTCGGGCACGCTTCTCTTCCTGTTGGATAAACAAGTCATAACAAACATCAGTGTTAGGTTACTGGTAAACAACATTCTTTAATTCAGAGGAACATCTAAAAGAAATTTGCATGTTACTACTAGCTAAAGATTCGAAGATGGAAGTTTCTAAAACTAGTCCAGAAGACTAGTGAAAACTCCCACTTGTTCTCCGAGTTTGGGTCTAGGCCTGCTAGAATGGCTCCTCTGCTTTCAGTCTGTTAAATCAAGATACACTTCGTAGATTTATTATTGCATTTACAACTGGGTCAGGATAATAGCCCTCAAATGCTGGTGAATGAGCACTACCATCATTGGATTATGGTTGTCCTCAGAACAACTTAGTAGGCTCAGGCCAGCAGACCAGCGTGATTGTCAATGGCTGGATTGCAAATTAAAGGAACTCCAAATGATCAACAACTTCAGGTCCATATAAACAGTTGCTGTTCTGTAATAGAATGTGAATCAGATCAACGTAGTTGCAAGTATAGCATCATGATGTCTTGTCACTATCTGTTGCTATGGTAACATATGAATATAACTGGAATGTGCATAGAAAGTTATTGTAATTTTCAAGAGTCTGTCTCTCTGCTATATACATGATATATGACTACTGACGCGAAAACGTTTCTCTAAACATACCTGAAATGAAACACTCCCTTGTCTGACTTCAGTGGGGTGTCGGGACTCATGGAGGTAGCGGTCTGAAATAGTAGCATTGTGTGGTGCAAATACATTGAAAACTGGATTCCATGGGAGATACTGGGTCAACAGTCTGGTTAAGGTTTTGTTGTCTGTGTTCCGTGGTCATCAATAGACTGCCACACTCATATCAACAGCAGCCGCTATTACAACCGCTGTATCGTGCATTACGATGATTGTCTGCATCCCAAAGAAAATACTGCCTCGGCCAAGCATACAAGTAGTGTTTTATTGAAGAAGATGCTATTTATTTATGCCATACAAGTGGTGGTTAACATAAGCAACAATCAGCTTGGTTCAGTGATCCAGTCCTGTCATACTTTTGAGCAATCTTATCCACATTAGTGTGCATTGTTACAAGTAGAATTAATATAAACTTAGTTCAATATTTCTCCTGAATTAAGTTTTTGGGTCTGTTGGTTTGGTGGAAAAACAAAAGTAGTAACTGTGTCTAAATTGAAGGATGTTTCACACTTTTACAGTGTCATGATAGTTTGGTCTGTTGAGGTCAGGGACATGAAAATACTGTGTAAAATTAACAGCTACTTTAACAAAAACAGCCCAGTGTACTTGGTTCTTTTTTCTTATCCATCAAAGATTTCATGTTATTTTCTTACTGTGACCCTTGGCTCAAGTCAGCTGATTCTGAAAACAGAGTAAACATAAAACATGCCATCACATTGTAAGTCTCACCCTGGAGGGAGGCAGATTCTGATTGGCTGAGTCACTCTTCCACAACTTCATGCTGAGATGTGTCGGGTTAGCAGTCGTCATTACACTGTCATCTTCAGCCATGACCTTCACTGAGAACTCTGGGAAGATGTCTCCTGCTACGAAGGCGGCATTCTTGCTGTAGTCCACCTGCAGCTCCACAGGCCGCGTGGGATCGGACTGCACATTCAACTTTATTTTTGGTCCTGATATCACAGACTTGTTGTAGAATGCTTTTGGTTGAATGTCATACACTCCTCTAAAATCACACAAATCCAACACAAACGTTTATTGTTTCCATGACATTTTCTACACACGGTAAGTAATAAAATGCATCCAAGATAAGTGACTTTGTAGTATGTTAGAGTTACATGCAGAATATTCCAAACCCAATTGAAGTAACAAGACTTGGTATCCAGCCATGATATAGAAAAGGAAATCAAAACAATTCCCAATTTAAGCCATTAATGTGAGGATGAATGAAGTCAAAGTCACTGTTGCAGCACTGGAAGAGGCAAATCTCGAAGGTGCAAAAAATAATTAAAATTGTTTACATTTAGTTCTGAACCCTTAAAGGTCACATGCAACGTAAAACACAACTTTGCAGATTCTGATACCTTTCGGTATGGACTTACCGAAACAAATCATCAAAAATGCAAATTCAACTTATAAAGTTGAAAAATAACGCGATGAAAAAAACCGCGCGAAATCGGAGTTCAAACGATTCACTAATTTTCCCCCGACTTTTCGGGGAAACTGGTTTCAACAGCTGGGCTGCGCTCATAGCACGTGCGACTGTACGCTTATAATTTTGTTTATTTGTTTTTTCATAACCAGCAATGTATTTGATATGTCATGAATAAGTGATAATTGTGTTTTAATTATCTTTGATTATTTGGTTGCATGTGACCTTTAACTAACGAAGGAAATCTTGGAATATCAAGTACACAGACAATAATAAGATCTGATTTTTGTTACCCAAAATTGCTTTCCATAATTACCCATCTTACTCCTTACCTTGTGCCACTGACTGACAGCTGCCCAAAATCAGCAATACCCTGAGCATTTGTCTTTAGAGGCTGTGGCGCTGGTATTAGCTGGAGAAACACATGGTGCATCATTGTGAGTATATAACATTCTACTATATAGTGAATATCAATCCAATAAATGTCTTAGACTGAGAATAGTTAGAGTTATAAAAGAGGGTCCTGATGGGGGAGGTCACAATCCGGTAGTCAGTAAATGTAGGGGCCTTAATCAGCTGTCAGTGATTTTAGACCTAGTCAGTAAAGACATGCAAACAGCATGCAAGTTGTAAAGTTGAATTTTATATATGAGTTCATCTCTATGCAAATGGGAATCATGAAACATGGGACAGCTGGTTCTGCTTTTGTTTCAATACCACAATTCATTTCTTGCAAGTACATCATGTATAGAAGTTTCACAAAATAAGATTTTTGTGGCGTGGGGACGTGGTGTGCGAGCTGGCTAAGGCGCCAGGCTAGTGATCCAGCGAGCTTGAGGTGATGGGATCGAACCCACCTGTGACCGGGTGTAAAAACCTTGGAGTCAACTCTTGCGTGCAGACTCTTTCCATGTTGTCACAACCCCTAGTGTACAGTACACAACCCTGTGCACTTAAAAGAACCCACGAATCCGTTGGTATATAACCAGATGGTGGCCACATGAATACGTGCAAACACCTAGTTGCGGGTACAGCAACGTGCAGTAAACTTGGACAAAATACTGTGACTACCTGTCCCAGTCCACCCAGCTGTGAATGGGTACCTGGTAAGGATGGGAAAGCCACATTAACTCGGTGCGCCTAGTGGCTGCAAGAGTTGTATGCTCCCCAGGGAGTTGAGATTGATAATACATTGTGCCATTTGAGACTGACATCCAATGCTCGAGGGAAAAACAAAGCACCTTTGAGCAGCTGATCTGGATATTGGCACTATATAAATACATATAAATAAAATAAATAAATAAATTTTAGCATAATTACGATAAACAGTAAAGTTTTGCTCAGTAGTCTTTATGGACATTTTATGTCATTCTTTTGTGAAAAACCTTTGACTCATGTCATGTTTAACAAAAGCTATGATTAGTTTTCCGGTAAACAGTATAATCCCATCAGGGCCCTCACAAATCTGAAGGTAAATATAACACAGTTTGAAAAGCTGTAGTGATGAACTGATGCACTAAAATCTATAAATGATATGATTCATTCAGCATCAGCATCAATATCAGCATGCATCATTGAATAATCTGTGTATTAGATACAGTGTCATACTGGTTGTATCTCCTGCAGCTTCTAAATGCATCATAACGACATCAGTCAGCATCATCAGCATCAGCAGCAGTATCAGCATGCATCATTGAATAATCTGTGTATTAGATACAGTGTCATTGTATGTGCACACACATACTGGTTGTATCTCCTGCAGCTTCTAAATGCATCATAACGACATCAGTCAGCATCATCAGCATCAGCAGCAGTATCAGCATGCATCATTGAATAATCTGTGCATTAGATACAGTGTCATTGTATGTGCACACACATACTGGTTGTATCTCCTGCAGCTTCTAAATGCATCATAATTCGACATCAGTCAGCATCATCAGCATCAGCAGCAGTATCAGCATGCATCATTGAATAATCTATGCATTAGATACAGTGTCATTGTATGTGCACACACATACTGGTTGTATCTCCTGCAGCTTCTAAATGCATCATAACGACATCAGTCAGCATCATCAGCATCAGCAGCAGTATCAGCATGCATCATTGAATAATCTGTGTATTAGATACAGCGTATTGTATGTGCACACACACATACTGGTTGTATCTCCTGCAGCTTCTAAATGCATCATAACGACATCAGTCAGCATCATCAGCATCAGCAGCAGTATCAGCATGCATCATTGAATAATCTGTGTATTAGATACAGCGTATTGTATGTGCACACACATACTGGTTGTATCTCCTGCAGCTTCTAAATGCATCATAACGACATCAGTCAGCATCATCAGCATCAGCAGCAGTATCAGCATGCATCATTGAATAATCTGTGCATTAGATACAGTGTCATTGTATGTGCACACACATACTGGTTGTATCTCCTGCAGCTTCTAAATGCATCATAACGACATCAGTCAGCATCATCAGCATCAGCAGCAGTATCAGCATGCATCATTGAATAATCTGTGTCAGCATTAGATACAGTGTCATTGTATGTGCACACACATACTGGTTGTATCTCCTGCAGCTTCTAAATGCATCATAACGACATCAGTCAGCATCAGCAGCATCAGCAGCAGTATCAGCATGCATCATTGAATAATCTGTGTATTAGATACAGTGTCATTGTATGTGCACACATACTGGTTGTATCTCCTGCTGTATTAGATACAGTGTCATTGTATGTGCACACACATACTGGTTGTATCTCCTGCAGCTTCTAAATGCATCATAACGACATCAGTCAGCATCAGCAGCAGCAGCAGCAGTATCAGCATGCATCATTGAATAATCTGTGTATTAGATACAGTGTCATTGTATGTGCACATACATACTGGTTGTATCTCCTGCAGCTTCTAAATGCATCATAACGACATCAGTCAGCATCAGCAGCAGCAGCATTAGTATCAGCATGCATCATTGAATAATCTGTGTATTAGGTACAGTGTCATTGTATGTGCACACACATACTGGTTGTATCTCCTGCAGCTTCTAAATGCATCATAACGACATCAGTCAGCAAGTCTCTTACCTTTATTTTAGGATCCTTAGCAATCTGTATTTTCACATCTGCTGTTTTCGATGGATTCCCTGCCTCATCCAAAAGCTGGATTTTGAGAGGATGGGGCAGCTTGTTCTCATTGTACACAGCAACAGCCTGCAACACAACAGCGACATTACATCCAATGAAGGAAACAATGAATCGGACAATAAGATCTCATGATGTTCATTATTTACAAATGTCTAAAATTATCTCTTAGAAGGTGATAACATTTCCATAATTTATTGTAAAGTGTTTGAGGATTAACGTCTCAAAACGCCAAAGGTGTCTATGATGTGAGAACCATGGACAAGCTATGGCTTGTAACATGGAGTGGTATAGAACTATGGTAGGACATAGGAACACTTAGGACACGTGCAGGGACCGGTATGTATTGCTAGGACATTGGACAAGTTAGCTCATCAGTTCATTTGTGGACCTAGGACCAGTTAGACTATGAGTTTGTATGTGGACTTAGGATCGGGAACAAGTTAGGACATGAGCTGGTATGTGGACCTAGGATCTAGACAAGCTCGGCCATGAGTTGGTACGTGGACCTAGGTTTGGGAACAAGTTAGGCCTTGAGTTGGTATGTAGACCTAGGATCGGGAACAAGTTAGGCCTTGAGTTGGTATGTGGACTTAGGATTGAGAACAAGTTAGGCCATGAGTTGGTATGTAGACCTAGGATCTAGACAAGCTTAGGCCATGAGTTGGTATGTGGACCTAGGTTTGGGAACAAGTTAGGCCTTGAGTTGGTATAGGTTTGATGTGGACCAAGTAGGCCATGAGTTGGTATGTAGACCTAGGATCTAGACAAGCTCGGGCCATGAGTTGGTATGTGGACCTAGGTTTGGGAACAAGTTAGGCCTTGAGTTGGTATGTAGACCTAGGATCGGGAACAAGTTAGGCCTTGAGTTGGTATGTGGACTTAGGATCGAGAACAAGTTAGGCCATGAGTTGGTATGTGGACCTAGGATCTAGACAAGCTCAGGCCATGAGTTGGTATGTGGACCTAGGTTTGGGAACAAGTTAGGCCTTGAGTGGACCTAGGGTTTGGGATTGGTATGTGGACCTAGGTTTGGGAACAAGTTAGGCCTTGAGTTGGTATGTGGACTTAGGATTGAGAACAAGTTAGGCCATGAGTTGGTATGTAGACCTAGGATCTAGACAAGCTCGGCCATGAGTTGGTATGTGGACCTAGGTTTGGGAACAAGTTAGGCCTTGAGTTGGTATGTGGACCTAGGTTTGGGAACAAGTTAGGCCTTGAGTTGGTATGTGGACCTAGGTTTGGGAACAAGTTAGGCCTTGAGTTGGTATGTAGACCTAGGATCGAGAACAAGTTAGGCCTTGAGTTGGTATGTGGACTTAGGATCGAGAACAAGTTAGGCCTTGAGTTGGTATGTGGACTTAAGATCGAGAACAAGTTAGGCCATTCAAGTGCTCCCATACAACAAGCACAGGGTCTTTGAGGCCTAAACTGCCCTAGAAAAGATGACAAAGCACATGTTGGGGCGACACTGACCTGCTCCAGCTTCCAGCCAACCAGCTCCAGCTGGGATGGGGGTCCAGCAGCGACCTCGAGACGCACATAGTCCTTGAGGCTGTTCCAGGTGACCTCTAGCTCCTTTGTTCCCACCCCAGCCTTGTCAAACTTGACTCCATGAACTACAAAGTTTTTCTGGAACACAGAAACAGTAAACTGTTTGATACAACTAGTAACACTACATAACACAGGCTACTCATGAATCAGTCAAGACTATAATATAGACAATGTTATATTTTGATATCAATTATTTACTTAACTGCACAACTTATAAATTACCCTCAATACTGAAACAATCAGAGGCTTCGGCAAAGTGATAAGAAAGGCTAGTGTCACCCACAATCGTGGTTTTGTTTGTTTCTTGTTTCATGCCTCACTGAGCATTATTACAGATATATGGAGGCGGTCTGTCAATAATCGTGTCTGGACTAGACAATCCAGTGAGCAAACAGCATGAGCATTGATCTATGCAGTTGTGATACAATGAAGTGTGTCAACCAATGACCAATTTTAACCGTATCTTCACAGGTGTCCCAGTGTATGGGTAAAGGTACAAGTACATGATAGATTGTCTTTATATAGACCTACCTCCTGCTTTGACACTCGGACACTGTCAGAGTTCAACAAAGGCCCAGTAACCTTGATCTCACGAGCTGTGGATGGGGGAAGCTGAAACAGTGTGTCATTCACCATTATTGAAAGGCATATATAACAAAAATCTAACGTAGACATTTAGAGTGAGTGAGTTTAGTACTTTATGACGCACTCAGCAATATTACAGCTATATGGTGGAAATCTGTAAATAACCGAGTCTGGACCAGACAATCTGGTGATCAACATCATGAGCATCGTTCTACACAAATGGGATACGATGACATGTATCAAACCAAGTAAGCTAGTCTGACCGACCGATCCCGTTAGTTGCCTCTTACGACAAGAATGGGTTACTGAAGACCAATTCTAACTAGGATCTTCACGGAAAAAGCATTTAAGATAGTTTGAAGAACTAGAACACATGGAACTAAGAGAAACAAAGTTCTGAGCTACTTGTTGACCTTTCATCAAACATATTTACACAAGATAGGATCAATGTACACAGACTAAACTCTCCTTTTACTGTACTGAACTTCTTCTCATCTGTTAATCTTGTTACCAGCCTGAGCCAATCTCCCTACTCACATCATTGATGGTGTTTCCATGTTTGTCCTTGATAGTAACCCAGACTGGTTCTTCCAGCTCTTGACCAACCTGGAGAGCTTTGGTACCCTTACACACACACTTGAGCTGTGAAGGGGGTCCTGGTACACACCTGTAACATCAACATGTCTATATAGACAGGTATTACCCTCAATCACAGACTAGAGCTGGGAGGGCGTATAACAGATACATGATCTGGCTGGACAAATCACTTGCATATATGATAAGCATCATTCCATACAGTCCAGGTATGATCATGACAAGGAACCACAGTCAACCATATATATTTAGTTGCCTGTTTTGGCAAATCACAAGAATGGGGACACCTATTCTAAATGTTACAGTGAAAGCCACCTAACCTGACTGTGAAGGTGAACTCTACCCCAGGCCCCTGCAGCAGGTTGACGTGACAGTACTTGGACTCGCTCACAGAGTTGGGGATCTTGATGTCTGGCAGCCTCCCCTGAAGAATCATCTCCTTCGACACCTTCGGTACCCAGTTGACCTGTCACACAACACACACTCATAATCATTGACCTGTCACACATAACACACACTCACCCGAATCATTGACCCTGACAGACCATAACACATAACACTCACACAATCAGCTCACCCGAGAGACAGAACACACTCATAATTAGGTGCCCTGTCACACAACACACACCATAATCATTGACCTGACAGACATAACACTCACACAATCAGCTCACCTGACAGAGAGAACACACTCATAATTAGGTGCCCTGTCACACAACACACACCATAATCATTGACCTGACAGACATAACACTCACACAATCAGCTCACCTGAGAGACAGAACACACTCATAATTAGGTGCCCTGTCACACAACACACACCATAATCATTGACCTGACAGACATAACACTCACACAATCAATCAGCTCACCTGAGAGACAGAACACACTCATAATTAGGTGCCCTGTCACACAACACACACCATAATCATTGACCTGACAGACATAACACTCACACAATCAGCTCACCTGAGAGACAGAACACACTCATAATTAGGTGCCCTGTCACACAACACACACCATAATCATTGACCTGACAGACATAACACTCACACAATCAGCTCACCTGAGAGACAGAACACACTCATAATTATTGCCCGTGAGAGAAGTAACACTCCACAATCAGCTCATATTCAGGAGACCTGAGACACACACATAATTTCCCATAACATCCTTATAGTCAGGAGACCTGAGACACACACACTTTCATAACAGATTGACCTGACATCACACACTTGTAATCAGTTGACCTGACACTTCAATAATCAGTTGCTCTGACCATTTTCTCTTGTCTAGTATAATGTAATCAAACTGTTTACATATAGACAACTATAGAGAGAACGCATGAATAGAGCCAGTAATCTTCAAGTGTTTATGAATCCAGTTATCTGGAAGGAAACGATGATAAAACATGAACTTGATGTAAGCCCAAAATAAATATGTTTTCCATTATAATCCAGCTTAGAGCTATGTCAAGTACATTTACCATGAGTAAACTGCACATCATACCACTGATAATTAAGCAGTCTCTGAGCTCACACAGACTACCCCCAGACAGCTGGTACAAACCAACTACCAACAGCTACTGACCTTGATCTTACTTGCAAGCTGGTCATCGATTGTACATTCACGTCCCCCCTCATCGAACAGCTTGAAACCTGGCAAATACAGCGTGAGTACACTCAGTCAACATGAATGCTGGCAGTCACATGGAATCAGATTGCTAATACAGACACAGCAACACATGCTAGCGGTCAGACAAATACTTATTATAATCGATGTAGGTTACCTTCTGAACAATATGTAATTTTCTGAATAAAATTGATATTTTATACTTATCCTGACTCATGCTATTTGCTTGTCTTCTTCTTCTTGCGAACACAGTGGAACACTTGTATCTCCCAATTGAAGTTCCCTTCAATGTAAAATCACTAATTAGTACTCACCACGAGTTATCTTTCCCCTCGAAAGCGCGGGAACGAGGGCGCCACCTCTCAACATGTGCCTCACTCTCTCCTTTTATAGCGAGCCCAACGCTTGAATTTACAGGGAAATCCAAAGTGTTATGTGGGGAGGACGGGAGGGCTTACCTCATGAGTCAGGATAAGTATAAAATATCAATTTTATTCAGAAAATTACATATTTTTCCTTATCCTGACTCATGCTATTTGCTTGTAGAATCCGACGGATACGGAGGTGGGAATATATAATACTTTGGATTTGGATAATTAGTGATTTTGAACTGTAATGACTGTAATAACCCTTATGGGAACTTCATAAAGGCACTGAATTGATGAATTCCTGCTGCTAACTTATCAGCTGCCATACATGGGTTATTACAATATAATTATATGATAAAAGTATATACAACATTAATACAAAGCTTAAGACTAATAGACTTAAGTTGTTAATATGATAGCATAACTCCTTCGGGTTTATTAGCTAATATACTTTTATGAAGTAACCAAAGTACTAAGCTTAAGATATGAATAAACTTAAGCTATATGAGTATAGTACTGTGCTTAAGATATAATTTAACTTAAGCTATATAATAGCAAAAAACTCCGTAGAGTTTGTTAGCTAATACATTTTAAATTGTGACCATAATACTGAGCTTAAGATATGATGAAACTTAAGCTAAATATATATAATAGCAAAACTCCTTAGAGTTGTTAGCTAATATATTGTATGATATAACAACCATAGTACTGAGCTTAAGATAATAAAATGAACTTAAGCAAAATATATATAGCATGTAGCTATTTAGTACTGTTATAAGATAAGTATAAAATCTGTAAGATTGACTTATCTTCTCCGAGGAACTGTCAACTGCTGAGCGAGGACCATGGGACCGAAATGGTGGATACCTGAGATGTCCTCGGTGGTGATATCTCTCAGATAGTGGTTGGCAAACACCTTATCGGATCTCCATTATGGTATTCAAAGAGCAGTTGCTGTGTAGAGCAAGTGTAGATGCTAGCGCTCTAATTTCATGAGGATTAGATGCTCTTGGAGGGTCAAGTCCTGCAGCCTTGTAGGCACGTAGTATGACAGTTCTGATCCAAATGGAGATAGTAGTACGTGAGACTTCCGTCTGCGTAGCTGTAGATAGAGGGATAAATAATCTCTTGAATATTGCTCTCCTCTGTTTGGATCGGTGGAGATATATTTTCAGTGCTCTTACTGGGCATAGTGATAGATCCATCGTATCATGAGGTCCAAGTATAGATGAGAGAGCTGGGACGTGGAATAATCTGTCTGGTTGACCTGGCAATTGGTTCTTGGCTATAAAATCCCAGCGTAGTCCCAGATGAACGATGTTATGAATATCATCAAAGCGTGTTCTCTCGTAATCCAATGCGTGAATCTCTGACATCCTGGCAGCCGTAGCTAGAGATAACAGGAACAATGTTTTCTGAGTCAGTGATTCAAACGATGTAGATTCTAACGGTTCATAAGCCTCACTTGTGAGGTGTTGGAGCACTATATTCAGATCCCAAGCTGGAGCGTGAAACTTCCGTTTTGATCCTCCAATCGGAATGCTCGTAGCAAAGCGAGTAACTCTGGGGTTTTGGTTAGCTTGACGCCCGTTCTCATAGTTATGACAGAGCTTATTGCTGCAAGATAAGTGGACAAAGTTGAGCCTTTTAGATTCTTAGTCTGACGTAGATAACATAAGTAGTCCGCCACTTGAGGATGAGTAGCATATCTGGCTGTAAATCCTTTCTTTGCAGCATAATTGACAAAACTGTGCCATTTGTCATCGTATAAGTTGCGAGTTGAGTTACGCAGGGCAAGCAGGACTGCTTTTGCCACTCTGGCTGAATAACCTCTCTTATTCAGACATGCCTTGATACAATCCATACGTGAAGTTGGAATACTTCTGGCTTTCTGTGCGCTTGTTTGGTGTGCGGATGTATCAACAGATTCGAGCACTCTGGAAGTTGTAGAATTGGTTGTCCGATTTCTTGAATAAGAGTTGGAAACCACGTTCTCGCTGGCCAGTAGGGCTCGACCAAAATCAGATGGAGGCTCTGCGTTTGACTGATTTTTCGTAAGACTTGTGGGATTAACGCTGGTGGCGGAAAGCGTACCCGTTGAGTCCCTCCCACGATATGCTTAGTGCGTCCGTTGCCCATGCTAGTGGGTCTGGAACTGGCGATACGAAGATTGTCAGTTGTTTGTTGAATCGAGTGGCGAATAGGTCTACTAGTGGAGATCCTATTTCCTTGATTATTTGAGTGAATATCTCTGTGTGGAGCATCCATTCTGTCGGCAAAGGGAGGTGTGGCCGAGAGAGCGCGTCTGCTAATACATTCTTTGCTCCTGGAATGTGGCAAGCTCTGACATGTATGTTTAGATTGTCGATTAGATCGAATAATCGGAAACATAGAGACAGTAGGTTCGGTGACCTTGTTGAGCCTTGTTTGTTCACATAAAACGCCACTGTCGAATTGTCTGTGTGAATCATCAACTGAGCGTTCTGTAGTAGGTTGCTCCAGTGACTTATGGCGTTTATGACTGCTTGCATCTCTAGCAGATTTATGTGTAACTTGCTCTCTTGATTGCTCCATAGGCCTGACGCTGTCCTGTTGGCAAGGTGGGCTCCCAACCTTGTAGTGACGCTGTCACGTGAGATGTGTTTCCGATTCCTGCCTCTATTAAGGAGACGCCTACGCAAACATTCAATCTCTTGGTCCACCAAAGTAGATGAGGTTTGACATGATCTGGTAGACTGAACGGTAGAGGGTCTTCAAGATGCGCATTGATGAGGACTTGTAACGGACGTAATTGAAGTCTGCCTCTGACTGTCAAGTCTTGAGCTGATGTGAGTAGTCCCAATAGGCTCTGCCACTGTCGTAGTGGTAGCGGAGAGAGTAAGGCTTGTGGGATTGACTGTTGGATCTTGATCCATCTGTCCTCCGGGACTACTATACGATTCTGGGCTGTTGGAAATCGTATACCTAGAAATTGCAGATCTTTGCGCTGGTTCTAGGTCTGACTTGAGTAGATTTACTAACCATCCTAGTTGAGTTAGTAACTTGATTATAAAGTTCAGCTGTAGTCTGAGACGCTGTGGATCTGGATCCACTTGTATCCCGTCGTCTAGGTAAAACGCACTGCGAAGACCTTGACGATGTAGGTATGAGACAATAGGTTTTGTCACTCTTGTGAATACCCAAGGGGCCGATGAGATTCCAAAGGGAAGTACTTTCCATTGGTAATGTATTCCGTCTAGGATAAATCTTAGATATTTCCTTGAACTTGGATGAATCGGAATGTGTAGATATGCGTCTTGCAAATCTATGCTGGCCATGTGATCTCTGGGACGAATTAAGTACCGAAGTTGCGGTAAGTGTATCATGCGAAACGCTGGCGGTTTGCTTAGATAGTCTCTGTTGAAGATGCTCATGTATATGAGACGAAACTTTTCCTTGGAAATTTTCTTGGGCACTAGGAAACTTGGGGAGTAGAAACCTGGTACAATGTTTCGCTGATCCAGAACTTCTTGCCAGAGTATCTCAAGGATGATTGCTTAATGACATTAGCTAACGTATCCATGGACTTGATCATAAGCACCTCTCTAGAGTCCTTAGACACCTCTTTGGAGACCTTGTCTATGTTACCACCAAAGAGCAAAGGTGATGACCACGGGGCAGCGTAGAGGGATTCCGTAAATTGATTACCCCAATTGCAGGAGGCTAGTAGACCCTGACGACGAGCCATGGTAGTAGCTGCAGTAAGTGCTGACAAGTGATCTGTAAGGAACTGTTGGTCTCTTTTCTGCATGAGTAGAGCCGAGTAGGTCATCCTATCTTCTTCCTCTGTAGAATCTTTGAACTTGGTGATGAGGGTTTCATTGACAGTTCTAGATCTATTCAATCCAAAAAACATTCTCCTAGAAATGGTATCCAACTGGGCTAGTTTGCGATCGTCTATTCTGTAATTCCTGGGCATCGCTGATTAACTTAAAGTTCTCATCAATATCTTGAGCCTTGAAAAAGGAGTCCATATTGTGGCCTGCAAACTTCTTGGCGTTGAAAACCGGGAAATGTGTTGACTGAAACTTCGTAGATTTGGTAAAGGATGTATCCAGATTAGCTGGAACCGCTGCTATCGGGTCAATAGGAGGTAAGGAGATAGTGTCCGCATCATCTTCCTTCATCAAATAAGTATGAGCTGAGTTCTCGTTCTTAGACGGGGAAGCAAGTTCCAATCCATTCACCATCCACTATCTAATTTCTGCATCCGAGAATACGATACCTCCTTCCTCTTCTGACGTAGGATCACATATAATAGAGTGAGGTGGAGTCCTAGATCTGTAAGAAGATCGACGAGAAGATTGTGGTGAATGGACTGACGAGTGGCTAGTATAGGGAGACCTTGGAGGAGACCTTGGAGGAGACTTGCTCGGCGAACGCTGGTGGCTTCGTGAAGCTCTCGATGAATCCCTTCTAGATCTTCTGGATGAAGATGACTTGGAGCCACTTAACCTTCGTGAAGGTATCGAGTCAGAGTCCGAATCATTATATAGGAACTTGCTTCGCGAACGACCTCTGTGTTCTTCAGGGTCTGAGCTCGGTGAAGCACTCCTCCTCCGTGAAGCCATTCGCGAATGGTGAGGATCTGGATCCGTCGTGGAGGCGGCCTGGGACGTTCTTCGCGAAGGCTTCGATACGGGCTGGGTTGCCCTTCGTGGAGGCTCATTGTGGGCTCTGGGGCCCTACGCGAAGTCATAGCGGGCTCTGGGGCCCTACATAACTTATTATGGGTTGGGCTCTGGGGCCCGCGGTTCTGAGGCCTCTGTAAACCGTATCGGTCTTCCATCAACATCATAATCTGGCTGACCAGGTCGTCTGGGACGGTCTGCGCTGGCGTTGAGGCTGCCCTCTCTATGGTAGCGACAGGACCCTCAGTTAGAATCTCAGCCGTCAGCGTAGGCATCTCTGGTTGCATGTTGATCTGCGCTGAAGTGACGGTAGCCGATACTGGACGCTTCTTATGCCGTACATCTGAAATGATAATCGGAATGTCATCATCATATAAACACAATTCTGAAACAGGAAGAATGTCAGATGAAAAGTTTTTAGTAGCCTTCGTGGGTTTCCCTTTCGACGGCTGTAGCCCTGGGGGTGCGGAGCGCGATGTGCTAGACGGCGTGGAAGCTCTCCTAGTCTTAGACTGTGATGATGGAATGTCCTGGGATGCAGGTCGCTTCTTGGATATAGCGGACTGCGCCCCACGCTTCTCCCGAAGGTAACTCAGGCGAACACCAGACGGTAGAGGGTCATCCGCCAACAGTTGACAGGGTATATCTGACTCTGATCTATCAGCCATGACTGAAGACTGTTTCGAGATCTATCTGCTGCACGTCTCAAGGCGCTTAATATAAATATTTATCAAACGCAGAATTAGACAATTTAATACATAAATTGCAGCGTGAAACAATAGAGCATGGCGTTGTACAACTAGGGCATATTAAATGCGGATTGGCAGCAGAGAAACGTAATTTACAAATAGTGCAGATTTTCATTAACGCAATCTGCTGAGCAAACACGGCGGACCGTGAATAAAGCAGCAGAAACACGAATAAATATCAATGCATGTTGAATAAGGATACTAGTTACACCTCTATAGATGAATATAAGAGGTAACAAACTAAATATAAATAAAGGATATAGTGTGTAGGGAGAGACAGGCGCTCTCACGTCCTGCTCACTGGGCGAAGAAGGAGAGAGTGAGGCACATGGTGAGAGGTGGCGCCCTCGTTCCCGCGCTTTCGAGGGGAAAGATAACCGTGGTGAGTACTAATTAGTGATTTTACATTGAAGGGAACTTCAATTGGGAGATACAAGTGTTCCACTGTGTTCGCAAGAAGAAGAAGACAAGCAAATAGCATGAGTCAGGATAAGGAAAAATAATATTTGATACCAATAAATGTCAATAAATGAGTGTTGGTGATAAATGTGAAAACAATTATGCATGAATACATTATTTTTGAAGGAGTAATCAAGAAGTTTGGGGGCGGTGGAGTAGCCTGGTAGTTAAAGCATTTGCTCGTCACACCGAAGACCTGGGCTTCGATTTTCCCTCATTGGTACAATGTGTGAAGCCCATTTCTGATGTCCCTGGCGTGATATTGCTGGGATATTGCTAAAAGCGGAGTGACACTCACTCACTCATTCACTCACTCACTCACTCACTCACTCACGGAGTTTGATTTATCATGGATACATACACAATAAGGCTGAAAAAGTGAAGCAATTAGAGGAGGGTCGCCAATATATGTGACAGTCTCTTGGGGAAGGTCATGATACCTGGATATGTAAAGGGGCTTCCAACAATATGACAAGCAGTAGGGGAAGGACAATACTATCAGTACAGTAGATCATCAGACACCTCTGACCCACCACTCCATAATAAATCACTGGTTCCTTAGTTACAACAAGAGATACTATAGGAGAAGCTGTAAAATGTACTCAAGATAAAGAGAATAATGACAATGACAACACAATTTTGACCCCTTCACTCACAGATATCTTTGATTGGCTGTCCGGCAATACCATTTATCTCCCCTGAACTAGGTATGACGACCCTGGTTACTTTGCTGTTGACCTCAGAACCATAGGTCAAGTTGAAGCTGGTCACACGAAAACTAGGCTTCACAAGGATTTTCCTCTCCACTGTCGGAACATTCTTCATGCCCTGGAAAATACACAAGTGACTTCAGTAACAGTACAGTACAGTACAAACAAATATTTACTATCATTATTTCTGCACTAAATATGTCTGCCTCACCTGAATGTCTATCTTGGCTGTGATGATCTGCTCCTTGAGAAGCTTCTTCAATGTAAGGGCGTCGCCAGTCAGGGTGCAGCTGCTGCTGTTGCTGCAGTCAGCCGTGTATGTTGGCAGGCCAGATGCACCAGAAAACTGTCAACGTTAACTCAGAGTGAGAATGAAGTCAATGAAGACCTATACTAAGTTACATCAATGAGTGAGCGACTGGGTGGGAGACTCAGTGAAGTCACTTCAAGAACTTCAAATAATCCAGTCTGTGTCCAACAACTCCTGACACGATTGGCAACAATTTATGCTGACAGTGCATAATGACACACAAATCAGCCTGGCCATGTATATGTTCATTTTAATCAGATCTTTCTGAACCTGAAGAAACATGAGTACTTGTAGTCTATTATGCTCTAGAACTGTCATGGGATGGAATGATACAAAGACTAAACAAGTGCTAAGATCAGGGGCTTATCCGGGGACAGATCAGGAACAGAGTACTGGGAAGATCTGGCACAGATGGGGAGCAGATCAGGGGCTTATCAGAGGACAGATCAGGAACAGAGTACTGGGAAGATCCGGCACAGATGGGGAGCTGATCAGGGGCATATCGGGGGACAGATCAGGAACAGAGTACTGGGAAGATCTGGCACAGATGGGGAGCTGATCAGGGGCTTATCGGGGGACAGATCAGGAACAGAGTACTGGGAAGATCTGGCACAGATGGGGAGCTGATCAGGGGGCTTATCGAGGGGACAGATCAGGAACAGAGTACTGGGAAGATCTGGCACAGATGGGGAGCTGATCAGGGGCTTATCGGGGGACAGATCAGGAACAGAGTACTGGGAAGATCTGGCACAGATGGGGAGCTGATCAGGGGCTTATCGGGGGACAGATCAGGAACAGAGTACTGGGAAGATCTGGCACAGATGGGGAGCTGATCAGGGGCTTATTGGGGGACAGATCAGGAACAGAGTACTGGGAAGATCTGGCACAGATGGGGAGCTGATCAGGGCTTATCAGGGACAGATCAGGAACAGAGTACTGGGAAGATCTGGCACAGATGGGGAGCTGATCAGGGGCTTATCGGGGACAGATCGGGAACAGAGTACTGGGAAGATCTGGCACAGATGGGGAGCTGATCAGGGGCTTATCGGGGGACAGATCAGGAACAGAGTACTGGGAAGATCCGGCACAGATGGGGAGCTGATCAGGGGCATATCGGGGGACAGATCAGGAACAGAGTACTGGGAAGATCTGGCACAGATGGGGAGCTGATCAGGGGGACAGATCAGGAACGGGGACAGATCAGATGAACAGAGTACTGGGAAGATCTGGCACAGATGGGGAGCAGATCAGGGGCATATCGGGGGACAGATCAGGAACAGAGGACTGGGAAGATCCGGCACAGATGGGGAGCAGATCAGGGGCATATCGGGGGACAGATCAGGAACAGAGTACTGGGAAGATCCGGCACAGATGGGGAGCAGATCAGGGGCATATCGGGGGACAGATCAGGAACAGAGTATTGGAGGTACCAGTATGCACTTAACAAGCCCTATTCCAATAGCCGAGGTGGGAGGTATCTTAGACGTATCTTGATTTATTGATCTGTACCAGATGAACCAATGCACCATAAAACAATCAATGTAGACTTGCCTTGCATGTTATGATCTGTTTCCCTTCAGATGTGACATTATTGGCGACATCTTGGACTACAACACCGAAGGACACCGGGTTGCCATTCTCAATCTCCAGCATATCCTCAGGTGTGACAACTAGGGAACTAGGGAGACCTGGAAGATTGGCCATCATAGACAGAGGTGAAGTGACATGAAATGGGGTTAATGACACACTCAAGATTATTGCAGTTTTTTATTGATGTGCATGCAAGTATGTGTGGATGAGTGTACAGCTGCTTGTACTAGTCAGGACGAAAGTATGTTTCACAAAGCCAGCCCACGGAGGTACCATGCTGCAGTTTTACAGTGGATACCCGATCACACACAGTATAGTTACTCCAAGTTCGCCAGCTCTGGTATTATCAAATCAAGGCCGAGCCCGAGGCAGGGAAATAACAACTATCATCCTTTAACATCGTGCAGCCAGGCACTGAACCACCAAGCTTCTGTTCTCCTGGCAAGTGCTCTGTTGACTGGACTGTGAGTATATGAGACAAGTTGGACAGGCCAGGAGTGTAAATGTCGGAAGCCGTACCTGGCAACAGCCGGATCTTTAAAGACTGTGAATCTTCCTCCAGTCCTGGGATCTTCACTGTTAGACTGAAGTTCTGAACCACATATATAAATAATACATGAGGAATCAGCCATTACACACTTGATAATGCTTCAAAAGAACATGTAGATTCTGCACACTTAGATTCATACAATCCAGTTGTGTTTGCAGCTTCAGTTAATGAATACCCAATGCCATTTAGAAAGTGGTCAAATGTAACATGTTATATTTAGGGTTACACTTTCTTGGTAATCAGCACACAAAGTCAGACAACTAACCCGCTCAGCCACCGCGGAAGCGGGTTAGGCATCTGACTTTGTGCGTTGGCGATTAGGTGCCAGACTCTGAGGGTCTGGTTTCGAATCTCGGATGGGACTCACCCCAACAAAAGGACTAGAATCTGTACTTTACCAAGAAAGGGTAATCCTAAAAATAACATGTTACAGCTTCAGCATACTGAATATGTGTCACGTTCAACATAAAATCACACTTATTCGCAATAACATCTCCAAAGATCCAGTCAGATTTATCCCCTACCTGGACACTCAGAATTTCTTTGCTATTTAACGCCATACTCAGCAATATTGGAAATTTTAATATATATTGTATATTTATACACTTATCTTATCTCACGACTTGCACTTCTCTCTCGCGCTTTGACTTTTAGTGGAACGACTGTAAACTTTTTTTCATAGGCCTCCTTGTTCATTCACCCGTGCACTCCATGCTGCTCTCCTTAATTAGCTTTGTAGTTCCTAATGAAGCTTGCAGCATGCTCTACTAATTGCCCACGTGACTACCTTGAATGATCATTCTCATCTTGGAGCCAACGTTGTAATCTGAGTAGTGGGGAGGCCGGGCGGGCATCCATCGCATGAGATAGGATAAGTATATGAATATACAATTTATATTAAAATTTCAAAATTTTTAAACTTATCCTATCTCACGACTTGCACTTATCCCACGGTTGCACGGCGGGCCGCAGATTACCCTTCTGTCTGGACAGTGCGAACAGCTGGTCTTGGAGCTGTGTGGACTGATGAAAACCGTAGATAGCGATGTACAAGGGAGGCCTGTTACGCATGCACACAACTCCTATGCTTGTAGTGGGTTCTCCGGAACCCCTTGGCATACTAAGCACAACTACTCCCAGGGAGATGGGTGCTCCCGAGCGATGTGGAGTTTGGCCGCAACCTTGTACAAGACAAGGGACGCAACTCGGCAAGCAGGCCTCACCTCGCCACGATTTACAAGGTACCAACGTAAATAAAGTCTTGCGACTAGAATCGGGCCAGCCCCTGCTTCAAGAAGGCCCTGTAGACACCGACCAGGGGCGGGTGAAAGAGAAACACAACTCGGCATCTCCAAGGTTTAACGTTCAGTTCTGGCAGCATCAAATCGACCCTCACTAATTTGCCTAAGCTTAGTCAAAGGATGTGCCTGACAACTTCGGAGGCAGAACGCAATGAAATCCACTGGAATTTGGGAGTGTCACACTTCACTGACGTAATTGCTCCGGAGTAGAGGTCAGTAAGCGTGAATTTCGAACACCTCTGCATCGTCATACAGGCAGCCGTATTCCAATGCCTTGGTATGGAGGCCAAGTGAAGTAGTTCTTAAACCCATATAATGAGAACAAAAGGTTGAGATCCAGTTCAACTTTTATTCAGTATATACAAGGAAGTAGTAGCGCGGAACCATCCCTCATCTGCGTTGTTGCTGAGCTGCTGAGCCAGTACAAGAGGTCCGAACTGGTGTAGTCCCTAGACATCAGTGACAGACAGGTCTCGCAGGTAATGTGAAGAGAAGACTGTATCAGAACGGCAGAAGCAACCTTCCATGACAGCAGTCAAGGAGCAGTTGCTAGTGCACGAGTCTCATGAGGATTGAAGCGGCTGGAGGAGGCAACCCTGCAAAGGTGTAGGCTCGCAGGATCGTGGCACGCATCCAGAAGGCCAATGTGGTCCGGGAAACCTCAGTTCTTGAAGCGGTCGACAAGGGTATGAAGAGGCTCTTCTGTAGCCATCGATGATCCTTGGAGGCAGCAAGGTAAATGTGTAGAGCCCTAACAGGGCAGAGTGTCAAATCTTTATTATCATCAGGCCCAAGAATGGTGGACAATGGGGGAACGGTAAACATCCGGTCCGGTTGCCCTGGCAGTTGGTTTTTCGCAATGAAGTCCCAGCGGAGACCCAGGAAAGCCTTGCCATGCTTCTTCCACTCGAAACCGCACCTGATTGACATCAAGCACATGCAGTTCAGATATACGAGCAGCGGTAGCCAAAGCTACCAGGAGGAATGTCTTGAAGGTCACTTGTTCGAAGTCCTTGTCTTCTAAAGGTTCATAGTCTGCAGAAATCATATGACGAAGGACGACGGACGCTATGGAAGGAGGTGATTGATGCGTACGTAATAGGTGCCGAATGTCCTCAGATAAGTAAGAATCTGATGAAGCGTCAATAAAATCCTCTTGAACCACAGACGTCGCTTTCTTGCGTGAAGGTACGATTTTCTGTCGCTGTAACTTGATACGCTTGGCGGGAGTGGGAGCAGATTCTGTTGATTTCCTGTCCCTATCGGCGATTCTCCAGGAGCAAACACGAAGGAAGGGCTTAAAATTCTCATCTTTTAGTGAATTACACTTGCCACATCGTTTGTTCCAGTTACATTGTCCAATACAGTCTCTGCAAGACGAGTGAGGGTCAAGGGACGAATAATTCGTCTTGCACTGAGCACAAACTTTCCTTTTTCCTTGACTGATTATCTGTTTTCCCCATGATGTTTGGGTGAAATAATGTCCCTAATATACAGCACGTCCACACAGTCATGCAACAAGAAAGAGAATGATCATTCAAGGTAGTCATGTGGGCAATTAGTGGAGCATGCTGCAAGCTTCATTAGGAACTAAAGTACTGTCGGAAATGCTAGAAAAATGCTTTTTAGCCTTAATATCTTTATAAAGGTGATAAATGTGCTATGTTGTCAATATATCAACTCGCCTATTGTCTACCTAATTTTTATTTCAATCGATTTAACGTTCCCATGCATTTAAAGGGCAGTTTACAGGAGAGAATTTGGTACCAAAACAGCAGCCTAAGATTTTTTCAGTTCAACAACAGAAATCTGAAATAGTTTTTCCTAAACAAATAAATATTCAATGTTTGTGTTACTTTACTTAATTATCGTTTCTTTATTGAAGAAATATTATTATAAACGTTAAGTCTTGATAAATAAGTTTCCCGTCATGCATGCACATCTTTATCACAGCGTCCACTATGGCCAACGATTTGCAGTCGATTGTTGCAAAGGTTTATAGGTTTTTTCTGCTTAAAAAAGACAGAGGTAAACCTTTCATTAGTTTAGAAAGGGTTTATTACAGAACTTGTAGAGCTGTTGGCATGTCTTACCAACAAGTTTACAATATTGTAAACAAATCAGACAAGACAGGGACCGGCTCTCAAATGCAAAACCGGACGTGAAACCATCCTTGACAACTTTGACAAGGGAGTGCTTAGACGGGCGGTCTACAAACTTTATGAGAAGAAAAATATACATATTCTAAAGAAGCTACACCAGTGACTTCGTTAAATCTTTGGCCAATGTTCACAACTAGATTAAACTGACCGAATTACATCCATATGTTTTCAATGAAATATACTGTTGACATGCAAAACATTTATTAAAACGTTGCACATTTCTACAATGAATTGATAAGATAACACAAGTGATTGGACTCTTTCCAATGTACAGTAATTCGTATGTTTATTTCAAAACAAACACACATACACAAATGATCCCTTACATAACCGATAATGTATACTATACACGAACACATATTCAACATTTTGCAGAAAACATCTATTGAGATGACCCTCACCGAAAGTGTGCTCAGGTGTCAATTTCACCTGTCGATACCGTGGATGCTGATGACGTAACACAGGCAATTAATGTTTGTATCAAATAACGTCCCACTACCCCTTATTTTTCTAAGTTTTTGGTATTTTCATCAGTAAAAACACATTTTAGGGCATGTCTCAAAATTTATTCTCTCGGTCTACATTAGGTAGATGTTTCTTAAAGTGATATTTGTTATTTAAGTAACTGTAATACCTCTGAATTTTAAATATAAGTCAAAAAGCATTTTTCTAGCATTTCCGACAGCACTTTAGGAAGCTAATTAAGGAGAGCACTAAGAGGCCTATGGAAAAAAAGTTTACAGTCGTTCCACTAAAACTCGAAGCGAGAGAGAGAGGTGCAAGTCGTGAGATAGGATAAGTTTAAAAAATTTCAGCAATGTGGCAGTGGTCTGTAAACAATCGAGTCTGGACCAGAAATCCAGTGATCAACAGCATGAACTTCGATCTACACAATTGGGATACAATGACACGTGACCATATCAGCGAGCCTGTTCACCTGATGACCACCACGTGAGTCGCCTCTTATGACAAGCATGGGTTCCTGAAAACTATGATCCACTACTAACCCAGATCCTAACAGGGGACACTCCATCATATGTGGTGTAGTACATCAACCCACCAGTTTATGGCTACCCTGAATACAAAGAGACAATGTCTCATCTTTAAACATGGCACTGATAATACCAATGGAGACAAGCCCTGATGGATGTACATCTACTATATGGCATGAGAAGGTGTGACATGAGACATGTTCATCATGTTCACTGTTGGTATCAGTGTAGCCCCTTACCTTGCCAGCACTGGTTGCCACGGTACCCCTGGCCTCCACACCACGGATGATGATGCTGTTTCCCTTGATGTGAGCATCACAGTAGGACAACTCAAGGCCTCTGTAAATACCATCACATGTAGCATGACAACACCTCTATATTTCTTCTAACATCTGTGTACTTGCAGCTTTGTTGCGGTATGTATTTGTAAACACAACAGAGTGAGTGACTGTTTAACACAGTTGAATGATGATTCAAAGTTCATGGTTACTGCTTTTCATAAGTCAATCCCTTAAAAATCCTGAAACATTTGAGAACTTACGCAGCAGTGAAGTCTGGCTTGAGTTTGGAAGGAGGCTTGGCTGGGTGGTTGTATTTGTCCTGGAACTCCAGTGGTATCTGGAAGGGCACGCCCACCTTGAACGGGCCATCTAGCAGGCCCACTGTGAACCGCTCTGGTTCTGCCTCTACAAGTACGAACAGGTCACTCATCAAGCTGTCTGTAGTTCATTGGTTGAATCATCTGATTCCAGGATTTAGTCTGTTTTTTTTCCCATATTAAAACAATATGACGAGTATCTACCTGTGACAGTGAAGCGGATCTTGTACGAAGGAAGCTCCTTCCCTGCAAATATTGTGGCTCCACTTTCATTGAGGACTGTCTGCAGTTGTAGTGTGTGGGGACCAAGATTCTTCACATTCTCTGCAACATGTCACATGTTGAAGTTTACTGTCTACACGTATCACTGATGGATGTGGACTACATGTCACAGTGTGTAGAGGGGACATGTCAAAATGTTACTGATGAATGTGGAGGGACGTGTCTCCATCATACCGAATTGTATAAGCGTGAGATGAACATACCCATCTTCCTGAACCAGTACGGCCAGTTCTTGCCATGCTGACTAATGTGAGACACAATCACCTCATCACCATCAGGAGCTGCAACATCAACAACAAGACAGTCATTAGTGACAACACTTCCTATTACACAGGTCACTGCCTACTAGCTATGCACAGTCACTGTTTACTATACAGTGCAAAGGTATATTTTGTGCATTGGACTTCCCAAAGCATAAAACAATTCTGAATAATTACTTTAGGAGCCATGTTCAGTAGGAACTGTGGTACGTTTGAGTGGGAGACTTACAATGCCAGATGATCTTCAGCTCAACCAGCAGCTTCTTGGATGTGGCAGCTGTCCCAGGTAGCTTGCTGATCATTTCGCCCCTCTTGTTACATATCTCCACCTTCACATCACCTGCAGACAATCAGTTGTACGATCAACTCTACATAGTACAGGTGTGACAATAGTCACCACCTTCACATCACCTGCAGACAATCAGTTGTACGATCAACTCTACATAGTACAGGTGTGACAATAGTAGTACAGGTGTGTGACAATAGTCACCACCTTCACATCACCTGCAGACAATCAGTTGCCGATCAACTCTACATAGTACAGGTGTGACAATAGTCTCCAGCACCACCTTCACATCACCTGCAGACAATCAGTTGTACGATCAACTCTACATAGTACAGGTGTGACAATAATCTCCACCTTCACATCACCTGCAGACAATCAGTTGTACGATCAACTCTACATAGTACAGGTGTGACAATAACTCACCACCTTCACATCACCTGCAGACAATCAGTTGTACGATCAACTCTACATAGTACAGGTGTGACAATAATCTCCACCTTCACATCACCTGCAGACAATCAGTTGTACGATCAACTCTACATAGTACAGGTGTGACAATAACCACCACCTTCACATCACCTGCAGACAATCAGTTGTACGATCAACTCTACATAGTACAGGTGTGACAATAGTCTCCACCTTCACATCACCTGCAGACAATCAGTTGTACGATCAACTCTACATAGTACAGGTGTGACAATAGTCTCCACCTTCACATCACCTGCAGACAATCAGTTGTACGATCAACTCTACATAATACAGGTGTGACAATAGTCTCACCTTCACCTTCACATCACCTTCAGACAATCACCTGTACAGACATATACAGGTGTGACAATAACCACCACCTTCACATCACCTGCAGACAATCAGTTGTACGATCAACTCTACATAGTACAGGTGTGACAATAACCACCACCTTCACATCACCTGCAGGTGTGACAATCAGTTGTACAGTTTGTAATGATCAACTCTACATAGTACAGGTTGACAATAATCTCCACCTTCACATCACCTCAGACACAGTGCAGACAATCAGTTGTATGATCAACTCTACATAGTACAGGTGTGACAATAGTCTCCACCTTCACATCACCTGCAGACAATCAGTTGTACGCGATCAACTCTACATAATACAGGTGTGACAATAACCATCCACCTTCACATCACCTGCAATAGACAATCAGTTGTCAGTTGTGCGATCAACTCTACATAATACAGGTGTGACAATAACTCTCCACCTTCACATCACTTGCAGACAATCAGTTGTACGATCAACTCTACATAATACAGGTGTGACAATAGTCTCCACCTTCACATCACTTGCAGACAATCAGTTGTACGATCAACTCTACATAATACAGGTGTGACAATAGTCTCCACCTTCACATCACTTGCAGACAATCAGTTGTACGATCAACTCTACATAATACAGGTGTGACAATAGTCTCCACCTTCACATCACTTAACTCTACATAATACATGCAGACAATCAGTTGTACGATCAATTCTACTTAATACAGGAGTCACAATAATTTCAACAATATTTATGCAACATATGCAGAAGTGCAACAAAGTCGATTTTTACCAACAGTCTCTCCTGCAGGACGACGGCCATTCTGTTTCACTTCATTTCCTTCTGGCCAACTGACAATCAGGCTATCAGGGAGTCTGCAACCAGAGGGTCAGTCCATCATACCCCACATCAAGTAGCAACAATCGTTTTGTGGATACATGTAATTCTAACCAACAGTGATGGCTACCTATGGATAGCCTAAGTAATCTAGTACTGTGTTGAATTTCTTCAGTACATTATCGGAATCGGTTGCCTTACTTGGCCTCTTCATCTTCAATAAACTTCTTGACCACATGGTGGGAGGCTGTACGGTCAAGGCGGGACAGAGGTATGATCTTGGTGTCGTCATAAAGTGCTCTGGGTTCCTGGAAGTAAAACAGTCAGTGGTAACACAATAACACTTTGTTGAATGAACCACACATAAAGACATGAAGATAGAGTCACTATCGTGCAGCTGTATATTTGAAGCAACACAAACAATATCATTCACACTTTGAGTTACCACATGTTACACACAATGTGATTTAAATGTCATGCACAAAGTTTCCAAAATAAGCCTTGCAACTTGTTTATGATATATTTATTAATCAATATGTGATTCCAACCTGTATGATCTCGAGGTCACCCCCAGTGGAGTATACTTCTCCATCGTGGTCTCCGTACAACATGAAACACTTGATTGTCCCCATCATGGGCGGCAGCGTGCGCATGATCTTCACCTAGAACCAACAACATCATCTCCAACAACTTCCTCCAACACCTTTTCAGTTCTTACACCCACTACCACAACCATATACTCAGTATTAAACAGAAGCTTGAACATTCAATTGCACTTCATTTCAGAATATGTATTTAAGAAATACAAGCTTTCCTCGTGCTTTAACTATAATAGTTCAGGGCGAAAGTGTGCTTTATTACACTATACATGGTGGTAGAGCGAACTGTATTTCTTTTCTAAGATGCCAAATTTAATACTTTCTAAGGATAATTATGATTAATCAAATGCAGAAAACAAACGACGGTGTAGGTGACCTAAATTAAGAATCCTCGCACAGGGCTAACTGGCGCAATGTTCTATTGATGTGTCTGCCCCCCTACGTTAAGACGAACGTTACCAGAAAAAGCAAATGATAAACAGTTTGATGACGGTTTACGTTCGGATTAAATGTCTTCTCTAACTTAATTTAATTACATCTGTGATTAACGTAAACCATATGGAGCAATATTAACGTCGCATTTCTACTACCAACGTAAGTTTAGATCAGTACATCCAGATGAAGCTGAGTAGTCAAGCGACATTCCACGATTGCATTGTGGGAATATAAACATTGCGAACGTTACCGTGTTGCTGAAAAATTGTGAGTCGAATTGAGATATTTTAAACGTCGGAAAACATAAACGTAATGTTTCCACCAGTGACGTTAGCTGCGTGAAGCAACTGCAAACCAAGAAAAGGGATGCAACGGAGTAGTTTACTGTAGGAGGCTGTACGAGGTGATGACAACTGACATGCATCGTGACGTCGCTTACATTGTGATGTGATGCAAAATTGTTCGATGACGAGGGGGCAGACTAGAATGGCATTACATTGTGACGTAATGCAAAAAGTGCACATTATAGCTTGATAAAGTACTGTCGGCACGCCTTTGATCTTTCACCGAAGCATCTTAGAAAACAGAATAATCAACACTGAGGTAAACAAATTCTGATAGAAATAAAAGTCCAGGTGTTGCAAAGAATTACAAGCTTTGGATATATCTGCCACCACCACCACCTTCTTGTACAGTCTCCCAACCCCCACCCCACCTACAGAAGACTGCAGCTGACTCACCAGAGATCCCTTCTTGTACAGTCTCCAACCCCCACCCCACTACAGAAGACTGCAGCTGACTCATCAGAGATCCCTTCTTGTACAGACTCCCACCCCCACCACCACTACAGAAGGCTGTAGCTGACTCACCAGAGATCCCTTCTTGTACAGTCTCCCATCCCCCACCACCACTACAGAAGACTGTAGCTGACTCACCAGAGATCCCTTCTTGTACAGTCTCCCACCCCCACCACCACTACAGAAGACTGTAGCTGACTCACCAGAGATCCCTTCTTGATCCCATCCCACACCACCCACTACTGAGACTGTAGCTGACTCACCAGAGATCACTTCTTGTACAGTCTCCACCCCACCCCCACCACCTACAGAAGACTGCAGCTGACTCACCAGAGATCCCTTCTTGTACAGTCTCCCACCCCAACCACCACTACAGAAGACTGCAGCTGACTCATCAGAGATCCCTTCTTGTACAGTCTCCCACCCCCACCACCACTACAGACGACTGCAGCTGACTCACCAGAGATCCCTTCTTGTACAGTCTCCCACCCCCACCACCACTACAGAAGACTGCAGCTGACTCACCAGAGATCCCTTCTTGTACAGTCTCCCACCCCCAACCACCACTACAGAAGACTGCAGCTGACTCACCAGAGATCCCTTCTTGTACAGTCTCCCACCTGCCACCACCACTACAGACGACTGCAGCTGACTCCACCAGAGATCCCTTCTTGTACAGTCTCCCACCCGGACCCCCACCCCACTACAGAAGACTGTAGCTGACTCACCAGAGATCCCTTCTTGTACAGTCTCCCACCCCCACCACCCCCACTACAGAAGACTGTAGCTGACTCACCAGAGATCCCTTCTTGTACAGTCTCCCACCCCCACCACCACTCACTAAGCAGAACACTGTAGCTGACTCACCAGAGATCCCTTCTTGTACAGTCTCCCACCCCAAACCACCACCACTACAGATGACTGCAGCTGACTCACCAGAGATCCCTTCTTGTACAGTCTCCCACCCCCACCCCCACCACAGAAGACTGCAGCTGACTCATCACCAGAGATCCCTTCTTGTACAGTCTCCCATCCCCAACACCACTACAGAACACTGTAGCTGACTCACCAGAGATCCCTTCTTGTACAGTCTCCCGCCCCACCACCACTACAGAAGACTGCAGCTGACTCACCAGAGATCCCTTCTTGTACAGACTCCCACCCCCACCACCACTACAGAAGGCTGTAGCTGACTCATCAGAGATCCCTTCTTGTACAATCTCCCACCCCCACCACCACTACAGAAGGCTGTAGCTGACTCACCAGAGATCCCTTCTTGTACAATCTCCCATCCGCAACACCCACTACAGAAGACTGTAGCTGACTCACCAGAGATCCCTTCTTGTACAGTCACCCACCCCCACCCCCCCTACAGAACACTGTAGCTGACTCACCAGAGATCCCTTCTTGTACAGTCTCCCATCCCACTCCACCTGGTCGTACACTGCCCACGGGGACTGCTTGTGTTTTGGGAGGTCTGTCCGGGTGATGGTACCCCGGAAACTGCCGAAGAGGATCTGTTTGTCATGCTTGTCATGACACTCCTTTAGCCACGACACAAACTCCTTCTCGATTGATGTTCTCTTTTCCTGGATATATTATGAGGGGAAGTCCAAAAGATCAGTGATGAAATCAACAAAAAGAACTTCACATTCTGGTTAACTAATCATTAACATGAGAATGGAAGCATCAGTTGATTAATATATAACTCATTGGCATTTTAAGAAGGAGAATTATGAGGAAATATGAAATGGTAACTGTTAACAGAATCATCACTAAAAGTAGTCATTTGTCATGCTGACGAATTGTAAACAGTTTGGTATTTTTATCAACCATGAAATTGATAAAGCACTGTGACCTTACATCAACTGACCAATCAGCATGAACAATTGCTAAAATATACATGCAAATATCATACAGTTTATGACACACTTGATCTCTCTACCTTTATCACACTATGGTACTACATCAAGTTATCCACAGGTGCGGTATGTATAAAGGGGTGCCAATATCAGTACTTACTGAAATTCTACTGGTTCTGCTGAGTGTTAATTATCTGCTGTTGAAGACATAAGATAAAAGGGGTTTCTTACTTAAAACATACAGCAGAAACCTCAAAGAGGTTTTATACATTTGCTTTCATGTCCTGAAATTTCACATTTTCAGCACAGGTGACCCTTTGCTGGCTAGGGGGCGTGTCTAAGATCAGCTGCAGACAGCTGTACTCACATGGCCGCTGTGTATCCGGCTGAAGCTGGTGGCCTTGTCTCGCAGCTTCATCTCCATATCCAAGAACGTCAGCTTGTTGGTGCTCACCTGGAAGCTGTCGTTGGTCCAGAGGACACCTGACACTCTGGGTACATGGATAGAAAAGGGTTGGAAGAACAATATGTGTAACAACCTCAAGAATTACACCCAGGTACTATAGTACAGTTCCTGCACTTTCATAAACATGTGTGTCTATAGGGTCAGAAACTGAGATAACTATATTTTGGTTAATATTTGACATACTTTCTCAATACACTTTGACATATTTTGCCCCATTGTTTCTAAGCTAGATACAGCATACACACAGTGAATCCCTGTAAGGAAGATTTTAACCTACCTGTTGTAACAATCTGATGGAATAGCCTTGGGCTTCTTGGGAGGGGAGCACCACTCAAAACTGTTGGCAGATACAACACACAATGAAACGCCTTGTCATACTACATAAATAGAATTACAAGGGGATATCAGGTCCAGCTCACACCAGCCATGTTGCAATGGAAGCTATAGACAATGTGGATAGAAGTATCTGGCCCATCATCCATACAGACCACATGTGGCCCCTACTGAGAACCATGTTTCCAAATTTGAATAAAAACTCATAAAAACAATGACCAAGAACTGGTTTCAACCTGAATTTGACCTTCTGCTTGAAACAGGAATATCTGACCTGGAGATGACGTGGAACAAGTGTTTCAAACCGCAAGGACACTATGTTGAAAAATAATTAAAGCTCATGACACAGTTTCAGTTCAATGTATGATAGGTTCAAAACGTAATGATAGCCCTGTGCATTAAGTTCAGATTTGATCACATTGATATGGAATCATCAGTGCCCATCTGACAACTTCAACATCTGCTTCTTGTATCAGGTTAACTGCCCTGACATCAGTGGTATTTACATGAAAGAATATTCACAGGTAGGTAGAAACTGCCATACATCATGAATATCATGAATTAAAAATTATAAATAATGTCCTCTACATTAGTTTTGATCCCAGTAAGTGGATCAGTCTGCACTCAATTTCTATTCTCAACTCCCTGGAGAGTATACAACCCAAGCTGCTTTTTTAGGAACTACGGAAATAAACAGTCATAGTACCATCTTATCCTTCTAGGTACTCAGTAACTGCTTATAATGACTCAATAAGATTTCACCTAATGAGTGGGAAGCATAATTCTTTCAGTTCCTGACTTATTTTGGTGTGTGTTTGTTGCTTAATGCTGCACTAAGCAATATTCCCGCCAAATAAGAGCAGTCAGTAAAACATTTATCAGGAAGACAATCCAGTGATTGACATCATGAGCACTGATCTACCCAACCTGGATATAATAATGATGATGACATGCATCAAGAACAAAGAGCCTGATCACCCAATCCTGTTAGTTTTCTCTCATGACAAGCATGGGCTGCTGAATACCAAGTGTAATCCAGATCACAAGGGATTATCTTACTCCTCAATGAGGGTGTATGGGATAAGTCGTCCATTCCAGTAGCACTCAAATATCGGTCTTCTACCCCTGGCTGGTCTGTCATTGATGGCGTAGTCATGATCATCTTCTGGCTCGGGGTCCACTAAACAACATAAAGGTTACAGCACTATTGTCAGCCTATATCCCAGCTGACTGAAGCATACCGGCAGTAGTGTTAACTGACTGTGATTTGTGATTTGCATATGTAGTCTATTTTGGCTAAGAAAATTGGAAATCCTATCATTTTATCAAATTTAGCAACATAATTGTGCCTATACTACATAACAACATACATACTGAAAAACACCATCCAGATATGTTTGATAATATTCCAATTTGAGTCCTTGGTTATTTCTACATTTACATCACAGATTTTAGAAAGTGTTTACTGAATATTTAAAATATAAGCATATCAGTATGGCATGTTTTTAATTGGTGAAGCTTAGCACATGTTGAGCCTGTTAAATCATATGATACAAAAGAAATATTTCTATATTAAATGTTTCTGGGTTGTTTTTGCTTGAATTTTGTTAACTATCTCGGACATGCTGACAGGCTAGAAAAAAATAAACAGTGCATCACATCTGGAGATATTCTTGGTTTGCTTGCATGAAACCAAAACATTGTAATTATTCCAAGTATCTTACTTCGTGGATCATAAGCCTCTGAAGGGAAGGTCTCTCTATCATACAGGAACGGGTGGTATCGAAGGACACCCTCCACAACATTTGTCCCATCTACGAGAGCCTTGAACTCAAAACTGCTGGAAGCTGTGTGTAGGAACATGGATTGCATGTCGTCATCGATATCTCGCAGATTCACCACCTTGGGCTGGGGCCCACCCCTTGTGTACAGGCTCACCTGCACCCAAAACACAATACTCATTCACCATGTTATTTACCACTGAAAATTTCACATTGTAATATAATTAATAACAATTATAAATAAATGAATAGCAAGTGATCCTGTAGAACTGAACTTTTCCAAAAACGAAAAATACACCCAAGGCCACTGCCCTAAAGGACATCTGACTGGCAGATAACAGAATGTGCTTGTCTTGTGTTCCCTTATTGTGCTGAACAATGCATTCACTATCACTATCTTCATTTATTTTGTATTAATGATTATCTTAGCAGTCTGTAAGTTTCTGTTGTCGACATACTTATTCATTATAAATGATAATGGAGATTAGCAAAGTGGAATGCCATTTTTTTCATCATGTTTATTACCCAAATAAATGCAAAATATATGGAAACAATTACATTAAATTGAATAAGTCCATATTATGCTGATAGGCAATTTAAAAATTCACTAGCACCATCTGACAGTGATGAACCGTCATGAAATTGTTTGCTTGTTATTTTATTCAGCACTCAGCATTTTTCAGCTAAATGGCAACGATCTGTAAATTATCATGTCCAGACCAGTGATCAACATCACGAGCGTTAATCAACCCAATTGGGATATGATGACATGTATCAATCAAGTCATGAGCCTGACCACCTGATCCCGTTAGTCGCCTCGTATGACAAGCATGGGCTGCTGAAGACCAATTCTAACCCGGATCTTCATGTGTAACAGTCACGATAGTTAAACTGATGACACAACATGTTCATCTAGTCATTACACCACCACCTCAATCCTACATACAAACTTTGTTATACACTAACAATACAATCCTGTGACAAGGACTGCACTGATTAAAATGAAAAGCTTTGCCTTGAACTAATGACTGAAAAATAGCATGATGTGCTAGAACATTAATGACTTCAGACCAGCACCAGACAAGTACACAACGTTTGTTGAGCTTATGAATGCGATGGTATTACTGTATGTACCTTGGATGATTTGATTTTTGGTTTGGTTTGTTGTTTAACGCAGCACTCAGCAATATTCCAGCCATATGGCGGCAGTATGTAAATAATCCAGTCTGAACCAAACAATCCAGTGATCAACAGCATGAGCATCAATGTACACATATGGGATACCATGACATGGGTCAACCAAGTCAGCGAGCCTGACCACCCGATCCTGTTAGCCGCCTCTTAGCCACATGCATGGGCTACTGAAGACCGATTCTAACCCGGATCTTAACAGGTCCCTTACCACTAGAACTTGTACCACAATCACACAGGCTAAATAACCAATATCCCGAGTCTCCCTACCTCGATATCTATGTTCTTGAATGGGTTGTTCTGCTTGCTTGTCAGGTTCTCGTCATTTACATTACCATCGGGTCCATGTAGATAATAGTGGTAGATGTGACTGTGGGTAGAGGGATAAACATGCTAGCTAAATACACAACAAACCAGCAGCCGTTTAACCATCTGTAAACATCATAACACACAATACTCTTCCATCACAGAGGTTAATAGTGTTAATCACTATGACACAATGTTTCAAATAATTTCTCTATGTGGCATTTCAGATGATGGTATGATGAAGAGCAACCAGTTATATGGATTGCCAACTTCTTCATTGCAATAGATGCAGCATTGCGGCGTAGATGCTGACACCGTTATTAAGCAAGTGATGTGTAGATGCTAACACCGTTATTAAGCAAGTGATGTGTAGATGCTGACACCATTATTAAGCAAGTGATGTGTAGATGCTGACACCGTTATTAAGCAAGTGATGTGTAGATGCTAACACCATTAAGCAAGTGATGTGTAGATGCTAACACGATAACAGTCTTGATGTGTAGATCCAAAAGAAAATGTCGCGTCTTTTGCAATAAAGAAGTTGTCAACCCATATAACTTGTTCCTTTTCAAATAATTCTAAAGTATACATAACCTACCTGGCACAACACAAACACTTTGCATGTATTGATTTTCAGAGATTACATACTGAATAACAGAATAATTGAGAATGATTCAGTGAAATCTATCTAATGTTCAAAACTATTATGCTATATGTTATGTTCGGAGTCTACATACGATAGCTGGCGTGTCCACTCCGTCATCTTGTGTTTGAGGTATGGAATGTGTGATGGGTTTATTAGTTGGATCACTACAGCTGTGAAACTCTCACGCTTGTTTTCCTCCAGGACTAGTCGCCGGATGATCTCATCCTCCACAGGGATGTGAGAGTTGTCACATTGCTACAAGAGAAGCAGATGTTCGAGCATGAGCCACCTCCCACATCTTCAGGGTACAACATGTACAATAACACATTGATAGACAGGTCATGCATTGTGAACACACGATCCCCCTAATAAACATGATTAAGCACTTTAATCTTGTTTAATGCAACAATCAGCAATTTTCCTCCTTTATTACGACAGTCTGTAAATAATTTAATCTGGACCAGACAATCCAGTGATTGACATAATAAACCTCAATCTAAACCACTGGGATATGATGACATTCATCAACCAAGTCAGCGAGTCTGACCACCTGATCCTGCTAGTCACCTATTATGACACACAGGTTGATGAAAACCTGTTCTTATCTGGAGATTCATGGGTCTCATTATAATGACTATTCAACAGCATGATATATCATGCAATTCTAAATACGAACTCTGGTATGACCACTAACCTTTCTGTTCCGGATAAATCCACTGTATATTGCTTCATTGTTTTTCTCCTTCTTTTCAAATTCCTCTTTTGATATTGTCAGCTCATGAACATCTCTAGAGTCTTTCGGTTTGCTGATCATCTGGAGACAAAAGCACAAATATGTCATGAGGCTGATCACTGGTGCAACCCAATATTACAAAGTGCAGAGATGTGACAGGTGCAAGTCAATTTTGACAAACACAGGCCAAGCAACTGGAATTTGTAGGATTTTCTTAGACCTGATGGCATAGCTTCAGACTACCTTCAATAGGTTAACCAAGCCAATACAAGGGGGAAATGAAGGCAAGTTTAATAACAATAAGACCTTGCCACCAAAACTGCCCAGAAATGGGGTTTCCTTTTCTGTTCATAATTTATGGCTTGGGGTGTGATGATGATTTTAAGGGGGTGAATGTGAAATATCATGTACCGTTATTAGTAATATTGGAAATTTTAATATAAATTGTATATTTATATACTTATTCTATCTCACGACTTGCACCTCTCTCTCTTGCTTCGACTTTTAGTGGAACGACTGTAAACTTTTTTCCATAGGCCTCCTTGTTCATTCGCCCGTGCACTCCATGCTGCTCTCCTTAATTAGCTTCCTAGTTCCTAATAAAGCTTGCAGCATGCTCCACTAATTGCCCACGTGACTACCTTGAATGATCATTCTCATCTCTGAGCCAACGTTGTAATCTGAGTAGTGGGGAGGCCGGGCGGGCATCCATCGCGTGAGATAGGATAAGTATATAAATATACAATTTATATTAAAATTTCCAAATTTTTAAACTTATCCTATCTCACGACTTGCACTTATCCCACGGTTGGACGGCGGGGCATAGATTACCTAATGGTGCTGGACGACATGTGGAAACGTGGCAACTTGGGCATGCTTTCTCTTTTCACTTGCTGTTCAACTGTGATGACTGACAAATGAAAACCCATCATTTTCACAGTCCAACAGTTCATGTTGCACGTTCATTTCATGTGTGTTGTGTTTGACCATCATGGTTCCACATGGTTGCGTTTCCCCAACCTTTTCGCTATTTACCGATGCATGCAGACATGAGAACTTCATATTTGGTATTCATATTTTGTATAAATGTCAGCAAAACACCATAAGATATTTCCTTTTTTCTTACATTGCGTTTCTTTTTATGTAGAGTATATATTCGGATAAATATGACGGCCCTGGTGTGCCAGTTACAACTGTATTCGTACATACATTTCTAGCAGGTCATTAGACCTGGATACTCAACCACTGATCACTTTTTCCTCCACAGTCAGTGCCTCAAACTTCTTGTCCATACTTAGGGATAGATTTTACATTTTCGTTATTTTTCAAAGGGTTTGAATTTGTTTAACGTCGGTCTGAAAAATCTAGCTGTATGGCGATCTGTTTACAATCGGTCCTGGACCAGACAATCCAGATATTGAAACCATGAGCACCGATCTTCATATGATGACAAGTATCAACCAAGTATAAAGCGAGTTTACCACCAGATCCCGTTAGTCTCCTCTTTCGACAAGCATGAGTTGTTGAAGATGGATTCTAACCTTGATTTTCACATGTAGCCTACTTTGGCCCCCTACATTTGGATAGGTTAACCATAAAAAGATTGAAAAGATTAGAACTTAAATACAAGTTTATAAAATTACTTGTATTTACGAATTCTAGTCTTTCATGACGCGTAACAACTCAACGCCATTTGATTATTATCGATCGATTGTTGTTTAACGCCGCATTCAGCGATAATACAGCTACATGACGGCGAGTCTGGACCAGACAATCCAGTGATCAACAGCATGAGCATCGATCTGCGCAATTGGGAACCGATGACATGTGTCAACCAAGCCAGCGAAACTTGACCACCCGATCCCGTTAGTCGCCCAGCACATGCACTCAGTGAGTGTTTGTGTGTGATCCACGGGAGATTGGGAAAGATAGAGACATGTATGAGTCAACCAAAGTGATCAGCAGCCTTACATCACCCAAATCCCAACAAAGGTTGTCGCACATCTTACGTAGTGCCCACATCTTACTAGTGCCACACTTCTTGAAGTGAAGTGGTATGTCGAGTATAATCTTAGAAGTGCTCACTTCCTTCCCGTACACACATATTGTCTTGAATGTTCCGTCAGTCTAGAAATATTTGATGCAGTTTATCTTGCACAACGTTGTATGTGCTACATCTTGAACAGAACGATCACATAATTGTAGTGTCACATGTTGTAGTGACACATCTTGAAGTGTCACATCTTGTAGTGTCACATGTTGTAGTGCTAACATCTTGTAGTGCACATGTTGTTAGCGCTACATCTTGAAGTGCTACATCATTGTATCTCACATATTGTAGTGTTGAAGTGTCACATGTTGAAGTGCCACATCTTGTAGTGTCACATCTTGTAGTGCTACATCTTGAAGTGTCACATATTGTAGTGTCACATGTTGTAGTGCTACATCTTGAAGTGTCACATCTTGTAGTGTCACATGTTGTAGTGCTACATCTTGAAGTGTCACATCTTGTAGTGTGTTGTAGTGCTACATGTTGAAGTGTCACATCTTGTAGTGTCACATGTTGAAGTGATAGGCTACGTACTTGAAGACATCTTGAGAGAGTGTGAATCTTGTAGTGTCAGAACATCTTGAAGCATTTGTAGTGTCATTTTGTAGTGCTACATCTTGAAGTGTCACATCTTGTAGTGTCACATGTTGTAGTGCTACATCTTGAAGTGTCATCTTGTAGTGCTACATCTTGAAGTGTCACATCTTGTAGTGTAGTGCTACATCTTGACACATCTTGTAGTGTCACATGTTGTAGTGCTACATCTTGAAGTGCTACATATTGTAGTGCTACATCTTGAAGTGCTACATCTTGTAGTGCTACATCTTGTAGTGCTACATCTTGTAGTGCTACATCTTGTAGTGCTACATCTTGTAGTGCTTGACATCTTGTAGTGCTACAGTGCTACGTCTTGTAGTGCTACATCTTGTAGTGCTTGACATCTTGTAGTTACGTAGTGCTACATCTTGTAGTGCTACATCTTGTAGTGCTACATCTTGTAGTGCTACATCTTGAAGTGCTACATATTGTAGTGTGCATTTTGTAGTTAAGCACTTTATAATGCAGTAGATGTAGTGGTATGCCTTGTAGGCCAACAGTTCGTTGTGCAGCATCTTGTAGTGCTACGTCTTGAAGTGCTACATCTTGTAGAGCTACGTCTTGAAGTGCTACATCTTGTAGTGCTACGTCTTGAAGTGCTACATCTTGTGCTACATGTTGCAGTGAAGTGCTAGATCTTTTTGTATTGTAGTGCTACATATTGTAGTGTGCATTTTGTAGTTAAGCAGTTGATGTAGTGCCTTGTAGGCCAACAGTTCGTTGTGCAGCATCTTGTAGTGCTACGTTTGCATGTAGGTCTTGTATGTATCCTGCTTTGATGAAGTAACGTGTTGTTATGATGCCGGCACTAGAGCCCGCAACTCCGGTATGTCCGCTATTACGTATCTTTGTGGTTTTACAACGCTGTTGCAGCAACGACGCGCTGCCTCCAATAACTGCTTTCTCAGACTGGGTTTGAACTTGGATATTTGGTAAAGTGGACATTGTAACCACTGTGCTACCCCCAATCTGTTGTAATGAGGTGTGTGCCTTTAAACAACCACTGCCCCTTGGCCTCCCTTGGGATAGACAACACGGAATCCTCTGGAATTCAATGTTTAGCATGTGTATTTGTAAAAGTAAAATCGAATTCTCTCCACTGGTACTCTGCAAAGGAATAATGCAACTTGCAATAACGCCAATTATTACGAAAGCAGGGTTCCAACAAAAGATAAGAATCAGTTGTCCTCACTTGATAGCTAAACACATGCATGTGGATTGTAATATACGATATGATCATTAGCCTATAGTTACTTCAGCTGCCGAACACAGCTGAGGGAGCCGAGTCCCCAAGGAGAACACCGGAGAGAGGTCAGCGTAGGTAAACCCAGTTCAACATGGCCTTGTTGCTTTCATCCTACAGACATTTCCCTGCATATCATGCAGGCACGGATCACCGACATACAAACCCGAAATCAAACAAAGAAATCAAATATCACGAACTGCTTGTATTCTTGTCGTGTGTTGAGCGTGTCCCTAGCCGCACTGATGGAAGCGATGGTGCAAATAGACTGGTCCCAGTCTGCATGGCTGCTTGTGTCAGACCACGAACGCCAACTTCAATCAAGGATAGGTATACCAACTTCAATTAATGGTTGATGTATCACCTTTGACAATGACCTGATATATGCAATGCAGCTTAAAACGGGAGTTCATAGACCAAATTTAATGATAATTTTATATATCAGCTTAAATCAATATAAACCAATTTCAATCGACAGTTGATATAACAGGTTCAGTCGTGAGTATATGTACCAGCTTCGATCGTCAGTTGATATACCAGCTTCGATCGTCAGTTGATATTCCAGCTTCTGTCTTCAGTTGAAATACCAACTACGAGAGTCTGTTGATATTCCAGCTTCGATCGTCAGTTCATATACCAGCTTCAAATCATATGTAGGTACGCCAGCTTTATTCGTGAGCTGATTAGGCAGTTTCTGTCATATGTCGATATAGCGGGTAAAAGAACTTTTGATAGGGAGTACCACTGTTACAAATACAAGCTTTTGATACAGGCTGGTGTTGGTGAAACGCCAAACCCCTTTAACTCAAACAACATAAAATCCAAATTGAAAAGGAGACCCAGGGAGATGGGAGATTACGAACCTAAAGAAAATCTAGCTCACATAGGGCTTTTACACTGCAGAAAGGGCTGGGTGGAATGGAATATATTGTCCATCTAAAACATGACTCTTCAAACGAATGGCACAGAAGAAACCTTCCTTTCCGTTTGCAGTTTGGAACTCTCTGTACTCTTGACATATAATAGTACCAACTCTGCCACTCTTCTAAAACAGACTCACAACACACCTCTTTCAACGCTGTTTCATAAATCCTTGTATTTTCTAGTACATTTGAACCGTGACTGTCAGCGCTTTGAACATTGCCCCTGTGTGCTGGAAGTCAGCGCTATACAAATGCTCTTATTATTATTAAACCCTACCTGATCCAGCATCATTTGTTAAGGCCTCAGAACTCAATGAGATGTTAGATAATCCGATATAGTATAAACATATGTAGAAGGGATGGTTGTAGTGTACTCATTGGGAGGAGACAACGGATGGTTGTAGTGTACTCATTGGGAGGAGACAACGGATGGTTGTAGTGTACTCATTGGGAGGAGACAACGGATGGTTGTAGTGTACTCATTGGGAGGAGACAACGGATGGTTGTAGTGTACTCATTGGGAGGAGACAACGGACGGTTGTAGTGTACTCACTTGGTTGTAGTGTATTCATTGAGGGGAGACAACGGATGGTTGTAGTGTACTCACTGGAAGGAGACAACGGATGGTTGTAGTGTACTCATTGGGGGGAGACAACGGATGGTTGTAGTGCCCTCATTGAGAGGAGACAACGGATGGTTGTAGTGTACTCATTGGGGGGAGACAACGGACGGTTGTAGTGTACTCATTGGGAGGAGACAACGGATGGTTGTAGTGTACTCATTTGGGGGATCCCCTCTACATCAATAGCCATGAGGTGGACGCTAGCTCCCCTCCTACATCAATGGCCATGAGATGGACGCTAGCTCCCCTCTACATCAATAGCCATGAGATGGACGCTAGCTCTTCTCCCACATTAATAGCCATGAGATCGACACTAGCTCCCCTCTACATCAGTAGACATGAGATGGACGCTAGCTCTTCTCCCACATTAATAGCCATGAGATCGACACTAGCTCCCCTCTACATCAGTAGACATGAGATGGACGCTAGATCCCATCTACACCAATAGCCATGAGATGGACGCTAGACCCCCTCTACATCAATAGCCATGAGATGGACGTTAGATCCCCTCTACATCAATAGCCATGAGATGGACGCCAGATCCCCTCTACATCAATAGCCATGAGATGGACGCCAGGTCCCCTCTACATCAATAGCCATGAGATGGAGGCTAGATCCCCTCTACATCAATAGCCATGAGATGGAGGCTAGCTCCCCTCCTACATCAATGGCCATAAGATGGACGCTAGCTCCCCTCCTACATCAATGGCCATGAGATGGACGCTAGCTCCCCTCCTACATCAATGGCCATAAGATGGACACTAGCTCCCCTCCTACATCAATGGCCATGAGATGGACACTAGCTCCCCTCCCTTGTCCCTGTCGGAAGGCTGTAGTTCCGCTTGATGAGTGAGACATGCTGCAGGAAACCTGATGGGAGGGGCGAGTGTGCGCCATCATACTCTAGTCTTCTGATTCTACATCCTGCTCGTCACACATCCTAGCGATATTCAAGCCCATTTAGACCAACAGTGACCGCAGTTACAACGCCAGCGGACATCGTCCCCACACAACCGGAACAGCGGCTCCCTCATCTGCTGACGGACAAGAAGACTGTGGATATTTAAGGATTTGGTGACAGAAAGTTTAAGCCCCCGAATAAGAGATAGTGGTGTTGTGATTTACTGAAGATGAAAATGTTGACGACGTATCTGTCGAGGATGGTGGTGATTCTGTGCTGTGGGTATGCATTAAGCCAAGACCAGCCCGATGGTGAGTATAATCCAGTGGAATTTATGTATACTACCCACCAAAAGTTTAGACTCACTTAAAGCACTCACTATATGCTATATATATAACGTAAGGAACCAACTGCAAACCTTATGCACATGAATTGCACGAGGATCATACATCAAATTTCTGAAATGCATCTTCAAATATCGTGCATGTGACCAGCTGCGTTTTGGTGTAAAGATGTGTTCAGAATTCGCCAGTTTTCACTGAGTTTCATCATTTCTTGAACTCATGACAATAATCATTTCAATGTTACGAATTTGTTTTACAATACATCAGTTCATGTGTAAACAGTACCTTTAAACTGTACCAGTATCACCTACTCAAATATACACTCAGGCAAAGGAAACTGTACATGCACATTTGATGGTGGCTACAACTGAAGTAGGCAAGAACTACTTGTTCGTTGTTGATGTACGTATTTGATGCGGATGATAGCTTAGTTTTAGAACTTTCATATGCCATGTTTCAGCGATCTTTAGCTCCTTCTTTGAGTGGCATTGCTAGAAGTTGGGGAGTCAGATAAGGACAAACGTTATGGATGAACAACTTCTTTATTCAGGTGATGTGACGTTTCGAAACATATCCTTGTATCGTTGTCAAGCAGGTATGTCAACAGTGACCGCTTGACAACGATACAAGAATCTGTATCGAAACGTCACATCACTGATTAAAGAAGTTGTTCATCCATAAAGTCTGTCCTTATCTGTTTTAGCTCAATAACGTTTTGTTAACGTTTGTAACTTTCTAGTTCGATCCAGTTTTTAAGTGTATAGTTTTCGTTTACTCGGCAGTTTAGCCTAATGTTCAAAACCTCCTACACTGTACAGCCAGACACATGGATATTCAGTTCAACGTTATGAACTGTACATTGTCGTTTAACTATAATGCCATTAAACCATGCTGTAATAGTACCTCGAGTTTCACAAACATCATTTTATAAGTTTTGTTGCTTGTTTGTTGTTTAACGCGCAACTCAGCAATATTCCAGCCATATGGCGGCACCATGTAAATAATCGAGTCTGGACCACACAATCCAGTGATCAAGATCATGAGCAATGATCTACGTAATCAGGATACGATGACATGTGTCAACCATATCAGTGAGCCCTGACCATATATAAGAATAGAATAAGGCGTCCTGGTATAGCAGCTGGAGTTTTCTTAGTTTAGTTTTACAGTCAGCAATATTCCAGCCATATGGCGGTATACCAGCTGGAACAACTGTTAGTATAATGTGAGTGAGTGGGTATAGTTTTACGCCGCTTTTAGCAATATTCCAGCAATATAACGGCGGGGGACACCAGAAATGGGCTTCACACATTGTACCCATGTGGGGAATCGAACCCGGGTCTTCGGCGTGACGAGCGAACGCTTTAACCACTAGGCTACCCCACCGCCCCCTGTCAGTGTAAAGGAATTCACATATGTGTAGTCGTATGAGGAGGGCCATCGTTCGCATTGCATCGCATAACAGTGTATCCTTATGGTGTAGAACGACCAATAGAAAGCCACCCTCAATCATGACAGAGGTGTGTTGCAAGTGTTAGTGCTGAAAGGACAGTTACAGCACAACGTCCGTCAACACCGACTTCAGTTTTCTCACAGTTATCTATAGATTCACTTTCTTGTAATTGTTTGTTCATACATCGAAATAGTGGCCGGTCCTATATATAGAAACCAGTTTTGAGATTTCCACAAAGTACGATTGTGCATGGGAGTAGAGGAAGAATTATGAACGCAAAGTGCACGAATCCTTACGATGTATACAATACTCCTATTATACTGTTGCCAACCGAGCCCTGACCGAAGCAACACTGACAATCCCTGCATTTCCTGAAGGAAGGAGAACAGGCGTGTGGTTAGTCAATTTGTGATGAACTTTGTCAACCGAGGATAATACATTTCTGGCAACTACGGTTAACAGAACCAGACTTAACCTGTGTCAATCAAGCATAGGTAAGGACAGAGCCTGAAGTAAGAAAACCCCAGAACGCCACAAAGGACGTGTGTTACAATGAGAGTCACTACAGACTATGCGTTACTATGAGAGAGTGTATTGATCTGTATTCCAGTTATATTACGACTTTATTAGAGAATTTATATCATGGGTTAACAAGTGTTTATTGGCAAACAGAGCTGCCAATATATCTTTTAACTTCTTTGAGAGGCATTTCAGAAGTTGTATAGATGAAGGAAAACCAATTTCTATGGATAGTCAACTTGATGTTGAATATCCATAGAACTTGATTTTCCTTCAATATATCCTTTGCCTATAATGCATGAACATGACTAGAGAGTTCAAAATATCTCGTCAAACACCAAAAATAGATGCAAAATGATCGTAAGCGTTTCATTCTTTATTCTAAGGTATTCTTAACAACCTTCAACAAGCTTCGTTTCCCTGACGTATATCACAATACGTATAGTCTTGTATTTCCAAGTCCTGAATGCCGTTGCCGGACCATGTATACTCAGGTTATCGTCAGTTGATCACCAAGTACACGTTAATTCTTTGGAGTCAAAGATCTTTTGTCCAAAGTTGTCCATATCTACAAAACAACGGGGTGCACTACTTTGGTAAGGATTACACGAGTGGAGTCATCGTTAAAGTTCGTTAGCTGATGAAATAATGAATGAAAGCATTTTAATTAATATAATTACAATTATCATTTTATGTAATAATGATCAGATGTGACATATGCAGTTATCAAAGTGAGAATGATTTTACTTATCAGTGTTTGGTCATGTCAAAACGAAAGAAAACCCCCACATTTAACGCTATTAAAATGAGTACAAACTGAGGTCAAGTCCTCATGCGCTATACACAGGAAAATCAGTAATAGGCAACTTTAGCCGTACATAGGCAAACTCCGGTTTGGCAGAATGAGCTGTAATTAATCAACTGAGTTGTAGGTGGAATAAACGGTTAGCAGGAATACTGGAATGTAGGCGGAATCAAGGGTAGATAGGCAAACTCAGATGTCAAGTCAAGTCAAGTTTATTGTATTCAAGGCCTCCGGCCCATATACAAGGAGTTACATACATATACATAACTACAGTACATAATACAATGGCAATTATAATGGTTATTGCTTAGATGTAAGCAGAGTTAACTATGTACAGACAACCTCAGTTATAGGGTGAATGAGCTGTATATAGGCAAACAGTGATATGGGTAGAATGAGCTGTACATAGGCAAACAGTGATATGGGTAGAATGAGCTGTACATAGGCAAACAGTGATTTGGGTAGAATGAGCTGTATATAGGCAAACAGTGATTTGGGTAGAATGAGCTGTATATAGGCAAACAGTGCTTTGGGTAGAATGAGCTGTATATAGGCAAACAGTGATTTGGGTAGAATGAGCTGTACATAGGCAAACAGTGATGTGGGTAGAATGAGAGCTGTATATAGGCAAACAGTGGTGTGGGTAGAATGAGCTGTATATAGGCAAACAGTGATTTGGGTAGAATGAGCTGTACATAGGCAAACAGTGATTTGGGTAGAATGAGCTGTATATAGGCAAACAGTGATGTGGGTAGAATGAGCTGTATATAGGCAAACAGTGGTGTGGGTAGAATAGGCTGTATATAGGCTGTATATAGGCAAACAGTGATTTGGGTAGAATGAGCTGTACATAGGCAAACAGTGATGTGGGTAGAATGAGCTGTACATAGGCAAACAGTGATGTGGGTAGAATGAGCTGTACATAGGCAAACAGTGATGTGGGTAGAATGAGCTGTACATAGGCAAACAGTGATTTGGGTAGAATGGGCTGTACATAGGCAAACAGTGATTTGGGTAGAATGAGCTGCTGTATATAGGCAAACAGTGATTTGGGTAGAATGAGCTGTACATAGGCAAACAGTGATTTGGGTAGAATGAGCTGTACATGTAGGCAAACAGTGATTTGGGTAGAATGAGCTGTATATAGGCAAACAGTGATTTGGGTAGAATGAGCTGTATTTAGGCAAACAGTGATGTGGGTGGAAATGAGCTGTACATAGGCAAACAGTGATTTGGGTAGAATGAGGCTGTACATAGGCAAACAGTGATGTGGGTAGAATGAGGCTGTACATAGGGCAAACAGTGATGTGGGTAGAATGAGCTGTACATAGGCAAACAGTGATGTGGGTAGAATATGGGCTGTACATAGGCAAACAGTGATTGGGTAGAATGGGTAGAATGAGCTGTATATAGGCAAACAGTGATATTGGGTAGAATGAGCTGTATATAGGCAAACAGTGGTGTGGGTAGAATGAGCTGTACATAGGCAAAGTAGAATGGGTAGAATGAGGCTGTACATAGGCAAACAGTGATTTGGGTAGAATGAATGAATGCTGTATATAGGCAAACAGTGATTTGGGTAGAATGAGCTGTACATAGGCAAACAGTGATGTGGGTAGAATGAGCTGTACATAGGCAAACAGTGATGTGGGTAGAATGAGCTGTACATAGGCAAACAGTGATGTGGGTAGAATGAGCTGTATATAGGCAAACAGTGATTTGGGTAGAATGAGCTGTACATAGGCAAACAGTGGTGTGGGTAGAATGAGCTGTACATAGGCAAACAGTGATGTGGGTAGAATGAGCTGTACATAGGCAAACAGTGATTTGGGTAGAATGAGCTGTATATAGGCAAACAGTGATGTGGGTAGAATGAGCTGTACATAGGCAAACAGTGATTTGGGTAGAATGAGCTGTACATAGGCAAACAGTGATTTGGGTAGAATGAGCTGTATATAGGCAAACAGTGATGTGGGTGAATGAGCTATATAATGAGTGCTGTACATAGGCAAACAGTGATGTGGGTAGAATGAGCTGTACATAGGCAAACAGTGATGTGGGTAGAATGAGCTGTACATAGGCAAACAGTGATGTGGGTAGAATAGGCTGTACATAGGCAAACAGTGATTTGGGTAGGAATGAGCTGTACATAGGCAAACAGTGATGTGGGTAGAATGAGCTGTATATAGGCAAACAGTGATGGGTAGAATGGGTAGAATGAGCTGTACATAGGCAAACAGTGATGTGGGTAGAATGAGCTGTACATAGGCAAACAGTGATTTGGGTAGAATGAGGCTGTACATAGGCAAACAGTGATGTGGGTAGAATGAGCTGTACATAGGCAAACAGTGATGTGGGTAGAATGAGCTGTACATAGGCAAACAGTGCTGTGGGTAGAATGAGCTGTACATAGGCAAACAGTGATGTGGGTAGAATGAGCTGTACATAGGCAAACAGTGATTTGGGTAGAATGAGCTGTACATAGGCAAACAGTGAGAATGTATATAGGCAAACAGTGATGTGGGTGAGGAATATGGCTGTAATAGGCAAACAGTGATTTGGGTAGAATGAGGCTGTACATAGGCAAACAGTGATTTGGGTAGAATGAGCTGTACATGGGCAAACAGTGATGTGGGTAGAATGAGCTGTACATAGGCAAACAGTGATGTGGGTAGAATGGTACATAGGCAGAAACAGTGATGTGGGTAGAATGAGGCTGTACATAGGCAAACAGTGATTTGGGTAGAATAGGCTGTACATAGGCAAACAGTGATGAATGGGTAGAATAGGCTGTATATAGGCAAACAGTGATTTGGGTAGAATGGAGCTGTACATAGGCAAACAGTGATGTGGGTAGAATAGAGCTGTATGTAGGCAAACAGTGATGTGGGTAGAATGAGGCTGTACATAGGCAAACAGTGATTTGGGTAGAATATGAGCTGTACATAGGCAAACAGTGGTGTGGGTAGAATGAGGCTGTATATAGGCAAACAGTGATTTGGGTAGAATGAGCTGTACATAGGCAAACAGTGATGTGGGTAGAATGAGGCTACATAGGCAAACAGTGATGTGGGTAGAATATGAGCTGTACATAGGCAAACAGTGATATGGGTAGAATGGGCTGTACATAGGCAAACAGTGATTTGGGTAGAATGAGCTGTACATAGGCAAACAGTGGTGTGGGTAGAATGAGGCTGTACATAGGCAAACAGTGATTTGGGTAGAATGAGGCTGTACATAGGCAAACAGTGATTTGGGTAGAATGAGCTGTGTATATAGGCAAACAGTGATGTGGGTAGAATGAGGCTGTACATAGGCAAACAGTGTGATGTGGGTAGAATGAGCTGTACATGGGCAAACAGTGATTTGGGTAGAATGAATGAGCTGTATATAGGCAAACAGTGATTTGGGTAGAATATAGGCTGTACATAGGCAAACAGTGATTTGGGTAGAATGGGCTGTACATAGGCAAACAGAGTGATGTGGGTAGAATATGAGGCTGTACATAGGCAAACAGTGATGGGTGGGCTGTAGAAAAACAGTGGTGCTGCTGAATACACATAGGCAAACAGTGATGTGGGTAGAATGAGCTGTACATAGGCAAACAGTGATTTGTGGGTAGAATGAGCTGTACATAGGCAAACAGTGATTTGGGTAGAATGAGCTGTACATAGGCAAACAGTGATTTGGGTAGAATGAGCTGTACATAGGCAAACAGTGATGTGTGTAGAATGAGCTGTATATAGATGAACCCAGGTGTAGGCAGAATATTAACGGTTACCATGGGCAAACTGTGGCTTTGGCAGAATGACTTGTAGACAGGCAAGTGTAGTAACCATTAACATGATTGATTTATGTGCACCCACAAGCATACATGTCCTTAAGCTAATAGATTGACTATAGTTGTGTTTGTATTACATTGCTGACGCTTTTAGTGGTGGTTTCACCTGATTACATTGAGACAATACGTGAGTACTTCTCATCTCAAAATTCCAGGGGAAGACATTAAATCAATATGTACGTTGGTAAAGCAGTCATGAATTATAGCAGATACATGTATGACACTGTGTTTTCAGTCCGAGTTCCCCCCACAGTGCATACACCCCTCTTTGCACGGACAGATTACTTCAACACAGGTTCAAGATTCATGGTGCCCTGTAATGCGACTGGAACTCCACACCCTAAGTAAGTATATATCCAACAGCTTCAGTTTCACATGAGAGAGAGAGAGAGAGAGAGAGAGAGAGAGAGAGAGAGAGAGAGAGAGAGAGAGAGAGAGTGAGAGAGAAAGGGAGAGAGGGGAGATGTATATTTAACAATCCTTGGCCGCGTGGTACAATTGTAAATTGGGACAAGGCGGTAGTAGATTGTTGAGGTGGAAGGCTAAGAACTTTGGCAGTGACGTTTTGTCAGGGAGCTCGATCGATCAAGACACATCTCGGCGTTATAATGAGTAAATATTACGTCCTTCCAAAGCGATGTCCTCTCACAACAATGCTTTGTGTGTTGACATAGGTACACTTGGCACAAAGATGGCGCTAACTTCACATCCGATTACATCAGTGTCAACCCAGTCAACGGCTCTCTGCTGGTGGAGGCCGCCACGATACGTGAGGAAGGGACGTACCGTTGCTTAGCAACCAACACGTGGGGCACTTCGGTGTCTCAGGAAGTAGAGATGTTACTCATCAGTAAGTAATAAAACACACTGTACGCATGGTGTAAGCAATCAGTAAGTCAATCACGCGTAATGCATATGATCAGTACGTCAATCACGCATAATGGATATGATCAGTACGTCAATCACGCATAATGCATATGATCAGTACGTCAATCACGCATAATGCATATGATCAGTACGTCAATCACGCATAATGCATATGATCAGTACGTCTATCACGCATAATGCATATGATCAGTACGTCAATCACGCATAATGCATATGATCAGTACGTCAATCACGCATAATGCATATGATCAGTACGTCAATCACACATAATGCATATGATCAGTACGTCTATCACGCATAATGCATATGATCAGTACGTCAATCACACATAATGCATATGATCAGTACGTCTATCACACATAATGCATATGATCAGTACGTCTATCACACATAATGCATATGATCAGTACGTCAATCACGCATAATCTATATGATCAGTACGTCAATCACGCATAATGCATATGATCAGTACGTCAATCACACATAATGCATATGATCAGTACGTCTATCACACATAATGCATATGATCAGTACGTCTATCACACATAATGCATATGATCAGTACGTCAATCACACATAATGCATATGATCAGTACGTCAATCACACATAATGCATATGATCAGTACGTCAATCACGCATAATCTATATGATCAGTACGTCAATCACGCATAATGCATATGATCACTACGTCAATCACACATAATGCATATGATCAGTACGTCTATCACGCATAATGCATATGATCAGTACGTCAATCACACATAATGCATATGATCAGTACGTCAATCACACATAATGCATATGATCAGTACGTCAATCACGCATAATGCATATGATCAGTACGTCAATCACGCATAATCTATATGATCAGTACGTCAATCACACATAATGCATATGATCAGTACGTCAATCACACATAATGCATATGATCAGTACGTCTATCACGCATAATGCATATGATCAGTACGTCAATCACGCATAATCTATATGATCAGTACGTCAATCACACATAATGCATATGATCAGTACGTCAATCACACATAATGCATATGATCAGTACGTCAATCACACATAATGCATATGATCAGTACGTCAATCACACAGAATGCATATGATCAGTACGTCAATCACACATAATGCATATGATCAGTACGTCTATCACGCATAATCTATATGATCAGTACGTCAGTTACATACACTGCCATACATAGTTACACACACTGTCATACATAGTTACACACACTGTCATACATAGCTACATACAGTGTCATACATAGTTACATACACGGTCAGATATAGTTAGATACACTGTCATACATAGTTACATACACTGTCAGATATAGTTACACACACTGTCATACATAGTTACATACACTGCCATACATAGTTGCATACACTGTCATGCATAGGTACATACACTGTCTTACATTGTTTCATACACTGTCATACATAGTTACATACACTGCCATACATTGTTTCATACACTGTCATACATAGTTACATACACTGTCATACATTGTTTCATACACTGTCATACATAGTTACGCACACTGTCATACATTGTTTCATACACTGTCATACATAGTTACATACACTGTCATACATAGTTACATACACTGTCATACATTGTTTCATACACTGTCATACATTGTTTCATACACTCTCATACATAGTTACGGACACTGTCATACATTGTTTCATACACTCTCATACATAGTTACATGCACTGTCATACATAGTTACATACACTGTCAGATATAGTTACACACACTTTCATACATAGTTACATACACTGTCAGATATAGTTACATACACTGTTACAGCATAGTTACAGACAATTTCATACATAGTTACATATGTAACTGATATACAGCGAGGATGACACGGTGTACCTTGGTTTACAGGAGGGAATAGGTTTGATGACCTCGGTTCCCGAGCGATGACTAAGGTAGCGGGAGAGAGTGCCTCCATGGAGTGTTTAAATCCACCTGAATCTGTCCCCGTCGGCTCCTTCGCCTGGTACCTCACCGATGACGACGATAAACAACGCAGCTTCACCCCAACCAAGAGATACGGCGTGGACGAGACAGGTTGGCAATTGGATCTCGCAGTTAAATAACTAGTCCTCCTGAGTGAAATGTATTCTCAAGTCTTTAATTACAACAGCTTCAACGTGTAACAGTTTTTCAGTGTGTGGTGTTTATATCGTGTTCTAGGTACGCTACATTTTGCTTACTTGGAAGTGGGTGACCGCATTGACGGAAAGCTATATGCGTGCGGGCTCCACAACGCTAAGACCGACAACATCTACCTCGGCAGCAAAGTCGACCTCACAGTCACCCCTGGATCAGGTACGACCTCTAACCCACAAGTCCTATTTCTTGCATCAAGCAAGAAACACTTTTTCATGCCATTTGTGTGGACCGCTGAAGATCCGGGTTAGAAATGGTCTTTAGTAATGCATGCTTGTGGTAAGATGCGACTAACGGTATCGGGTGGACAGGCTTGGTTAACTCATGACATCGTATCCCAATTGTGTAGATCGATGCTCATGTTGTTGATCATTGGATTGTCTGGTCCATACTCCATGTACAACCGTCATATAGCTGGAATATTGTTGAGTGCGGCGTTAAAAACATCCAAACCAAAGCAAAGCAAATAGTGTGATTATTGGGTGCCACCTCTCGGTACATGCTTACCCTACAGCAACACCCGGTGTCATTACAGCATTTGAGTGATTCCTATTAAGTTCAACTCTCGAGACTGTTGGTTCTATGCCGTTGGCGTAACAAACTGACTCATACCAGATTACAAATACTAATAATTGTAAAGTTAAAGTCACTCAGTTCAGAGGACCTCTGGTTTGGGTTTTATGCAAGAATTCACAAGTTGTCTGTAACTACATGTATATATAAATGTGTCGATTCTGGAGTACAAGATCAAGGATGTATTTGTCCTCAGTATTCTAGAGAAGTGTGGCGAAGTGAGTATTCGGTAAATAACACCACCACATTGAGTTGGTATTGTAACCTATCTCCGGGGTGAATATATCATATTTCGACAACTGAGGTTGGTTGGTTTGTTGTTTAACGCCTCACTCCGCAATATCCAAGCCATGGGGACCGTCTGTACATAATCATGTCTCGACCAGACAATCCACTGATTAACATCATGAACATCGGTCTAAACAACTGAGAAACGATGTGTCAACCAAGTCAACGAGTCTGACACCAGGTGCCATCTCCTAACCATGTCACGGGTAGTATCGTTGTCAAGTACGTCTAAGTACTTTTACATACTAATTTTGAATACAACACTGTGATAATCTAGTAATAAGTGTATTACTTCCTTTGTCCACAGATGTTGGACACGTGTATCTCTGTTATGTATATCACAATGATATAAGGTGAGGCGAAATGGGGTTTAACGTCGTACTTAAGAATATTTCGCTCATGACGACGTGCATGCGTGTGTATGTGTACGTGTGGCTGCTTGTACTAGCCCAGACTTAAGCTGGTTTTATAGTGCTTGCCCACTGATATACCATGCCGCAGTGAAGCATGAATACCCTACTCAGACACATTACACTGACTCCGAGTCGACCAGTCCTTGTTGCACCCATTAATGCCGAGCGCCAGGCAGGGACAAACAAGTACTATATTTTAACGTCTTTTGGTATGACGCGGTCGGGGATCGAACCCGCGACCTTCCGTTATCCGGGCGGGCGCTCTAACCACTACACCACGGAGGCGGTCCATTTTGATATGATCGCAGTATGGCTGCGGAATTGCTGATGCAAGTTTTACCGCGTTCGCCTATCTGCCACTATATGAGGCATAATATGTAGCTATATCTGTACGTATTTTGTCCCAGGTACCGGTGACAGTAAACCTCGAAGACTATACAAGACCGGAGTGAAGAGAGGATTTATTGGCAAGAGCGCCATCCTTGAGTGTTTCTTCGGTGGAAAGTAAGATAATGCATCTATGACACTGACAGGTTAACACCCAAACACTCGCTGTTTGCAGATACAAAGCTCTCATACATACACTTTTGAGGGTGTATTTTATTCTTATAGTTCCATTGCGAAAATACTTCTTGTCGTTGCTGATTATGCTGCTTGTCATACATATTTCACCAATCTATTCGCGCCCAGAGGATAGATTGATATGAATAGGCATTGCGTGAGTAGGCAAAGTGGTCAAATGTAACACATGTCATATTTGGGATTACACTCAACTATTAAGTAGCCCTTAGTTCGAAGCAGGAATATTTCTGTGTTATGTTTAGGATAGAGGATTGTTGACAAATATTTCTTCAACTAGAGTAGGTACCTACCATGGCCACAATCAGGAGCGACAGGCATGCAACATATTACATAGCACGTATTCTGCTAGTACTCGTTGCAAGTAAATCCATGTTTGTTTTTTATTCGTGGTAGACCTGTTCCTGATGTCCAGTGGTATGACAAGTACAACAACGCTATATTCCCCAACAACACCCACTTCAGCATCGAGGACTATGGTCGACGTGTGAAGATTCTCAACGTCACCGACTACGACGAGGGCACTTACACGTGTGAAGCCAGTAACTCACAGGGGCGACTGAAGGAGACGTCCTTCCTCAACGTCACCTGTACGTTAACTGTTATGGTTAATTATACTGTCATACATGGTACCATAAAGTGTCATACTGGGTATCGTACATTGTTATACTTGATTCAATATATTGTCACACATGGTACCATACATCGTTATACTTGACTACATATATTGTCATACTTGGTTACATGTGTTGTCATAATTGGTTACATAGTTTGCTTACATGATTACATAGTTGTCATACATGGTTACATAGTTTGTTATACATGTTACATAGTTTGTCATACATGATTACATGTTTGTCATACGTAGTTATATAGTTTGTCATACATGATTACATAGTTTGTCATACACAGTTACATAGTTTGTCATACATGATTACATAGTTTGTCATACGTATTTATATAGTTTGGCATACATGATTACATAGTTTGGCATGCACAGTTACATAGTTTGTCATACATGGTTACATAGTTTGTCATACGTAGTTACATAGTTTGTCATGCATGATTACATAGTTTGTCATACACGGTTGTTACATAGTTTGCTTACATGATTACATAGTTTGTCATACATGATTACATAATTGTCATACATGGTAATATACATTATCGTACATAGTTACATACACTCTTATACATGCTGACATACACTGTCATACATTCTCAGATACATAGTTACGAATACTGTCATAAATGTTTCAATACCTTGTCCTACACAGTTACATACATGCAATATACGATCATGCCTACTTAGGTATGCAATACATGCCTAGCACTGCTGTAGTTGAAACCACCATGCAATGTTTTAGCCCGGCCGATTTGGGTGGAATCGCCGCTGTCGCAGACAGTCGTGGAGGGGAGCAACGTCACGTTCAACTGTATATCGAAAGGCGCGGACAGGGAAAACACACCTTCGCCTCCTATATGGTACCAGAACGGCGAACAGCTTCCTCAAAGTAGGACATCTTCACCAGTCTCACACAGTATCTTTCCTCTTTCCGCTCGGTATCATGATACCCGTGAAACTCCGGCTGACATCGTATCTCAACTGCCTAGATCGATACTCGTGATGTTGATCACTGGATTGTCTGGTCCAGACTCGATTATTTACAGTCCGCCGTCATATAGCTGGATTATTGCTGAATGTGGCGTTAACCAACAAACCAATCAACCCAATCATTATGATGACACCCCTGCAGGGAGCTGGATGAGAGCTGGTCCATGCTTGTCAAAAGAGGCGACTAGCGGGATCGGGTTGTCATGCTGACATGTTTGATGAATGTCATTTATCGTAGTTGCGAGGATAGATACTCACGATATCAATGACTAGATTGACTTGATTGGATTCGATAATTAACGAGTGGGTTTTAAACTACAAAGAAACAAACACTCGTTATTTTGGTTAAATATCAGTCTTCGTGTTTTAGCAACGTGTATGATTCTATTCAGTACAGTGAACCCAATCTCTTTGGCACTTCTTCCCACAGTAGGCTGAAACGCCTTGACTTAACTTTAACTGTAATATTGTCTGAAGCGTCCTTAAACCCATCTTACTCTCCCGCTCACTCACTCGTTACATACTACATTATTTAGCGGGCTACTCATTGATGGTTCAAGTACTAGTTGTAATGAGGCTACTGTTACTGTGGTTCAAGTACTAGTTGTTATGGGGCTACTGTTACTGTGGTTCAAGTACTAGTTGTTATGGGGCTACTGTTACTGTGGTTCAAGTACTAGTTGTTATGGGGCTACTGTTACTGTGGTTCAAATACTAGTTGTTATGGGGCTACTGTTACTGTGGTTCAAGTACTAGTTGTTATGGGGCTACTGTTACTGTGGTTCAAGTACTAGTTGTTATGAGGCTACTGTTACTGTGGTTCAAGTACTAGTTGTTATGAGGCTACTGTTACTGTGGTTCAAGTACTAGTTGTAATGAGGCTACTGTTACTGTGGTTCAAGTACTAGTTGTTATGAGGCTACTGTTACTGTGGTTCAAGTACTAGTTGTTATGGGGCTACTGTTACTGTGGTTCAAATACTAGTTGTTATGAGGCTACTGTTACTGTGGTTCAAGTACTAGTTGTTATGAGGCTACTGTTACTGTGGTTCAAGTACTAGTTGTTATGAGGCTACTGTTACTGTGGTTCAAGTACTAGTTGTTATGAGGCTACTGTTACTGTGGTTCAAGTACTAGTTGTAATGAGGCTACTGTTACTGTGGTTCAAGTACTAGTTGTTATGGGGCTACTGTTACTGTGGTTCAAATAAGTACTAGTTGTTATGAGGCTACTGTTACTGTGGTTCAAGTACTAGTTGTTATGAGGCTACTGTTACTGTGGTTCAAGTACTAGTTGTAATGAGGCTACTGTTACTGTGGTTCAAGTACTGGTTGTTATGGGGCTACTGTTACTGTGGTTCAAGTACTAGTTGTTATGGGGCTACTGTTACTGTGGTTCAAGTACTAGTTGTAATGAGGCTACTGTTACTGTGGTTCAAGTACTAGTTGTTATGGGGCTACTGTTACTGTGGTTCAAGTACTAGTTGTAATGAGGCTACTGTTACTGTGGTTCAAGTACTAGTTGTTATGGGGCTACTGTTACTGTGGTTCAAGTACTAGTTGTAATGAGGCTACTGTTACTGTGGTTCAAGTACTAGTTGTTATGAGGCTACTGTTACTGTGGTTCAAGTACTAGTTGTTATGGGCTACTGTTACTGTGGTTCAAGTACTAGTTGTAATGAGGCTACTGTTACTGTGGTTCAAGTACTAGTTGTAATGAGGCTACTGTTACTGTGGTTCAAGTACTAGTTGTTATGGGGCTACTGTTACTGTGGTTCAAGTACTAGTTGTAATGAGGCTACTGTTACTGTGGTTCAAGTACTAGTTGTTATGGGGCTACTGTTACTGTGGTTCAAGTACTATAGTTGTAATGAGGCTACTGTTACTGTGGTTCAAGTACTAGTTGTAATGGGGCTACTGTTACTGTGGTTCAAGTACTAGTTGTTATGGGGCTACTGTTACTGTGGTTCAAGTACTAGTTGTTATGAGGCTACTGTTACTGTGGTTCAAGTACTAGTTGTTATGAGGCTACTGTTACTGTGGTTCAAGTACTATAGTTGTAATGAGGCTACTGTTACTGTGGTTCAAGTACTAGTTGTTATGGGGCTACTGTTACTGTGGTTCAAGTACTAGTTGTTATGGGGCTACTGTTACTGTGGTTCAAGTACTAGTTGTTATGGGGCTACTGTTACTGTGGTTCAAGTACTAGTTGTTGTAATGAGGCTACTGTTACTGTGGTTCAAGTACTAGTTGTAATGAGGCTACTGTTACTGTGGTTCAAGTACTAGTTGTTATGGGGCTACTGTTACTGTGGTTCAAGTACTAGTTGTAATGGGGCTACTGTTACTGTGGTTCAAGTACTATGGTTGTTATGAGGCTACTGTTACTGTGGTTCAAGTACTAGTTGTTATGGGGCTACTGTTACTGTGGTTCAAGTACTAGTTGTTATGAGGCTACTGTTACTGTGGTTCAAGTACTAGTTGTTATGAGGCTACTGTTACTGTGGTTCAAGTACTAGTTGTTATGGGGCTACTGTTACTGTGGTTCAAGTACTAGTTGTAATGAGGCTACTGTTACTGTGGTTCAAGTACTAGTTGTAATGGGGCTACTGTTACTGTGGTTCAAGTACTAGTTGTAATGGGGCTACTGTTACTGTGGTTCAAGTACTAGTTGTTATGAGGCTACTGTTACTGTGGTTCAAGTACTAGTTGTTATGGGGCTACTGTTACTGTGGTTCAAGTACTAGTTGTTATGGGGCTACTGTTACTGTGGTTCAAGTACTAGTTGTTATGGGGCTACTGTTACTGTGGTTCAAGTACTAGTTGTAATGAGGCTACTGTTACTGTGGTTCAAGTACTAGTTGTTATGGGGCTACTGTTACTGTGGTTCAAGTACTAGTTGTTATGAGGCTACTGTTACTGTGGTTCAAGTACTAGTTGTAATGAGGCTACTGTTACTGTGGTTCAAGTACTAGTTGTTATGGGGCTACTGTTACTGTGGTTCAAGTACTAGTTGTTATGAGGCTACTGTTACTGTGGTTCAAGTACTAGTTGTTATGAGGCTACTGTTACTGTGGTTCAAGTACTAGTTGTAATGGGGCTACTGTTACTGTGGTTCAAGTACTAGTTGTTGTTATGAGGCTACTGTTACTGTGGTTCAAGTACTAGTTGTAATGAGGCTACTGTTACTGTGGTTCAAGTACTAGTTGTTATGGGGCTACTGTTACTGTGGTTCAAGTACTAGTTGTAATGGGGCTACTGTTACTGTGGTTCAAGTACTAGTTGTTATGAGGCTACTGTTACTGTGGTTCAAGTACTAGTTGTTATGAGGCTACTGTTACTGTGGTTCAAGTACTAGTTGTAATGAGGCTACTGTTACTGTGGTTCAAGTACTAGTTGTTATGGGGCTACTGTTACTGTGGTTCAAGTACTAGTTGTTATGGGGCTACTGTTACTGTGGTTCAAGTACTAGTTGTTATGAGGCTACTGTTACTGTGGTTCAAGTACTAGTTGTTATGGGGCTACTGTTACTGTGGTTCAAGTACTAGTTGTTATGGGGCTACTGTTACTGTGGTTCAAGTACTAGTTGTTATGAGGCTACTGTTACTGTGGTTCAAGTACTAGTTGTTATGAGGCTACTGTTACTGTGGTTCAAGTACTAGTTGTTATGAGGCTACTGTTACTGTGGTTCAAGTACTAGTTGTTATGGGGCTACTGTTACTGTGGTTCAAGTACTAGTTGTTATGGGGCTACTGTTACTGTGGTTCAAGTACTAGTTGTTATGAGGCTACTGTTACTGTGGTTCAAGTACTAGTTGTAATGAGGCTACTGTTACTGTGGTTCAAGTACTAGTTGTAATGGGGCTACTGTTACTGTGGTTCAAGTACTAGTTGTAATGAGGCTACTGTTACTGTGGTTCAAGTACTAGTTGTTATGGGGCTACTGTTACTGTGGTTCAAGTACTAGTTGTAATGAGGCTACTGTTACTGTGGTTCAAGTACTAGTTGTAATGGGGCTACTGTTACTGTGGTTCAAGTACTAGTTGTTATGAGGCTACTGTTACTGTGGTTCAAGTACTAGTTGTTATGAGGCTACTGTTACTGTGGTTCAAGTACTAGTTGTTATGAGGCTACTGTTACTGTGGTTCAAGTACTATAGTTGTTATGAGGCTACTGTTACTGTGGTTCAAGTACTAGTTGTTATGAGGCTACTGTTACTGTGGTTCAAGTACTAGTTGTTATGGGGCTACTGTTACTGTGGTTCAAGTACTAGTTGTTATGGGGCTACTGTTACTGTGGTTCAAGTACTAGTTGTTGTAATGAGGCTACTGTTACTGTGGTTCAAGTACTAGTTGTTATGAGGCTACTGTTACTGTGGTTCAAGTACTAGTTGTTATGAGGCTACTGTTACTGTGGTTCAAGTACTAGTTGTAATGGGGCTACTGTTACTGTGGTTCAAGTACTAGTTGTTATGAGGCTACTGTTACTGTGGTTCAAGTACTAGTTGTAATGAGGCTACTGTTACTGTGGTTCAAGTACTAGTTGTTATGGGGCTACTGTTACTGTGGTTCAAGTACTAGTTGTTATGAGGCTACTGTTACTGTGGTTCAAGTACTATAGTTGTTATGAGGCTACTGTTACTGTGGTTCAAGTACTAGTTGTTATGAGGCTACTGTTACTGTGGTTCAAGTACTAGTTGTAATGGGGCTACTGTTACTGTGGTTCAAGTACTAGTTGTTATGGGGCTACTGTTACTGTGGTTCAAGTACTAGTTGTAATGAGGCTACTGTTACTGTGGTTCAAGTACTAGTTGTTATGGGGCTACTGTTACTGTGGTTCAAGTACTAGTTGTTATGGGGCTACTGTTACTGTGGTTCAAGTACTAGTTGTAATGGGGCTACTGTTACTGTGGTTCAAGTACTAGTTGTAATGAGGCTACTGTTACTGTGGTTCAAGTACTAGTTGTTATGGGGCTACTGTTACTGTGGTTCAAGTACTAGTTGTAATGAGGCTACTGTTACTGTGGTTCAAGTACTAGTTGTTATGAGGCTACTGTTACTGTGGTTCAAGTACTAGTTGTTATGGGGCTACTGTTACTGTTACTGTGGTTCAGGCTACTGTTACTGTTAGTTGTTATGAGGCTACTGTTACTGTGGTTCAAGTACTAGTTGTTATGGGGCTACTGTTACTGTGGTTCAAGTACTAGTTGTTGTTATGAGGCTACTGTTACTGTGGTTCAAGTACTAGTTGTAGTTGTAATGAGGCTACTGTTACTGTGGTTCAAGTACTAGTTGTTATGGGGCTACTGTTACTGTGGTTCAAGTACTAGTTGTTATGGGGCTACTGTTACTGTGGTTCAAGTACTAGTTGTAATGAGGCTACTGTTACTGTGGTTCAAGTACTAGTTGTTATGAGGCTACTGTTACTGTGGTTCAAGTACTAGTTGTTATGGGGCTACTGTTACTGTGGTTCAAGTACTAGTTGTTATGGGGCTACTGTTACTGTGGTTCAAGTACTAGTTGTTATGGGGCTACTGTTACTGTGGTTCAAGTACTAGTTGTTATGGGGCTACTGTTACTGTGGTTCAAGTACTAGTTGTAATGGGGCTACTGTTACTGTGGTTCAAGTACTAGTTGTTATGAGGCTACTGTTACTGTGGTTCAAGTACTAGTTGTTATGGGGCTACTGTTACTGTGGTTCAAGTACTAGTTGTAATGGGGCTACTGTTACTGTGGTTCAAGTACTAGTTGTTATGAGGCTACTGTTACTGTGGTTCAAGTACTAGTTGTTATGGGGCTACTGTTACTGTGGTTCAAGTACTAGTTGTTATGGGGCTACTGTTACTGTGGTTCAAGTACTAGTTGTAATGAGGCTACTGTTACTGTGGTTCAAGTACTAGTTGTTATGGGGCTACTGTTACTGTGGTTCAAGTACTAGTTGTTATGAGGCTACTGTTACTGTGGTTCAAGTACTAGTTGTTATGGGGCTACTGTTACTGTGGTTCAAGTACTAGTTGTTGTTATGTACTGTTACTGTGGTTCAAGTACTAGTTGTAATGGGGCTACTGTTACTGTGGTTCAAGTACTAGTTGTTATGGGGCTACTGTTACTGTGGTTCAAGTACTAGTTGTTATGGGGCTACTGTTACTGTGGTTCAAGTACTAGTTGTAATGAGGCTACTGTTACTGTGGTTCAAGTACTAGTTGTTATGGGGCTACTGTTACTGTGGTTCAAGTACTACTAGTTGTTATGGGGCTACTGTTACTGTGGTTCAAGTACTACTAGTTGTTGTTGGGGCTACTGTTACTGTGGTTCAAGTACTAGTTGTTATGGGGCTACTGTTACTGTGGTTCAAGTACTAGTTGTTAATGGGGCTACTGTTACTGTGGTTCAAGTACTAGTTGTTATGAGGCTACTGTTACTACTGTGGTTCAAGTACTAGTTGTTATGGGGCTACTGTTACTGTGGTTCAAGTACTAGTTGTAATGAGGCTACTGTTACTGTGGTTCAAGTACTAGTTGTTATGAGGCTACTGTTACTGTGGTTCAAGTACTAGTTGTTATGAGGCTACTGTTACTGTGGTTCAAGTACTAGTTGTTATGAGGCTACTGTTACTGTGGTTCAAGTACTAGTTGTTATGAGGCTACTGTTACTGTGGTTCAAGTACTAGTTGTTATGAGGCTACTGTTACTGTGGTTCAAGTACTAGTTGTTATGGGGCTACTGTTACTGTGGTTCAAGTACTAGTTGTAATGAGGCTACTGTTACTGTGGTTCAAGTACTAGTTGTAATGGGGCTACTGTTACTGTGGTTCAAGTACTAGTTGTTATGGGGCTACTGTTACTGTGGTTCAAGTACTAGTTGTTATGAGGCTACTGTTACTGTGGTTCAAGTACTAGTTGTTATGTAATGGGCTACTGTTACTGTGGTTCAAGTACTAGTTGTTATGAGGCTACTGTTACTGTGGTTCAAGTACTAGTTGTAATGAGGCTACTGTTACTGTGGTTCAAGTACTAGTTGTAATGGGGCTACTGTTACTGTGGTTCAAGTACTAGTTGTAATGGGGCTACTGTTACTGTGGTTCAAGTACTAGTTGTTATGAGGCTACTGTTACTGTGGTTCAAGTACTAGTTGTAATGAGGCTACTGTTACTGTGGTTCAAGTACTAGTTGTTATGGGGCTACTGTTACTGTGGTTCAAGTACTAGTTGTTATGAGGCTACTGTTACTGTGGTTCAAGTACTAGTTGTTATGGGGCTACTGTTACTGTGGTTCAAGTACTAGTTGTTATGGGGCTACTGTTACTGTGGTTCAAGTACTAGTTGTTATGGGGCTACTGTTACTGTGGTTCAAGTACTAGTTGTTATGGGGCTACTGTTACTGTGGTTCAAGTACTAGTTGTTATGAGGCTACTGTTACTGTGGTTCAAGTACTAGTTGTTATGGGGCTACTGTTACTGTGGTTCAAGTACTAGTTGTTATGAGGCTACTGTTACTGTGGTTCAAGTACTAGTTGTAATGAGGCTACTGTTACTGTGGTTCAAGTACTAGTTGTTATGGGGCTACTGTTACTGTGGTTCAAGTACTAGTTGTTATGAGGCTACTGTTACTGTGGTTCAAGTACTAGTTGTTATGAGGCTACTGTTACTGTGGTTCAAGTACTAGTTGTTATGAGGCTACTGTTACTGTGGTTCAAGTACTAGTTGTTATGGGGCTACTGTTACTGTGGTTCAAGTACTAGTTGTTATGAGGCTACTGTTACTGTGGTTCAAGTACTAGTTGTTATGGGGCTACTGTTACTGTGGTTCAAGTACTAGTTGTTATGAGGCTACTGTTACTGTGGTTCAAGTACTAGTTGTTATGGGGCTACTGTTACTGTGGTTCAAGTACTAGTTGTTATGGGGCTACTGTTACTGTGGTTCAAGTACTAGTTGTTATGGGGCTACTGTTACTGTGGTTCAAGTACTAGTTGTAATGAGTTGTACTATCTTGTTTTTCCAGACGACAAGAGAATCATCGACTTCACCAAGTTCCGTCTGCTCCATGTGTCACGTGACACTGACATCATGAACGTGCAGTGTTTGGTACAGAACGAGTTTGGCAGCATCTTTCAGGACGCATATCTGAATATTCTGTGTAGGTGCCCCATGTCTTCCCTTCATATCTAATATAATGTGAATACATTATTTCGTAAATCAGATGACCTGATGACCAAGGCCCGTGTGTGATGTTGCGTCAAATGCTAGATTCTCACTGGTCTTCCAATTATATTAGGCTGACATTCCGAGATAAAACTGAAATAAAGTTAAAAAGGGCGTTAAACCCATCCCATGCTTTTATACACCATTAGTTACACAGCCTTCATATAGCTGGAATATTGCGTTAAGAACACGTAAATAAAACATTGAACCACAACCTCCATTGTTTAGTGCCATGTATTAAGTTTATGATGCTGAATACCCTAGATCTATGTGCTTCACCATTTGTTTGTTTAAAGCACGATGCGAACTACACAATGCTTAACTGGCTATCCGATGAAATTATTTTGGTGGCGAGAGAAATTTCGTGCTAAGCTAGAAATTGGAGTAATAGGGCTGGTAACGTCACTTCCGAAATGAAACTTTACATATCAGTAGTGACCTATAGCATTGGCGGATAGGTGTGTGTTTGTGTGTGTGTGCGTGCGCAAGCGTACGCGCGCGCTTATGTATAGAACCGAGGATGTGCCGGTCCTGATAGTGTGTGTGTGTGTGTGTGTGCGTGCGTGCGTGCGTGTTTGCCTATGTATAGAACCGAGGATGTGCCGGTCCTGATAGTGTGCGTGCGTGCGTGCGTGCGTAATCTACAAAAACTGTGCCTCTATGCATGACATGTATACATGTTTAATTGTACATAGACATTTTTTTACAGCCCCAATCACAATACAGTCGCGCCCGTCTCCAGTTATCCGAGTTGTACCTGGAGATGTGAAGACGTTGTCTGTCTCCGCTGTCACAGACCCCAGTCGGACGCTCGTGTTTCGCTGGACGTTCAACAACGAAGACATTAGACAATCTCATCCTGGTATTTCACTGCGTAGCAACGACACCAACAGCGTCGTCACCATCAACACCACCAACGTCAGCCCTGAGAATCTGGACAGTGTGTTGGGGTTGTACGCGTGTGTAGTCAGCCACGACGTTCAACACGTGGTCGTCAGCGCCGACGTAATGAGGATGCCGTCCACAACAGAACCCACCACAACAGAGATGCAGCCGGTCACGGAAGGTCTGTGTATTCGAAGGGCGGTTGGGTAGCCCAGTGGTTAGTGAGTGAGTGAGTTTAGTTTTACGCCGCACTTAGCAATATTCCAGCTATATGGCGGCGATCTGTAAATAATCGAGTCTGGACCAGACAATCCATTGATCAACAGCATGAGCATCGATCTGCGCAATTGGAAACCGATGACATGTGTCAACCAAGTCAGCGAGCCTGACCACCCGATCCTGTTAGTCGCCTCTTACGACAAGCATGGGTTACTGAAGATCAATATTCTAAACCGGACCTTCACGGGTCTCACGCGGAAGACTGACTGACTGACTGACTGAGTTTGGGTTTTACGCCGCTTTTAGCAATATTCCAGCAACATCACGGCGGGGGGACACCAGAAATGGGCTTCACACATTGTACCCATGTGGGGATTCGAACCCGGGTCTTCGGCGTGACGAGCCAACGCTTTAACCATTAGGCTACCCCACCGCCCCCTCACGCGGAAGACCCCACATGGGTACAATGTGTGAAGCCCATTTCTTGTGTCCCCCCTCCGTGATAATGCTGGAATATTGCTAAAAGCGGCGTAAAACTAAACTCACTCACTGTATATGATGCGACAGTGTTTCTAATTACAACCAGGGCCATTAATGCCCTCTCAGCTCTGCGACTGTCGACAATCAGTGTTAAAGAATGGGAGCTAAAATCGACTTAGAATTAAGATCTGTTTGTGGAACTGGTTCAAGGATATGGGGTTGGATATTACAGTTAAAACACAACTCCGGGTTTTATTTGAAAATGCAAAACCTCGAGCTGGACGAATGTTTAACCAGAACCACGGAAAGTGGTCCAGCTGTAAAACAGAGGTTTGAAATACTTCAAACGTAAAACTGTAAAACCTAGGTTAAGATGTTAAGGTAACATCTCTTAGCAGCTCTTGCAATGCAAACGATAATTCCCAGAACAGGTCTCCCTTTAGGGTTGTTCCTCTCGCAAGGCTCACGCCGAAGACCCGGGTTCGAATCCCTACATGGGTACATTGTGTGAAGCCCATTTCTGGTGTCCCCCGCCGTGATGTTGCAGGAATATTGCTAAAAGCGGCGTAAAACCAAACTCAGTCAGTCAGTCAGGTTCGCAAGGATGCAATGAGATAACAAGATACCTGCAATATTGCAAAAGTGGCAGTAGGTATATAATGAAGAGTGTGTACCTAGCCTTGGTACAACCAGGGATACAGCGATAGTTCTGGAATTACTGTTGCATCGGAAGTACCCAGAAGAATCCCTTGAAACAAACTGAGGTCAAATTACTAGTTTCTAGTTGCAGGGCTAATGGCACCCATGGCACTAACATACTGAAAATACCAAGTCTCCATTGATGGTTTCACCCACTGCACTAACGTACTGACAATACTTAGCCTGCCTTGATGGTTTCACCCTTGGCACTAACATACTGACAATACTTAGCCTGCCTTGATGGTTTCACCCATGGCACTAACGTACTGACAATACTTAGCCTGCCTTGATGGTTTCACCCACTGCACTAACGTACTGACAATACTTAGCCTGCCTTGATGGTTTCACCCACTGCACTAACGTACTGACAATACTTAGCCTGCCTTGATGGTTTCACCAATGGCGCTAACGTACTGACAATACTTAGCCTGCCTTGATGGTTTCACCCATGGCACTAACGTACTGACAATACTTAGCCTGCCTTGATGGTTTCACCCATGGCACTAACATACTGACAATACTTAGCCTGCCTTGATGGTTTCATCAATGGCACTAACGTACTGACAATACTTAACCTGCCTTGATGGTTTCACCAATGGCGCTAACGTACTGACAATACTTAGCCTGCCTTGATGGTTTCACCCATGGCACTAACGTACTGACAATACTTAGCCTGCCTTGATGGTTTCACCCATGGCACTAACGTACTGACAATACTTAGCCTGACTTGATGGTTTCACCCTTGGCACTAACATACTGAAAATACTAAGCCTCCATTGATGGTTTCACCCCACCCATGGCACTAACGTACTGACAATACTTAGCCTGCCTTGGTGGTTTCACCCATGGCACTAACGTACTGACAATACCTAGCCTGCCTTGATGGTTTCACCCATGGCACTAAGGTACTGACAATACTTAGCCTGCCTTGATGGTTTCACCCATGGCATTAACCTACTGAAAATACTAAGCCTCCATTGATGGTTTCACCCATGGCATTAACGTACTGACAATACTTAGCCTGCCTTGATGGTTTCACCCATGGCATTAACGTACTGACAATACATAGCCTGCCTTGATGGTTTCACCCATGGCACTAACGTACTGACAATACTTAGCCTGCCTTGATGGTTTCACCCATGGCACTAACGTACTGACAATACTTAGCCTGCCTTGGTGGTTTCACCCATGGCACTAACGTACTGACACTATCTAGCCTGCCTTGATGGTTTCACCCATGGCACTAACGTACTGACAATACTTAGCCTGCCTTGATGGTTTCACCCACTTCACTAACGTACTGACAATAAAAGAATCTCAATTTTCGTATGCCCTTCCTCAAATATGTTACATTTTTGTGACACGTGCATGTACTTTTGTGACGCTCCCCGATTCCCGTCCTTCTGACCCCCAGGCCGGGTAGTAAAAGACCGGTCACTTACACTGATCACATCCTTAATGTTGGACGCTGTCTGTATCACGGGGTTTTACTGTACTACTGAAGGTTCATATAGGCTTGTGAATATTGTGTAACGCAAGAGCGACGTTAAAGCTGCTACTACATGATAAAGTACCGTTGTTGTGTTGCAGGCATCAGAGAGGCGGCCACGACGAGCATGTGGTGGGTGTTGGCGGTGGTTTTGGGGCTGCTGCTGGTGGTGGGGAGCGTCGTCCTGATCGTCTTGGTTCTCCGTCACCGATACCCAAAGCGGGTTTACCTGTGTAAGTATCTATTCAAAGTTACCCAAAGTGCGTTTACCTTTGTTAGTATTCATTTAAAGATACGGAAAGTACACTTTTCTGTGTAAGGGACCGTTCATAATTTATGGCATGGGGGGTGATGATGATTCTTTATGGAGAAGCATGTACAATGTGATGACACCCCCCCCCCCCCAACATTTATGCACAAAGTAATTGACCCCCCTGCATGTCATGTAAAAAATCAATGACCCATACCACATTTTTCCAAATACAGTTATATACAAAATTCCTGACCCCCTAGTTCATGTATGCAAAATTGCTGACACCCCTAGTTCATGTGTACAAAACTGCTGACCCCCACCCCCACCCCCAAGCCATAACTTATGACTAGTCCCTAAGCATTCATTCAAAGATATCCAAAACATATTCACCTGTGCAAATTTTCAATCACATATCCAAATAATAAAAATCTTTGTATTTCACTGATGACAAATAAGTTCATTTACTATATTTATTTAACACAAGGAAATGATTTAACAATCCACCCTTTACAGACTCCATTTCCAGGTTACCTGCTTCTCACCAGACATTTGCAATGTATGCTATTAACATGTAATTCTGTCTGTGTTTCAGTGGAGAAAAAGGAACTGAAAAACAAGTTGGATCCTAAGCGAGATCTGGAGAATGATTACTTCCAGACTCTCTGAAGAGTGGCTGAGAGACTTTCGTGTGTGAGTGAGTGAATGAGTGTTTCTTGTTTTAACTCCATTGAGGAATATTCCAGCTATATGACAGCGGTCTGGAAATACTGTGTCTTGATCACAATCCAGTGATCAACACCGTGGGCATCGACGCAATTGGGATACGATGATATGTGTCAACCAAGTGAGCGGGCCTGACCACCAGATTGCTTCTTATGACAAGCATGGTTTGCTGAAGACCAGTTCTAACTGTGATGATATGTGTCACGGTATCTTCTTGGGTTGATAGGATGGGATGAGTGAGTTAGTTCAGCATATTTAAGTTCAGTTTAGTTTAACAATGTGTGTGTATGCATTTAAATTAAACCACACAGTGTCACCTTGGTGGTGTCTCAAGGGGTACCACTTGGTACAGACAAACCAAGAATCATGACTTGGATGAATCTGAGATTCAAACCCACAGTCACACGTTTCGGTCACACCTCCAAGTCATGGGGTCCATTACAGCTGGGAAATTGCAGAATGCGGCACAAAACAGTTGACAAACATCTATAACTGGACACACCTTAGACAAATGACAATAAATATCTAGCTTTTGTTTAGAATTGTATTATATTGTATGTGAACTGTAGCACCGAATTCACACACACAAAAAAAATCCTTATTTCCAAAGACATTTATTCAAGCCAGAAGTATCTTTCAGTAACTTTCACCATTGCTGTGGATGATGATGATGATGATGATGATGATGATGATTTATTCGAGTGATATTTTAGAAATTGGGAAGTACAATATTTACAAACTTTATGGATAAAAACGAAATAAAGAAGTTGTTATCCATAAAGTTTGTGTATATTGATGATGATGATGAATTTTTCATTTATGTGTTACTAGTTTGTTATTCTTACATGCATGAACAGTATTTCTGTCAGGGGATGATAGACCCCTATCAGTTTGGTAAATACCATAAACTCTGGATTAGCAAAAGGAGACCAAGGATTCCAATAGAGTAAAATGTTTTGTTACTGTTTTGTTGTAGATGAGTGAATTTATCCGTCTATACACACTATTTGGTTTATAGTTTATTGTTCTGTCGAGGGTAGAATACTCTACCAGTCTAACATAATGCAATTTACATGTTCTACTTTATATCCTGTGCCAGACTCCCTGGGAAAGGCCACAACAAAATGCGTATTTCTTCATCGGATCTTTCATTGCTTTCCCCAAAATATATTTTTCCACATGGTAGCATCTCATAATCAATATCATATCATAATATCAAGGATTGTACGTTATTGATTTTAGATTTCAGTGTTTAAACAAGCTGAACAAAACAAGACAAGGATGCCAAAACCCCTGAGCGTAAAACTTTCACCATTTTCTTTTTACATATATGTCAAGACGACCTTGACATATATAATATGTGTAGATATTACCTTCATTGTTATTATATGTATGTCTCATCGAACTGCTACACAATAATCAACATGCACACAATGTTTTGATTTTTCTGTACAAAGTATGTTTGAATCTGACAGCAACATACCTTTGAAATCATATAATATATATTGAAGTTGATCATGCATATAGCTGATGTTTAAAATAAACAAGAATATTGTGTTGTTACTAGTACCTGTGACTGACCTTTACCTGCAGTCTACCTACTGGTCTCTCTTGACAATCATGTACATTGCTAATGTTTGAAATAAACAAGAATATTGTGTTGTTACTAGAACCTGTGACTGACCTTTACCTGCAGTCTCCCTACTGGTCTCTCTTGACAATCATGTACATTGCTAATGTTTGAAATAAACAAGAATATTGTGTTGTTACTAGAACCTGTGACTTACCTTTACCTGCAGTCTCCCTACTGGTCTCTCTTGACAATCATGTACATTGCTAATGTTTGAAATAAACAAGAATATTGTGTTGTTACTAGAACCTGTGACTTACCTTTACCTGCAGTCTCCCTACTGGTCTCTCTTGACAATCATGTACATTGCTAATGTTTGAAATAAACAAGAATATTGTGTTGTTACTAGAACTTGTGACTGACCTTTACCTGCAGTTCAACTACTAGCCTCACTTGGTAATATGTTCACTTGGGGTGGTGGGGTAGCCTAGTGTTTAAGACCTGGGTTCGATTCCCCACATGGGCACAATGTGTGAATCCCATTTCTGGTGTTCCCTGCTGTGATGTTGCAGGAATATTGCTAAAAGTGGCATAAAACTAAACTCACTCACTAATACGTTCACCTTATAACCACTAGTGCGATGAGATGCGTTCAACATTCTGCTTACAAGAAATACTCCATTCTGTGTGACATGTATTACCAACAAAAGTTACAGATCAACTCATTCTTTCATATTACAGCAGGTGACATGTCATGTCATGAAACTACTGACCATACATGAGAGAAAATTTTACACACTTAAAGAATAAATAAGTATCAAGCCTGAATTTGACAAGTGCCATTATCATTTCCCATATAGTTACTTCCCTTGCTACATGGTCTTTAACCCTCACCTTACAGTGTCTGAATGGGACAGGTATTCTCATAAACAACTTAAGTAACATGAAATTATTCATGACTTATGATGACATAAAGTGACCCTTTATTTTACTGTAACATTTCGCACTTGTCTGATAAGACATGTGTACGCGACATGTGTACGTTGTTAAATGCCTCACTTAGCAATATTGCACCTGTATGATAGCTGTCTTTAAATAACTGAGTCTAGATCAGCTAATCCTATAACTGATGTCAAAAGCGTCAATTTACGCAAATGGGATATGATGACATGAATCAATCAATGAACTTGATCACCTGATCCTCTAATGATCACTGTGGGATGCCTGGGATACATTCTAACCCTGAATAACCCTACAATGTGTGTGTTGGCATTAACATGAATTTGATCACTGTTAGTAGCAATTTACAAATTTTAATGCAAGATGATGCAGCATGTCAGTTACTAATGGTAAACATGCTGACAGAACAAAGGTGATGTCCATACCCAGATAGATATTCAAATTCATGGTGACCTCTATGGCTGTACTGTCAACAGATGGATACAAAGCAACCTCAAAACATGACTCTCTCAACCTTAATGGATGTCAGTATCAGACCTGAAGGCCATGTGTAGGACAGCCACATGATGTTTCAACCTGACAAGTTATCGACTAGATGCTTGATTGGAAGTGTCTTCATTGTCGACTATAGTTTGGCATGAAATGCATGCGGACCCGTTTTTTGTAAATATCTCTTCATCCAATGACCCAATCGATCTCAAACTACAGGTCATTGGCTCCCTCCCTCTGCAAGCAGTTTAGGTTCTGCTGTTTATTTTGTTGACAGTTACATAGACAGATTCTTTAATACAAATGCATAAAATCGGTGATTGACAATGTGATTAGGGTTGTCTGACAAAACATCCACTTGCACAGTTTGAGATCGATTAGGTCATTGGATGAAGAGATATTTACAAAAAAACGGGTCCACATGCATTTCATGCCAAACTATAGATGCTTGATTGGAAGTGTCTTCATTGTTGTTGGTTTTTAACGCCCAACTCAGCAATATTCCAGCTACACGAAGGTGGTCTGTTGATAACCAGGTCTGACAACCCAGCACCTGATGCTGCAAACACTCCATGGCAGCTGACTATGGTAGCAGCCATTAACCAAGTCTCCTTGCCTGACCAGTCCGTTGAGTGTTATGGTTACCGAGTATCTACTCTTGCCTGGATTGGAGTAACAGGTGTCTTCACAAACAGGCAGCTTGACCCGAAAACAAATATCTGACCAATATAACCAACTTATAACATTCACAAACTCAAGAAAATGGCTGGTGATGACAAAAAACTCTTTACTTCCCAAGAAAGAGAACCAACCAAGAACATGTACTCAACAACATACAATATATACAAGTTAAAACAAGTACCATGAGGACATGGTGGTCTGACTCCCAGGTCACATCACTTAGTAACAGTCTTTTGGTCACACGATCCAGTACTAGGTAGGTCACATGATCCTGTACAGCCAGGTCACATGATCCAGTACTAGCCAGGTCACATGATCCAGTACTAGGCTGGTCACATGATCCAGTACTAGGCTGGTCACATGATCCAGTAGTAGCAAGGTCACATGATCCAGTACTAGCCAGGTCACATGATTCAGTACTAGGCAAGTCACATGATCCAGTAGTAGCAAGGTCACATGATCCAGTACTAGGCTGGTCACATGATTCAGTACTAGGCAAGTCACATGATCCAGTAGTAGCAAGGTCACATGATCTAGTAGTAGGCTGGTCACATGATCCAGCCATTTCCAGATAACATGGTTTAGCAGAGCCAGGAACATAACTCGGTACTAGCCAGTTCACATGAACATATCATCATAGCCTGGAGGTTTCATGTGGTCAGGATCAGGCCTGTGAAGAGAAATAGGCAACATCGTGTAAAAGATCTATGAAGGACAACATTGAAAAGCAGAACTGACATTTAGCTAATGAAAAATTGTAGAAGATTACACTGAATCATAAAGACATGTTTTTACAAAGCATGAGCTGTATAACTGAGTCTGACTACAGATAATTGTCACTTCTCACCCAGGTCTGGCTCCAGGGGGTCCAAATGGGTCGAATCTCGCTCCTGGCGGAACTGCACCCCTAGAAAGTACAAGTCATTGTTGAATACTTGTACCTTAGCGCACTCAGATATGTTCAACATGCAACTTATTAACAGCATCACCTGCAAGATGGGCATAGTCCATGGGTGGAGTTGAGGGATAGTCAAATGGTTGGACTAAAGCACTAACACAACCAGTACTAGGGTAACATATACAAAAATGACTGAAGTCTACATGACAAGTACGAGCTTCATTGATTACCTCCCCTTGATCACGAGACTCTGTGCTGGATAATGTCATTAAGTCAGATGTAACCAAGAAGATGAATAGAGGACATCCATGCAAAACTGTAGCTGTTAGCTAGCGCTGTCATTCGAATTCCACCTAACAACTGCTGTGTCATCAAGTTATTGATGTAAAACAAATCAGTCATGGATAACAAATATATACTTCATGAGGACACTTCTGCGAGTGAAGCAGAAATCAAGTTTATTCTTCCAAATTCCACACCTCACTGAGATGGGTACTAAAATGTGACATTTAAGTCATATTTCTAAGTACAAATCACAATAATATTTGGACAACAACCACATATGCTCAATATCTATTCTTTTAATTGTGTTAATTCTTCTGAATAGATTACTACCATGATTACATCACTTCAAGATGTTACACTGATCTGAGACACACCTGTCTCTTAATAGTGCTACTTACGGAGGAAGTCTACTTGGTAGGCCAGCATTAGGGTCAGGTGCAAACCCAGGAACACCCGATCTCCGAGGGTCCATGAGCATTCCCCCCATCCCACCTGCTAAAGGGTCAAGGTCAGATCGTCCAACAGCGAATGGGTCACTGGATGGCATCCTAGGAGAACATGAAAGAACTCACAATGAGATCACAATAAATTAATTATTATACTTTCATCTCCATCCTCATCATATCAATAAACTTCCCTCCAAATACTTAGAAAGAAAAAAAAACGAAGAAAATAATTTCATTTGTTTACTTCAGAATCACTGGCTTCAACTAGTTAACAATGCAACTAGTCAAAGAGGACTCCCATCATTTGAAGTTAACTTGCCTTCAGCACAATTATTTAGTCTGGGTCTCGCAGACCACTGTGAATTTTGAAGGCAGCAATAACTATTGTAGCACAATAGTGCCAGAGGCCCAGATAAGCTGCGTATCCGGGTAAAATACGCATAGAAAATTTCCAACTACGCATTGAAAAATAATTGTTGCGTACTAATTTTGCATTTAAAATGTTAGATACGCAAAAGTTTAAAACAAATGCGTCCGGAATATATTTATAAAAATCGCTTGTGTAATGAAAAAGACGTCGATTGCTATCAAGTTGTACTGTTAGTATAGGACAAGTGTTGTACTGTCAGTATAGGATGAGTGATTTTTTATTAAATCATTTCCATTATATTTAAGTTGGTTTTGATTAGGTATGACATAAGGCAGAACATACCTGCTTAGTAAACTTACTCAATGACGTTATACTTAGGTGAGCAAAATGATTGAAATACTCACATATTTGAAAGCAGTGGGTAACGGAAAATGAAATACCCACTCAACATTCATAATACCCACTCCAAAAAAATACAGTGGGTACAGTACCCACATGAGCTAAATCTTATCTGGAGCTCTGAGTGCTAAACATCCTTCACATAAAGTTGTGTTCTGCCACACTGAGCTGACAGGTCAGGGTATAATCTAGACGCCGTTCAACTCACAGTGCCACTCCATGCTGTAGTCATCATCTTAACTTACACTGAGCTGACAGGTCAGGGTATAATCTAGACGCCGTTCAACTCACAGTGCCACTCCATGCTGTAGTCATCATCTTAACTTACACTGAGCTGACAGGTCAGGGTATAATCTAGACACCGCCGTTCATCTCACAGTGCCACTCCATGCTGTAGTCATCATCTTAACTTACACTGAGCTGACAGGTCAGGGTATAATCTAGACACCGTTCAACTCACAGTGCCACTCCATGCTGTAGTCATCATCTTAACTTACACTGAGCTGACAGGTCAGGGTATAATCTTAACTTACACTGAGCTGACAGGTCAGGGTATAATCTAGACACCGTTCAACTCACAGTGCCACTCCATGCTGTAGTCATCATCTTAACTTACACTGAGCTGACAGGTCAGGGTATAATCTAGACTTACACCGTTCATCTCACAGTGCCACTCCATGCTGTAGTCATCATCTTAACTTACACTGAGCTGACAGGTCAGGGTATAATCTAGACACCGTTCATCTCACAGTGCCACTCCATGCTGTAGTCATCATCTTAACTTACACTGAGCTGACAGGTCAGGGTATAATCTAGACACCGTTCAACTCACAGTACCACTCCATGCTGTAGTCATCATGTTAACTCCACAATTATGCCAAATGGAGCACCTACCAATCGGGAGGGACAGGCTGCCTACGACTGGGAACACGCAACGGATCATCTTCCAACAAGGGTGATCTCCCTTGATTACTCTGCGTCCTCGCTACAGATGCTTTTGAGGTCGATGTCTTGGCGCCAGACAGGAAAACTGTGAGTATTTCCTTTTCAATGTGTTTTTCAAGCTCCTCTAAATTCTTGAAGGCCCTGTAAGCACATTTTTAAGGCTAAGAACAGATATACATGCTCAGTCTATTTCAAGAAATGGTTAAGACAGCATGAACACATTATCAAATCAAGATTTCATGTCAAAAAAGGGAATTTTTTCAGATGACTGTTTGTAAAACATCTGCTCTGCCAAAGATGATCAAACAGACCAGAGTAATTTCTGAAAGAACATGTACCAGTGGAGAAAGAATGTTATTAAATATGTAAAATTTATAGCATGTTGTTAATATAAGGTAATCATGGTAATTAACATAAGTATATATATCAATCCTAACTGAGATGAAAACTGACCTCCACCAACAAAGTCAGGTGTACATGACATTTCCAATGATGTGATATGAATGAGTTTAGTTTTACACCACTTTTAGCAATATTCCAGCAATATCACATTGGGGGACACCAGAAATGGGCTTCACACACTGTACCCATGTGGGGAATCAAACCCGGGTCTTCAGCATGACGAGCAAACGCTTTAACCACTAGGCTACCCCACCGCCCCTGATGTGATATGAGATGAGAGATTGGAATTGTACATTTCTGCCAAACATTGCAATCATTAATATCAAATATAAATGTAACTCACGTATCTATGTCCGTGAGATCCTGATTAGTGTATGTTGCCAGACGGACATTCATACTGGACACTTTCTCATCCCTCCGTCTCTGAAATACCATAAACATACAATTAGAGACCACCAATACACATCTGTTTCATACAACAATCAGCACTTTTACACATACACTATATAAAATATAGATATAGATACCTAAACAATTATAGCAAACCAATGGCTGATAGTATGAACAACCATCCAAGTCCTCAGCCATCTGACATACAATCATCTAAGTCACATACACTTAACAATGACTCCTCATAAATGGCACAGTTGAAAAGAATGAGGTGTCAGGCACCACTGTACATCGGCGGATCCAGAGGGGGGTGCATGGGTGTGCACCCCCTTGTGTCAGGGCTCCAGATAAGGGCTGTATCAGCGTATGTACAGATAGATACGGTAGTAAATAATTTAGAAGACATAGCAGATACACACCACAGCAATGGTGTACGGTCTTAAAATCATTTACAGACATATTTATCTGAAAAAGTATTGTTATTTTGTTTATTGACCTGTTTACACAAGAGTAGCAATGTCATGGTGCATGTATGAAACACAAGATTACTGATACGCCATTAAATTCAATTCAGTACTCTAAATGTTCTCTTAAGTTTTTACAGTACTCCTATATTGAAAAAATAAGGAGTATGTACTCCAGATGTTGAAAAATTATCTGTAGCCCTGCTTTTGTCCTGAAAGTTTATTAAATGACCATTGATAATGGGTGAAAATGAAGTGTGCAAACACCTCCCCGCCCCCTACACACACACACACCTCAAGAGTGTGCACATGCATGCACGCACGCACAATCACACACACACCATCTCAGAGAGCTGTGTCTGCCCCTGCTGTATAACCAGTGGAAAAAGACAAGGTTACACTCCTACACTATTGCAGTACACAGTGGTACAGATCCGAGGAGGGTCCAATAACTCAATGAGTAGTGAGCACATTGGTCACCTACCATGAAATGCACAAGGAGACTTTCATCGATTTTCACCACTTTAAGTACAAAGTCATCATTGGATTTGGTGTGGTTATACTTGAGTGTGTACAGCTCTTTGGAGTTGTTCCATCCTGGGGGTAGACGCTCTGTCTTTTTAGACAGGTGCCCATCCTGAAATCAATAACACTATTCTTTCATTCATTATCATTATATTGATACCATAGCACTTCAATAATTTGCTGCAGGAAACTTTGAGATAAATATATTCATTATTATTAGTTTGAGAATAAAAGCAATAATACATAGCATTGGAGTAACAATGATTTTACATCATAATACATGTTGAGAAATGCCAATTTTGACATAATACAGACATCACCAGCGGTGGAAATAACTCATTGCCCAACATCCGAGTCCAGTGCTTTTTTCCGTTGGGCAAGCAAATTTGTATATCACACTGTACCGGTGTCCAGTTGACTTTCCCACGTTAATTATGTTGTTTATTTAAAAAATCAACAAGAAAACGGCGGTATAGTGGAAAAATTATCAGGGCAAGTGATTTTACATGTGCCACTGTACCGGAATACACTAGCAATTTTAAAGTTATTTCCACCCCTGATCACTGGTGACACAATGTGTATGCATGTCACAAAAGTAATGATTTCACAAACTATTATCATGGGATTCAAACCATGTCCACATGACCAAAGAGGTTAACCCTGTCAGCAAGCTGACCAATCATCGAAGGATGTCATCTGCACAATGACTCCATGCTCTGCTCCCCTATCAACAGAAGCCATATCCTGGGCCACATTGTCCTGATATTTTGCTCAAATTCAACATGAACATGCTCAGCCAAACATTCTGCATCAGTGTTGCGGCTATAATGTTTCCATAATAAAGTCCCAAGCTGAGATTCAAATAATGGACCTTCTGATCTGAAGTCGGATGTCCTGGCCACTTAACAAAAAGCAGTTAACCCCTGTCAACAAATTCCCATGGATATGATGTCATCTGTGGGAGGACTCCCAGCTCTGCTACATTAGCACCATGTGGAGGATCCAACCCACTTTGATAGCTTTGGTCTACCATGGGACCACTTATGCTATCACAAACGGTTAGTGCTTGTGTAGCGGCCATAAAATTTCAGAGTCCCGTTCTGGGATTGAGCCCTGGACCTTCTGACCAGAAGTTGGACACCTTGTCCACATGACCAAAGAGGGATTGAGCTGAGTTTTATGCCAAAACTCAGCAATATTCCAGCTATATGGTGGCGGTCTGTAAATAATAGAGTCTGGACCAGACAATCCAGTGATCAACAGCATCAGCATCGACATGCGCAATTGGGAACTGATGACATGTGTCAACCAAGCCAACGAGCTTGACCACCCAATCCTGTTAGTCGCCTCTTACAACAAGTATGGGTTACTGAACGTTCATTCTAATCTAGACATTCACTGGTTGACCAAAGAGGTTAACTCCATGAGCAAGCTGACAAGGTGAGGATGTCATCTGTGGGAAGACTCCACATGTACCCTGCTAGGCTGCTACACTTGTTTACCAAGTTATTGGCATTAAAAGGTGCCTTTTACTCTGTGAAATTTGAATCTTAAAAAAAGTATGGAGCTGTCTTAAATTGTGTTGGATTGACAAATCCACTAGGATCTATTCCATTAAAGAGGTTGCTGACCTACAACTAACAGTTGCAATCTACAACTTTGTAATTTGTAATAAACAGTAACTAAAGGGTTCATTTCCAAAGTTCGTAAAGGGTATCCATAAGGGTTGCTTTATTAGAAATGGATACCTAGCCCTAAGGATCCTGAAGGGGTGTTTGATCAGAAAGGGATACCTAGCCTTACGGATCGTAAACAAAATGGTTAAGGGGACCTTAGACTAGGGGTAAAGCGCTGGCCGTAACGCTAAGGATTGAGAACGTGATCTGTAAAAGAGAACCAGAAACGACAGTGTGAGCAAATTGTACTATAAACTGTGTTCCACACTGTCGCCGATCCAGCCATTAGATCTTCCAGGGACTCCAGTTAGCTGGTACCTGTTAACTACTGAGCTACTTTCACTTCTGTTTCGTTCAGAATTGTATACCTCTCCAACTCCAGTGCATTTAAACCCATGTGAAACGATATTCCAGTGTAAGGCACATATGACAGCATCCCCTGGGCACGTCAGCTGCTCCGACACAGTGTCAAATAGTAGTTCGAGGCCTGCCCGTGACATTTTTGTCCAATAAAGTGATGTTTCACAACAGTTTGATGAAATCTACAAGTAATCCATCCGTCATGAATCGGCAAGTTGCAGATGTAAACTTCCGGTGTTAGTTTCCTTAAAACCGTACTTGAAAGTGAATTAATGCTCAAATAAAAAACTATATTTTGTGTTATCTAGACGTATATAATTGTAACGTAGATAGTAAAAATTAAGATGAAATGTGCATATAATTTTGTTTCGCCTATATTTTCTTTACCGACTAATTTGTGATATATAAACCCGTTGTATTTCGTTTTAGTGGAAATACACATGTTTCTTTTAAAGTATGACCTTAACTGTTTTCAACAATAAAGAGTGAAAACATGGCTGCGCCCATGAGTAAAAGTGTGCTTTCGGGACCTGCTAAAGGGATTCGTTCTCAGTTTCTTTTTCACTTTGCAAGCGAACATATAGAGTTTAAAATACCGGTGAGTATACACATTTATCGCCATTGTGGGACCAGCCGGGAGCGTGAACTTTCTTTCCTTCGAAATATTAGAGAATTGTTTCTTGCTTGCTTGTGATGAGCGTCTCTGATCACTGATCAGTCATTTTGTCGTGACGCCAAAGCCGTACACCCGTAAAGGCGTTCACTTGTCACACCTAACACCCGGGTTCGATTCCCACATTCGTACAATGATTATCATATGTAACTGCAACAATGTGTGAAGCTCATTAGTGATATCACCATGATATCATGCTGGAATATTGCTAACAGCGGCATAAAACAACACTCACTCACACACAAGTACCCCGGGTTAGTTAGTGTGTGTATACAGACATGTACCCTGACGAAAATCAGAATCCAGAACGGTATAATGTTGTACGTTGTGAAACAATTTTGCTTCTAACCATCAGTGACCCTGTAAACATGTACTGTACTACATAATGTCTCATCATCTTATTATAAAGCATGTTAAGAGGTACAGTTTTTGGTGTGATGCACCTTGATATTTTTGTACAACCAAACTCACTGGCATATCCAATTCCTTCAGAAATAGTGGTATTAGGTATGCATAGATTCAATATAAAAAGTTTATTTCTTTGTGTCTTTGCTGTCAGCCTGTACAAAATGTGTCAGCATGATTATGTTTTATGTTCTTACAGGAATTGAAATCAATTGTATCATTGCTGGGTTTCGACATCACCATAAATGAAGAGAAACTTGAAAAAAAAGTAAGTAACTAAAGGCGTGTACCCAAGATGAAAAGGTAACATGTGTTATATTTGGGATTACACTTTCTTAGTAAAGTACAAATTCTAGTACTTTTTGAGTTGAGCCCCATTCGGGATTCGAAAAGGGCAAAAAGATTTTGGGTAAAGAAGTATGAGTAGAACCAAGAGGATAACCTTGATTAGAAGTCGACAAACATTTTTATGAACTGTTTCATGATTAGATGATAGACATCATGTGAGATTAATGGCAAAAGGGTAACTATGATGAACCGTCAGTTATCATGGGTCATGTGTTAACCATGGTATGTGATTGCACTTGTCTTCAGAATCCATTTCTGGTTGTTGAGTTGCCGTCATTGGAACATGCAAAGCGGATCATGAATCGGACTGTCCTTGTCAAGTAGGTGAATTTGTTTATACCTAAGCATGCTAAAGGTGACATATCGACAATGAGAAAATACAAATAGTAGGCATTTCTTGTGCACTATTATGCTGTTTCCTTTTCTTTCCTGCTAAATCATTCTCTTCCCACAGAGGTTATTTGTCATATCTTCCTACAAACCTCTGTTCTAATACGGCCATATTTCCCGGTTCTCGTAAAATCCCCATGCGGCAAAAAGTCGCAACACGAATTATCTCCCTTCTTTTTATCCAATCAGAACACGTGTTACGTCGACTTAGATCCAGCTTGACTAGTACAAACAAATGTGGGACCACAAATGTCCCCCATCAGCAGGGAATTGTGTTGATGTGACACACAAGACATTTAATGGCTAGCTTGTCCGTTGTCAACGAGGGCGATGGGGATGCCATTGATCCGCCATTACATGACTGAGTTCTGTCTAGAAGAAACGTTTGCGCATCGCGCAGGGGAAGAGGTTCTAGTTTTCCCGAAGCATATACGGAAATTACTGAGGCATTGCGAATGATCACTTTTGAAACAACGTTGCTGATTGCACAACTAAATCTGATTGCAACCAATGACGAATCCGGAACACTCGCACCATGAAAGGGCCGTATTAGAGCAGAGGTTCGTAGGAAGATATGACAAGTAACCTGTGTGGGAAGAGAATGCTGCTAAATATGTTATATAAAATGATTATCATTGTTGCATACCATGCTTACTGTAAGTTTTTCTGATACATCATGTTTATAATATAAAACTACTCATGCATTTTTTTCTCCGTGTTTATCCTACTGATTAGATGATTTCTTGATAATTTACCATGTTTGAAGATTTCGTTTGGCAATTATATTTTTATTTCAACTGACCATGCTTACCAGATGTGTTTGAGAAATAGATCTGTAAGTCAAGTGATACACAATGAATGTTGAAACACAATTATCAATGATGATAGATAGAAAGCATATATGATGATAAAGTGTGAGTCCAATTACAATTGCTCCATTCATCATGACCAGAATGCAGAGATACGTCCCTAGAGCTTACACATGATACAAGAAGGCTGTGTCCAGGGTTTGAATCCCAGTTTGAACTGATTATTTTTTAAGTTTGTCAGGACAATACCTGCCCTCATGGGTTTCACCATAGTGGTAATTGTCTGAGATCTAACATTAAATGAATCTCACTCACTCACTTATTATTCGAGTATATTGCAGTGCATAAGATGACACTCAATGACATTGTACAAATGGGCGTAAAAACATTTTTAGAGGTACAGATGCATATCATTGTTGAAATAGCCTACCACAGACACATTTTTCCCCGGATCCTTGAGGGGATTCTGGTTCCCTAGCAACCTATGCTGCATGTAAGGAGTGACCAAATGGGTAGGGTGGTCAGGCTCGGTGACTGGGTTGATTGATGCTCATGATCACTGGATTGTCTTGTCCAGACACAATTATTGAGAGGCTGCTGCTAACTGGAATACTGCTGAGAGACTATTATTTTTATGGGATTTTTCAGTATTTCATCCACTCCCCTTTGCTTGAATTCAGCGGATCCAAGACAACAGTTTTGATGGACATGATGGACAGGGTGCCACAAGCCATTGTTGTTTCAGTACTTATGAGCAGATGAAGGTCAAAGAAAGAGAAAAAGGATTCAAGACCACTATGAAAAGAAGCAGACTGTGTACAGCCAAAGTTTCACCATGCAGATTTATACAATACTACTTTCTGGTGCTTTAAGAGAAGTTATTCATGTTGATCACAGTAACTATGTCAGCATCATTACTCTCCTCATCTGTTTTCAGGTCTCTGTGTGTCAGCATCATTACTCTTCTCATGTGTTTTCAGGTCTCTGTATGTCAGCATCAGTACTCTCCTCATGTGTTTTCAGGTCTCTGTGTGTCAGCATCATTACTCTTCTCATGTGTTTCAGGTCACTCTCTCCCTCATGTGTTTTCAGGTCTCTGTATCAGCATCATTACTCTCCTCATCTGTTTTCAGGTCTCTGTGTGTCAGCATCATTACTCTCCTCATCTGTTTTCAGGTCTCTGTGTGTCAGCATCATTACTCTCCTCATCTGTTTTCAGGTCTCTGTATGTCAGCATCATTACTCTCCTCATGTGTTTTCAGGTCTCTGTGTGTCAGCACCATTACTCTCCTCATCTGTTTTCAGGTCTCTGTATGTCAGCATCATTACTCTCCTCATCTGTTTTCAGGTCTCTGTATGTCAGCATCATTACTCTCCTCATCTGTTTTCAGGTCTCTGTATGTCAGCATCATTACTCTCCTCATCTGTTTTCAGGTCTCTGTGTGTCAGCACCATTACTCTCCTCATCTGTTTTCAGGTCTCTGTATGTCAGCATCAGTACTCTCCTCATCTGTTTTCAGGTCTCTGTATGTCAGCATCATTACTCTCCTCATCTGTTTTCAGGTCTCTGTATGTCAGCATCATTACTCTCCTCATCTGTTTTCAGGTCTCTGTATGTCAGCATCATTACTCTCCTCATCTGTTTAAGGTCTCTGTGTGTCAGCATCATTACTCTCTACATCTGTTTTCAGGTCTCTGTATGTCAGCATCATTACTCTCCTCATCTGTTTTCAGGTCTCTGTATGTCAGCATCATTACTCTCCTCATCTGTTTTCAGGTCTCTGTGTGTCAGCATCATTACTCTCCTCATCTGTTTTCAGGTCTCTGTATGTCAGCATCATTACTCTCTACATCTGTTTTCAGGTCTCTGTATGTCAGCATCATTACTCTCCTCATCTGTTTTCAGGTCTCTGTGTGTCAGCATCATTACTCTCCACATCTGTTTTCAGGTCTCTGTATGTCAGCATCATTACTCTCCACATCTGTTTAAGGTCTCTGTGTGTCAGCATCATTACTCTCTACATCTGTTTTCAGGTCTCTGTATGTCAGCATCATTACTCTCCTCATCTGTTTTCAGGTCTCTGTATGTCAGCATCATTACTCTCCTCATCTGTTTTCAGGTCTCTGTGTGTCAGCATCATTACTCTCCTCATCTGTTTTCAGGTCTCTGTATGTCAGCATCATTACTCTCATCTGTTTTCAGGTCTCTGTGTGTCAGCATCATTACTCTCTCATCTGTTTTCAGGTCTCTGTATGTCAGCATCATTACTCTCCTCATCTGTTTTCAGGTCTCTGTGTGTCAGCATCATTACTCTCCTCATCTGTTTTCAGGTCTCTGTATGTCAGCATCATTACTCTCCTCATCTGTTTTCAGGTCTCTGTATGTCAGCATCATTACTCTCCTCATCTGTTTTCAGGTCTCTGTATGTCAGCATCATTACTCTCCTCATCTGTTTTCAGGTCTCTGTATGTCAGCATCATTACTCTCCTCATCTGTTTTCAGGTCTCTGTTTATCTCTGTCAGCATCATTACTCTCCTCATCTGTTTTCAGGTCTCTGTATGTCAGCATCATTACTCTCCTCATCTGTTTTCAGGTCTCTGTATGTCAGCATCATTACTCTCCTCATCTGTTTTCAGGTCTCTGTATGTAATATCATTACTCTCCACATCTGTTTTCAGGTCTCTGTATGTCAGCATCATTACTCTCCTCATCTGTTTTCAGGTCTCTGTATGTCAGCATCATTACTCTCTACATCTGTTTTCAGGTCTCTGTATGTCAGCATCATTACTCTCCTCATCTGTTTTCAGGTCTCTGTATGTCACATCATTACTCTCTACATCTGTTTTCAGGTCTCTGTATGTCAGCATCATTACTCTCCTCATCTGTTTTCAGGTCTCTGTATGTCAGCATCATTACTCTCTCCTCATCTGTTTTCAGGTCTCTGTATGTCAGCATCATTACTCTCCTCATCTGTTTTCAGGTCTCTGTATGTCAGCATCATTACTCTCTACATCTGTTTTCAGGTCTCTGTATGTCAGCATCATTACTCTCCTCATCTGTTTTTAGGTCTCTGTATGTCAATATCATTACTCTCTACATCTGTTTTCAGGTCTCTGTATGTCAGCATCATTACTCTCTCTCATCTGTTTTCAGGTCTCTGTATGTCAGCATCATTACTCTCATCTCATCTGTTTTCAGGTCTCTGTATGTCAGCATCAGTACTCTCTACATCTGTTTTCAGGTCTCTGTATGTCAGCATCATTACTCTCCTCATCTGTTTTCAGGTCTCTGTATGTCAGCATCATTACTCTCTACATCTGTTTTCAGGTCTCTGTCATGGTCTCTCTCTACATCTGTTTTCAGGTCTCTGTATGTCAGCATCATTACTCTCTACATCTGTTTTCAGGTCTCTGTATGTCAGCATCATTACTCTCCTCATCTGTTTTCAGGTCTCTGTATGTCAGCATCATTACTCTCTACATCTGTTTGTATGTCAGGTCTCTGTCTCTGTATGTCAGCATCATTACTCTCTACATCTGTTTTCAGGTCTCTGTATGTAATATCATTACTCTCCACATCTGTTTTCAGGTCTCTGTATGTCAGCATCATTACTCTCTACATCTGTTTTCAGGTCTCTGTATGTCAGCATCATTACTCTCCTCATCTGTTTTCAGGTCTCTGTATGTAATATCATTACTCTCCTCATCTGTTTTCAGGTCTCTGTATGTCAGCATCATTACTCTCCTCATCTGTTTTCAGGTCTCTGTATGTAATATCATTACTCTCCTCATCTGTTTTCAGGTCTCTGTATGTCAGCATCATTACTCTCCTCATCTGTTTTCAGGTCTCTGTATGTCAGCATCATTACTCTCCTCATCTGTTTTCAGGTCTCTGTATGTCAGCATCATTACTCTCCTCATCTGTTTTCAGGTCTCTGTATGTCAGCATCATTACTCTCCTCATCTGTTTTCAGGTCTCTGTATGTCAGCATCATTACTCTCCTCATCTGTTTTCAGGTCTCTGTATGTCAGCATCATTACTCTCCTCATCTGTTTTCAGGTCTCTGTATGTCAGCATCATTACTCTCTACATCTGTTTTCAGGTCTCTGTATGTCAGCATCATTACTCTCCACATCTGTTTTCAGGTCTCTGTATGTCAGCATCATTACTCTCCACATCTGTTTTCAGGTCTCTGTATGTCAGCATCATTACTCTCCTCATCTGTTTTCAGGTCTGTATGTCAGCATCATTACTCTCTACATCTGTTTTCAGGTCTCTGTATGTAATATCATTACTCTCCACATCTGTTTTCAGGTCACTGTATGTCAGCATCATTACTCTCCACATCTGTTTTCAGGTCTCTGTATGTCAGCATCATTACTCTCTACATCTGTTTTCAGGTCTCTGTATGTAATATCATTACTCTCTACATCTGTTTTCAGGTCTCTGTATGTAATATCATTACTCTCCTCATCTGTTTTCAGGTCACTGTACGAGCTGTGGGGACAGGGTTCAAACAAACAGGAGCTGTACAGCAACTTGAGGAAATACCCCATGGAACTAAGTGTACATATTACTGACATGATTACTAGTATTTACGGTACCACTATTACATGTTCTTTTCAAGTTTCTATCAACATGATCATTTATAACTACACATGGACTGGTCAGAATTGATGTCTAGTAACCCCCAATTTTGTGAAAAGTGACTGAAGAGACAGGGTGGTCAGATTTGCTGACTCAGCTTATGCATACTACAGTATCCAAGTTGAAATATTCCTGATGTTAATAACTGGATTGTCTTGTTAAAATGCATAGAAATTGGTCAAATGTAACATTTGGAATTACACTTTCTCAATAAAGTACAGATTCTAGTATTTTGGGGTTTAGTCTCATCTGGGATTCGAACAAACACTCTCAGAGTCAGGCGTCTAATCACCAGCAATCTAGAGCCCAGGTGCTGAGTGGGGGTTAAACAGACATGCTGGAGTATCAAATTCTGTGTAAAATTATGTACATCAAGATTAGAAATAATGACCATATACAGATTCAATATTGATGTAAATTAAATGGTTATATTTTTCTGTTAGAAACCTTATTTGATGGAGGACACTACATTCAAAATTGTGGTGGATACCTTCAACAAGAAAATGTTGCAGAAAGAAATCCGAAAGATTGAGGTAGGATATCTTTTGCTTCCGTTGTTTGATGAGGAACGACAAAGAAATTCTTAGCATGCTATGTATGACCACTGTATGACTCTTTGATTAGACTTAGAAGAAATTCCAGACATTGAACTGACAAACGCAGGTGGTCAGAATGGTCATGCTCAGAATCCCATCTACAATATGAATGCTTCATTTTCATGGCCTCTTTGTAGGTTTGAATACAAAAGACATTTTGTTTATCTCAACATCTGATCATAGAAATGTACCCTAGCATGGCAATATTTAACGTCAGTGTTGTAATGGATTATGATAAACAGTACACTTGAAGCATATTGCACCACACCTGAGGTGTACAGGTCACTCTAACTGAAACCTGTTTTGTGCATTGGGAAAATATGCATTGTCATACTTTTATTTTATTCAGTAAAGTAGCATCGTTAAATATCTTGAGTACCTTTGCTGATCCCATCAGCATCATTGTCTGTGTCATTACCACGGATACCTTTATGTTAAAAAGGACACATTTAGAGGATTCTCTCAATTAAAGTCCATGGCAATGAACCCCTCAGTGCCCCTAGTTTACTCACACATTTGTGCCAACTTATCAGTGTGATAAATCCGTCATACAGACTCTTTCAGTATCATATTAACCTTGAGTTAATATGTTCTGAACCCTTGAGATAAAGTGGTCTATGTCATGTTAACCCTTGAGCTAAAGTTGTCTGTGTTATGTTAAGATCTGAGTTTAAGTTGTCTATGTCATGTTAACCCTTGAGTTTAAGTTGTCTGTGTCATGTTAACCCCTGAGTTAAAGTTGTCTGTGTCATGTTAACCCCTGAGTTTAAGTTGTCTGTGTCATGTTAACATAGTTAAAGCATTCTGTGTCATAGAAGTGCTATTGTATCACATGCTGTGCCTCAAACCAAGTGTTGAGCATCATCCTCTGTACAGGACATCACTCTGGAGGCGGTCAGCTTTAAGGGCAAGGTCAACTTGAAGGACCCCACCCACACTTTCAGTCTCCTAGAGTACTATGGCCCTGAGGGTTCACCCCCTCCAGACCAGCCCTACCTCATGTTTTTTGGGAGATGGGTGAGTGATTTGTTTTCTTTTCTTTTCACAAATTAGATTTACAAAGTACAGAGCAAATCATGATAGTCATACTGGTTTTTAGGTCTTTCGACTAATATAAAGTATTTTGGTACTGAAAAAAATAATGATAGATTTAGGCGTATTTTAGTGTTCCTAATCCGTATGAACCTTGTGAGTGCTGTGTAAAACACCATTCATTCACTAATCATGTTTACCTCTAGATTGCTAATGGACAGAGAGACAAGATACAGGCCTACCACTTACAGAAGAGGCAGTTTATTGGTGAGACTTGATTTGACAAGCTTATCTATGCATGTTAACTGGGGGTAAAGTGTGAGAGTATGCTCTCCATGTACAACTGGCTAGGAAATTTGTTTACTGCATTTCTTCATACCCAACTTCAATTATTGGACTGTCTGGCCCACACTGACATTAAAAAGCTGGAATATTTCAGTGTTGTATTTAACAGGAAACATAATCAGTTACAATGCTGGGATTTTTTCAGATGTTTGATGGAACAACAAACTGATTGGTTTCCTAATACTCTCTGTGGGATATGGTAGGTGAATCCCAAACTTTATATATCAGAAATGAACATGATGAGATGTGTCACCTGGGGTATTGTTAGTCATTAAGTGATGTCATTTTGAGACCTGAAAATGCACAACATGGTCTGTTTCAGGGAACACCAGCATGGACGCCTGTCTCTCCCTCATCATGGCCAACATGGGGCTGGTCAAGGAAAACACCTTCATCTTTGACCCCTTTGTGGGGACAGGTGCGTGAAGCAGGTTTAGTTTATGCATTATGATTAAGCATGTTATCTGTTATAATTATTTGAAATTGTTTACCAAACTGATTATCATGGGGTGGAGGGCATTTGTGGCCATGTTGTCTAAGGCACTGGCAAGTGTCCGGGATTAGATGCATCTGATGGGCACAGCAGAAACCTATAATGAATGGTTCTAATCCAGGCTCATCCCAGTGAAATATCAGCACCATACTTATGCTCGCCACCTAGGTAGAACTTCCTCAGTTTTCTCCTCCGGCACTGAACTGACATGCGATAACTGAAATACAGTTTGAAGCAGCTTTAACCCCAACTCACTCACTCACTCTCTTTGATTATGATGAGTATGAGAAGGCAGTGATGCTGTCAACAGTACATGTATTATCATAGGTATGAGAGAGGCAGTGATGCTGTCAACAGTGCATGTATTATCATAGGTATGAGAGAGGCAGTGATGCTGTCAACAGTACATGTATTATCATAGGTATGAGAGAGGCAGTGATGCTGTCAACAGTACATGTATTATCATAGGTATGAGACAGTGATGCTACAGTACATGTATTATCATAGGTATGAGAGGCAGTGATGCTGTCAGTGATGCTGCTGTCAACAGTACATGTATTATCATAGGTATGAGAGAGGCAGTGATGCTGTCAACAGTACATGTATTATCATAGGTATGAGAGAGGCAGTGATGCTGTCAACAGTACATGTATTATCATAGGTATGAGAGAGGCAGTGATGCTGTCAACAGTACATGTATTATCATAGGTATGAGAGAGTGATGCTGTCAGCAGTGTATTATCATGGTAACAGAGAGGCAGTGATGCTGTCAACAGTACATATTATCATAGGTATGAGAGAGGCAGTGATGCTGTCAACAGTACATGTATTATCATAGGTATGAGAGAGTGGCTGTCAACAGTACATGTATTATCATGTATGAGAGGCAGTGATGCAGTACATGTATTATCATAGGTATGAGAGAGGCAGTGATGCTGTCAACAGTACATGTATTATCATAGGTATGAGAGAGGCAGTGATGCTGTCAACAGTACATGTATTATCATAGGTATGTATTATCAGGCAGTGATGCTGTCAACAGTACATGTATTATCATAGGTATGAGAGAGGCAGTGATGCTGTCAACAGTACATGTATTATCATAGGTATGAGAGAGGCAGTGATGCTGTCAACAGTACATGTATTATCATAGGTATGAGAGAGGCAGTGATGCTGTCAACAGTACATGTATTATCATAGGTATGAGAGAGGCAGTGATGCTGTCAACAGTACATGTATTATCATAGGTATGAGAGAGGCAGTGATGCTGTCAACTGTCAACAGTACATGTATTATCATAGGTATGAGAGAGGCAGTGATGCTGTCAACAGTACATGTATTATCATAGGTATGAGAGAGGCAGTGATGCTGTCAACAGTACATGTATTATCATAGGTATGAGAGAGGCAGTGATGCTGTCAACAGTACATGTATTATCATAGGTATGAGAGAGGCAGTGATGCTGTCAACAGTACATGTATTATCATAGGTATGTAGAGGCAGTGATGCTGTCAACAGTGAGAGAGGCAGTGCTGCAACGTCAACAGTACATGTATTATCATAGGTATGAGAGAGGCAGTGATGCTGTCAACAGTACATGTATTATCATAGGTATGAGAGAGGCAGGCAGTGATGCTGTCAACAGTACATGTATTATCATAGGTATGAGAGAGGCAGTGATGCTGTCAACAGTACATGTATTATCATAGGTATGAGAGAGGCAGTGATGCTGTCAACAGTACATGTATTATCATAGGTATGAGAGAGGCAGTGATGCTGTCAACAGTACATGTATTATCATAGGTATGAGAGTGATGCTGTCAACGGTACAGTACGTATTATCATAGGTATGAGAGAGGCAGTGATGCTGTCAACAGTACACGTGAGAGAGGCAGTACATGTGAGAGGCGAGTGATGCTGTCAACAGTACATGCGTATTATCATAGGTATGAGAGAGGCAGTGATGCTGTCAACAGTACATGTATTATCATAGGTATGAGAGAGGCAGTGATGCTGTCAACAGTACATGTATTATCATAGGTATGAGAGAGGCAGTGATGCTGTCAACAGTACATGTATTATCATAGGTATGAGAGAGGCAGTGATGCTGTCAACAGTACATGTATTATCATAGGTATGCAGTGTAGATGGGTAATTCATGTAGCAGCTCTTGAAGTAGACACTAGTCTACTAGCCCATGACTGTACACGCTGAGAAGTACATAGCACTGACGACAGTCCTCTTTGTCTACCAGCATGTATGGGATGTAATTTTGAATCAGTTCTCAACGCTTCAATATTAGTACAAACTGGGACTATCTACAAACTCAGAGAATTAATGAAAAAAGTTTCACTAGCCCTCTTTCCCAGCCTTAAGATTGTCAGATTTCTAAGCTTTGACTGATAACATGCCTGTAGCGAGTAATACATTGGTCTGTGTGATTTCCCTGTTACAGGTAGTCTGTTGGTGGCCAGCGCCCACTTTGGTGGCTACGTGATGGGGACTGACATTGACTACCTTCTGCTGCATGCTCGGGGTGAGGACACACAGTCACCATGGTTACAGCATCTCTAGCTGTGGTAGGCCTGGAAATAATGGCCACAGCAAAAGCAGATGCTAAATGGAAAGTTCTAACCCCACTGGGGATATCTTGTTAGAATAGGTCCCCAGCAACTGTGCTGGTTTTAAGAGGTGACTTAATGGAAGGGACGGTTAAGAATACTGAGAAACAGTTTTATTTATGGAATAATTTTTTCCTGAACAATATTATTGCAAATTCCTTGGAATTTAAGCAAATACAAACATTTGAGAAAAAAAATTGAACTTAATATCCTATGTTTTGCCTTACCTTAAGGTAATCAGTGTTTTAGCGTCCCTAACCTAACAGAGGTTTGCACAGAGACAGTTGAAACAGTAAAGTATTTGTCAGAGTAGCCATGAGTTATCTGCCTTTGCCCATGCAGCATTGATTGTTGATTTATCTGGAACTTTCTATGGTACTTTTGCAATCATGGTGCTTTTGCAATCAAGCCTATCTTCTATGTCAGTCGAATAGAACACTGCAGTGTTTTTGTTCCTAGGGGACTGTTCATAGTGTGTGTGTGTGTGTGTGTGTGTGTGTGTGTGTGTGTGTGTGTGTGTGTGTGTGTGTGTGTGTGTGTGTGTGTGTGTGTGTGTGTGTGTGTGTGTTAGTGTGTGTTAGTGTGTGTGTGTTTTTGTTTTGTTTTTGCTGGACCCCCACCCCCAATACATGTGTACAAAATTTATGACACACACACACACACACCTCAAGAAAAAAATGGGTGACCCCCATTAAAATCATCATCACCTCCCCCACACCAGCCATAGATTATGCTGGCAAAGCTTTGTCTTCTGTCCATACTATGTCTGCTGTCATACTGAATATTAGGTTACATGGGCCATCGTAGAGAACTCAGGGTTAGCAGGGCACATACTTCAGTCTGTTTCTACTTTCTTTCTGTACTATATGTTAGGTTAAAGTAGGGATGCTGAAGCACTGTGTAACATCAGGTAAGTATAAAAACACTGCTTATTTTCCCGATTTGCCTGACATGGTCACTAAGAAAACCTACGTCTTCTTGCCTCACTAGTAGTTTGTTGTGTCCCAGGCAAGCCGAGCCGACACAACCAGACCAAGAGGGATCCAGGGGAGAGTATCCGAGCCAACCTTCGTCAGTACGGGTTCGAGAAGGCCTACATTGATGTGTTGGTGGGAGATGCCTCGAAGCACAACCTGTGGAGGCATCAGGGAATGTTTGATGCTATCATTACTGACCGTAAGCTGTTTCCCTGTCTATTCATTACAATAATGAATTTGTGTTGGGGTGTGTTATTAATCAGTTGTTTTGCTACGAGGACAACCTACATTGACTACCAATCTATTCCTTGTTTCTCGTATTGGGGGATACATTCTGAGGGCAGATAGCAACTTTTGTTGTAATATATAACATATCACTCATTTAAATAAACACCCTCTCTCGGACAATAAAACAATACGTTTTCATATAAATACGTCTGTAAATTATTCTAAGACTGTACACCATTGCTGTGGTGCGTATCTGCTTTGTTTTCTAAATTATTATCTACCGTAATGTGCATATTTTTTATCTGTACATACACTGATACAGCCTTTATCTGGAGCCCTGTGAATGTACTTTAAGACTGGAATCCACTGTGTGTTAAACATTCATAACTACAGGCTATATTGATTGTTAATTTTAATCATTTTACTGCACATGTGTCCTTGGTCTCACATTTTAAACATTTTCTTTTGAGACTATATTTATGTTGAAAATACTTTAAACTATCCTCTTCAGTTCTAATCTGCAGTAGTTCTACGATGTATGTGAATCTGACCTGTGTATTTCTTGTCAGCTCCCTATGGCATCCGGGAACCAGCCAAGAAGATCGGCAACAATGAGAAGGAGATCCCAGAGGATGAGTCAGTATAGCAGCTGGGTTACAACTGTATTTCAGCAACTTGTGCTTGTCATAAGTGGCGACTAACATCATCTGCTGGTCAGGCTCTTTATTTCCTGGTCCAGACAGTTATTTACCGACCACAGTCATATGGCTGGAACATTGGCGAAGGCAGTGTTATACAACAAACAAATAGCAAAGAAACAACAAGACAGTTGATAGGTCTTCATATATCAGTGCCATTGTGATATCAATCTCTTCAATAATGAAGGAATCTCTACATCACTATATAATGGTTGTGTACACTATGGTACACTATGGGTGGCAACATCTTCTCCATGTACTCCTTCCATATCTGCAGACATGTAGTTTCAGTGTACATGCTCACTGTGGGGACTGGGTGTGAAGTTCCCACGGCCCAGCTTCAGAAAGAGATTGTAGCAGGGTGACTGTTGTAAGTCTGATGTCGAGTTACGACAGTCGTACAGTTACCATTCAGGGGTGGAAATAACTGTAAAATTGCTAGTGTACTCTGGTACAGTGGCACATGTAAAATCACTTGCCCTGATAATTTCTCCACTGTACCAGCTGTTTTCTTGTTAATTTTTTACATAAAGAACATAATTAACATTGGAAAGTCAACTGGACACCGGTACAGTGTGATATACAAATTTGCTTGCCCTATAGAAAAAAACACTGGACTCGGGCGTTGGGCAATGGGTTATTTCCACCCCTGCCATCGCTTTATGAAACCGGGACCATGCACTGTCATACAAGGCATCTGACGGGATCAGTTGGTCCGACTCAGTGATATCAAAGAAACACTGGTTTATCAGGTCAAGACTTGGTATTATATAGGTTGTCGTTTGATCGTAAGATATTGTTTAGTCAGCATTAAGCAAGAAACAAGCAAAACCTTTCTGTTCACATCACAGCAGGGAGAACCATATCCCCCAGCGCCAACAGTACCAGCTGTCGGATATATTCAAGGATCTTCTCAACTTCTCCGCTAAGTTTCTCCGTCTTCACGGTCGTCTAGTCTTCTGGTTCCCCACCATTAGAACAGAGTAAGTAAAAGACACCCTCATGTACACAGCCTTGTGGCTGCTAAATGTTAGGTTTGGATCATGGATGTGTAATGTAATCACTCAGCTCACTGGTCCATCAATCTTGGATATGTTGCAAGGTAATTGGTTTATTTAATAACAGCATGTCATTCTATACATCTTGTAGAGCTAAGAATACATTTGCCTCAAACAATGGATAAATATGGCCATTATGCCAGATTTACATTCAGGGCATGACATATCCCCTCTCTCAACAATATTCCTCCCTCCCTCCCTCACTCACTCAGACTCACACGCACATGCAAGAGGACTAATATAGTGTTTGTCCCACAGGTACTCTGATGCTAATGTGCCACGACATCCGAGCTTCCAGGTTGTCGCCAACTCCGAGCAATGTCTGACATCTCGCGTGGGCCGTAGACTCATCACCATGGAGAAAGTGCAGGAACTCCAGGTAGGACACATCCCCTTTAGACAGGACAGCTCCAGGGTAGTCTTTAAATTTTATTATTATTTATTATTTATCCTTGTTATCAAATTATAGTCATCTTGAGATTGCTAGGAATCCCCCCTTATCTTTTTGTTGTTGTTTATCTTTCAGATGGAGGAAGATGACTTGGGAGCTTCGTATGACGTGGACCACTTCGCTGGGGCCTCCTTCCGTGACAGATATTTCAGATCATTATCCAGAGACACATCACCAAACAGTCCGAGAAACCAAAGGAAAAACATCAACAAAGCTGGTGAAGTGTGTGTAGAGAATAGCATTGACGCCTTGACAATATCTGTTGAACAGTCTGACAATGGTGAGACGTCATTAGAACCTGAAACAGCACCGGCACATGACAGACTGGGTGAAGAGAATTCAGTACACTCTGCAGGCACATGACAGAATGGGTGAAGAGAATTCAGCACACTCTGCAGGCACATGACAGAATGGGTGAAGAGAATTACGACACTTTCCGCGGGGGCACATTACAGACTTGGTGAAGAGTGGGTGAGTGCAGTTTTACGCCGCACTCAGCAATATTCCAGCTATATGGCAGCAGTCTATAAATAATCGAGTCTGGACCAGACAATCCAGTGATCAACAGTACGAACATCGATCTACGCAACTGGGATACGATGACATGTGTCAACCAAGTCAGCGAGCCTGACCACCCGATCCCATTAGTTGCCTCTCACGACAAGGGTTACTGAAATCATTCCGGATCTTCACGGGTTGATTTGGTGAAGAGAATTCTGTACTTTCTGTAGACACATGACAGACTGGGTGAAGAGAATTCAGAGCTCATGGTGAAGAGCTCATGGCACGGTCACAGAGAGAAGTAATGTTGATGTACAACCTAACATTCAGCAAGCAGTTATCCAACAAGGAGTGGAATGTCATGCTTTGAGGATCCTAGATTCTTGATGCAAGAAATGTTTTACACTGAACCAAAATTATTTGAGATTAAACCAAAACATCAACTGAACCTTGAAAACATACACTGACTTGAGAATTATGTGCAAACTATCAGAAAATAACATTTTAAACTCTTCTCATTTCATACAAACTAAAATGTGCTTGTTATGGATATATGTGTTGTATTGTATGTGGGGATCAGGGAAAGTCCTACCTGATGGACTGAATCCGGGAATCATTACCATCCAAGTCAGGCAACTGAAAATACAAAGTGAAATTAGACATTAAAAAAACGTACTATTGGGGGATGTAGAATTGGTGAAATGAAATGACATCTGCCACTGTAGGTAGGAAGTGGTGAATAGTGTACATAACTACAGCAAAGTATCAACTATCATTCATCGTCTTCTGATGATAATATTCCTCTTTATCGTGTGACCTATTACCAGCAATTCAAAAGCGCTTAGGACTTTTTAATTTAATTATCCGGGCTGGCTGCCATGTCTTCACTGCCATGTTCTATCATCCCGTTTTATCTCACCTTTCACTTCTACATGGCATTCAAAGACATTACTTTTTTTATCGTTTTCGGCTACATTCATTGAATTTTAAGCCAAACCTTTTGTTAACCAACTAAAATATATATGCCTGTTGATTTGTGAGGAGTGTGGCTTTTTTCCATTTCACCTTTGGCATCAGGCCCAGATTGTCTGCAGCCTGCACCTCACTTTATCAGTGATTTTAATCACTGCCCTAATGGAATTAACAACTGCTGGGAAACTGTTGATCTCACCATCAGAACCTGGACCTTGACCTACAGTTGATGTTGATTGCCGTCTCGGTTGCTACATGTGTACAGGTTAAGGACAAACAGTTTTGTATCTTCAGCACGAGAGCGTTTTGTTTCATTTTAACAATTAGAAATATAATTCCGTTGTTGAAATTGTACAGTAACATGTCAATTATGAGTCTGTGATATGCAGTGGTATAACATGCAAAATAAATAGTCATCCTTTTATTTGTTTTTTATTATCCTGTCCCATGAACATGGAACACCTCGACAAACCACTAAGGTGATACTCTTTGCATAAGGTGTTTTAACATCACTATAATGTTCATTAGGGGGGAAAAGATACTTTCGTAATTTCCTGTGGAAACCTGTTATTCATCTGCATGAAATGTTGAAGTTCGAGGATTGTCATAAACGTTTCCGGCTTGAACATGAAAAGTATCCAACGTGCCATTCACAAAAATACTGCCCAACCCAGTCTCGTCGAATCTGATTGGATGTTAATGAGTAGGTGGCAATGCTTACAGATGCTTCTTTCAAGAATACTGCTACCTTATAACTCGCTTTCAAGGTGGATAAACAGAAAATATAGCTGTTATTCAATATCTGCATTTAAATAGACACAGCACAAAGCAAATTCATCAAGACTCATCATGACACAGGCAGGAGGTACTGCTCTTTCATTAAGTACTCAAACAGTGGTGTGGGGAGTTTAAAATGGACTAAAATAAGCCACGCTCTGGACGTCACCACAGAGGAAAACGTCAATGCTGTACCCGATACCATCATGCGAGTCACGCGTGTGACTGTCAGATATTTAGCTACTGTCCATCACATCAGCAAAATATTACTGGAAGGAATTATTCACAAGCATTTAATTATGAACAAGGTCTCTGCACGTTGAATGACCAGATTCAGGACAATACGTCTGCTCGCACCTCACAAGGTAGCATTCGACCGCCTCCGTGGTGTAGTGATTAGAGCGTCCGCCCGGAGAGCGGAAGGTCGCGGGTTGGATCCCCGACCGCGTCATACCAAAAAGACGTTAAAATATGGTACTTGTTGGTCCCTGCCTGGCGCTCGGCAAGGACTGGTCGACTCGGAATCAGTATAATGTGGCATGGTATCTCAGTGGGCTAGCACTATAAAACCAGCTTCAGTTTGGGCTAGTACAAGCAGCCGCACATACACATACACACGCATGCACGTCGTCATATGAGCGAAATATTCTCAAGCACGACGTAAAACCCAATTTCACCTCACCTGACCTCTAGTGGAAATCTGCGGATTACACTTTTATTTAATGTCAAACAATAACTCGCCAGTGAATATATTTGCATAAACAACTGAACTCAGTGTATGGCAAAGTGTATGTTTGACATCGCCGATGGATAGCTCATCAAATATCATCAAAGTCAACGAAAACTTCCAAAACGTCTGAGCAGTATGTTAACTGTATTACAGCATCTTAACGAGTAGAGCCTGACGTAGAACCATATCGATACGAAAAGTGAAGTACATTTCTAGTATGTAGCTGTCGTGCTATTTCTAAAAGCGGCATAAAACCAAACTCACTGATTCCGCCCTAGCGCCTACATCAGCGCCTCGGCAGCACTGGCCCACGACCACTGTCACTCGGTGACACACTGCTGAGTAACCCCCGGAGCTGTGATCTCTTACTGGAGCTTGCTGTACATGACAGGAGACCACCACAGACTGCTGGTGACCAAGGACGCCCCACACAACGCGCCATCGCCAGAACAGTGCACACTATCCCTTGTCACCAAACATGTGAGTACCTGCTTTCACGCACTTAGTCATGGTATAATCATGCAAATACAGTTAGTCTTCACTGAGCCTCAGGATTCACTTAGCCTGGGAATTCATGTCTCTCTCTATTTCCCGTACAAACTTAAAGTATGCGTTAACAGACAGACAGACAGACAGATTTTATTGGTATATATGGCCCGGAGGCCAACAGTACAATGTAAATATATTGTAATGTACACAATGACAGCTCTACCATGCAATACGACGTAAATAGCATACCATAGATAGGCAATGTTAATTGAAACGTTAATGTGTTAAAGTTGTTAAACGTTTCATACCTCTGAATGCTTAAACCCCATCGACTTTGGAGGTGCATTGTGTAATCACGTCATGATATAAGATTCTGAGTGATGTAGACGTGCTGGAATTGGTTCCTGAAATTGAAAATGGTCCTGAATAGCTAGTATTTTTTCAGCTGTTGTTCTTTTTGTCAACGTTGCTGAAGTGTGTTGTCGTTAGTTTGGTTCATGGAAAACTTGAGGTGTGAACGTGTGTGTCTTTGACACGAATCGCCGGGTTGATTAACCAGTACAAATTGAAGCTGAACAGTAATTACAGATGTGCATAACGGCATTGTCTCCATGTTCAGTGCTACTACGTCCTAACTGAGACACTGCTTCTGTGAACAGAGTAACTGATAGAATGATAAATAAATATTACAATTTGAGGAATGAACAACTGAGACATTGATATATAACCTAAATGGTGTTGTTTATGTAAGTAACATTGAATGACTTGAATTAAACCTGCTGGAACAAGCCAAGATGACATGTAACATATTACAATTGTCCATTTAACAGTACTAGTATGGTCATACACTACAAGTACAAGTCTATGGAGCCACGCTTTTTTGTTTGCCTTTCAGGGGAAAGGGAATTTGAATCGTTTATTAAATTAGCGTTGGGAAAATAGGATCTACTAGTATTAGATCAATGAGAAGATTATAGACCCAGTGTCGTGGCTCGGCGCCCCACAATCCCATGGGTAATCTACGCCTGAATTGGGAGGAATCACTACTGGAACTTGTTCAAGTTTCATTAGTTCACGTGACTATCATATTACAAATTGGCTGTCATAACCCTCATCATGGTTAAAGCTGCTTGACTTTGAAGTTTATAATTTCTCTAAACCATTGTATCATACTGGCGAATTATATGCGGTGGGATCGGTCGTTATGTGATTTACAGTGAAATCATGCCATTTGTGTATACATTTTTAACATGTTCATGGGTAATTGCTCTTAATACGAAGTCCATCCTCATTTGGGCAAACACACAAATAAAAATAGGACGGCCGTCAAATATAGTTATAAAAACGAACTTTTTCATTTGACTATAACTAACCTACCATGATGGCGTCTCTACCTCAGAATGAACATGGCGAGATAAATCGTTAGTCTGCACAATCACCCCAATTTTAATTAAACAAAAAACAACAACCTCAAAACAGCCAAAACATACCTCATCAATGTTCTTTGTGTTGAATATAAGTAAAAATACGCTCGTATTAGAAACGAAATATATACTATTCACACTTTGCTAAGGATCAAATCATGGATTCAACAGAAAACTATTATGTGGGGTCAAATTTGGTTTATATACCTAATTTTATTGTAAGCATGGATCCTAGGTTTCAGTATGTCATTGCATCTTGTGGATCCCATACCTGCTATTGACATGTGTTGTCTATTTGTCAGTGACTCGTTCCATGATTTGCAAAATGGTTGATTGGTGAAGAATGATGACAATTTTATGGCTATACAACTTCTTTTATGCTGTGACGGGCGACGTTTCGACATAGATTCTAATGACGTTGTCAAGCAAGTGATACATGAGAAACAAATAGAGAGAATATATACATGACTTGTTATTACAGATGATTGGGGATGAGTTGTTTGCACAATAAGTGAGGTTGAAGTACAACGCGTGTAAAGGAGATTGAGTACGTGATTGGAAGCCAGTTAGGTGACATACAAGGATTGAATTAAAGCTTACACTAATGATAGGAAGCCAGTTAGATGACATACAAGGATTGAATTAAAGCTTATACTAATGATAGGAAGCCAGTGAGGTGACATACAAGGATTGAATTAAAGCTTATACTAATGATAGGAAGCCAGTTAGATGACATACAAGGATTGCATTAAAGCTTATACTAATGATAGGAAGCCAGTGAGGTGACATACAAGGATTGAATTAAAGCTTACACTAATGATAGGAAGCCAGTTAGATGACATACAAGGATTGAATTAAAGCTTATACTAATGATAGGAAGCCAGTTAGATGACATACAAGGATTGAATTAAAGCTTATACTAATGATAGGAAGCCAGTTAGATGACATACAAGGATTGAATTAAAGCTTATACTAATGATAGGAAGCCAGTGAGGTGACATACAAGGATTGAATTAAAGCTTACACTAATGATAGGAAGCCAGTTAGATGACATACAAGGATTGAATTAAAGCTTATACTAATGATAGGAAGCCAGTTAGATGACATACAAGGATTGAATTAAAGCTTATACTAATGATAGGAAGCCAGTTAGATGACATACAAGGATTGAATTAAAGCTTATACTAATGATAGGAAGCCAGTTAGATGATATACAAGGATTGAATTAAAGCTTATACTAATGATAGGAAGCCAGTGAGGTGACATACAAGGATTGAATTAAAGCTTATACTAATGATAGGAAGCCAGTTAGATGACATACAAGGATTGAATTAAAGCTTACACTAATGATAGGAAGCCAGTTAGATGACATACAAGGATTGAATTAAAGCTTATACTAATGATAGGAAGCCAGTGAGGTGACATACAAGGATTGAATTAAAGCTTACACTAATGATAGGAAGCCAGTTAGATGACATACAAGGGTTGAATTAAAGCTTATACTAATGATAGGAAGCCAGTTAGATGACATACAAGGATTGAATTAAAGCTTACACTAATGATAGGAAGCCAGTTAGGTGACATACAAGGATTGAATTAAAGCTTATACTAATGATAGGAAGCCAGTTAGATGACATACAAGGATTGAATTAAAGCTTACACTAATGATAGGAAGCCAGTTAGATGACATACAAGGATTGAATTAAAGCTTACACTAATGATAGGAAGCCAGTGAGGTGACATGCAAGGATTGAATTAAAGCTTATACTAATGATAGGAAGCCAGTTAGATGACATACAAGGATTGAATTAAAGCTTACACTAATGATAGGAAGCCAGTTAGATGACATACAAGGATTGAATTAAAGCTTATACTAATGATAGGAAGCCAGTTAGATGACATACAAGGATTGAATTAAAAGCTTACACTAATGATAGGAAGCCAGTGAGGTGACATACAAGAGTTGAATTAAAGCTTATACTAATGATAGGAAGCCAGTTAGATGACATACAAGGATTGAATTAAAGCTTACACTAATGATAGGAAGCCAGTTAGATGACATACAAGGATTGAATTAAAGCTTATACTAATGATAGGAAGCCAGTGAGGTGACATACAAGGATTGAATTAAAGCTTACACTAATGATAGGAAGCCAGTTAGATGACTTACAAGGATTGAATTAAAGCTTATACTAATGATAGGAAGCCAGTTAGATGACATACAAGGATTGAATTAAAGCTTACACTAATGATAGGAAGCCAGTGAGGTGACATACAAGGATTGAATTAAAGCTTATACTAATGATACGAAGCCAGTTAGATGACATACAAGGATTGAATTAAAGCTTATACTAATGATAGGAAGCCAGTTAGATGACATACAAGGATTGAATTAAAGCTTATACTAATGATAGGAAGCCAGTGAGGTGACATACAAGGATTGAATTAAAGCTTATACTAATGATAGGAAGCCAGTGAGGTGACATACAAGGATTGAATTAAAGCTTACACTAATGATAGGAAGCCAGTTAGATGACATACAAGGATTGAATTAAAGCTTATACTTATGATAGGAAGCCAGTTAGATGACATACAAGGATTGAGTGAGTGAGTGAGTTTAGTTTTACGCCGCACTCAGCAATATTCCAGCTATATGGCGGCGGTCTGTAAATAATCGAGTCTGGACCAGACAATCCAGTGATCAACAGCATGAGCATCGATCTGCGCAATTGGGAACCGATGACATGTGTCAACCAAGTCAGCAAAACTGACCACCCGATCCCGTTAGTCGCCTCTTACGACAAGATAGTCGCCTTTTTATGGCAAGCACATGGGTTGCTGAAGACCTATTCTACCCCGGATCTTCACGGGTCCATACAAGGATTGAATTAAAGCTTATACTAATGATAGGAAGCCAGTGAGGTGACATACAAGGATTGAATTAAAGCTTACACTAATGATAGGAAGCCAGTTAGATGACATACAAGGATTGAATTAAAGCTTATACTAATGATAGGAAGCCAGTTAGATGACATACAAGGATTGAATTAAAGCTTATACTAATGATAGGAAGCCAGTGAGGTGACATACAAGGATTGAATTAAAGCTTACACTAATGATAGGAAGCCAGTGAGGTGACATACAAGGATTGAATTAAAGCTTACACTAATGATAGGAAGCCAGTGAGGTGACATACAAGGATTGAATTAAAGCTTACACTAATGATAGGAAGCCAGTTAGATGACATACAAGAAAAGAATTAAAGCTTATACTAATGATAGGAAGCCAGTTAGATGACATACAAGTTGAATTAAAACATACTAATGATAGGCCAGTGAGGTGAGCCACTAATGATAGGAAGCCAGTTAGATGACATACAAGGATTGAATTAAAGCTTATACTAATGATAGGAAGCCAGGTAAATGTTCATACAATGGATGGGGTTGATGTACATAGCTTGTATGACATGTTGTATAGAACCAGATGATGTACACAAGAAATATAATTATGAATTATAGATGATCATTTTATCAAGTGATGGTAGGCATTAGGAATGTAGTATCCTTA